CGTTAAGCAAGAGCTTACGAAAGTCCAACAGTCATTAACAAGTGGTTTCATAATAACAGAGAAGCGTTTAAAGCTGACTCACCCCAATACTCATGGATCTATGATTCCCTAGGGACTGTCCAGGGCTTTATAAATAAAACTTTGTAGGGCATATGATTGCCACAGCCTCTAGTTCAACAATTTTGGTCACTGGCTGCTCAAACATACGTGAGGAACGGTGGGTGTCCAGCTTCTGAGAATACTCACCCAACCAACTACCACCTCCTTAGTTTGAACGGACTGTTCATTGACCGGTCAAATCTGTTCCATCGCGTTGAACGGAGCGTTTATCATCCTCCTCACTTTACCCTTAACAAACAGAATATGCATCAAACGTTGTACATTCCCAACCATCATATTGCTGCATCTTATCGGACCAGTTTTTCGATTTACTCCCCTAGGCGTCTATTCAGACCCTAAGATTGGACATCTTCAATGACACTCGTAGCGTTAGCTTTGCATTAAGCCTCAAGATTCAATCCACCGGAAAATGTGGTCCTACTATTGCGCCACTGTGGGCGAGAGACTGGGCGTTTCAAATATAGATATTATAGTTAGCTCAGTCAAGAGATTTTGAGCTCTAGAACATTTCATTATGCTAGCCCATATATATGCGGATGTGGGTGGCAGCGGTGGCTAGAGGAATGGACGCAACTCAGAAAAGAGTACAATGTACCATCAATTATCTTATATCTGCTTGCTCCTTGTCTGCTGGGCCCAATTCATTCGCATCGGCACTACAGTACACCCACCCACTGTAGGGTTCGAGAAATATTACGTCCACGAATTCAGGATCACCGTAACCAAGTACTGTGGCGAAATTGCAGGACATGATGTACACTGTTTGTTGCCCATCATGATCATGGTGTTGAATGTACAATGGTAACAGCGACAAGAAGCCATCTGCCAAAGGCATAAATGTCCCCAGCCTGTCACCCATGAGTAGCAAAGAATGAGCAGCGATGAAGGGAATGGCCATGATGTTGCGTTGAAATGCCAAAATGTTCCAGTGATTGAGGAAAGGCCAAAAATTGCCCGGCTGTGGAGGAATGGTTGCACAATGATCAATGCCTTGGTAAGAAAAACGAGGGTCTGAACGGGATCAGATCGTGATACCCATTTAGCAGAAAGATCGATGTTTCGGTATGGTTTCTAGAGATAAGACCCGGACAACACTAATTTTGGCCCTTCTCGAAGACAGCCCTTAAGCGAGTATTCGTCCTGAAGGCAGTTAGCTGACTTCCTACTACATGTATCCCAATTCTTGTTGAGCAGGACAAAAGCCTACCGAATTTTTGGGACCTGCCCTAGAACAATTATTAGACCCAAATAAAAGGTACAGAAAGCACATGTATAACTGAAATTGACCGAATGGAAAAGAAAAATGAGGTGGACTTTCCTCCAAGGGTTGGTGAAAAGAAATAACCCAGTAAAGTACATTACCTAAAATTTGGGACCACATCAGGGTCTGCTGTGCTCCAATTCTTGATCCTCTCAGGGGTTCTAATCATAGACTATGCAACGTGACAATCACCAGACTCTTACCGTATGGTTGCTATAAGCGTAACTTACTGTGGTTTTGGAGTCACTCCTAGGAACATAGCTCCGGTCATATCGGCACTCGCCGTACCATTAATGCAACACCCAGCCTCGCGGGAATGCCATGGTTTGGACGCGCACCCAATGATGGCGTACTCTAGATTATGAGGTAAAAAGATCAGTTCCGGCATCCTTTGACGTTTGTACATATGTTGTATTTGCACAGGTGGTCAGCCAACTTCGTGAGGGGTGGGATCCCGAGACCCATGGATATCGTTAAGATAGGGAAGCCCCCACCCGGCAGAGGAAATATCGTACGTGCAGCTACCTACGCAAAGTCATAATTGATTACTTTGGCTTGAAAACCCGGATACATAAGATATGCGAAGTTGCCCTTTTCTCCAAACAACCACAGAAAAGGAGCCGTTCGAAATAAGCGGAGAGAAATGCTTATAGTGTGTGTTGCGGATCTCCTTGATACAAGATATACTGCTCCCTTGTCATTATGCCAGTACACGCAGCCGAGGAATGTCACTCTAGAGATGATTCGTCAAGCATATACAGCCGTTCGCCGGATTGTCCTAAGACCGGCCTACTGTTAGATGAAGATTCTAAAAAGCTTCATACGCGACACGACCTCCCGGAGATCAATTCTTTGGACCACCAGATTGCTTTGGCTCGAGGCTCTACCATGGCGTTGGAAACGACTCGTACACGTCTACAGTGTTCGAAATCCCGGCACCGATTGTCACTCCCAGAAACGAAGGAGGAAAAAATTCGTCAGTTGAATCAGCAAGAATCCGAGAATGAGTTCTATCGCACGTGCCATGACATCTTCCAACAGCTGTCGGCCGCCGTTCTTGATGTCATTGACGTTTCCCAAGACTTGACGCTTCAATGTCACTATGATTCCGAGTTAAGCATAGCTGGAAATGCTCAAATATGGCAGCAAATGAGCAGCCTTCGCGGTGCTTTGGAGCGGTCTCGGTCTCGAGAAGCTCTAGCTGAGCGAGACTGGAAAAGAAAATGTAATATATCACGTGTTTGGAGCCCTTCCACACGCTGGATCTAGTAGGTGAATTGAATCTGGACTGGTTGGCTGTACACTTGTTGCTTAGGAGCTTCAATAACAAAATTGATCATGTACATATTTGGCTTCATATTATTCCGGCTTTATTCAACCCGCAATCATCAAATTGATCTACAAAAGAAAGTAGTCCTATTATGTAGCCGTCGTCGTGAAGTCCCGTAAGCACAGAATAACGCCTCATGTGGATCAAATGCTCCATATAGCTTCTTTACAGTATGGAAAACGTGATCGGACTTTTAATAATTGGCAAGTTGATGTAGTGCAGAGGTACCCACCTGGGATAAGTGGAGCTATAGCGCGAACTCCAAGAAATAAACCTATCTCAAATACTGCTGATGTACAATGCCACACCATCTTAAGTAACTCCTAACGATCCACCCGTAGGAATTGTTTGGTTTCCAATCAATTTGGTCCTCATGCTGCATGTATAGTGTCTCGCATTACTTCACAAATAAACAAACTCAATCTTCTGAACTACGACACAACCTTAGCACGGTACATACCCCATCATGCTTTTGGTGGCCACTGCTTTACTATCGTCATTCCTGTTTTCAAGAGCTGCCCTGTTTCTCCCTTCATCAATTTTTTGAAGTTTTCAGGGACAATTTTCATCAAGAGAGGAAGCGCATGAATCATTTGTCCATATTGCGGGTGCCTTTTTGCTAGCTCGAAGAGTAAAGACTGTGAGATATCACGGCCAGAAAATGCTTCCTGCTCCTTAAGAAAGCACTGCAATGCCTCTAAATGCGTTGTGATGATCTTCTTAGCCTTGTTTTGCGTGTGACTAGAAGCAAGTGATCTCAGTTTTGCTATCTTGCGGCAAGCAAAACCAGTTTTCTTAATCTTGAATGGCCAAAGTGGGGGATATTTCCTCGAAGAATTACGGTGATCAATAGACCGTTGGTGAAAAGCTCTGTCTTCATCGACCCTAATAATCTGGCTGGAACGAAGTAATCGTATCATCTCCCTGTTAAAAAAAGAGGTGACATATCATGAAGTTTTGATATGTCGCTTTCAAAACATTCGGCCGTCCCCAAGTTACTGATCATTGATCGGCACTGGTGATACAAAGCAGCGCTGTGTTGCTCAGAGCTCTTGCTCGGGGAAAATTGGTGGTTCCAGTTGAAAGGAAAACAATATTTTGTAGTCTCGTAAGACCAGATACTAGAGTTTCTTTGACCTTCAGTATTGCCGTGCAATGAAGTGTGTTTCCGCATCTCTGGAGGAGGACTCTGTCGTAATGGCACTTTTGGTGCTACCATCACAGTTACTGAAATGAAATCAGCGTGAGTGGAGCTTTCTTCACTAGAGCGGCAGTGTCTAGGACGAGGAAACGAGTGAGGCAACGGTTGATTTAAGAAGCTCATAGCGAGCTTGCCTAGTCGAGCAATTCTGTCTTTATATCGATTGGTGTTACTTGGCCCTTAAGTATTCCAATCAGTTACAAGCCAAATGAAAAGATTCAGGTGGACAGAATGGCTCGCCTTGGGCGAATCGTGCACATTAAGTGGCACGCAAAATCATGAGTAGCCCCGAGAACAGGATATAATGCGATATTCTAGTCAGGTCACAGGTTATAGAGGGTTATAAATGCCATCAGAAAATTTACAAAGTACCACCATAACCCCAAACATTTACCTATTTGGTTTGCGCACCGCAGAAAGGTGCCTCAATCATCTTTTGCCCTATAAGCAACCGTAATTAATATATATAGTTTTCTTTGCCAACATTTCATAGCTTGAATTAACTTGACTGTCGGATCACTGTGAGTGTCACCACCAGATCAGGCAAAAGTAGAAGTTCTCGTTGGATTAGACGTATCGGCATTTCAACGAACCATGGTATCCTCGATTTCCGCAGACCTATGTATCCACATACGTCAAATGCTAATGTATTGTTCAAGGCAGCTCTTGGAGTCCGTTCTCGCCATGCAGTCCAGTCAACTGAAATATACATCAAAGATCATACTATGCAGGAGACCCGACTGGGGCTGGGATCCAACCTATCGACCGAGCCGCCACCCAGTGCCTCTCTGGAAAACAGTCTATCTTCTATGTATCCAAATGCAGCACCCAATGGTCTTCTTTGGAGTTCAATTCCGACCGCTCCGAATGATCTCGGCAATCCTTCAACCGGGAACTGGACTATCTGTTCATTCAGTGAGCAAAAGACGCGACATCATCACACCTACGTCGAAAATGACCCAGTAAAAGATACAGTCTTGACAATGGAGCCACAGCAATCAGCCCTTTCTCTACCTTCGGATGTGAAGAGTAAGGCAGTATCATTTTCTTCTGAAGGAACATTTACTGTTCACGTAACGACCGAAGCCATGTCTCTGTCACAAGCTCAAGTCCTCGGTGTTGGAGACAGTCCCACGGATGTGACTGGGCAGCCGAAAGATATCTTGTTCACGGTCTCAACTCCAGCAGCAAACATGGTCCAATCGTTAAATTCTAAAATTCTCCATGAGGACTTGATGCACTCGAAAGCCCTGGAATTGAATGACGAAGTCCTCCCAGAGGAAGGGGCTCCGAGCAAAACGGCAAAAGGGTCGTCCTTGGACTACGGTGGGTTTCTATCAAACTTTCAAAATCATGAGCCTTCTATAAATATACAGTCACTAGAATCAGTACCTACCAGCATTAGGTATGAGGAAAATGTTGCAGCAGTAACTACAACGGGTCATGAGATGGAGGGACCGTTGACAAGCGCACTGAATGTATCTGTTGCTGCCGCTAGCTTACAGGGAATGGAAACGAGCCTATCCTCTTTTCAATCTACTGATATAGTTCCACCAACAGCAGAAGCAACAGCAACCGGCGCTCCACAATCGTTGGCCAATAACGAACCCACAATGGCACGGAGCCGATCTTCACAGCGGCTTCCACGACAGAGTTGGATGTCAACAATGGGAGCCATATCGGGTGCTGCGGTGGTGTTTGCTTGTATTATCTTCTTACATAGGCCTTGCCATAGATGGATCTGCAAGTCTGGAAAAAGTAAAGCTAGCAATGTTCACATTTCACAAGGACTGGGTGGTAGAACCTCACAAAGGACGTCGCCATATCTTGGAAATCCGGAAATCTCGCGTTTCTCAGCTGATTCCTCATGTTGTCGATAATCAATATAACGTGGCTTCTATCAATAACTTGAATTGATATTAAGTGTGTTACAGTAGTTTTCGAAATCAGCTATACCTCCGTACTCTTGCTTCTTGATTCGGAGAAACTAATTCCGACATCCGCTGTGCCCCTTTAGCTCACCGCCTTATAGCTCTGGCAGAACCGCGATCGTAATGATTGTATTGCTATAATGAAGTCATCGTCATAGCACCATAAAATGACTAACGACAACGACCAACGGCCACAACTCTTTGAAAGCTTGTGACTCTAGCTCTAATAGCAACGTACGCATGTGCTCGTCAGCATCTGTCGAAGAATTTCGCAAATTGCTTACCGTCCAGGAAGCAAACCAGATCTGCCACCAATTCCACGACGGTCAGTGGCTCCCAGGATGCCAGGTCATGTGGAGTGGAGTATGCCGTCAACTTGTACAAAGTTGGGCCGATAGGAATGGAATGCAGACATTAACTACGGCGATGGGGTCTTTGATGATTCATGAGCATCCGCAATGCTTATGGTCCCGAAAATCAAGCAAGCAATGGAGCAAGTACATGAAAGGCGCATCTGCTATGTTCGCCTATCACATTGCGCAAGATGGGGATGTAGTCACCGTTCTATCACCGCCTCCTCCAGACAGATACAATCCGTACGGTGGGTCTAATTACCAGACTCTTGAGGAGCCGATCCTGAAGGGAAAACTGGGGCCCAGAGTCGCGAAGATCGAAATGGTTCATCCGAATATATTAGGTGCCCAGGATTTCCGATATCAACTATGGCCGCAAGATCAGAAGAATACCTGGTGTGATATGTTTGGGCACCCTTCGGCTAACATCCACTGGCGCCATGTGGCAGCACACCGATCATTGCTGTAACAAGGCTAACTTGGATATGTGAGCTTTACAGGATGCCTTTTCTACTCGACAAAAGTGAACAAAAAGTCACAGTCGCTGACCACTGAGCTTTCATCGAGCCAGAATCCGGGTATATCACCGAAGCGGTGCAACAAGGTCAGGTTTCCAAAATGATTCATTTGCTGCCTGTTGAATCACTGCAAAATATTGCGGGACGCAAAGATTATCTTCGTCTTTCTTCTCTCAACTTTCCCCACTTGAACGGTCATGCCACGTCTGTGCTTTCGGTTTGGTTTGAGATTGGTATCATATCTGTTTAACAAGTTAGTTCGATATCCCTAGTTGGAGTATATAAGGAATGAAAATACCACTTCAATCTTGCGAAATCATCAGTTCCGCTACACAACACAGCAAGCAGCAAATGACTCATTTTTGAAACCTAAAGACGAAAGCGATGGCATTGGACTGCTATATGAATATATTACGATGTCGCTACGTGACAAGAAACCACATGGCATGATGACATGATGACATGGGATTAGAGACTGAAATGTCGCAGGCAGCCGGATGGTGACGGAGGAAATTGGCCTTCGCCGTGGATTGAGTGGATAGCATGTTATAGCACTTTCCTGTAAAATACATCAGCTGTGTCTTAGTACTGTATTGTAATTTACACCTACCACTTCGGAAAGCGGTCTGAAAGGCGGAGGCTTGTTTCATATCCAATCGGAACTTACTGTCACCGGATTTATTTTCCGGGAATCAAGTCACAAGAATGCGGAGGTATAGCTGATTTCGAATACTACTGTACCGCGGATATCATCATAATAGAGGACTTTTGAATGTATGAAACAGGGAAAACCAGAAAACCACATGTAAACGCTAGTCCATAATCCAAAGAAACTAGACAGCCCCTGAGAGTCCACGCAGTCAACGCAAGAGATATCATATAAGCTCGGGCTTTTGTGGTCATCATGCACATTATCAAAGGATTTTGGCTCAATGATAGATCAACTGAGCTTGTTAGTGGCATAAAGAGAATTGAAATTTTGTTAGCATACGCATTTACCGTTGCAACAGCACAAATTTTGTGTTGGAAAACAAAAGGCTATTCGGTAGCGCAACACTAGAAGATGGCCTAAACTGAGGGGGTGTTTAATGGTCTCACTGTCAACTAAGCAGGGCCCCCTCCCCCCTGTTAAGATGATAGGCCATATCTTTCTGGGCCGCCAAGCCTCACTCAAAGCTGGAAATATATGAGGCATAAACGAAGCTTTCTCACTACCTTTCCTGAACCGTCGAGCCCCTCAGCGTCCAGAGACCGTATATGGCACCATTTGAGAGCCGAGTCAAACAGGAGCAGCTTCGCAAGCGCCGGAACAATCTCCTCCGTCGACATAATGACTTTTGGCGCTTATATTCCATCCGAAGCTGGCTGACAATGCAAATGCCAAACGGGCGGATCTATACATACCATTCGCATCCCCATGTCCCAGTGCCAAATGGAGATCAGATAGTAAGATCTCACTTTGAGTGGTTGAGCTAGCGCTTTCCCAATGCTGATATTTCCAGCCCGCGGTGCATAAAACACCAAGAGATTACACATGTAGTAGTTTGGCCAGATTCGTTATACCCAAACCCCCTGATATAGTTCTTCCCAGCCGTCGCGATGATCTGTGGATTGCCTTGTCTCATTATCTGAAGAGACACCGAGATTTGCTTTAGACAATTATTGAAACTATCAAATAACTTTATCAAATAACTTTACATGTTTTGCGTTGACAAAACACTGATTCGAGTTACAATATGTGTGTGTGTGTATAAAAGTTCATTTACCTCGACCCCTCGCCCAAGTTGGTAATGGACAGCCATAAGTAGCCGCGGTAGTCCTTGCCCCGAAATCGATGCACATCGATCTCCCACCTGACCAATGAAAATCGCTAGACTTGCGTATCTATTCGAACCCAGCCAGTACAGCACCACCTCAAATTCGGTTTCTCTTCAAATATTTTAGTGTGTTGCTCTTGTTTTTCTATCGCAATTATGGTCCAAGATTACGTCAAAGAGTTTAGCGAGTTTCGCTTTTGGTGACACTACCGTTAATCGCGCTCCAGCCGTGGCTGTTACTTCCTCTACCCTGTAATGCGGATGAGTTCGGCGTTATGTCTTCTTTTTTGCTGCGAAGGAAAACTGGTCAATCCTTGAATCGTCTGACTTGAATAGAAACATAGGTTGTAAGGCCATACTAGACGAGAGATTGATGTGCATACACTCATTCTCGAAATCGCCTTGACCAATACACACACAGTAACTCTTTTGTGGCCCCACCGCCAAGGCCTTAGCGCAGATCAATCATTGAGCGGGCTGCATTAAATCGAGGGACATCGTAAAATGCACCGTGTATGGTACTGTATCCTTCTACTTTGTAATATTATCCCTTCACCCCGCAGCATTTGTCATTTTAGCGGTAACTTTCAACCTGTAAATATTACTGGTTGGTGGACCCCACCGGCTTCTTATATAATTCTATCCTATCTTGAATAAGTTAGTTCCAATTTTGCAAATTCGCACGCACTTTTCTTTATGATTTCCAGCCATTATAGTAGGCCATGTGGAAATAGCGAAACCAGTGTGTGTGTTATTATATCAAATGGTCTGTGCACAACAGGCAGAAAACATCGCTAAAATGACAAAGTTACTTGCCAGGTGAAGGGATAGTGGATCTCTGCAAATCACGTGGGAAATGCCACCTGGCGCATGGTAACTTGATGATCCGAGCCTCACCTCAACCCAGCCCCAGTCTGGCTTTTTACTTTTTTCCCTCCGATTCACTCCCCCTAAAAAGCACAGCATACCCACCCGGTACGATGGAGTGCAGCTCCGAAGACGAACGAAGCTCCAGCTCAAAGGTTCCGCTTAAAGATCACCTCGCGACCATCCAACGCCCCGCGACCAGCGATGCTCTCGCTAAAAAATACCACCAAGAGTTTCTGAGCAGACAAGATCCAGTATTTCTCAACGCGGCAATTCGATGTGCTAGGTGGACGGTCAACATCTGTCCACCCGACAATTCCCGCGCACCTCGCTACTGCGTCCGAGTAGCTACGTATCTTGAGTCACGAGATCGACGGTTCAAATCACCATACAATAACGATCTCATCGAAGCTCTCGAGTATCTAGACCTGGCAAGCTACAGCACTCATGTAGGCAGCGAGGCCGCACGAGAAAAGGCCCAGCGCCTGCAGATCGCGCTCCTTTGCCATCAGAGGCTGTATCTGAATGGAGATGATATAACAGATTTCGAACATGTCGTTGGGATTATGCAGGATGCCGCTGCGGCGTGGGAGATCGTAGACGACAAGAATAAGATCTCTCTGGTCTATTTTGATCTTGCACATATGTACAACATCCAATCAAAGACTTGCGAAGAAAAAGGCGAAGGGGGGAATCTCAGCCTTTTGGACCGCGCCGTCGAATGCATAGAGAAGGCCGTGGAGGCTATACTTGTGAGAAATGAACGTTGGGTCGACTATAATGAGAAAAAGATCGATTATCTTATGCTTCGGGCAAAACACAACAAAGCTACTGCAGAGGATGATTATCGTGCTGCTATCGATACCTGTCGGATGCTAATGGATGATTGCGACGAGTCGGAGAATTTCTCACAAAACATAAAGGCGCATTTTCAATGTTTTATGGGCCGGTTGTATTACTTTCTGGCGACAGTGACAGATGAGAATGATGACCTTCATCAAGCTACGTACAATTTGCAGCGAGCGAGTGAGGATACGCCGCGTGAGGACCCGGAGTGGGAGGATCGTTTCGAGATGTTTCACGACGTGCTAGAGGCGTATACTGTGAAGTTGGGAAAGCCTATTCGACATAACTCTTTAATCCGGACGCAGCGGGAAAAGGTTCGCGAACTTCTAGAGTCTGAGAAAGAGGAAGATCAGGGTGAACCACAGGCAGAGGCCCTATATACCCTGTCGGTGTTGCATCAGCACCGCTACATCAGCCGTCACGCGGAGGAGGACTTGATTATTACCACAGAACGTCTTCAAGAGGCGGTTGCCAAAACATCCGAGTCCGATTATACAAATCTCCTTCAACGCCTGGGGCTCGCGGCTGACTGCTACCATGTTCTATATGGCGATGAGGGTGATCCGAAGTATCTGAGAATGGGGGTTAAAACAGGCGAGAGGGCAGTGGAGGTGGTGAATAGAGCTAGAAATAGCGTGGGTAGCCGGAAAAAGGGAGGAATATATTATACGCTTGGGCGTTGTTTAGCTGAGCTGGCTAAGGAAGAGAATGACGATGAGTTGATGCAAAGGGCGGTTCGCGCTGGTGAGTCTGCGGTAGAGTTATTGGAGGAAGGGGATGATGACGAGGAGGATGAGGATGGTCGGAGGAAACAGTATCACAAGTATCTTTCTTGTCTTGAGATGTGGAGAGAGTCACTATGATCATGGATTTATAGTTTGAGTTGTGGAATCTATTTCAGGTGCCAGTAGTAGTGTTTTGGCAACGTAATGCAGCCAGCTCATCGTCGAGCACAGGTATCGAGCGAATATATGTCAACCTTAAGACATTTTCAATGAGACACCTGACCGATTTCGCTGTGGTTGCTAAGGGGATTTCCCTTGCTCTCCCAGGGACCTGCCTGGTCTCACTGCGACGCTATACATGCTACTATTGGTCCTGCCTATACGAAGAGATGACTCTGGATGTATAATTAGGGTGAGGCGACTCGCACGACACGCTTAACCTCTTTTGGGAATGCCAAGAAAAGGTACCTCAAGTAATCTCGACATCTGGATAAATAATGTCAAGCTCTTTACTATGCATAATCCCATACATAAGCGCACCTAATCTTTCCTTCGCTGTCGCCGGCCCTACCACGTGATTTCGCCGCACATTTTTCCGAAGGTGAGGTCCACTAGCTAGTAATATTTACAGGCTGAAAATTACCGCTAAAATGACAAATGCTGTGGGGTGAAGGGATAATATTACAAAGTAGAAGGATACAGTACCATACACGGTGCATTTTACGATGTCCCTCGATTTAATGCAGCTCGCTCAATGATTGATCTGCGCTAAGGCCTTGGCGGTGGGGCCACAAAAGAGTTACTGTGTGTGTATTGGTCTAGGCGATTTCGAGAATGACTGTATCTACATATATGTGAAAGGTTGCTAATCGAAGTCTTTATTTTTTCTAGTCTACTCCGAATGTTGGAACTGTCTCATAGAGTATCATCTTGCCTCAGCACTAGTCTCAAGTTCGCAACCCATAGTATATGTAAGCTTTCCCCAGTAATTTTCGACCTGAAAGGGATACTGCTGTCAAAGTTGTAGAAAAGTAGCGGAGGCTTAGTATTTCAGCTATTGCGGGGTTTTCTTACCATCAAAGTGCACGACATCGGCGATTGTAGTTTGAAACCATAGAGAAGGAGCTGGTAGATCTCTACTATTTGATCAGACTTGCCCTTGATCCCGATATTGGTGGTAATGCTGATGTCTAAGTCTGGGACAGAAAGATATTTGGGAGGCATTGACTGCCTGCTGTCTCAGCCATTGAACGCTGGGATTGATGGTGCGGACCTGCAACTTACTGTCCCTCGTAGAAATTTCCTTTTTTTGGCTGGGAGTGTGGAAATGCATTGGACGGGACTCCTTCATCCCAGTTAGCCGGTGCAGCTTTAGCAATTAGTAGCTACTATCTCACTATGTTTCTATCCCAAGAAGTAAGCACCTCTGGGTGAATGACAAGAGCAGGAATCTATGAGGCTGTCACCATCTGATCCTCTGGTAATGATTAAGAATTTACCACGTTGATGGCCAACGCCAGGATTGCCCAAAAGAATATTCTAGAAGCCATCGCTTCCATAGAGGTCTGTTCGCCTGGGACAGTTATTCAGCTTCAATGAGAGACACGTCAATGGGAGAGGCTTCTTATATCCAAAAGCGTCTCAGTTGATAACTCCAGATAATGTTGACTCCAGCCACAGTTGATCCCTGGCCGGTGAAAACAATCTGCTGGTTGCTCAGATAATTGAGCTGCGGGATTATGGCTGAAGTCCTCATACAAACGGGTGCTCCGATTGTGCACAATCTGCATCACAAAAGAATGCTGGGATCTTTCTTGACCGGAAACAATTGGTCATCAGAATGAAGCACTGTGGTGAAAAATCCCATCAAACTAGATATCCAAAGGCCGCTTTCAATGTTTATAAATACACTGACAACCATGCCAACGCCTAAATATCTTTCCTTGTGATCTATTGTCCATATAAAAGAAGCGATCATGGCAGATATTTATGAATACGTGGTTGAGGGCGATGAAGCATTATGGAGCGACACCCCTTTTAGCTCTATCGACCCCGACCATCAAAGCGGCTCGCATCCAGTCGACTCTGAGGCCAGCTCCGAGTACATATCGTCGGAAACGAGTGAAGATCGGGCTTTTATTGTATCTGAGTCAGACGAATCAGATCAAATGTCAGAAAAGACCAGCAATGCTTCTGGAACTGATGCCTCAGCCTGTAGTCCTTTCACAGACGAGCTACAAAGCGAAACATCCGAGGTAAACCTTGACTGATTCATTTTATGCCATATTTGACTGATATACATAGGAGCCACCCGTTTCTCGTCTGGTACCAATAAAAACAATGGGACGAAAGAATATATCTTGCGATGGCCGCCAAGTATCGCACTACCTTGTTCTGTGGTATTCCTGGGAGAGCGCGGATACTATGCCGGAGCTTTAATTGATGTAAACAACAGTCTTTCTTTCTATATCTGCGTTATACAGTGACATTCGAAATCGGTTTTGCAATCAATCTCTCTCTTTTCTTTCGGGGCGCCACCTAACAGCACTAGTCTGTATCAGGATACCTTTCCGCAGGCCTTGCATCTGACAATGTACTTTCGACGAGCTTCCGTAAATTACATTAATATTACCTCTTAGCATTTTTAAATATCCTTGCCTGTCTGTCACCCACACCGTGACGTGGAACTGGCAGTGCAAATAAACAGTTCTTTGCGAGGTACGTTATCTTTCATATGGGATTCTCTTCAGGCTGACGTTCCTTTCTTATGAATATGTTGATAACGCGACCAGTTACAATGACCATCACCGATTTGAAATCTTCCGAAATGGCTGATTGCCTCCAGACAAACGATCTGTTCGGTGTGGCTATTCTCATCCATAGAGCAACTTACGTATCCAGTCTTCCAAAACATCCAAGTGCCTAAATCAAAACGACCGAATCCGCGCGAATGGCGTTGAAAGATGAGCTTATCAACTTGGCGATTGAGTCTCCGCAGATTAGACATCTTGGCTCGGATGCTCGCTGGCTTCAAGCTGCCCTAGAGCAAAATCTCCGTGATTTAGCAGGGTAGATTGTGTGACGCTTGGACTGCTTCGGCGTGGTTTTCCCCACGGGTTTTCCTACGTTCATTACTCAAATACGGGAGCAATGTATACACAATGTTGCTGTTTGCTGCATGTGCAAGCAAGGATCATTTGATAGTTTGTACTAGTATTTGACATATTTCGGAATTGTCTTATGGTCGTAGTCGTACGTACTAAGTTAGACTTGAAGTTTCCGGATATCAGCAGAGCTTAGCTCAAGATCAATTTTTGTCGCCGGTTACGCTGAAAGAGACACGCTGAGAACTACCGTCAGAAATGGATTTCAACGACAGTTTGCGACATGGAAGATTTCACATAAACTTGGCTTACTTATAGGATGTCGATAGGACCGAGGAATACTCGTTAATCATATCTGTGTACGCGCTTATGCTGATTAACCCATAATGGGGCACGTTACCCAATCTATTTTGATAATATATTGGTCCGTTCAAAAGATCAATTGAAATAGTGTGAATGGTTTATACAAGTAGGGCGACAACGCGCTGAAATCGCGTCGAAGCCAGGCGTCAAACAATGCCAGCCGCACCGAAATCAACGCCGCTGAATATGTTGAATATTCCCAACTGTCTCTTAATCCACACCACAAAAGACATTTCGATTATTCGAGACATGCACCTATCAGGAAGAAGGGCCACCTTTACCTTATCTTTCCGCTAGCCAACCAACGCAGACTGTACTTGGATCGGGGAAAACCAACTACATGTAGTCACTCATCTGACAAGAGCTTTTGTCACAGCTTTGGAGGATGCCGAGTATTCCCTGGTGTACCGAGCAGAAATTCTGGTGATGTTTCCATAGCAGCCATTGCTGAAAGCTACAGACCTGCCGGAGATGTTCGTTCTCCCCTACCAACCATGCGTTCGAGACTTGGAGCAAGCGACGATCTTTCTCCATGCGTACTTTACTGGCGTATTCCATCACGTAGCAATCCCACAAGCACTGATAAAGTTCCACGAGGTGTATAGCCTGAGAAGCTAGAGCTGGATCTGCGCGCAGCAATTGGTCTATCTCGTTTCGCAGCGAGTGAGCCTTGGTGACCGAGGATGACTGGATTTGCATTAGATCTGTCAGGAATGGAAGCACGGAAATGTAACCTTGATTTTTGTCAACTTGACAGGCACCCCGGGGCTCGTTCCCCGCCTGCTTCCGCTTTGCCTAGGAGGTCCAGACTCATCGGGATTTGTGAATTCACGTCTTCTTTTCACTGGCCGTCCTGACTCGGATTGAGTGACTGGTATATCCATGAGAGGAAGAGGCACTGTTACTTGAAATGAGACCAAACGTAGACAGCCAGCTTCGATCTCCAGACCTGCGTCTCTTTATAATCAGGATGGCGTGGCCTGGCCTCCTTCTTGTCTCGACATGATGTATAGGTGACCGGATCCACGCAGTAAAGAAATGTCATTCAACAGCCCAGCAAAGCACTCCTGAGAAATACCCAATCATCTCAATTCACCAGATAAAAATAGGGAATATACCATGCGTTGAGAAATAGACAGGGATAATGAGGGGGATGGAAAACAATTGACGTAAGCTGTAGGCAAAGGACCAACGGCTGGAATAGTGAATGCGAGGGATAAAACGGTCGTTGCAAATACGAAGCTTATACCATGTGTTACAGAAATATATGTCAAAATAGTCAAGTAATAGAGGTAGTAAAGAGTCCATGCTAACTCCATATCATAAAAGCTGCTGGAGCCCTCAGCCTTTCTCTATAGCACTACAACTTTAAAATACTGGCACCTAAAATAGACTCCATGTATACATATTTTGAATCATATGATCGTCCTGGGAACATCATTTGGAATGTTGCACTGAGACTAAGCCAGAATATTTGCCCATTTCTGTTGGCAATTTGGTATGGCTATTACGATTATTATCATAAACCGGTAGCTAATTAAACAGCTTTTTGTTCCTCCCATGGAGTTTGCAGCCCGACCATATGTGGCCAGCTGGCAACGGCCAGCCTATGACTGTCGCAATAGCAGTTATGGTGTGCTTTGTGTTTTTGTGCTCGTCCATGCCTTTCTTTAGTCGCCAGTGCCGAGTGCATCATAACTGCGAACTTAAGATAATGTTGAAGTATGTACTGCTCTCGATTGGATGGTTTACGGTGTACTATATAACTAATCCTACATGATGCTTAGTTCTTGTTATGATGCTAGCAAAATGGGCTATTTCAATATGTCCATATTCATGCTTTTTACTCCACCATCATCTTTGTTCGCTGCATTATGTGGTTGGATCTTGGCAATTGCTGTTATGTTAGGCTATATCATAATGCACTTTATCCTGGAGGATGAGTAAGAAGCTGATAGTCAATACAATTTGGTAAACCTTTTACTGTATAGACAAATATATCTGCCAAATCAGTGTAGTAGGCAGTCTTTAATGTAAATTGAAAAGGCGTATCATCCGTCGGTATTGAACTACATGCTGGAGCGAATTTATACTAACGCGTTGAAAAGTAGAGCTGGGGAAGAGCTACTGTAATCTGTTTTCGCATTCTATTGTATGATGCCTTCTATGTATTCTAGGTCTACAGATTTTGGACATCATATCAAAAGTAAGCCAATTGGCTAATTTACAAGCTAGTATGTTTCTGACAGCTTCCGAGCTTAATTTTAACCCAAAATAATAGCTGCAGTCAAAGCGGTGGGCTACTTAAGTATTGAGGGTGGCAATTACCGACGGTGTTCGTCAGCTTCGTACATAGTCTATTTAAACGGAAAAAAATTTCTCGATCGAGCTGCATCCATTATCTGATGGTTGAAATTTGATGGCATAGGTTCATGTGTCAGTTATTGATGGGTGTGAAATAGACCGAGGGTAAGCCTGTAAGCCCAAGAAAAGTTATCGCTGACCGCCACATAAATGATGCCCGCCCTGAATTGGGTACCTGTCTTCCAAGCGTGGCCAAATTCCGTGGTGACACCGGCCTACCACCCTCTCTTAGCCACCCACTAGAAGCGCCATTTTTTAATTATTACATGATGTTTACCCTGATCCACCATGATGCTTCCCTAACAAATTTGCGTTGATCAGGTCTTAGGGAGTATACATGGACTGGGGCGGCGTCCGATTCAACTGCCGCTTCGCTCTTGCTGCTCAACTTAAAGAAGGGGCTCCCCTCATGTCATCGCTCCAAACAGTAAATAATCAACAACCTACATGGCCGACTCAAGAGCCCAGGTGCTGCGCGACTTCGCAATTCTCACCATAATCAATGTCTTTGGGCTGTTTTACTTTTACCTTTCTGTGATTCATTTCTTGGTCTTCCATTTCCCCTCATCCCCAGGGGGGATTTTAGATTCACTGTCGGTGCTGGCCTTTTGCGCTGGTGTCATCCTCGTTTGGAGCTACTTTAGTCTTGATTTGGGCGACCACGATTCCTTCGGTAACTTTGCTTTCCGCACCAAGCCCTACTTCCAGCTCGGATATTTATCTGTCTTTACTGTCGTTGCTGTCGGGATTTTGGTGGATTTTGTGAACTGGGAACCTAGTATCTGTGCAGCGCGGTACAGATTTCCGTACAGCTGTGTCTCACTGGGCCTACTTTCGCTGACGCTGATACCAACCATTCATGCCCTGGCTGGGACGTTCCAAAGTCCGCCTGCATCGGCGGTACACTTTGGCAGAATTGCCATCTGGAATCCTTTTGGCGCTGTGTTTTATCTGCTTCGTCCGTTAGAAAGGTTTGGCGTGGTGACCGGGTGGCGGCCTAGTCTTTATGTGGTGCAACTTGTCCTGGCCTACAGCGCCGTCACTTATTCGAGGATTATTTTACGTGTGGTGCTTCAAAGCGCATCTTAGCCTTCATTGGGTTCTGGAGTAAGAGTGGCATCTGCAAACTAGGAAGATTGCTAACATCCTGAAGGCCTGGATGGACTGGTCGTTCGTTGGTATGCAGGCTACAAGAACATATATATTTCTTAATGTACATGTTGTGCACCACTTTTAGAGCCTCGCAGAGGCCTTCCGTGGTCAATAGCCCTTGTTGTTTTCATGTTACCCATATGGCGTGTGGCTTCGAAATCGTTGCGATGCCTCGGCGAAATCCAAGACAGCTTCCACTGTCTTGGTCCGTGAAGCACAGTTAATCTTATCTCTTCCCTCTTCACCCGGTCCTCCCAACAGGTTCGACATGCTGTTGAACGCGTTGCCAATCTTTCTTCGGAGTTCTTGTCGTAATTCTCTCAATCGCTGGCAATTCAACGACACGTGGTGGATGCTTTTCGGTTGGCCAGAGACAGGCGTCATCTCGGAATCAGAAAGCCCTGGCGTATGTTGATAGCCAGGCAGTGCCCAGTTCACAACTGCCTTAGTAAGTAGGCACGGTTTTTAGGTAGGGATCCGCGGAGCCCTCTAGTGTATTTGGCCGGCACTGTGTTATCGATCTGGCGCAGGTAGTTGCCAGTTCACGACGCTTTCCATTGGCCAGCAGATCGGCGGTGTCATTTTTCGGCATTGAGCAGTGTCCGGGTATCCACTATCGATGTGCCGCCGGTCTTTAACTGGAATGCTGCAGTCGCTGGTTGGTGAGTCGTATGTTGTTGTTTGTTCCTCCACCGTTCCTACACCGCGATGATATCCGCCGATAAGACTTTCTGTCCCTAAGAAACGTGGCCACCACAGATCACGACTTGTGTGCGTTATACTGAAGTATTTCGATCGACTTCATGGATGGATGGGTTCGTCATCGCTAGGTTCGCTAGCTTCGTACCACACACCATCAGCTGGGTCCTCATCTGTGGGTGCATCGGTCGTGATCGCGGGGGGATAGGATCTGACTGCACGAACTGCATTTGATTTTATTCGAGGGTAATGAGTTTCGGATATTCTGGGTTCTCTTGAGTCCAGATTCTCTAGACCAGGTTCTGGTGTAGTGTTGTCGTTGGTCGTTGCGACGTCGTTGGTGAACTAAGTGAGCTCTTCTTCAAGGCTATCCTCGTGGCGGATGTCATGAGGGGAACCCGTCTGAGAGGATTGGCTGTCGAAGCAGTTGCCATTGTCCGACTGTTCGTTCATATTATCCTCCGGTTCACCCACGCGGTGCGTCGAACCGGTATGCTCCTCGCGCAGCCCTCTGAGAGGCCATTTGGGACCTCGTCAATCGCTGATTTGGTGATACCATCGTGTTAGTTTGCCCCGGAGGCAGTTGCGCTTGGACTTTGGGTCTGGTTCTTGAGTCCTTTGGGCGACCCGGACCTCTTCTGGGTTTGGTGAATTTGATTATCTCCTCAATTGAAGTCCCTGGCTCAGTTGGTTCAGGTTCCAGGTCCATTGTAAGGCGCCGAGGGCTACGATACGTTAATCACGGGAAGCTCTATGCCTAGGTGTCTGTGGGACCTGATGGTCTAATCGAGGGTCTGGTGACGGCTCGCCATAGTTGGTAGGTAAGTGCGTTGTATAGGAAGGGTAATTTGAGAGGGAAGAAAATTTAAGCGGGAATAGGTGAACTAGGGAGGTATTACTGAAGACTATTCTAGACTAAGAAGGTAGTTGCAAAATGTAATAAGCCACAAACTAGGGGTGGAATTTCCACACTAACATTATCAATGCGTAGACCTGTGTAGATTTGGTGCGAAATTGAGGATCTCGAGCCTTGGGATGGGGATACAGAGTGAGCTAAGAGGGCTAGAGTGGGCTAGACTGTAACTGCACTTCCAGGCTACCAGAGTGCTTACTGCAAAGGATACAGAAGTAGCAGGCTGACGGCAGAAAATTGACTCGGGCGGTGCGAATGTCGGACGGCCTCAGCAAGCCGCGCCTATAATTTGCTGCGGCAGGCAAAACTCTCGATAAGGTGCTTCGGGTGGAGCAGGGGGTCAACCAGTGCCGACGATGCTGAGGTGTCGATATTTCCCGGACAGATGTCGCCCCCACCAATTTCACAGTGCAGCCATCCTTTGTGGCCATTCCAGAGGAAGCCGACTCGGGCGAATAGAAGATGGTGATTTCCTGTATCTCCGCAGAGTTGCGGGCTCATGTACCGCAGCTGTTGGCTAGGGGTTGCGATAGTAGAGTGGCTGAAGTCACATCAGAAGTGGGGATAGACTCCCTAAATGACAATTGAAGGTAGTTCCAAAAAATTGGAAAGCAGAAAAAGTTGCATTTAGCGCGATCAATTCATCTGGCTCGATTGTTGAGGGATACGTCGGAGTAGCCCAAGGATCCAGCTGCGCAGATTCCACATTCAGGCCAAAATCCACGCCCGCTATGTTTTCGCTGTGGTTCAGGGGAGGGGGAAAAACCAACGTGGAATCAAGAAAATGCCGAGAATCGCCAGATTATCGACTTCACGACTTCACTCTCCGTTGTCTCAACCATGCCACCGTAAATCGGCGGCTGAGTTCGGTGTCTACCACGAAGACAGAAGTCAAATCCCGCCACAAAAGTCAATTCCAGCTAGAACATACACGCCCCTAATGAATAGGCTACCAAAGCTGCTTCGGTTAAACTATTCATGTAATATCAACATGCCTAGTGCATGGGCCCCGCCCCGAAATGCTTCGAAAAGCTTGTCCGAGCTGATAAACAAAGTTCAGGCAACCATGCCGCGAAGCGCCATGTGGAGAGAAATCCGGCATCCCACGTACAACCCACACAGTTCAACATAACTAAGTATAGTCAAAGTTTGTCGAAGTGTTCCACGCGAGGATTTCATGTTCTTATGATTTTTGGGTTTAAAACTGCAACATGTTTCTGATCGGGGTTTTGTGGCGAGAACATGGTGCTTCCTCGTAAGGCGCCGCATGAAATGCGGGACATATTAGCACCGTTTATAACGCATGTCAGTAAGCCTTCTTATTGGCAGAAAGGCCCGAAGGATAAATACTAATGAAACGGCGAGGGCCATCCTACCAATAAGTTATGTATTGTCCAAGGTCAAATGCCCCTATTTCCTAGGAGGAGATAAAATCGCGCCAACGAAATACAGCGTACCAGTCGAACATCCCACTGCCGATCCCCTGAAGGCAAGACTCCCTTATCATTATCTCGACGCACGCCATGGAGAATAGGCGGTGCGGAAAACTCAAAAGATTTGGCATGGAACTTTTTGTGAGCAGGAAGGAATGAATGAGAACAATGGTTCAGCCGCCTGAGCATTTGTTTATAAATGTACCCCTCCTCGATCGTGGCTGCGCGCTACGGAGCGTGGAAGAAGAGTACTTTGATTCTTTGGTAAGGGATCCGAATACACGCGTGATCCTGGCCAACCAGACGTCTCCTCGGTGCGTCCAAGGAGTCTGGCCGCATCCGGAAGTATTTTGCGATACGCTACGTAAAAAGTAGTCTGAAAGTTACCCTAATGTGGGAATCCAACAGCAGGTCGACGACCACATACATTACGGTGGGCACTGGTTCGGGTTCGGGTCAAAAGCGCCCCCCTTGACTCACTCAAAACCCTTTATGGCCGGATTCCGTTAATCGGAGGAATAATTTTGACGCCGCGGCGTTCCGCAAGACCGTGTCTTTGCCACTCCGAGGTTGAATGAAGCCTTCGTTTTGGGTGCCACGGATCCCCGCATATATCCCCCGTCCCTGTGACAAGGTACTGGCAGTGTTTGCTTACTTTAAGAGCTTTCCCGCAAAACTCCTTGACAGTGAGCCTCATTTTCTGTTATCCTCGATTTCCTAAAATTGCACACCAAGGTTTTACCATGGCGGGCGGCTCAAAGAAACCAGTCAATATCTTCAGGTTGAAGAATCTACCTGAGCCACGAGAGGTCTTCAACTGGAGACTGTGGTTTGCCGTAATATCCTTCGGCCTCATGGGTGCAGCTCGTGGCGTTGATGAGGGTTTGATCTCAGGCGCCTTCAATTCTAAGGATTTCCAGAATACCATCCATTACAGCTCATACAGCCTGGTGGAACAGACAAATATCAAGGCCAATGTCTCCGCTATGGTTCAGATTGGCTCGGTCGGTGGTGCCCTCTTGTATGCTCCCATGCCATTTCATGATCATGACGCTTGCTCTGTCCCAGAGACTAACCACGTGTCCGCTGTTTCTGTTATAGCGCATTCCTAGTTTGTGATCGCATTGGCCGTCTCTGGGCGACCCGTCAACTGTGCGTTCTGTGGATTGTGGGTATTGCCATGTTTATGGGAGCAAATGGAAACTTAGGTGTTGTCTATGCCGGCCGATTTATTGCTGGCCTGGGTGTGGGGCAGACTGTCGTCGTTGCACCTGTCTACCTCGCTGAAATTGTAAGTTGATGGACTCTCAACATAGTGTCTCTTTTGCTTTGCTAATTACCTCCTACTCTAGGCCCCCGCATCCATTCGAGGTCTTTGTACTTGCGTCTTTACCGGTTTTGTGTACCTGGGAATCGTGCTTGCCTATTTTGCCAATTACGGCTGTCAGGTCAATATGGGCGATTCGACTCACAAACGATGGGTAAGGACTCGGTTGTGCCTGGTTAAAGCATTCATAATCAAATTGAGTAACCAGACTAACCTAACTCTTAGGAGGTACCTACTAGTCTTCACATCATGTTCGCCGGCATCATCTTTATCATGTCATTCTTCCAATATGAATCGCCTCGCTATCTTATCAAAGACGGTAAAGATGAGGCGGCATGCAAGACTCTTGCCCGCCTGCGCGGTCTTCCGGTTGATCACGAATATGTGGTCTCTGAAATCTCGGCTATTCAGATTGCACTGCAGACAGAAAAGGAGGCAACAATGGGAGCTGGCTGGTTTGGCATTCTCAAGGAGATATTCCTGGACACAAGTAACTTGTATCGACTCTATATCGCTTGCATGGGTCAGATTCTGTCTCAATGGTCCGGGGCTGGATCCATCACCCTCTACGCCCCTGATCTGTTTAAACTGCTCGGCGTTACTGGCTCCAATGAGTCGCTGCTAGTTACGGCCGTCTTTGGTATTGTCAAGCTGGCAGCAGCGGTCATCTGTGCTCTATTCCTTGTCGATGTCATCGGTCGTAAGCGCGCACTACTCGTCGGCATCACCCTGCAAGCCATCTCGATGATCTATACTGCCGCCTTCCTCACTGCTGTTCCCGAAATGGGCATAGTTAAAAAGTTTGTTCTGCCGGAGTCAAAGAAAGGCGCCAGTCGCGGTGCTATTGCCATGATTTTCATCTCCGGTTTTGGCTGGGCGCTCGGTTGGAACTCCATGCAATACTTGCTCACGGCCGAGCTATTTCCGCTGCGCATCCGTGCCTTGTCAACTTCACTGTCTATGACATTACACTTTGCCAATCAGTACGGTAGTTCACGAGCACTCCCAAACATGCTGCTGTCAACTGCCAATGGCGGCCTCACGCCTAAAGGTACTTTCTGGTTCTTTGCGGTAGTCACTGTCATTGGTGGTCTCTGGGTATGGTTCAGCTTGCCGGAGACCGCTGGACGGACACTGGAGAGCATGGATCGTCTGTTTCAGCTTCCTTGGTATAGGATCGGACTGCATGGCAATCAGGATGCCCAAGGCCGGGATGAGGTCATTTCAGAGAAGGAGAGGATGACTGAGGAAACGTACGCCACTGCGCAGCACGTCGAAGAAAAGACTGCAGACAGCTCCACCCGAGTCTAATTTACTTTTGTTTGTGGTTTGAGTACATTTCAGAGTTCGGAGGATTCCTGCAGTGTAGGTGGCCTTCAAGATTGATAGTTGGTTTGCTGAGCTGATGTGGATTATTGCACTGGAGGTAATTATAATTCCCTACATTATATAAATAATGCTTACATTCGAGAGATTGAACTTTTCATCATTGCCATCTCAACTATCTCCCTGCAGTCGACCGCGTGAACCACATGAAACACCCTAAGCTACTTCCGAACTCCCTATGTCAGACAGTACGTAATATTTAGATCGTGCGTTCCGAGATTGGCCGCTAAAGACTCATGCACTTTGTTTCTGAACGCGGAAGCAAACTTGCCGCCTGCCATTTTCTTTACCGGCAACTTGGATCTGGACAGCAAGACACGGCAGGACGGGTCATGACAGATAACCACCTAAGGCCCAAGAATCTTACGGATTGTGGCTGTGCCGTGTGGTGATCGATAAGGTCATTAGGGTGGATCAGCCCCAATCCGCTCGCTCGGTGTTCCAGGATGCGGCAAATACCAGGTTGGTCTTCAATTTGAGTTTATCACGTAGCCAGAAGTGGATACTGGGACGGTCCAATTTACCCAAGGTCTGTCTTCGTGCGAAAGGATTTGAATTTGCCAAGTAAAGTTCAACTGCCTCGTTAATTAAGATCATCATACCCGTGCCACAACGCCCCCACTGACCCAAGGAGGGGTTAGTGGGCACCGGTAGCATGATGATCCTATTCGAAACTTTTTATCTGATCCGAGAACCCTAGGAATGCCTCAGTGGGGTTGTTTCTGAGAAATCCTTCGTGGGTTGACGCATGGCTGTATTCTTCCGCAGCTTGGTGTAGCTTTTTCGATTTTCCTGGCTAACTACCTTTAATGTCCTTTATTGGAACCTCCAATCAAACATACAGCCTGATACCGGAAATGGCAAACTGATTTCAAAGTAATCTGGTATATTTTGTATAACTGTATTCTCAACTTCCCGCTATGCAGGTCACTGTCCACCCGCCTGATCGAAGATAACGAATAAGAGGCCACACGGATCAGAATGCTCCAATAGAAGGCAAAATTTGCTTGAGAGTGGAGTGTCTCGTCAATCCATTTACCAAAAGTGAGTATTTATTTGAACCCGGAGTGAATTTGAGTTTATGAAACTTGCCTTCTTTTACCGTTCTCCTGATGGCCTCCGTCTCTTCAACGCTAACATAGTCCCCTCAATCATTAGTATCACGGTAATCCCGCTTGTGGGACTAACTTGCTTATAGTTCCAACATCTTATTCCCGTGAGTCTTTCATTCGATTTCTCCCATGCCAGGTAATTTCCTGGCATTGGAAATTCCATAGATTTGGCTCACAGTTCAGAAACATGCTATCAAGGTTTTGTTCTAGAGGCGAAGGAATCCTGGTGTAGATGACGTTAAGAGTATATCGAGACTAATACCGCATCTATATGTTGCAGCAGAAAACATCCGGCAGTGTGGATATCGGAAAGACTAGAGTGAGAACGGACCGTGTCAAACGTTCAGATTCCATGGCTGAATACGAGGTGGGTATTAGTGAAGCAGCATGATTGGTTTATCTATAAATACCAAGAGCCTAGCGCCTCGGCAGTTGTCTAATTAGGAGTCAAGATTCACACGATGCAGATCAGATAAGATTGGATGACTGATTTATCGTCTGACTTGAAGATCTTTTTCTTCTTGGACTTTTTCACTTGGTATCCTTGGCCGAAGACTTTTCTTCTCAGCTCTAGCACTGAATTGTTTCTTTCTCAATTACTTCAGCTACGTGTGAGATTTGGTCTACGATGTCGCTCGTTACTGAGATCCCTGCCGGTCCCTCCTGCGGAGAGAAGAACAATGAATCTGCTGCGGTGCTTGACGATGTCAACTTACTCGGCAAGGGCAGCCCTGGTGTTCGTCGCATTGAAGTGATCACGTCGCATTTCCGAATGTTCGATCGAGTCTGCCTCTTCATTGCTATTTTCCTGATTGCTTATGTTTACGGTTTGGATGGAACAGTTCGCTACACATACCAGGTTCGTGATCTGGCACTTCACCTTGACATCGAAAAAGATGTCGAATGAATCTCAGGAAACATGCTAAGACAATTTATTGTCGGTAGGCTTATGCCACTCAGAGCTATGGTCAACACAGTTTGCTTGCTACCATCAATGTCTTGCGAGCCGTCATCGCTGCTGCCGCCCAGCCTACCGCGGCAAAAGTTGCCGATGTCTTCGGTAGAGCAGAGCTTATCGTTGTGTCGATCATCTTCTATACTGTGGGCACTGTTGTTGAAACCTGCGCGAAGAACGTGTCTGCCTTCGCCGCGGGCGCTGTGATATATCAGGTAATGATCCCGCTCATGCTCCGATGAGCCCCATCTAACAATTTACAGATTGGATATACCAGTATCATGCTTCTAGTCGAGGTCCTGATCGCTGACGTTACATCGTCTCGCTCTCGTCTCCTATTTTCCTACGTCCCGGCCCTGCCTTTCATCGTGAGTGATTAAACCTTTCAACACAACCCGACTTCATATTGATAGCATATAGATCAACACCTGGATCAGTGGTAACTTAACAGAGGCCGTTCTTAAGGTTACTACATGGCAGTGGGGAATCGGGATGTTCGCCATCATCTACCCTATGTGTGCTCTGCCTCTGCTAACGGTCCTCTTCGTGGTCCAGCGACGTTCAACGAAAGCCGGGGTGCTCGAGTCCTACAAGAGCTCTTTTGAGCTGCTGGGAGAAAAGCAGATGGTAGTGGAGCTCTTTTGGCATTTAGACGTTGTCGGTATCATTTTGATGATTGTCATGCTGGCTTGTATCCTTGTGCCATTTACCCTTGCTGGAGGCGTGACTGCACAGTGGAAGACTGCTAAGGTGATTGCGCCACTCGTTATTGGTTTCTTGTTGATTCCTGTCTGGGTTTACCGGGAGAGAACATGCAAGTACCCTATGGTGCCTTTCAAAGTAAGTCATTCTCCAATTATTATTTCCAACTGCCACTAACCACTTGTCCAGCTTCTTCAAGACCGTGCTGTCTGGGGTGCTCTTGGAATCCCTATTATGCTCAACACTGGTATGTCTGCCGATATCATCCGTTTGCCTCCTGTCTAATACTCTTCCAGCGTGGCACCTGCAAGGAGACTTCCTCTACACAGTCCTCTATGTCAGCTTCGATGAATCAATTCTCAGTGCGACTCGTATCACATCTCTTTACAGCTTTGTGTCCGTCATCACCGGTGTTATCCTTGGCTTCATCGTCATGAGGGTTCGCCAGTTGAAGCCGTTCATCGTGGCCGGAACACTCCTATTCATGGTTGCCTTCGGAATTCTGATTTACTACCGAGGTGGCGCTTCAAGCTCTAGTCAATCTGGCGTTATCGGTGCACAAGTCCTGCTGGGTATTGGTAAGTTATCACCTATTCATTTTAGATGTTGGACATGTCTAACAGGATTAGCCGGTGGAATGTTCCCCTACCCAGCGCAAGCCAGTATCCAGGTTGCTTCCAAGCATGAACGTGAGTTTCCTTGTTATCCAACTCTGGGAATCGCTCTAACAATTCTAGATCTCGCTGTGATTACCGGTCTCTACCTCGCCACCTATAACATCGGCAGCGCACTAGGCAACACAATCTCCGGCGCAATCTGGAACCAAGTCCTGCCCGGCGAACTCATTCGCAGACTCGGCAATGAGACACTGGCCGCCTATGTCTACGCTAAACCGCTCGTATTCGCGGCCGAAGCCCCTGTTGGCACGCCTGATCGGGATAACGTTATTCTTGCCTACCAACACACTCAGCGTCTGCTGTGTATCACTGGCATTTGTCTCACGGTGCCTTTGATTGCCTTCGCTCTGGTTATTCGTAACCCGACACTTACCAAGGAGCAGACTTTGGCGAAGGCGGAAGCTGAGAGCAGCGATTCTGAGTACTCTCCTTGAATAGGAGATTGACAACAACAGCTGAAACTGCGCGAGGGGACTTACAAACTGTATCTATGCGTGTTTTGGTTTGAACAGACCTAATCTGGCCCAAGTTACAAGTTTTACGATAACTATCTAGAATAAACAAGATTGAAACTACTATACAGGTTCTTTATCTCTCTCCACCGTAGCGGCCAGAGCTGACCTATTGTCCCGTCTCTGGATATATCTTCAAAGTGAAAGGACGACTTTTCATGCCGCAGCTACAGTATGCAAACCTCAGCTCGATCCTGTCTGAGACAGGACAGACATGAAATGTTATGTGAAACATCCAGATCCATGGACAAGGGCCAGATACGTGAGCGCAAAGAGCACGGAGCTCTTTGCCGACGCTTCTGCCCCTGGTCTTGACCACTGGAACATGTGAGTCACGAAATACCTCTCCGATCTATAAGCTAATGATGAGCATAAAGCCGTTGACAGCGCATCAGAATGAGCCACGATCCAGCATCCCCTCAGTGCTCTACCCAAAGCCATGGCTTACAGCCATTTCTGGTCCCGCCGCTTCGAATCATACAGCATGTCCTGGGTATGCAAATCAAGGCACCGAACCATCAGCATGGTGCGGACAGCCGATAGCGGAGCTCCTTGCGCAGGAATTTGAGACGTTCGTTCTTCCTGGTAAGGTGAGTAAGTTACCGCACCTCCTGCTGCGCAGAATCTAATTATTTGCGCCAAGGATTGTACCCCAACACACGAACACTGCTAATGTCCACATATCATGTAGAGCAATCACACTGTCACGTGGATAAAGTTTCGGTACAATTCAAAAAGAATTTGAAAAGTACTGTACTACAGTACCTACTGTTCACTATTTCCGCAGTCCCTGAGAGTGTTCTCCACCGTCGCGCCTATCAGCATGGCTAGCGGGTCTGTTGCTGAGCTCATGACGTACGTTGAGTACCTTTCCCTGAGACATAATGATTACGTTTAACTTAGTGTCCTCCAGGAACGAGGAGTATAAGCGAAAAGTCGAGCATTCGGTTGAGCCCGTTGTGGTCACTTTCCTTTCCTCTTTGGACGATAAGTGCAAGGCGGTCGCCTCGAAGATTGAGGAGCTAAGCAACGAGTTCACAACCGTCAAGTTCTACCAAGTCGACATCAGAAAGCATGCCATGCTCTCCAGTGCCCTTCTCGATTCGAAGTTGCCCTTTATCGTCTTTGTCAAAAGCGGCGCAGACATATTGACCCTAGGCTCCGATGTTTCCCTTCGAAGTATTCGGGAAGGCGTCGAAGCGCTTCGGACGGCATCTTAACGAAAATTATGAAAGTTATGTGCTTGGTTGCTACAGTACATCCTGGGAATATTGCGGCCACCCACACTTTTCGATTAATTCTCTTATCTCCAATGCCAAGAAGTTAAGATATATTAGGAGAGATGCCGGAATATCAATATTCCCGTCTCTGTGGCACTACCGTACTTTACTCTAACGCAGTACCGTATTACACGGGTTGATGTCATTCAGACAACATGCACATCAGTGGGTCGGGTAAAATAGTCGAGACGCTCTCATTTGTCCATGAAACGTCGACTGCTATTCACACAGCCACTCTTTGTTCGCGCTTTTTGTGTTCGAACATCTATCAACGGCGACCACCGTTGTAAGCGCACAGCAAATACAACCGTAATGATGGCTAATGACAATTGCCATTTAGGGGAAATCATTCCTCCATGGGGCTCTCTACCTATTGAACAATATCTGATTGTAGGATACACAAAACACAACCTGTCTATTCACGACCTATCATTCGCTAACAGCTCAACAGAGAAACTGGAATCACTCCGCGACCGATGCAGCAAGCCAGCAGCGGCAGCGACTAATTCATCTGTTTCTTGAACTTGATGAGATTCCCGAAGAGTATGTTTGCTTGGATGAGTTTCCCCGCGAATGCCAACGCCAGTGGAGATCAATACTATTCTTCAACCCTGGCGACCCGATAACGACCTTCGCCGAAAAGCATATTATATGTCCAAGGATGACGTGCTAGTTTTTCTTCGGACTCATTATGACCCAAACGACGATGACAAAATGAATGAATGGATCCATGAAACCGATCTGTTCGAGGATAATGCTTGGTGGGCATGTCTCAACAACCCGTACTTATTTAATTTCGGCCCAGACTGGCAGCAAGTGTACGAAATCATGCCCGAGGTCGCTGGCCCCGTTGATCACAGGCGACGTTCTGATGGTTCAGGCAAACCCCAATCCTTTCGAGCATCGCCCGAAAAGAATCGGGAAGGCCTCCATGAAAGGAGATGCGACCGGTCCAAGACGACTGTAGACTTGGCGAACCATCTACAGAACGTCAGCATAATGGTATATATTGTTATTGCGGATCAAGAGGCTTTTCAGACCGGACGGTTACGGCTGCTCTGTTTAGACGCTAAAAGAAACATTGTCCGAGAGGTCCGCGTTGATTGGAAGCCAGCTGGAATCATGCAACTTATTCGCCACTCGGACCCAATATTCAGACCTTGAGGCCGATCCGTTTTCTTAGAGAACTTTACCGTCAATGGGAGTTTGGAGCAGTTTCAGATTAATAGACAGCGAAATATTTTGCGGGCCACTACTTGGAAAGAATCTCTGTAGGCAACCAATAATTCCGCCGTAGATTGGAATGACAGCTTTCTGGAAAGCCACGTGGTGAGGATCAGAATGGGTGGGAAGTGGGGAAGTCTCTTCTGTTGGTCGCAATTTCCCGGATAACTCTACCGTCCACTTGATTCGAATCATCTGCATATCTTGCGGGGGAGCGGTGAGTTCTACTACCGCTCATGCCAAGCCTTTGGCGATTGGAATTTTTTATGGTGTTTTGACCATTTCTAGCATGCAGAATCTGCGCCTCCCATAGAGATTACATCATGCTCTATGATCCATATTCTGATACCCTCCGTTTATTTACTGACCTCTGCAACTCAAGTTTCGCTGTGCCACGATTTGTACGATTTTCAGTTTTTGGTGCAGCATATGAAACCCCAACGAGGTAAGGGCTGCCCGACAGTGTTTTATTCTTACTTTGCCCATAAATACCACATATTGAAATTGCCTAGAGTTTAGGTATACTGAGCTACAGCCTTTGAGAACTGGCGTTTCTTGGCAAGTATGGTTAGTCTAAATACCTGAGTGCGGATTCGGCCGTCGACAACATCTCCTCGAAAGCAGTGTCGTCTAAGCGCGAAATATGACCTGAGATATCAAAATCATCAACAACTACAGCAGAAGATATAGCATCAGTCAATCCACAAAACAGCACGTGATCGCTCCCTTCACTGTTTAACTGCGAAGACTGCTGGTTTCGCGGCTGTCCATATCCTGTTGCAGCGATGGCAAACCAGTGGCCCCATCTGATAGAGTCGGCTGCTGCTTCTGCGACTTATAACCATTACTTAGTGCCTGAGCAGTAGAATAGGGTACGCCGGTGAGATCAAGGTCTTTCCCAAGGGGAGGAGAATTATGTACCGGAAGACCATTCGGCAGAGCATTCTGGGAGTGTGCTTGTTGCTGCTCTTGGCAGAGTTCGAAGTCTGCCATCTTTGCGCAGCATATCTGAATAGACTGGTGAAATCGTCGTCATAGGCGATTGTGCCCGCCCTGTGCAATGAAGGTAGCATAGACGCTACTGAGAAAACTAGATCCCTGTATTCCGTCTGATAGGTGGCAATTTCGTTGTAGTTATTCGGGGTAGCATGGTAGAAAGGAGACTGGAATTAGGCTGATTGCCGGTGGGCGTCGTATGGGGACATCGAGGATAGTAGAGGGCTTGTGGAGGGCATTCCGAGTGCTGGCGAGTGCATTGTTGAGCGAAAATGTTTTGGCGATCATCTGAACTCGTGTAGTACTCGTAGGACGCAGGTTGGTCCGACGAATGCGAGTTGTGAGGCTTAGCATCTGCAACAGACTTAGAAGTTCGCATCTTTGTTCGAGTTATGGTCGGAGACGACTCTGGTGAAATGGGCTTTGCGTGTGATTATTCCGGAGAAGCTGAAGACGCAGCTCGTCTCTCCAGATTCTCCAGTCGGCGCTTCAGCTTCTTGCCTGTTAGGCGCGGCAAGTGACTAATATATACGAGACTGTCAAGTCAATAACGGGTACTTACGGTAATTACGCTGAGCTATGCGGTTCTGAATGTGACGGCGCTCGGCGAGATCGAAAATTTTGGACCAGTCTTCATTGGCGTGGGCATTGGTGCTGAATGTGCTGATATTTCTGTGACTACCGATGGAGCCTGAATGATTATCATACTCAGTGGGGTAATGCATCTTGGAGACAAATGGAAGGGGATCGGCAGTATGAGAATTATAAGAAGGATGAAGAGTACGGCACTGTATAGGGGCCGTCGAAATCAGATTCACCATCTCACCACTTCATTCTCTTTTTTTCTTTTTTTCTTTTTCTTTTTTGTTATATTTTTGGCAAAGTCTACTCTGAAACAACACTCTAGCCTTGTTATGGCCCAGCATATTAATTGCTCGGAATATACTGTAAAGGAAAATCACATGGTGAGTGGCTATTTTCCGGAGATAATCATACGGTACCCTATATCTGCATTAAGAGCATTCCTGTTCAGTGGAGGAATCAACATTATGGGCAAATATAACGGAGCGACAATGTATACAGCAAATATACCAAATATATATAAAGCTTGGATGTCAGTGTGAATCAAGTGTATGAGATTAAAGACGTTGTTCCGAAACAATCGCGGGGCAGCTCCCACCATCAGTTAATAAATGGGTGGCTGAACTTTCTTGCTAAAATATTTACAAACTCAGATTAAGCAGATGTCTTGGGCTGATTTCTTGGGGGCAAATACCTTTGGCGAAGAAGATCAAGTCAATTTGCGCCGGTTTGATCCTGAAGGATTCTGATCCTTGACAACCTGACTGTCGAAGTAACCCGGACAGCAGCGTTGTCATAGTGGGCTGGGGACCTGTTGGTTTGTTTCCGCCGTGACACTGGCACATCACGGGTACGTAATGTCCTGTTCAAGAAAAATGTCACCACTACACAGTCTGGTTTCCGTACCGGAAATGCATCCTCAGAAGAGTCAGCTGACCCTATTAGCAGGTTTCCTAGGATGGACTTGACGTTCGCACGAACGGTGGAGACTCTGCGCACATTGGGACTAGCTGATGCACTACGGTGCGAGTCTCTACTGCACCCTTGATGATTAGCTAAGTAACATAATTTCCAAAAGTGTGGCTCTTGCATACCCGTTTACTGTGCACTTTTCTAGAGCGTAACTCCGCAAGCTAAATCGGTATAGAATTGTATGCGGATATGGGCCTTTTTACTAAGTGAAACCGATCGTATTGACAGAAGGTTGCTTCATTCTAAGAAAGGTCTAGAACGTGAATAAAGAGCAGGCATGTTGAATACCTACCTGTCCCTTCCGATAGTCTAATAAAAAGAGCCGGGTTGTGCTGAAGTACCCAGAGTAACTGGTCCGAGTTGCTGCACAAGCCCAAGTTTATATACAAAGACATAGGAAATGAGCGGCGAGGGAACAACCAATAAGAGGAGGCCGTAAATAATCCAATGATTAGAATGGCCGCGAGAGAATCCATTTCACAGGCCCTCTACCAGTCGTGGGATAACAGAGTCCGAAAAAGCCCATGTGGGAGTATGTAATTGCGCGGACCAAGCCGCACCCGTATACCAAGTCGATAGATGACCCTGCAGAGAATACATTTCCTGAATAAAGCCAGCTTTCAAGTCCTCGAGAGAGGCCCGGATGTTAACAGATCCATGGTATTGAAAGTGGAGCCATTCAAGGCCCTTGCCACTTGCTTCCGGCAGACTGCCTGCACCGACCAACTGGCGGTAACTCTGCTCGACCAGCGCCTTTGAACCATCGCTATCCAGGGTCTCATTTCCAAACATCATGACCTTATGATAGCGGTCGGGGGAATCCAAGTTTTTATACCATTGCAGGAGCGACAGATCCGGGAGACCCAGCCAGTTTCTGGGAGCGGAGTTAATTATTGTTGTGTTCAATGGCAGGTTCGAAGCAACAACACCGCCAGCGTAAGCTTGTGTGTATGCCGTCTTGGAAAAGACACTGAGTTCCTTTTTGTCGAGCTTGAACGGCGACAGGTTGGGTACAGTTGGTGGGATAGCAATGAGCAAACGCTTTGCGCGAATCTCAGTTTGATGCCCGTCTGTGCCTTTGGCAATAATGCTAACACCATTGGGTGTTCTTTTTGCATTGACGACAGTGCTTGAATAGAGAACATCATCACCCAGAGTCTCCGACACTCTATCGTATATCTCCTGATTCCTGTGAGACGCCACATATAGAGTTCGGGCTTTGCCAGTGTAGACTCGCGCAAGCGGTGCTGGGAACGACTGCATAACATAAAAGGTCGGCTGAGTCTCCAGCTGCCCTAGGCCTACAGCCGATATGTCCCAGATAGTAGGCACAGCAGCCTCAATCTCGTATTTTCTCGCGAAATCACCAAAGTTTAGAAGCAGATCTTCGGGTATATTGTCGGCGGTGGGGAAATTCCACAGTCCAGGCAACATCATGCCCTCGTATTTCTCGCACAGTTCCACATACTTTTGGAACGCAGCAAGTTGTTCAGCTGCTGTGGGAGACGTGTATTTCACGAATTTTCCAGTGCTGAACTCTGCATACCGGGTGTTCACTAATTCCTGTTCTGACGCCTGTACTGATACATTAAACCGCGCAAAGAATTGCGTAGCATTGCCATAATCCAGGAAGGCCTCAACCCCCAATTCGTAAGGCATGCCGGTCTTTGGATCAGTCCAGGTATCAACAGCCCCGCCCTTTCGAACGAGCACATCAGCTAGGTGTTGATCAACAGGCGCGAAGGAATTATTTCCCGGTTACTCACCAAACGTGCCTCTTTCTCAACCAACGCAATGCTCTTCCCATAGTCCTCACGGAGCCTAACAGCAGCATAGGCGCCAGCAGCACCACCGCCAACGACCACCACATCTTTCGAGATGATGTGGGTAAATGAGCCTGCGGAAGACATAGCAACAACGCTTGCCGCTGTCAGCAAGCTAGCTGCCTTCGCCAACATGATGTGAAAAATGTCTAACAAATGTAAAGGTAAAATCGACGAAAGATGATTTTGAAATATGAACAAGAAATAGTATGTCATTATTTATATACAATACAATGAGCGCTACTTGGTGGTAAAGCCCAAGTCCGGCTGTCATGTCTTCCGCTGACTAATAACGGGAAGTTCCCGTAGCATTCTTCGGGACATAACATAAAATGAAGAGGTCTGTTTAGTGTTGCACGAGTGGACTTGGATTCGGGATCGGAGCAAAAATGAAGTTCTACTCTCCACATAAGGAGATAGGGTTTGTGAAATTATCTCCGTCCGAACAAAATATAGCCAGTCTTACACCATCACGTTCATTGGCTGGATCCACTGGAAAACGACGAAACGTGTTTTCACCAAATTTACGAGGTGGATCCGCGATGTTATACCACGACTAAGTTTCGGTTGGATAAGGAGGTTGTCGGAAAGCGGAAAGTGATCCTCATATTCCATACGCCGAGGTTCGTGGGGAAAAGGCACCATCTGCAAGGTTACTGGCATACTAAAGCTCAATGCTTCTATTACTTTTCAATTCTTACTACCGGAGCGGTGGACATCAAATCATACATTGCATCGAGGACGTTGTAGGTATGGGAAACCATATCAGAAAGGTTACGAAGATAGAGAATCGAATGTGTAACATTTGTCGACGGCTTGATATCTCCCATTGTCACATGATTCAACCTGCATAAGTAGAAGTTATCTACCCTTCTTCCTGTCGCATAGTTTACACGCATAGTATACACACTATTGTACTCCATAATCCCATCTATCATCTACAATCTAACAGGAACCAGAGAGAGGCCCATGGAGAGGAGGAAGTAAGAAAATGGAGTGAAGCGGAGAGAGAGAACCGTTGGTTAAGTCGTTATGACCGATTAGTTAAAGTAACTTTAATCACCAGCTGGACGCCCAGGTGTATTGTGCCGTTTAGTCAGCGGAAGCATCCAGAACTCGGGCGGCCGCTCACATCCTTGGCGCGACGATCCAAAGCGGGTATCCCGCAGTGAGCCAGGATAGGCCTCGATATTCTCCCCGTTCCATTATTTTCTCGGACTTAATATCACCGGACTAAAGCTTCACGCCTATAAACTTGCTAGCTTTCGGTCTACGCTCCTAAATCCGTTTATCGACAAACTTTGGAAGCGGTGTGGCTTCTGCCCACGTGGGCCCTATCATCACATAGCTTATAAAGTGGAGATATGCGCATTGCGTATATCAGAATAAGTCTATTTTTAACGAAATTGTCTCAGAGAAATTTCAATTTAACAAAGTTCATAGTAAGGGCGTATTACCGAATATTGTACGGCGGTTTAAGTCAAGCGCCGGTTTCCGTTATATCCGAGATAATTATAGCGGGGTATATGACTACGACAGCCTGGAATCCTCCTGCGAAGGTCAGCGACACAAATTTCATCATGGGCGCGATTTATTCCCAAGTTTTTTGTTACACCAGCATACCCAACCAAAACTTATGATGGCAAAACTGTGACTGTGACCGGTTCGAATGTCGGAATCGGATTTGAAGCAGCGAAACATTTCGTCCGTCTTAATGCTGCTAAAGTGATACTTGCAGTGCGAAACATCTCGGCAGGAGAAACAGCAAAGCGGTCAATCGAGACATCAATAAAGAGAGCTGGCGTGTGCGAGGTCTGGGAGCTTGACCTCGGAGCTTTTGATTCTGTCAAAGCTCTTGCAAATCGTGCATCCAAACTCCCTCGACTGGATATCGTGATTGAGAATGCTGGAATTGCGACGTACACGTTTGACATCTCCGAGGGCCATGAATGTACTATTACGGTCAACGTTATTAGTACCTTTCTGCTGGGCCTTCTACTCCTCCCTAAGTTGAAAGCAACTGCCAAAGCATTCCCGACATCCAGCCCACGTCTCTCCATCGTGACAAGCGACGTCCATGCCTGGACAAGTTTCCCGGAGCGGACTGCAGATAACACGTTTGTCGCGCTGGATAGGAAGGAAACGGCAGATATGCAAGAGCGCTATTCTACCTCGAAGCTCCTGGAAGTGTTGGTGGTGAGGGAGCTTGCCACCAGACTTGGAGATTCTGGAGTCATTCTCAACATGTTGACTCCGGGACTGTGCAAATCGCAACTGTCACGCGAAGCAGGCTTAAGGCTCCGACTAATGATATTTCTCTTTGGACGTCAGACAGAAGTTGGTAGTCGGACCATACTCGCGGCTGCAGAGGCAGACTGGGATAGTCATGGTGCATATATGCTAGATGGCAAGGTCAACAATGGAGTACTGTCAACGCTCGTCCAAAGCGAAGCTGGGTTGGAGGCACAGCAAAAGTGTGGAAGGAATTGGGAGAAATCTTGGAGGAGATCCAGCCAGGGATCACAACTTCCATGTAAACTGCTGAGGGACCTGGTATGTAAGGTGTTGACCCGCCTCTCACTCTTTGGCCTTGCCACATAGCGGGTTCCCGCACGGTCCCTTTCTACTACTGCCTTCTCTGCTACTTACTTCTATTGCTGTTTGGATTATTCCGTTCCTTCTCTTCTCCATACGTTTGTACCTAATTTGTGCCCTGGTCACATTAGATTTACGTCAAGCTTCTGTTGTGTGTCTGTACATCTGAAGGCACCACATGTCGAGACATCACCTATATTAGTAGTTAGCTCTCGCTCTCTCTCCTTTCTCTCTCTATTATATAACAAACAATACAGGATCCGGGAATGGTACAGCTATCAGTATTACGGCCTTCAAGTGCGACCAAATTGGTACAGTTTTTCAGTCTTTCAGGATTGGCCAGACTGATGGACACCCCAATAGTGAACTGCCATGACTTTCCCTGATGCCTAGAGGACGGCAAGTTTAACCCGCAAATCAGTGTAACGGCACCTTGCTGGGAGATTGATCCTCCTACCCAACAACGTTAGAACTTGCTAGCGTGCAGATATTTCCACTCGAGTAAAAGCAGATGTTCGACCGAAGGGGATTCTGTTCAAACAGCTTTCGGGTAGTTTTGCCCTTCAACTCCATTATCTCCGCACCGAAGACTATGTCTTTGATATTGAGTTTGATTTTGGGAACGATGATCTTTTTGTTAGCTGTATTATACCAGCTGAGCTTTGGCAAAGTCACTTCGTGATTTTTTTCGCCGTAGCGACGGTCCGTAGGTATACTTCCACGTAAGGACGCGACGCCGGCATAGAAAGTGCCACCAGACCAGCCGTTCGCCCGCAGCACTTAGCGGTTTCCCTCCTTTCTTTGCCTGGCACGAATTGGTAACGGCTCGGAGGTTCGCCTCAATGAGTACGGGAACGGAAACCACAGCTAAAGGCGATTTAAATCCAGGCCTCGTCTTTGATATGTCCTCCAGAGGCAAGGGGATTCATCTTCGTCAATGAAAGATAATGCGTTTGCCGCTTTCTTTGCTTGGAAAGGGTCCAAAGAGCGGATAATGGGGTTGAGAATTTCACATGGAAGGTTTGGCATTGTGGTCGCGTCGCGACGACGCCCGTATAAACGTACAGATTAGCATTCTGTTGCATGAACTGTTTTGGCCTGGTGTTTTTATTCTTATATAGCGGACAGCCGCGCGTTTCTAGGGGAGCTGCTCGTTTATGGGCTTTGGGACTCTATCCTCTTTGTGTTGTCTTCGTTGATTCGAACCTCAGAGTGGCAACTGGGAAATGCTTTAGGATAATCCTGTATTCTTCCACGTGTGGCTACATTCTACGCTTAGGCCGTTGAACAGTAGACCGTAATGGTCATTGTACTATATGGCGGCATATTCAGATGAAATAACTCTGCAGCCCTCGTGATGCGGCTTGCTCGATAATTCCTCCCCACTAAAGCCTTGGTGGTGGGACCAGAGAATTGGCTGTATGGTCGCAACATGGAGTGAACGTTGAAAGCCGGTCGAATCTAAAGTAGCTGAGGGACTACTACCATACTGCCACGGTGAAATTCGTCTGATGATGCCCCCACCATCTATAGCGTAGTGAGGAACGTTATAGTATAAAGGGACACTAGCTCCATGACAGACACACCACTATCAGCATGGAGAATCCTAGCAAAACGCCAGAAATGACGGATACACAAGGAGAGGCACCGATATACACACAGTCAAGTTCAACCGAGGAGCCTCTGCTTTCTGGTGTTGCAACGTCGTCACCGGTAAGAATAAGATATGAACGGGCAGGACCACGTTGACCAGAGCGATCAAAACCCACGACATAGAGAAGCAGACTTGGCTGTAGAGCCCTTCCGACCCATACTCGAGGTCTTGAAGCAAATTGAAGGAGAAGATACTGAGCTTGTATTTCGGGCTGCACGTCTAGTGGAGTACATTCGGTGTTTGTGGGAGTCTTTCGTTTCTAAACATACAGATATCCAGCAGCTTGAAGAGGAAAACGAAAAGCTGCGGTCTGGGAATATTCAGCTATCAACGAGGGAAACCACTTGAAGCGCAGCCAAAATGAGCAAGTAGCTCGCTTGCATGCTATCGATGACGCGTTGAATGAAGTACGGAGAAGGCTTATCGGTGTGCTTAAGAATCCCATTTAAGCACTGCCTTTAGAGCCTTCCCACTTTTTGTATCACTAATAGCCTCTTCAAAGTCCTTCACATCGTAGTACGTAATCAAGTCCTCTATCGGATATTTACCTTGTGCATGCTGTTCCATCAAGAAAGGAATCAACTGGGAACTTATTAGCGTTATTCACCATCCAGGGTGTGAACATTAATCACCATGTTTGGGACAGAGTCCCCCTCGCAGCAACCAAAATATTCGCGTCCGTTAATTAGTTGTGCAAAAACATCAATCCCGACTTTCCTTCCGGGCTATGAAGTGAGATTATCAGAAGTTGCCCTTAATCATCGAACTTGAATAGGTATTTCGGAACGACTTACCGCTGGGGCCCCCACAGAAGCAGCTCTGCCCCGTGTCCCGAGGCAATTGATCATCATCTCAATGACCGCAGGCACACCTGAGCAGTCCAAAGCATAGTGGACACCATTTGGCGGTGAGATCTCTTGAACTTTTGAGATAATGTCGGTGTCGTTGCCCAATATGGTAGCTGTGGCTCCAAGCGACTTGGCCAAGTCGAGCCGGGACTGTTGAAGGTCAACAGCAATGATCTCCTTCGCACCGCGAATTTTAGCTGCCATGACCGCGCTCATACCTACAGACCCGACTCCAAAGATCGCCACTGTTTTTCCGGGCTGTACATTAAGTGTGTTCAGAATGGAGCCCGCTCCCGTTTGTAAGCCGCATCCAAGTGGTGCAAACAAAGACAGATCGGTGTTAGCCCCCACTTTCACCAGACTCGATCTATGGGCAATTGTAAGGCGTGCGAAAGAGCTTTGGCCAAAAAAGCGGCTGAATAGGGGGATTTTGGCTTGGTTATCCTCAAGTCCCATTGTAGTTGAGCCATCAGGTCGTTTCCCGCCGAGGTTCCACGGAACGAAAGAATAACAGTATGCAGGATGTCCTGACGTGCATTGTTCGCAGGCACCGCAATGAGAATAAGAAAGAAGCACTTTGTCACCGGGTTTCAGGTCTGTGATGTGTGACCCTACTTCTTTGATGACCCCAGCCCCTGCTTGAATTATTAGATTATCTGCCAGTTAAATATTAAGGCAAACCAACCTTCATGGCCCAAGACTGCAGGTGCAGTGGCGGGTAATGTGCCGTTTGCGCAAGACAAGTCAGTGTGACATAGTCCTGTTGCATGAATCTCAACTAAAGCCTCGTCATTCCTTATTGTCTCAACGAATATTTCTTCTAGCGAGAATGGGCCGTCAATTTCTCTCAGAACCAGGGCGGTTGTAGTCAACATAATGAGTGAATTTGATTGTGGAAACACCGATTGTATTCAGGCTGGAGGAGATGCGGAAGTAAGCTTTTAACAGTTGCAACTCGGCCTGCCTTAAATAGAGTAGAGTATATCGTACCAAGTTTCAAAATACCCTTAAATGCCGTGCTATGTTGCCGAATGTTCGTCCCGTATAGGTTGGTAATGCCAATAGCCGGGGTTTCCCCAACTTCGGAACAAATCTGTGCTAGTATTTGCGGGGAGATACTGGAGCTTCAATCCCCGGAACGACTTGCGATTGGTCAAAAGGGTTCTCGTGCACGCATGAGCGAGATCCAACTTAGAATACATAACTATTGTAGTGGGGTTTCTGGTGACGGTCTGACGGGTGGTTTTGGACTGATTTCTTGATTGCCCATATTGCCCATACGTGCCTGCTTGCACTTTTTGATTTGTTTGGCCTGCATGAGTTCTGTCAAAATCATCAGTTTTAGTATAAAAGGGCAACCGGGCCTCGTGAGCTACACAACAAGCAGAGAAGGAAAATGAATGAGAACCACCCGACAGTTACGCGGGAGATCTTTTTGATTGATTGATACCCTACGATACTGAGAGAGGCCAGCAGGCCCAGCGGCCATTCTCTCTCGTGCCTCGACCGGACTGCTCTGAGCAATTCCACTTGACTATGTTGTGATGTTGTTACTAACATTATGCCATCTCATCCCAGCTTGTTTTCTTTTAATTCCGCAGCCTTCATAGCAAGTAGAAGATAAAATGCTATTTATTGGCTTGGAAACTGCCCACTAATGACCGACGACATGCCATCTAGATTAAAAAGAGTGCTATAATCAAGCCCAAAAGGGAAATTTTGGATAAAATCAGGACATTCTGTGACCGGTGCGCCCTGCGGTTCAGAGGGGAATCCGTCAAACAACAGGCTGGACATCGAAACATCCTGCGTTTGTTGAATCTTGGAGAACATTATTTGCAAAGCTGATAAGCAAACTCTTACGGACTCGCTCAAGTGTTCATGTGCCTGGAAGAGCAACAAAGCTTCCTCCCAAGAGTTAATAGTCTCAGCGTGTGTAAATATGTCCGGTCGTAGAGTTGACACGGCGAGAATGGTGGCGGCTGTGTAAATGTAAAATACCCTGTACCACCAAGCTGGTAGCATGCCGATGCTTCCGTCATGCTTTTGGTGCTGGCGAAGAACGGAGATCATATTTCGAGCGGCTTCAACACACGACAATGCGCATTGTTGCATTATGTGGTCGCTAAGACTACCATCCAGCGAGTCTGGTTCAACTACCAGGCAGCACCGTGCTAGCATCGGTCTGAATAGAAGAATTCGTGCGTGAAGAAGTCTGCGAGCAAATCAGCCTACCTGGAAACTTGAAACTTGACAAGTTACTTCGAGACTCTCCTACCGAAGATGAAGAATAATGGCCTGTCTTCTGCAGATATCGTCCGGCTGGCGCGATGCGTTTTCGAATTTCAGGTGAGCAGGCAGGGAATTCTCCCATCTGCACAAACAACCATCAACTTGAATTATGATAGCTAATTTCTCCTCATTCTGACTTGGGTTAATAATACCAGAAAGATCCGCGTTGTAGTAACGTGTATGCGCGGATGAAATGAATTTGTGCACTGTTTGATTAGTTATTTCATATAGTTCTACAGCTTTCGCGAGAAATTCCTCATGAGGGAGTTGGTCATCCTTGTTTCGTAATAAACAAGTACGACGTTTCGACTCAATAACGGTAGCAGCAAGGGCCTCAGATATCATTGTGGGTCGCCCATGAGTTACGCATATCGTCCTGAACGGGTATAAGCTCTTGTTTTGCGTTTCTGGAATATTCAATCTCCTACCTGTCCATGGCAATACACGCCTGCCAGATACGACAGCTAAGCGCAGCTCCCTGGTCATTCGAGGGTGAGGCCCAAGTCTCCGGAAGGTGAAATCCAAGACTCTGTGCAATCCTCACAGCCGAGCCAACGACCATCCAGGTCTGGTGTGGTTTGTCCGTGCATTGCAAATACTGACTCATAACTAAAAGGCATTGTACCAATTCAATCGATCCTCTTTCCCAGATTCGTAAGCGAAGCAGATCGTGTGCTCGTTGAAAATATTTGCCACTCAAGCGATCTCTTTGATTCGGCTTTAGAGATTCTTGCAGCTGGATTGACAGAGCAAATACCGCATTAAGGGTGCTCACTAGAATTCGTTCGTTGGTGTCGACCGCGATGCCGGAAAAGAGGGTCCCATATGAACGCATGAAGCTTGTCTTGTTGAGGACTGGAAAGAGAGGGTCCACGAAAGACCAATATATGTGGACAAGGTGGTCAGCGTGCTTGCGTGGAGGTAGCTCATATTCCATCCCACTAGCCATACTGTCGACAACAGCATCATCTTGAACGGGGGGGGAACAATGAAGCATCGACCAATGGCACGGCACCCTGACTTGGGGGCAGGGCGCCACCCCCGAACCTGGCGTCAATTGCCGCTTTTATCTGCCCAGTAAATGTTACACTGCTACTGCTGCCGAAGCGCTCACGACTTGCGCCGCCAACATTGAGCGTCTGTGATGTAGAGTCCGCACAAGTAATGTTTGGATCCGACTGAAAAGCCGAGGCTTTGGATCTTTGATTGTGCACAGGTTTCACCGGCAGTGGCAGTGTTTGTCCACATGTTGTAGAATTCGGTAATCTCTGGGGTTGCTCTGAGACATCGGACTTCGGCTGCTGGATGAAGTCACTTCCGATTCCTGATTCGGAAGGAATCTTTTCGAAGGCTAGGTAAGCAGCTTCGATTGGCGTGTACGCACACTGCCCTTGGAGGTCCGATCTTTTAAGGCAGTTCCCACAAGCTAAAGATAGGGTTAGTAATAGGTTTCGGGTGCATAGGGTTACACCTAGACAGACCTGGTCGGGCGCCGTCGCATTTGACCTTCCGTCTGCGACAGATCTCGCAGGCGAGATCTACTTTTAGGCGCTTCCTTCGGCGTAGGTTAAGCGGCTGGCTATCTGAGCTCGTTAGAGGCATTTTCGGTTCTATCTTCAGAATAGTGCCCCGAGGATAGGAAGCGGGTGTGGAATATTAGATTGGCCTCGGAGCGGGGTGCCCTATACTTATTGCGGATAACCAAGACCTTAAGCCAATCGACCGACGTTCCGAAGCCACCGCTTCGGAAGCGCCGGAGTTTCGAGCCGGGACCGTACTTGCTTGGTTGCTTCTATTCTTCGAAGTGTAATAATTGCTTAGACGCTGTAGTTAACTACTAACTAATCGACTCCGGGATTAGGTAAATTAACTTCCTAATCTATTTACGCTCGGGAACATGATTTTCAGCGAGTACTCGATCCACCACCTTGTTCGTAGGGTAACAGGCAGGATTTTACTTCTTATGCGTCGGAGCAAGCTGAGACACCTAGTAGGCGAATGGGATCGAGGATAAGACCAAGCGGATCCAATCTTGGATGCAAAGGCTGATTGTTTGAAGAAAGAACGAATGTTATGGGTTCTCATATAGAAAGATTTGAGACTTTATAATCTTGCAGATACATAGCGGTCTCTTCATTTTATTTAATACCGTGTCAACCAACAGGCATAAAACTACGGCTACAACTCACTCTACAAGAACACCCAGCCTCTTCGGTCTACTTCGCAATCATCAATTAGACAGCCTGCCGGGTCCGCCAAGATAGCCAAATCACTACACGACGCAGCGTGCAAGCCTCCATCCAGCACGACCAATGCACCACCAGGGTCTCATTTAAGGTCATTTCATGATGGATTGTGGGTTCTCCTTTGAAGTCCGCTCTGGCTCAGGCACTGTTTCCGACCCTTTTTTGGTGCAGTTCCCACCAGGGGATCCTCGTAACCCAATGTACTTTCTACCACGCAAGAAATGGATTATCACATCCATCGTCACCCTGTCCGTCTTTGCTGTCGCCATGACGTCTTCCGCATACTCGGGATCATCCAACGAAATCAAAGAAGCATTAGCCATCAGCTCCGAAGTGAATGCGCTTGGGGTGTCTCTGTTTGTTCTAGGGTTTGCAATCGGGCCATGTCTATGGGCGCCTCTATCCGAGTTGTATGGTCGACAGATTCTGTTCACAACAACCTATGCGCTCTTCACGGCCTGCGTCGCAGGTTCAGCTGGCTCCAACTCAGCAGCCACACTCTTGGCCCTCAGATTTCTAGCCGGGACATTCGGGGCCTCGCCTTTAACGAATGCAGGGGGCGTCATTGCGGATATCTTTCCGCCGTCCCAACGCGGCCTTGGGATGGCCATCTTTGCCACGGCACCCTTCCTTGGGCCAGTACTGGGCCCAATGATGGCAGGGTTCATCAGCATAAACGTTGGTTGGCGTTGGGTCCAGGGGGTCATGGCAATATGTGCTGGTATCCTCTGGATTATCGGCTCCATGTCGCTGCCTGAGACATACGCCCCGGTACTCCTCCAAAAACGGGCGCAGTATCTGTCAAACACAATGTCAAGTGCCTGTATCAGCGTTCTGGAAAAGAAAAAAGGGATAATCAACCCGTCAGCTGTGTTTGTAAATGCGCTGAAACGCCCATGGGTTTTGCTCGTCGCGGAGCCGATTGTATTGATCGCATCAGCTTACATGGCAATTCTATACGGCACTCTCTATATGATGTTTGGTGCATTTCCAATTGTATTTCAAGAGCAACGTGGGTGGAATGCTGGTATGGGAGGCCTTGCCTTCCTCGGAGTCACAGTTGGCATGCTCGTGGGCTTGGGATATGCTATTTGGGACAACAACCGATACCAACGTCTGCAGGATAAATGGTACAATGGCTCAAAGCCACCACCAGAAGCCCGTCTGCCACCTGCTATTGTCGGAGGTTTTGCGCTTCCAGTCGGACTCTTCGGCTTCGCGTGGGCCAGTCTTCCAAGTATGCATTGGTCATTCTGCATAATTGCGGCAGCACCGTTTGGTTTTGGTATGGTTCTTGTCTTTATCTCTTGTTTGAACTACTTGATTGACGCCTATACGGTCTACGCGGCCTCGGTACTCGCTGCAAGCGCGATACTAAGGGCATTTTTTGGTGCCGCGTTCCCATTATTTACACGACAGATGTATGCTAATCTGGGTGTCCAATGGGCTAGCTCTATCCCTGGCTTCTTGACTCTAGCATGCTTACCATTCCCACTCCTGATGTACAAGTATGGGGGAGCGTTAAGATTGAAGTGTAAATATGCAAAAGAAGCTGCACTGCTGACGGCTCAACTAGAATGAGTTTTATCAAAAATAATGTTACTAATCTCACTATTACAACGTAACACGGAGAGAAGAATTCCTTTAAGAACTGCGCCTCTCATCCTCATAAGCCCTTGAATTGTAGAGGAGCTTAACCTCCCTCAGCGGTAATGGGAGATATCGCGAGCAGTATTAATTAGGGCTCTCAACGCCAGCGTCAGTGGCAGGAATTGAAAGAACATCTCGCATCAGCGCAGTAATGGCCGGGAACCGACTCTCATGCTCCCATGAGGGCTCAAGAGGAAGAGAAGCGACAGGATCTATTTTAATATAAGATTCTTTTTCCGAATATTGCGAAAGAGGGTAACTTACCACTATGAAGATACTCAATCACTTCATTTTGAAGCCATTCGACTGGGGTATGCTCATATTAACTATCATATGCAGCCGTGATACCCTCTAGACGACGCCCAGGGATTAGAGGAAAGCTTTTGGCTGCTGAGACGCTCCTGGGATTATCGTAGTGCATCTTTAAACCTTTTTTCATATTGCGCACGATGCTTTGGATCCTGAATAGGAGGAAGCCGTTTTGATCTATCCTGAGGATTTAGAAATGGGTCTGTCCTTCAATCCAGCCAGGCGACCCTTCTAAAACAGCTAGGCTACTTATCCTAGATGGGCAGAGCAGTCCCAAAGCAACGGGATTCGTCCTCGTCCGACTACCTTACACTCCGACTACCAAAACGGAAGGTCAGTATACGTTGTGGAGCCGTGGCGAAACCCGTCGCAGTCAACCAAAGCTTTATTTCATTTCCCCTTATCCATAGATGTCGTGGCCACTAGGTAGCCTGCAACAAAGGACATTTGTGTATGCGCACAACTGTTCAGGTCAACTTACAGAGCTTTCTCTATTTCTTTTTGTCCACAGATTTTGTGATCATACCCCGGAGTTTCTCATTCCACAGATCCATGAATTCGTGCGATTTTTCCAAGCCGGGCACAATCCAAAAAAAATGGGGGAACCCTGACCATTCGACGAAATCTGCTTCAACTCCCTGCTTTTTACACTCTTCATAAAAGAATACGGTCTCGGGGTATGACGGATCGTTTGTCATCGCTGTGATATATATCTGAGGGAGAAGCTTTATATAAGGATGTAACAAAGGAGAATAGAGTGGATGGCCAGGAACCGGAGGCTGTAGCCACTCTGCGCCATGCCAAGTCAGAGTCATTTTCAGGGCGATAAATGTCAGGAGAGAGGGAATGAACTCACTGCGAGCCAGCTGCACAGACGACGAATTGATCATCGGGGTATCTAGGTATTTTTCCGGAAAATATCTCTCCTTGTACACTGGGGGCATCGCGCTCGGGTCGCAGGAAGTCATACAGGCAGCAATTATGCCTGCAGGCCTAAGCTCAAGGTCTGATGCGTATTTCAGTCCCACGGCTGCTGCTAAGTTGCCGCCTGCGGAACCACCCATTATAAACTTTTGACATGGGTTGCCGCCGAATTTTGCTGCATGGTGGTGTATGAACTCGTATGTTTTCAAACAGTCCTCCAGACCGGCAGGGAAAGGGTTTTCCGGGGCTAGTCGATATTCAGGTGAAATGAGAATGATCTGCGAATGCAAGGCGATATGTCGGCACAAGAAGTCCTCCGCATCGACTGAGCCGGTGTACCAACCTCCGGAATGTATGTAGAGCCCCACAGGAAGAATTTGATTTGTGAAAGGCTCTACACCTGATTTCGGAGGGGTGAAGATACGTGCGTGAAGCTTTCCTTGTATCTGAATGTCCTTGGTTTTGACGCTTTCCACTTCGTCAGGCTCTACTCGCAACGTAGCTAGGGCGGCGAACGTCTCGAAGAAGTGGGTTCGACTCTCCGCCACGTCTTCATGCGACACTGAAGGGCGACTTCCTATTGTATTTGCGACCTGATAATGTCGTTAGTTCCTTGCATTTGATCATGTCGAGAAAATCCGGGTTACCTCGAGCCATTGGGGATGGAGGGGCGGGACTTCGCCGGTCATTGTTGCGGTTGTTGTGTTAGTTAACACAGCTTTGGGAAATGTGGTAGTCATAAGCCAGAACTGTAATATTCTCACTCCACAGGCCTTTTATAGATTGTTGTGAAAAGGGTCAACCAGTCAACCCCTCTGCGGATGAGAAAAGGTCCCCTAAGCCAGTCGGCGAATATTTCGGCAACACGTGGAGCTGAACAATTGGCCTTCTCATAGTCCGAGAAAGAATTAAGGACGACCTCGGAGAGCTAGACTCGGTCGTGTGTGGGTGCGGCTCAGCTCCCTGATCCTGTCTATGACCGAATTTTGCACTACCCGCTTCTGGTGGAGCTTTCCATGCCGGGCTAAGTGGCTTATGCACCCCAACTTCCAAATTGCCCACGTAAGACTGCAGGGAAGGCGGGGGAATGCGGAGGGAGAATTGTGACCATTCACGAGTTTCGGGTGAGCAACCCGGCAAATGAAGCTTGGTACGGATTCCGCCTCGTAATGTGACCGATGACGATTTCTTTCAGAAGTCATACAACGGTTTCTAGCCTTGTCCGCGACTATCTAAGCTCGAAATTTTGCCATCCCACTAATACATGAATTATTCCATATTATATTAAGTAACAACAATAATAATACTAATAATAACAATCTAACATCGACAGAAACAGGTCGCCAGTCTTCTTTAGCCGAGATTATCATTAATAAGCTTTGAGGCATCATTATAATTTGCCATGACTTACTCGATAAGCGAGTGCACTACTTAAAATGTAGCGCATTTTTGGTCTAGCGGCCATATTGGCCCCTATTGTCCTGATAACTACTTCCAATCATCGTAAAAGGGTGGCGGATATGTGGGGGAGAGTTGTTGTAAAGTTGACCAACGAAATACGATCCCGGCTCGGAAATCGGGCGCTTAGGAAGCGGCGGCATCGGAACATGTAGCGATTGGTTCAAGGTCCTTGGTTACCACAATAAGTATAAGGCACCCCGCTGGGACGCCAATCTGATATTCCACAGCCGCTTCCTATGCTCGGGGCACTATTCGGAAGCTAGAACCGAAAATGCCTCTAACGAGCTCGGATAGCCAGCCACTTAACCTACGACGAAGGAAGCGCCCGAAATTAGATCTCGCTTCCGATATCTGTCCCAGACGGAAGGTTAAAATGTGACGGCGCTCGACTAGGTCTATACACCCGAAACCCGTTACTCACCCTGTCTTTAGAACTTTCTCAACAAATCGGGCCTCCAAGGGCAGTGCGGGGTTGGATCAGGCCCCAACGGCAATGGATATCGTCCCCGGTTGATCGGGGTCCGCATATAAATGTCCCTTGGAGCTTATATGCTTGCCGTGAGTTAGTGATCGTTGAGTGCCTCTTACATTTCTTCTCATTCTAAGGGTGAATGACCATCAGGGATTTCCTTATTTCCCATGGCGAAGCACGATTACACGGTTCCTCTCTTCATTAGCGGCGAGGAGCGCGTCACCGAAGCGACATTCAACGTCATGTCGCCGGCTACCGGTGAAGCCATCCACAAGTGCTCCAGTGCCTCTCAAGCCGATGCAGAAGATGCAGTTAACGACGCAGCTAAGGCGTTCCCGGCATGGCGGAAATTGCCTCCCGCGAAGCGCCGGAAATATTTCCTAAAGGCAGCTGAGGTCATGGAGAGTCGGAGAGAAGAGCTCGCGGGGTACATGGTCAATGAGACCGGCAGCACGCAGCAATGGGCCGACTTCAACCTCTCTACAGCCATTGAGATCCTCGAAGATGTTGCAGGGAGGACAGTGACAATCGAGGGCTCTGTGGTCAACACTGCGAACGAGAACGTCACCGCCATGGTGTTGAAGGAACCTTACGGAGTTGTCCTTGGCATTGCTCCCTGGTATGTCAACCCTTCTCCATCTCCCAAGAGACTTCCCACTCATCGTTATTAAAGGAACGCACCATATATTCTTGGGGTGAGAGCCATAGCCTACCCGCTCGCTGCTGGCAATACCGCCATCTTCAAGGGCAGCGAACTCTCACCAAGGGTCATGTGGGCGATCGTCTCGTGCTTTCACCAAGCGGGCTTCCCCGCTGGCGTCGTCAACTTGATTATTCATGCGCCTCGCGATGCGCCCGCCATCACATCGGCCCTTGTAGCTAACCCTGTGATCAAGAAGATCAACTTCACCGGCAGCACTGGCGTGGGACGCATCATCGCCAAGCTGGCCGCAGAGCATCTCAAGCCCGTCCTCCTCGAACTGGGCGGCAAGGCCCCGGCCATCGTGTGGGAGGACGCTGATCTCACCCAAGCTGCGGTCCAGTGCACTCTCGGCGCCTTCCTGCACGCCGGCCAGATTTGCATGAGCACCGAGCGCATCATTGTACACAAGACGGTGCGCGCGCAGTTTGAGAGGGAACTGGTGGTGGCGATGGACAATATCTTCCCCGCCAAGGGCGATGCGCCTGTCCTCATCTCTAATGCGGCAATGCGCAAGACGGCGAAACTTATCCGCGATGCACTCGACAAAGGTGCCTCGGTCGTGGCCGGCGAGGTGCCCACGGGCGATGGGTCAGGAACAACCACGAGGATGCGCCCCATTGCTGTGGGAGGTATCTCCCCCGAGATGGACCTGTACGCCACCGAGAGCTTCGGGCCATCCGTCGCTCTATTCGAAATCGCGACCGAGGAAGAAGCGCTCCGGCTGGCAAATGATACGAAGTACGGCCTATCCTCGGCTGTATTCACTTCGGACATGCGGATGGCGTTACGCTTCGCGCGGGAGATTGAGACCGGAGCTGTGCACATAAACAGCATGAGCGTACATGATGAGCCAGGCCTACCGCATGGTGGAGCCAAGGCGAGCGGCTACGGGAGGTTCAACGCGTCTGTCGGGCTGGATGAGTGGGTGAGGACCAAGACGGTGACGTTTTCGGTCTGAAATAGATGTCATGAGCCACATGTATCCCTGTTGTGTATTCCTGTCACACTGGTGAATTGTCGGCCGACTCTCAGATCGTACAGATATTCCTGTTCTCGACACTCTTGCGTTCCAGCTCAGCATTTCTTCGACTCCAGGAGCGGACAAGAAGACTGCGGCTAAGTAGGATTAGCAAGCTGTTCAATGATAAGAGGGGAGAACTCCATTTCCGACAGCTAAGGAACGTACGAAAGAGGACATGTGCCCGAGATGCTAACAAGCCAAGGGCCAATACACCCCACGTTGAATTTGATGATTGCAGGGCAAGAGGCGGAGGTCTGAATCCTCCGACCTCGATTTCGATTTCGTTCAGTAGACTTTTTGCACCCCAAACCGTCGCCTACGAGTTGTTATTATCACTATTGTTATTAGTATTATTATTAATAATCAAGTTTATTGTCCATACCGAGCCCTAAGGCTATGATAGACAACGAATCTGATGCAGGGTCTTTTTGCCGCGTGATGAGGCTACTTTCTGACCACTGCTTCCTGTTAGTTTCTGAGTTGAGCCGCATTTTATTACATTCGGATCCTTTTCCTCGCCCCATGTCGCCGCCTATCTGCACTGGGCTTTTGAGCCATCCGGGCTCCCTCGGTTCCAAGCAGGCTGGGTGTCCGCTAGGCTGAACGCTTAGGTTACCCCCGCCTGCTATCAGATCAAGCGCAGCACACGATAATCAGCCCGCGGTACTGTACAGAAAAGCACGCCTTGACAGTATCGCTTCGAGAGCCTATTGCTGCCGGCTATTTCAAGTACACGAATGGGCAATATAGATCGCATTTGTTGTTGCTATGGCGAGACTAATATGCGGTTTTCCAACCCCTTTTTAGGTCCGCAGCTTTGAGATGGGCCCCCAAGCTCACAGGAACTGCGAGATCACTACGTCACGTGCATTTCCTATTTACCTAGCAACCCCGGACTTTTCACCCATAAATCATTTCACTTGCTCACTGAGCAGAGGGGTGAGCAAGCGTGAGCAGATAGGGTCGCTCCCTATCTCCCCTCGGCGGCCGACGATCGGGCTGCCAAAGCTCTCCTTCAGGAACATCCAGGCTTCTCTTGCAACATGACGTCTTGACGAGACAGTCGAAGGCTGTAGTATCTAGTCCTCGCATCTGGGACTCCAAGTTGCTTTTCCAGAGCGCGCAAAGATGAATAGCAGAGAACAACAGTCAATGCTGCGCTTCTTCCACTTGAACTGACTGAAGTTTATCAAGAATGACCCGGCGCAATGGCTCAAAGGGGGCCATAGGTAACAATCCATGCCAATCTCGTAGATCTGCAAGTCTGACTTCTGGAGCAACCACATCGCGGGATTGATCCTGCGGAACCGCCGCAGCTAGTTGGTGTGAAGCATGAAAGTGATATATATATTTTGCATGTGGACCCGAGAAAGGTGGAGTGGATAATAATTTTGAACGCCCCATGTATTTCCTAGACGTAATCCTGAACACCACTGGTTTATCTTCTTGTTGTAGAAGCTAATACGTATTCGGATGTTTTTCGTCTCATCGTGGACATTATGGTAGACATCGTTGAGCGATTGCGTGGTGTGAAGTGAGTATCAAGTCAATCAGGCAAAAGAAATAGAGCGAGTGGTTGGGAGCCATGGTCCTTAGCGTTTCTTGTTGAACTTCGGGTTGTTGCAGGAAAATCGTCCATTGAATGGAGCCGCTATAGGCTAAGCGTTCGTGACTTGATCCACCGACCCCAAATGGAATATATTCTAGCCCTTCGGATGGGCGAGGGGGAGGCGCAGAGGAACTGTTTCCTATAGAGGAGACCCGGCCAGTCATCGTAGAGAGGAGGTGCTCCGAATGGATAATCGACCACCACAGCCTTGTTCTCGACTCGAAAACGTTATCATCGAAAAGCTCGTGTCTGGCTTGGAGGTGGAGCCCTAAAGCTACGCTCGAACGAGTTGCAGTACCTATCATTTTCCATGCTCCGTGGAGATGTCAGACGACCAAAGGCAAAAGTTATGACAGCATATTTGTGGAAATCCATTAGTACTGGGACCAACACCTGTTGATTTGTGCTGAAGCTAAGTGGTAGAATGCAGCAAGAGTTTCTATTTGCACCTGCTGAAGATCCTCGTGAACACTGAGGACGCTCTCAGCTATATTGAGGGACTGTGCGCGAGCAAAGAATATATACCCGTGCTCTTGAATATTCTGTCCTAACAAGGCGCACTGCTTACTGCCAACGGCAAGAACCATATTGAAGAGCGCCAACCAATTTTTACCTGCATCTGTCGCACTTGTCGAATACAGCTTGTGGACGTGATCGGTGAATTGATCTTGCCGTATAATAGGGAAAGATGGGCGGACACTTTCGAGGTAAAGACCAATTAGCGGGTAGGCAAGTGCTTTCGGTGGTGACACGTAAGGGCTGCTCGTTCCTAGCTTCGATATATCCGCAGAATCAAGCTGGTAATTCAATGAGGAAACTGGAGCCTTCGCTGAATCCTGGTACTGCTGGCAATGTGCAGAAAAAGTCCCGGTGCGTCCCTGTCTTCTAGTCTCTAACTTAAGACGTTGTATCCTCGAGACTTCGGAATATTTGTTACTATAGCTGGTGGCCCTGCTCTCTGCGCTTTGGCTGACATCTTCGTCCACGACATCACCTCTTCTAATGAGCCTATCGAAGAAGATGAAGAGACACTAGAAGACCTGCTTCCATGTGATTAAGCGATGAAGAGGACTTTTTATGTTAGCACGACGATTATGACGTATGTCTTGCAGCGAGATTTTATCCCACCTTAAGAACATCTCTGATCCGTCTCGAGACCGAAGCATCGACTTTACGAGACACTTCTTGAAGAAGGTCTTCGTAAAGAAACAAACTTTTCCTTCACTAATTTCAATTCTCTTCTCTCTCTCAGAACTTTATTTTCTGAATAGACGCATGACTCCAGTGACTGAGCTTCGCAGTGCGCACATATTGGCTTGTTGCCATCACACTTCCATTTGCGCTGTCGACTCGAGTTACGCGCCCTGGCAGTTCGTTTGCCACCGGATTTGTGGCTTTCGCTTTTCAGGCGGGGGATGGGAACTATGCTGAACATCTCGAGACTGTGGGCGATTCGGCTTTCCCACAAGTAGACCAGATCTATACTATTCACTTAACGACATATAGTAACAGAACCGAATATGTGCGGCACCAAAGTTATATCATCGCTATAGACTACGTTGGCTTCAGGGTTGATGACCAATCCAAGTAGATCGATCCAGTGCTGTTCCGTGGCCCCCTTTCCCCCTTTCCTGGCGGGCTCTTTGGCAACAACTATGATACTAAGCGCTGCCCATCCAATGCAGCTCTATAGAGGATATATAAGCTTGCTTCGAACAAGAGCATAACAAGTTGAAGACCAATAGAACCAGAATGGTGCAGCTATTCAGTATGACGGCCTTCAAGTCCGACCAAATAATATGCTCTCCCCGGCTTCTTGAAAATTAGTGTGGGCAGAAGTAGCTACGTCAACGGCTTTCGAACATCTTTTTTGTGGCAAACCAAAGAGAAAGAGGCAATGTCCGTCATTGGTATGCCCAGAAGGAATAATACTGAGCACCAGGCTTCAATCCTTTAATGAAAATAACTTTGACGCTGCACGTATTACCCATTATGGCATTCATCTACTAGAGGGTCTTAGAATTTTTTTCTTCTTCTTCGGATACCCCTTGAGGGGGCTTATCATTGGCCTTACCATATGCGAAAAATGTGCCGCAGCTCTCATTGGGCCGGAAATGTGATCCAAGATGTCACACCTTAGGGTAGCTTCTAGGCGGGCCTGATAGCGCACAATGCAGCATTTTCTATAGGCGCATGTCAGCTGCCGAGAGTCAGCCGCGTTGGCCAGCGAATTCAGAATTCGGACAGTATTATTTACCTGTGTTCGTGCGCGTTCTAAGTGTTCTGAACTCCCGAACTGAACCTTCTTATTGTCCATCTACTGCTTCGACCACTGCGCCTACGCTACGCTGTCGACCAGGTTGGTTGCTGCAAGCCTCTGGAGAAGGAGAAATAACAATACGCTGAACACACCGTGGGCCATACTGAAGTACTGGAAAGGTATTACTGTCCCTACATGTATACTACCCAATCATGACCTCGAAGTGTAAATTTATGTGCGTTGTCCCTCTTTCCAGTTCACAATAAAGTCTCAAAGGAGTGCTAGCTCCGGTAACTTTTGATGCCGAAAATCCTACCTCTCTTGGTTGCTTGCTGCGAATACAAAGCAGCTGCTACAACTGTATATCATCGTTGGCACGAAGCTCTCGGTCCTCTCACTTTACTATCGAATATTCATTACACCCAGCTTCCATTTGACCGTTATCTTCACGGCTGTCGTAATATGGCTTCGGTTCTGCGATATGGAAATCTCGCTTGGTCTGGAATGCCGCCCTATCCAAGCCTTTTGGGACGCTAGCGTGAATGGAAAATGTAACAACCCGGTTGCGCTTAGCTACTTTACCAACATCGTAAATCTTGTGGCTGATATCTGGATTTTCATCCTTCCGCTGCCTGTCAACCTCAAGTTGCAGATCTCCGCGAACAGCAGAACTATCCGTCGCTGACGCGAGGTATACCCTCGTTATGCTTAAACTCTCGCAACCATTGTTCGTTATCTGCTGGCGTCTGATTCCACGGATCGTCACTAAACATCAGAGCCTTGTCAGTAGAGTTGACGCTTTGAGTGCTGCTGCGTATGGAACTTACTCTTCGCACCATATCCAACGTGCTTGATATTTGATCTCATCATCCGTGGGAACGTGGCGGTCGGGATTGTGGATCGACATTGTTCTCTTGACGAAGCGGGATAGGTCTTTCACAAGAGCCCAATACGAGTTACCGCCATTGTGGAAGTGTACTCGCCCTAATGATGCCCTCGTAGGTTGCTGCGTGTTCAATGTAGTATATACGGGATCAGGGAGCCGCTTCATTGTTATGCTATCAGTGCTTCCAAGTAGTCTCGCTACACCACTGTTAAATGCCGAATTCGGGACAACATCGAAGCCAGATGCAACATCCGCTGTGCCCAGTAAACTAGTTTGGCTGGTAACTTGAGGGGAGAGATCGGAGATGAGTATTTCAATGCTGCCCGAGTCATGCGCTGTTCCTAGGAATGCATCTGTCGGCAATGTCGGGAGTTCAAGAATCTCACCCATAGTGGCGCGGGTGCCATTGGGTGCGGAAGCTGGGTACATTGGATTTTCAATGGCACCCGTGCCTCCTGAACACCCCGTGATTGGCAAATCCAGAGGACCTCTGTCGAGGTCAGGGACGGTAGGGATGGAATGCTGGTTGGCTTTATGCATACCGTCGACAGCCTGCTGCCATGCTCTTTCAAGCAGAAGGGTAATCCAGTTCATAGAGCTCCAAATGAGCCGTACCATGAAGTCCATGAACCGTTTAGATCCATTCAAGGATCCGGTATCCGCACGACTGATGGCATTGCAAGCTTCTTCTTGTATTTCTGAGTCTGAGAGGACGAGACCCAGAGTCTGGTGCATAATGACGAAATTGCACAACTCGAGCTCCAAATCGCAATTCTCAAAAATATTTTTTTTCCCATTGATGCTAAGCTGGCTTACTCGCATCTTGCAATGATTGACTGGGCGTAAGCGAGCCCGCTTTGTAGTTTCATCTGATGACATGAATACATCTCGGAGCCAGGACGGTGCTCTCTGGGCAGGAACAGGCGATGACAATTCCGCTGCAAGGATGATGGAACAAGCCTCATATTGAAGTTCTGGGTCAGAAGGCAGACTGCCCTCAGTATCAAATTGATTTTGCATATAGTACTCAAGCTCTACCTTGAGGAGCTCATATGCACTGGTCGGCGTCTCGGTAGGTCCTTCTACCGCAGAAAAGGGGAGAGGCGAGATTTGTTCGTGATAAATAAGGTCTAGACCCAATTAGCCTAAATCAATCAGGTCTCATGGCAAACAAAATAGTCACTCACAGGGAGGCATGGCATTTTCAACCATTTCCAACACATGATCGTCAAACCCCCAATCGCCGTCCCAATCGGCCATTGTTGCCCCTGCCTTGAAGTGTTGGCCTAAGTGGTTCGCACGATGTATCCACGATGTCATGAAGATGCCACAAAGCCCGCATCGTGATTTGATATCTTCGTTGCTGACCTTCCACGTTTTCATTAGCCAATCTGAATAGTCTACGGCATGTACCAGCCTCAAGTGTTGCCGAAGATGGTCTTTTCGATAGAAAGTCCGCTCTCCAGCGGGTCGTTCCGAACATTCAGTCGCATTATGATCTCGGAGATGTTGTTCATTCGGACTGGCTTCTCCACAAAAAGTACACAGTGTCCCTCTGTCGGCATCGGGTACTACTGACCCATCCCTCGAGCAAATCCATTTCTCGAAAGAGAGGTGTAGTGACTTTTCGTGTCGATGCCAGTCGAACTTGGTCTTGAAAGTTTCAGTACAGAACGTGCACTGGAACGTTCTGAGGGGTCGTGACAGCCGTGGAAGCCCGACTCTAAATTTTTCAACTCTTCTGGAACTGGTTCGCCTTCTTCTGCGATGAAACATAGGCTTGAGAGGATCCAGAGGCCAGAGTGAAGTGCGCTCATCGGAAGAATAGGTCGATAAGCCTGAGCCAGAGCCTCTGCTTGAATGTGATGGCCCCTCACTTCCGATTAAGGATGCGTTGCCCGAGGATGTAGCCGAGTTCTGAGAGCTGTATGCGATGAACTCTTCAGAGCAAGCGGCAACGGCGCGTGATATGTCAGAAACTGCCGCTGCTTCGTGTTCAGGTGGCGAGTTCTCCCATCGTTGAAGTGGACCCATATTTCCGAAAGGTGCAGGCGTTGGCCGCCTTGGAGGTATGTCGACAGGAGATTCCTGAGCCGGTATTGGATCGGTGGGTCTCCAAGGACCCCACGAGGATGATAGAGATCCTTGAACCTTGGAGCGTCGCCGCATATTAGAGAACCAGTTCTGTATCTGCTTCTGACTGAGGCCAGTCTGAGCCTCAAGCTGTTGTATATCGTCGGCTGTTGGGTAAGGGTGATATTCATGATTCGCGAACCATCTCTTTAGCAGCTTTAGGGCGGAAGGACCAAAACGATTGCCAATCTTGGGGGGCAATCTTTTTTGGCATGCCGAAGCGTAGTTGATGCTCCGATAACATCGTCAGGTATATGTGCGATGTCAGTCGCGGCTAAAAGTGAGACTAGCTGTTCTTCTGCAAACAAATCAATGTTGATCCTTGGCTGGTACTGCATCAAGTCGGCCAATGCATTTCGCTCAGAGGTTGCAACGTCGCCCCAGCTAATTGGTTCCGGGTCTTCTGGAAATGGGTCATGGATCGGTGGACCAGAACCAAATTCGTCTACTGATGACGGCTCAGTCATGGTTAAGATGAATGATTGTAAAGATGTCGATAATTGGGGCATTAGGCGGGATGAGATCCAGATACACTGTATGTTACGTAATGAGGGATTTTCGTCATCGAAGGGCGTATGACTTGACCCACTTTTTTACACATTAATCAACCATTTCCGGAGCCATCAAAAATCATCCAGTTATGGGCAAGAGAGAAGCCCAATTGTGTGGGCAGGGCGTAGGACGTCACGAGCTTACCGAATTGACAATAATATAGCGTGGCTGGACCATACATATTAGGATCCACCCTCCTGCTCGGTACTTTGAGTGGAGGAATGACACAGCACCCTATTCGCTGTATCGCGTCTATAGCCGTTTTGGAATCGATAGCTCCCACCACGCACACAGGGATTAACGCCACAGAGAGCGGCGACATTGACCCTCATCATCATCGTAAGGCAGGTGGTTCCCTAACCAAGGATGCTGCTCAAAGCGATACCCACATGTAGGTCATCTCGACATTTTGTCCTATATTTCCATAATTAGCAAATTCACCCCGCCGGTAGACGTACACTTATTCTAAGCTGGATAGCATGTTACCGAAATCTTCTCAGATCGGTTAAAACTAGATTGGTTGATTCACGCCCTTTTTATGGGGCTGTTTGTAGACATGTTCTTGGCGCGCTCTCTAACTATCTGGAAAAGCCACACATTAGTAGCCGTAATAATGCTTATAGTGATCTATTTCAGAGATAACCTTCCCTGATTTTAACACATAGATCACCTGAGCGCTTCAAACCCATCATCACCGTACGGTCTTCCCTTGGAACCCGTTTTCATCTTCGAGAGAGGCTTTAGCTTATTGCATCGCTTGGCAGACCGCAAACATGGCGAGCGAGACGACGACCACGCAGGCAGACTTGCACCCCTTGGAACTAATCATTTTTGATCGACTTGATCGACTTGAATATGAGCAGTCCCCGTCATCTCGGCGCCTCAGCTTGCAACAGGCAATGGTGATATTACAGGTTCTTGCTGTCACTCTTACCGCCAGTGTAGTCAATGGTTTGGTAATCGTCGGTTTACCGACTATCACTAGGGATCTCCAGCTTCGGCCATCGCTTGCCTTTTGGCCATCGTCGGCGAGTAGCCTAGCTACCGCATCAACACTTCTATTGGCTGGATCAATGGCTGATGCAGTCGGTCCAAGATGCATTGAGCTTGTCGGGGCTTTCTTGAGCGGAAGCTTAATCATCGGCCAAGGACTATGCCAATACGGGGAACAATTTGTCTTAATGAGGGCCTTCCAGGGTCTTGGCCTCGCGCTTCATCTGGCTTCATCGATTTCTATTATCACGCAGCTAATGCCGCAAGGCAAAGACCGCAACCTTGTCTTCTCTGCCATGGGCATCAGCCAGCCTCTTGGATTCTCGATTGGACTATTTGTGGGTGGTATTTTGGTCGACACTATTGGCTGGCGATCGGGGTGGTATATCGCTGGGGGGACAACGCTCTTTTTTGCCGTTATCGGTCTGCTAGCTTTGCCGAAAAACAAAGACCATCAATATGCAGATCCGATCAATAATATTCGGACAAATATTGACTGGGTTGGCGCTTGTCTGGCTTCTGCTTTCATGGCTCTGCTCTGCTATTTCCTTGCGTGAGTATAATAAACTAGCGTACCGATATTTATCTATATTAACAAGGATACAGCATTTTGAGCGCCAATCCCTCTAGTATTACGTCTACTGAGAGCATCGTCATACTATGCCTTGCTGCTATTGCTCTTCCTTCCTTCCTTCTGTGGATGGAGTACCAGGTCAAACGGAATAGGCCAGCGCTAATTCCCAATTCATTTTGGATAAACGTATCATTTTCGAGCATCTGCACTACTATTGCTCTCTCAAACGCTGTACTCAACTCTATGGAGCTTTTCACTGGGCTGTTGTGAGTGACTACATCCTGGCCTCTCTTATGTGCTTTCGCTGATCCGGTCCAAGTTTCCAGGAAGTCCAGCACCTATCCGCTTTCCAGACATCGCTTCGCATTCTACCAAGTCTTGTAGTGGGCGTATTAGTGAATCTCCTTGTCGGATTCTCGGTGCACAAAGCCCCTGCTGTCTGGATTGCGACGATCACATCTTTTCTCTGCGCAGGGTCACCCTTATTGATGGCCGTTATCCAACCGTCATGGCCATATTGGGCCAACGCTTTTGTAGCTCAGCTATTGCAGCCAATCAGCGTAGATGCCCTCTTCACTATTGGTCTGATCTTCATCACAGATGCTTTTCCTGACAATACTCAAGCTCTGGCTGGTGCAGTATTCAATACTTCGGCGCAGTTCGGTACCGCCCTTGGACTTGCTGTTATGCAGGTTACCTCGACCATTACCACGAACAAATCCCAGAAGCTGGAAACGCAGGCGCTCATGGAAGGCTACCGGGCGAGCTTCTGGACCATGTTTGGATTCATGCTTCTCTGCACGGTCGTCTCCTTCCTCGGATTAAGAAATGCCGGTAAAGTGGGACTTAAACGGGATTGAGCTGAGAAGACGGTGTTGCCACAGGTAATACAATCACCCAGCAACGGTGTCTCAAAGTAGGTGTCAAGCATGTCCTTTAAGAAGGTTGGTGCTTAGATGGCAATTATATCACACCTGTCGCGGAAATGTTCGAAAACAGATCATCCCTAGGTGGCACTTTTGCTCTCTGCGATGCTGCTGTTGTATGGAGGTACAGTCAACGAAAGATATCGAGGGAGTAGTTGTCTTTGGGATTAGAGCCTCAATTAGTCCGGTCTACGAAATGTATTCCATTCGTGGTCAGTGGTCTATTGCTGATTATATCGCTAATAGGCCTAATGAGGGGCTATATGTTGGGATATTAAGATTTCTTCGTGATCTATTGCCCTGTCACTCCCACACAGTCGTCCTGGAGCCATAGTTGCTCTCTCTTACAGTGCAGAGTCCCACTAGACCCAAATTGGAAGTGCCATGCCATGCCGTTACGTTAAATTATGTGCTTTGGCAGGCTTTGGATTGACGACGACCCAATCTACAGTGTAGATTCTACACAGTAAAGGATACTTACTTAGGATAGGGCACAAGCCAGCGAAACACTATCACACGTTGATTCACGTCATTAGCCGAGTTCCGAAGGACAAATGAAGAACATCATACAGTAAGTTTTCGAATTCAGTTTGACCTCACACTCTTTACACTTGATTCCCGGAAAATAAATCCAAAATACGCTAATCCCGTTTGAGGTCATCGCTTGATTAATTGGCAGAACCGTGGTGTTAATGGCCATAATACAGCACGGGACCTATTGTAATAATACTGTAATGATACATCGCATCCTCCAGAATCGCTTAGTAGATCCGGCGAACGTCGGCCTGTTTTCCGCCTTCCCACCAGTCCCAGGTTACCACTTCCCCTCATTCTTTTCACGTACAGCACAGCCTTCGTGGACAGACAGCTGTGGCGGGAAATCTTCCTGGTGGTATTAAGATGGATATACACAAGTATAACTGTCGTGAGGAACCTAGTGATTCTATCCTAGAGAAGTATGCATGACCTCTTCTTTTCCCCGGTCGGCCTTGGTAGTTGCGATGCGATGATAGCCTGGGGTGATGACTTATGGTCAGCTACAGTCGGTAAATAGGAAAGAGTGACGGTGATTGGTACTGTACTGTACCTCTTCAAAGACTTCTTCCACACCAATTTTCTCTAAAGCAGAGCATTCGATGTATTTAACAGCGCCCAATCTCTTAGCTAACTTATGACCCTCCTTTCTTGTCACTTGCTTTCTCCACCCGTTATTATCTCGAGAGCTTTGCTCATTCCTCAAATCAACCCGAGTTCTAATGAGCAACCACGGAACGCCCGGACAGAAATATTGGATTTCATCCAACCACATCTCCACATTTTCAAAGGATAGCCGTCCTGAGAAACAGACAAGGAGGACGTCTGTTCCAGGGTATGAAAGCCGGCGGATGCGGTCATGTTCTTCAGGTTTGTAGGTGTCGCACAGTCCCAGGTAGTAGGACTGATCGCCGACTCTGGCGGTAATGGATGAATCGGTTAGTGAAATTCGACGTTATCCACTATAATAGGCTACAATAGGAGGATTTACCTAACTTTGGTGGAATAATTGTCAAAAACGATGGGGACTTCTTCCGGGGGACAAAAATAATTGGCTGTGTATTGAATAAGGAGGGTGGTTTTGCCAACACCATTATCCCCGACCAGCACGCACCTAGCTTAGTAATAATTATATCAGCAAAGAGCAAAGTGTCTGAGGGGGTAGGAATATATTGCGAACTTAACAGACTGAGTAGTGTCAGACATAATTGGTTTAATCGCCCACCCTCAGGGAACGGCAATTGCCTAAAATATAGTAGTTAGTAAGTGGAAGTAATTAGTAAACTGAAAGGAGAACGGGCAGCGAAAGGAGCGGCAAAAAAAAACTGTGACAATACAACACGTGGGAGGAAGCACGTACAAGATCAGGAAAAGGATAAAAGTGTTGCTCTATTAAAAATGATAGCCTAGGAGAGATTAGGAGAGATCTAGCGTTGCTGAATAATCATCGTAATTGTGTAGTAAGCAAAGAAGATCTATATCCTGTAGGCTGAGAAGGAGAGCTGAAGAGGGCCCAAGGATAATGGGATAATCCAACTCTTTTCGGAATATGTTGCCTACAAAGAAATAAATACGCTCTTCAGCTGAGTCCATGTGTCCAAGCAGGCCTTGCTAAACTCCCTTCCTCCCGCACCACTTTGCTTCCATCCACCCATCGGCAGATCAACAACCATGAAGGGACTTGTACAGTTAACTCCAACTGCACCAGCTTCCAGCGCTTTGGCAACTCTCACAGCTCGTGAAATATCGCTTGTAAAAACACTCGAGTACAAACCAAACTCGGTATCATTGGCCCTCTTCAAGACCTCCTCCTCGCCTGTAAAGGTGTTGACCACAAGCAAAGGACCAAAGATTTCCTCCCTGACCAACTTATCGTCTTCCGGTACATTCCGAACAATAGTCGCATCCACAAAGTAGCCCTTGTCACGAGCCTTATTTCCGCCAAGGATGATCTCGAAGCCCTGCTCTTTTGCGTGGTCGAGATAGGACAATACCCGACTGAACTGCAGTTTGTCGACTTGGGGCCCTCGCTTGGTATCGGCAAGTGTAGGATCGCCCGGCACGCCCATTTCGGCCATTGCTTGTTTAAGAGCTTCAATGAACCTGGGGGCAATGCCTTCCTGTACGTAGATCCTAGTACTAGCCATGCAGACCTGGCCTGAATTGTACAGAATGGAGAAGGTAGCGGACATGACTGCCTTCTCGAGAGGTGCGTCGTCGAACACAAGCAAAGGACTTTTACCGCCAAGCTCCAAGCTGATGTCCTTCAAATTGGACTCACTGGAAGCTTTCTGAATGGCTCTACCAGTGGCGACGGATCCAGTAAATGAAATCCTTCTAATATCCATGTGCTTGGCAAGAGCCTCACCGCAAGGTTGACCGAATCCACTCAGGATGTTGAGTACACCTTTAGGGAGACCGACTGTCTGGCACAACGAAGCGAAGATTATAGATGCGAAAGGGGATTTCTCCGACGACTTGAGCACCATGGTATTTCCGGCTGCCAAGGCTGGTCCAATTTTGGTGACAAGCATAAGCAAAGGAGCGTTCCAAGGGATGATGCCTCCGCACACGCCGTACGGCTGACGGATGGACAGGTTGAGGTAGCCAGGAGTATTGAGAGATGTCTCTCCAGTAATATCCATCGCATGGCTGGCAAAGTACTTGAGGTATTGCTTTGAAGTGGCTAAAACAACTGTTCCTTTGTCAGTAAGGTGCAGTGCTCATGGAACTTGATACAGAAGTCTGCAAGCAGGAAGGTACGAGACGACTAACATTTCATTCCGGACGGTGGCATTCCCATGGTAACAGCCTCTACATGAATGAATAGCTCCTCATTTTTCTCAATCTCATCCGCCAGTTTGGACAAATAATCGCATCTTGCCTGAGCTGAGAGAGCTGACCATGCTGGAAAGGCAGCTTTGGCCGCTTCCACAGCACGGTCGACATCTCCAACATCGGCTTCCTGGACGGCGGCTATGACCTTCTCAGTCGTGGGGTTGATTATATCAAACGTTTTGCCGGAGAACGAAGGGACGAATTCGCCATTGATAAAGAGTCGGTTCTCCTTGAGCGAGTCGGTAGTCATGACGACCTGGCACAAAAGCAAACAATATATTGGCTTCTTCTTACAAGTGCAACTGAGCGGCAATTAAATGCTGCGGATGTAAGTTGAGACTAATGTCACGATACAAAGAGAAGTGGCTGGCGCCTTCCTTTTATGCGGTGCTATGCTATTCAGATGAGCCCGGAACCCGCCCCCGCCCCCTAAGAGAGTTCTCAAAGGTACAGCCATCAACTAGCACAATAGTAAGTGTTTAATCCCTCGCATGATGTCGTCGGAGTCCCCGGATGGATGTGGTCTCCGGGAATCTTGCAACGTTGCAAGTGGCTGCTCAGTTGTCGATCGCGTCATATATCTCCACTTAGAAGCCCTCAGGCGGGAAGCCGCTGTTTATATCGGAATTAAGAGCGTAGACCGAGAGTGAGCTAGAAAGCCGGTGAGTCCAAATTTCTACTTCCCGATTGGTCATTATGAAGCTGTGTGATGGTCCGTTAAAAAGAAATAGCCGAAATTTGTGGAATACAACACCCAAAAACATATCCATGCTGGATCCTCGTAGTTCCGCTGACTAAGCGGCATAATAGCCCACAAAGTCCACAGATGGTTAGTGGATCCGGTCAATGAACCTAACGGCGTAGGACTGGCTACAGTGTGCTGTGGCGGAGATGTCTACGAGGCCCTAGTACTTGTTCCAAACCTTCAGTCCTAGCTTTCGCTGCGCTCCTCCCGCAGCAACCATAAACCTCAAAATACTTTTGTCATCCTGGAAGATGCTCACGTCCCAGTTAGTAAGCGGATGCTTAGACACCGTCCGGCTCCATGAGGATCGAGTTACGAGAAGCCGGGCTTAGGTCGAATATTCTGTTTACGACACACAATAGTTTACTGTGGTTCAGTGGTACGGGCTCCTGGGCCAGCTCGGCCCTTTAGCAATCAACTGGCGACCGGGCGGGCTTACTAACCGAGTAGGCCAAGGAGCGTGTGGCTACAGTGCTTATTCGATCAAGATCCGGATCTTGAGGGCCGAACATGAGCTATGCCGTTACACCACAACGCTAGTTGATGGTAAAGCACCACATGACCGTTGAGGTCGCGGAATCGTGGTAAATCTTGGGATGGTTATTGTCCCGTGATCCTTTGATTCGTAAGATTATCATCGTGGACGAAAATCGTAGTGTTTCTCATGATACCACTAGTCTGAGGGGGCTTGGTTCATGAGAAGACCCTTAGAGTTGCTGAAGTATCGTGACATTTCTTACGACAGCGATGGCCGTATGTCCTTGCGGATCGCAAGAGAGTCAGAGCTCACAGAAACCGTGGCTTTTCCTATGATATAGATAATCGGATGATCGTTCGGTTCGTGAGAGACTAAAACGCGCGGAAACCGTGGTTTTTCCTATGATATAGATAATCAGATGATCGTCTGGTTCGTAGGAGCCTAAAGCGCGCGGAAAACGTGGTGTTCCCTAGGATCTACCTTTTCCAACGATATGTAGGCTCCCCCCGAAGGGTCTGAGATTATAAGAAAATCTGTGGTTTCTCCTATGATAGAGATAATCAGAGGACCCCCTCCTTCGGGAGAAATTCAGAGTTCGCGGAAACCGTAGTTTTTCCTACGATAAAGAGAATCAGACGATCTTTTGGTTCATGAGACACTAAGGGGTGCGTCAACCGCCCAATCAATTGGTTCATTATTGTGCGGCCCATGCATGGCCGGTTTTTATAGAATCACCAGAACCACGACGAATACCATGACCTTTCCGCAACCTCTGTACGATACTCCGTAGTGGCGTATGCACGTGACTTTGCTGACTTGCAGATTGATTGGCTATTGATGGCGAGTTTGTGGCATCCAGCCTCGCTTCTGTAGATAATTGGGAGATAACAAGCCAGGCCACGGATCCTTTCTCCCATAGAACATATTACTGTAGCCAACGATGTAGAGAAGTGAATCTGACAAATGAATACAACCACTTCGAGGGTACAGTATAAGTTCCCGCGTAAAGCTAATGGATCAGAGAAACCAATGTATGATTGGGGATTGGGTACTCTGGTATTCCTTTCTCCACCTTGGAGTAGCGTGGCTGACGTTCACTTCATCATAAGGTCGTGCTTGGTGCGGCGACCTCATTTGCTCGCATCCTAAGGGACGAAACCAACCCATAGAAGCTTCTGGAGCATTGGCTGTCATAGTCGCAGCTGTATAGGCTGTTTTCGATTATGTACAACTGAAAAAAGCGGCCGAATACAGCAAGATGTGCGATGCTGATGTCTGTGTGGGCATACGTCTTCGGGAAACCGGCCAAGTATTTATCAAGTTACGCTCTAATTTCGCATCTGGCTCATTTCTACTGTCGTCAGAAATTTTTCGGCAACTCAGAAATGAGTCACCTACTAAATGCGGAGGTTTTATTGGCACCTCTCGAGGGACCTGGTGGGTGTGAATGTGGGATAAACCCTCAATACTTGCCTTACAAGTTGGATCTATTCCATGAAGCTATCGCGCAATGCAGGAAGAGAGAGCTTGTACGAAGACTGGAACTATAGTATCAATGCGTGACCATTGAAAGCATCTTTCTTTTCGAATGCTGTACATGAAATTGTTTCCGCCCCCTATTATATATAGTTCCTCAATATAATACCTATTCCGATCATTGCCCAGCTATTCCAATTACCCTACTTCAAAGAAAAAGAAATCCAACTAGCACTGTGAGATTCAAGTCGGCTTGCTTTCACAGAGCCAGAGTTGATTTGTCCAGGGTGGTACTTAGGATCGTGCTGCTCAGGAAGTACGATACTTCGTCTCCTGACTTTGTACGCCATGGTCTTGATAGATCCCTTAGAGCAGGCAGATTCTCTTCGGAATTGGTGCTCTAAATTCTCCATTTGGCCCGCACATTGCGGAAGTAAACTCAAAGTCAGGATTTCCGGACCGCGCTCTCTTCTGGCTTAGTCCATTTGAGCCGGGAGGATAGTGCGGTGAGTTTGAATGACGAGAGCTCTGGCTGGCGGACGACTGCTGGTGTGGCCCAGGAAGCTGTGGTGGCGCTTTAAAACTGCCAGTGACAAGTAAGGCACCGCCAGGCTGAGCAAACGGTGGATCATGGTGGCGGTCAGATGACAATACTCCGTCCCTGCTAAAATGTCCACTGGGAACCGCAAAATTAGCATTTAGAACTGAGCTAGTTGTGAGTAGTCCCTTGGACCACTCCTGGCGAGCAAATATGGCAATTGAAGGAAGAGGCTATAAGGAACCGCTTACTCGTCATATACTGGCAGCAGACCCGAGTTAAGCCCAGCTGAGCACACCGATGCCACAACTCGACCGGAATCCGATCCCCGGCTCGGGTACCGTCCCACTGGCCTTGGGGCAGAATGCGGCCCTTCGGCTCCATAATATCCAGCCGGGCCTATTCCTGAATGCCTCCACTGGGGCGTTACACTGGGAGATATGGAATGATTCCTCGAGCCCTCATGGCGGTAACGAAGCTCTCTGATGTCCACATAAACTCCCATGTGCGTTATGGGGTACTTTTTTGGTTCCATGGGTCTTCTCATAAGAATAATCACCATGGAAGTTGTTTCGGAATCATCTGGACGAGGGTTTCGAGTCACTTTTGCATAAGAATTTTCTTTAGCATAGACGTAGCTCCATATCATCCCGGGACATTCTGCTCGTCGGTCTTGGACGAGCCGGTCGACTTGAGCACGCTGGTTGGGGCTCAGTTTTTGGTACTGCCATTCAACCTCAAATTCTTCTGCACGCGAATGGGTCAGGTTGCAGAGCTGTTCTTGTTTCATGTATAGCTCGGTTCGCTCTGCGCATGCCCAGGTTGCCTCTTTTCCTGCTCTGTAGAATTTGTATGCTTCAAAAACGGGTCCGCTTGATGGAGAAAGATAGCTTTGCTGGGGGAAGTTTGCGGTGGCTCGTAGGGGGCGGTAGCAGTGGAACGTGTTTCTTGACTGCGGCCTGATTCGAGATCATCGGAATTGGCTGACATTTGGTTGGACTGGGGGAGTGACTGAGCGAAAATCTTTATAAATAAATTGGAACCCGTTGGGAAGGGAAGCAGGTTATATACCGCTGCTGTAGGTGAATAATTCCCGGGATACGCCACCACTTCGCCCGGGTGACAGAACTGCGTCTAGGCAGTGATGAAGTCCGCCGCGCGAGTCATACTTGCGCACCCTAGTCTTTTGCAGCACAAGCGAGATAACGGAGTCCAATTTGCACTATGGCCGGGCGGTGCTCCTAGGAATCAACATCGGGCCCAAGCCCCCGTATCCTAGCCCAAAGCAGACGCCCAATTAGATTGGGTTTTGCGAAGTTCACCTAGCCCACCATCAACATTAATTGGTACTTACGTGTGGCACGGCTGTTTCAGTGGTTTGTTAAGTGGATATCCTCAGGATCGGCAAGGAACTTGCGAGATTCCACTCCTTGCGCTCTCAGTGTGCCACGAACTGAGGCAGTGGGGATCAACCGTGCAAATTGCCATTTCAGCCATTCGGATTTACTGCTTGTCTTGGTGGCATTCTATTTTAAATCAGGCGAAGAAAGAAAAAGGTCTCGAATGAGTCACGCCCCTTTCTACATGGAAACAGCCTACGACGCAGTCAATGGTCCCAACTTGGATGACAGCAGTGCACTGTTTGAGAGAGCGATTCGGATAAGAACTAGAATACAAGAGCTGCTCGGGTCAAAAGTCTCTGCAGAGAACGACTAATTGACATATTCTTCAGATGGGATCCATAGATATAAAAAAGGGGCTCTCACGGCCTCCAACTGTTTGCTTGAGGGCAAGCAACGTGTGACATGGCGTTGGTTCCTTCTGTCCAGCGCTCGCCGTTAAAGTTTGAGCCTGAACTTTCTTACTTAAACAGCGGAAAGCCGGTCGATATACAAGTCACATTTGGACCTTGAACCGAACTAATAAAAAGGGCAAAAGAATCTCGCACATTACTACGGGTCGGTCTGGCGCTAACGCAGAAGTATCACTCGCAAGCAATTGATCTGCATCATTAAGCCGTCTGCCTAAATCCCCAAGGCAAAGTCAAAATGCCTAAGCCCCGTCCAGGCGAGGTCAGCCGCACACCGCTTCTAGAAATCTCTACCTGAGCACACGGTATGGCGGGGGCTATGTGTCTTGAGCTGGCCACAAAGTCACCATAAAATACCGCTATAGCAACTGCTGCCCACTAAGAGCCTAGCGTTATCACCTTGCATGGTTTATCATCAAGCTCCTGAAAGAGAGCCACATAGGTCAAGATACATGTTTCCAGGGTTGGTTAAACGATCAAAGAAGAGCATAGAGTAGCAAGTCTGTTTATTGAGATCCTGGAGGCTGCATCACGCAGGCCACGAATGACAACACAGGGGTCCTTTCGGATTCAACAGATTTGCTCAAAGCTTCAGTATTGAGCTCGGACAGCCTGTAATAAATAATTGAGGCGTCATCGTATACACCGGCTACTAGGCTCAACCCCGGTAGTGTGGTCTTCATGTCTAGTGGAGTGTATCGGATGACATCCGCGTCGATACAGTAGAAGTCGATACCCGTTTACCCTTCGGGCACATGCACTTGTTTCCCGGCTCGTACCCGAAACGTGGCTTATGCCAATTTGGACTAGCCGTATATTCTAGTCTATGGGTGGATGTCAATGTACCACTTCTTTTAACAAAGGCTGCACTTGTTTCGGGTACGACCTGGGAAACAAAGTGTGCGTGCCCGAGGGGTAAACGTGTCTCAAATTCTACTGTATCTCCGTAGGATGCCATGACGGAGAGTCTGGAAGAGCGGTTCCCAACTCCATAGAGGTCCAGGCCGTTCTGCTCAATTAATGCGTACCAAGACATAGATTATGAGAGGAAAAACCAACACAAAGAAGTCTCTTCATATACATAGGACTTCACAAGCCTCTAGGCCCGCTGATACTGTCTTTCTGTTCCAAATATTCTACTCTACCTTTTTAGGTGCAATCTCCCCTTGGAGATCTTTGCCATGGCACTGAAATTTAATCACTCAATCGGAGTGTCTCATACTGGGCGTTCAAGATGTTTATGTCCCTATTTCTGTTCTTCAAGAAATGAATACCGACGTCGACCGTTTACAGCCAGCTTCGTCGTCGTCCGTGAGAATACAGACAACTCATCCCAGCCGCAGGTTCTCCTATCCAGCGTGGACACCAGAGTTTCTGGGATGGGAGCTGGGGGATACCCCGGGGAGGCCGGCTTGGAAATTCAACCAGATTCATCTTCCCTGTTGCGAATAGAATCATTATCTTGCACAAGGGGTTGCGAATGACCAGTTACACATTCATCACGGAGCTTGCCAGAGAAGCTTCATTCGCTTTGTCCAATGAACATCTCAACTGGGGCTTTTTTGACGAGGGAAATATGTGACGTTTTGGTCCATACAAGTACGGAAAAGCCTGCAAGATGGACATGTGATGCTGGAAAAGAAAAAGGAAACGCTTCGCCATATTCTATCAATAAGGAGGGGCTCAGAACGGTGATGTGATAATAGAACCACACAAAAAGAACAAATTAGTCAAGATGTGGAAGGTGCGGGTGTGGATATCGTTCATCGCGAACACTGGATCTTGATCGAGACAACTAAGGAGACTTTACGAGCATCTTTTTTGAGATTCAATTCATCACAGTCCATGTTTATCTGATACTTTCTTTAATTATGACGTGTGGGCAAAGCTCTTGAAGCACTGGATGTCAGCGAGTTTACTCCCTGGTCGCGCGTACTTCAGCCTCATAAAGCTCATCCTGGGAATACTGTATGACCAGGCTGTGTTTCTAGTGCTGGCCCAAAAGCCGTCGTAAAATGCCCTATAACAACCACCATCGTGGCAGTCAGAGGTTCAAGCAAGCTGAATTTAGGAAGCGAAACCGAGGATGGTTATACGGAATAATTGGAGAATCTTGAAAGGTTACTCGGCTATACAATAGCCAGCTACCGATATCCATGCAAAGGTCTATATTAGTACAATGCCAGATGTCTCAAACGCAGCGGTAACCACCGACGTTCCGACCAACTCGTACTTGGAAGGGTGATGTCGTCGCAGCCAGACTGCAGAAACCACTATTGGATTGTATGAAATCCCGTCAAATACTTCGTAGCTATGCTTGGAATGTACAATACCATGCACATCGCATTTTACGATAGCCCTCGAATTGATGAGGCCTACCCAATTAATGATCTGCGCTAGGGCCTTGGCAGTGGGACCAGGAAGGAGTTTCTCTGTGTGTATTGGTCAAGGCGATTCGATAATGACTGTATCGCTAACCATTCTTATCCTGGTTACTCTAATTTGCTTTGGCATGTCCGGTTGGTTGGTACTGTACCAAACAGCGTAGTTGAAACGCATCCCGGAAAGCTTCGGTATCTCTGAAAATTGATAGGTAGCTAGCGTTAGCTAGCTAATCAAACAATTACGGGCTAAGCAATGCTACCTTCTGTGAATTGAGATCTATCCAAGGAGCATTAATATCATCTAGAGACTGTATAGATTGGCAAATGGTTCATCGCACTACGCGCACAGGCCTTACTTTAGTGGCTATCTAGCCCTTCGCACCCCAGGAGTTTCGGGAGATAAGTCTATGCTCTCAAGTCACGTCATATTGATGTAAGCGTCGTCCACTGTTTATCTTGTCGGGTGTTAACTAAGAATAATAGTAAGAGCTGTTTGCATAGAATCCGTTTCTTTCTTCTTTCTACTTTCTTCTTTCTTTCTTCTTTTTTGGCGTGGAAAGTGGTGTAAAATTGAGGTTTGTATATCAGGTCATTGTGTGGAAATATAAGATCGAGTTCCAGCTAATTAACGCAGGATCATTGGCAATTGACAAAGGAATTACAGTTGACCAAGCCAAATAGTTGAAGTCTGTATATATATGTCGACAGTTGAGTCTGACTGATATGCACTGCGGCACTGATAGAGGACTGGCTCCTCGGTCTTTCTTTTGGAATGGTACATTTGTTCCCACACCTGTTTGATTTGCAACTTCATAAAGCTACCCCTCCGCCCTCAATTATGCTTGTATCATAACCAAATTGATGCTTCTATCTGGACGACCGTCGGCGCTGGTGTTGTAAATTCGAAGAAACTGATCAGGGGTAGAAATTCGGGTCTATCAATATTTTCCCAAAAGTCTGCAGTAGTCTCCCACTTTGCCGACGTCAGCGTAGAGTCTGACAGAAGTGGCAAGGTTCTGTGTGTCACGGCAAGCTAGTGTGGCAGACAATTTGCAGTCAATACATTCCCGTTCTTCAACCCATTTCACTGATTCGACGTAGTTCTGGCGTTCTTCCCATCGCCTCTGAATTTCTGGGCTAACAGGATTTCCTGTACGGTCATATTTTGATGGGAGGTCAAGTGGCGGGGGAACTGTGTACAAGAACATTGGAAACTCCACTATTTCCCACGGGACCGTAGAAGCGCCTTCCCAGTCGATGACGGAAAGAATGCCATATGCATCGTCTATAATGACATTGCTGTGATTGAAGTCTGGGTGGTGGAGAGGATATGGTCCTTGGCTAAAGGACATTCGCCTCACGGCTTCCTTGAAAAGAACAGGAAAACTATGGATGGAAAAGATGATTTCCTCCACCATGTCGACCGGCAATTGAGACAACTGAGAGCGTATTAACGCCTCTGCCATAGGAAACTTGGCATTATCCGCCCATGCCAGGAAGAAATCTTGCGCGGTTTTAAAAGGGCCCCCAAGGCCGGGTATTGGGTCAATATCGTAGCATCCGTTCTCACGTTGCGAGATCATGCCAATCTTTGGGAACCGTATTGAGGTCATGCTAGCCTATAGAATCGTTAGATACTGCACGGGAAGATCTTTCCGTTGGCTTATACCTGTATGTAGGCAATGTCCCCATGAAACTTTGCTTTGAACTGTTGAGGAATTGCGCCACCGTGTACTTGTGGCCCTCCAAAAGCATTCATTGCTGTACTACCAGGAATGAATTCCATGATCATGAAAGCGCGCCCAATACGTTCTTGGCAATCGTCGTAACCTAGGACCTTTGGAACGGGAATAGCTGTTCGTTCGTGGATGATGCTAAGAGTATCTTTCTCAGAACGCAAAAGGATCTTCGAGTGCGGGTTTTCTTTGTGCAGTTGTATACGTGCAACCCATCTAGTTCCATCGTCAAAGATGAGGAGACGAACTAGATGCACCCCGCCCATACTGTATATTGGAGGGATATTGCATTCAAGGGGTGGTGCTGTATTGTCCGACCGTCCGCATTTTATGCTAATCGCGTATTGAGTAAGCGCGTCCCAGTCGATGCGAGGTATAGATGGATCTTGACTGATGTCGCTTTTCCAGTTGAGGTAATCCATGTGAAGTAACAAGAGACGAAGTAACAAGAGAACGTGGGATTGAGAGATGCGTTCATATGCTTCTGCAAGTTGTGTTGATTCCTTCAACACAAGGGGCGTGGACTATTTATGTGGCAGGCTTAGTAAGAGTATTTCTTGGCATTTCGTTTGTCTTGGAACTAGCATTCACATGTATAAGGAAACTTTTCACAGGCCAGTATGCAACTCTCAAGCTTGCAGGTCTGCATGCGCAATTATTTCAAAAGTACAATATCCAGGGAGCACAGGAGCGTCCGTCGGACGATCTGGACATTTGGGACGTAATAAGTTTTGTACTACTTCAAAACGAAACTTTGGCCAAGAGTGTTTAGGAAGTCCATAGAAGTGAGCGATGTCGAAAATAAGACATCCAAGATAATCTACGTTTTTTGCTTCAATGGAGGTCTTTCAAAGGTACTGATAATGGTGTTTGCCACATTCAAGCCACCACTTCCTGTATTCAAGTTTTATTCCCATCTCAGCTCAGACCAGAGGATATTGACATGACCCAAGTAGCTGTGATGCACAGAAAATCCATCTTATGTGTCGCTAGATTATGCTTGTCCGAGCCAGATCATGTCTAGATTAACATAATATCACATTAGCTATGTGTTATGTTATATTGATGGAAAGAAGGAGATCACTTGCCTATCGCTGGAAATAATCAATTATCATCAGCGGGCCTCAGCCAACCGCACTTCGGGCACTTTTGGCCTCGCACGATCTGATCTCCATCGCATCCAAATTGTTGGCAATGGGCATAATGGCTTTTAGACCGGTTGAAAATGAGAATGATATCCTTGAAAGCCTATGTCACGTTAAAACTGGGCTTTTATTGGCGGATATGGGTACATTACCATGGCCAATTGAGAGAGGTTTAAGAGCAAGCCAGTTGCACGGTGTGGATAAGGGGCTTTTTAAGAACACAAGACGCCAGGAAAAGGATGTTGATCAAGCAACTAGAGTTATTCATAATCGGATTCTGCTGGTTTATCTATCTTTCAGTTTGTGCACGGTTCCCCTCTAATCATCTTTCACGACGAGTCTCCGACATTTTGACCAATGGCACTTTCTGTCGTATACGCGACGCAACGTGATACACAAATTCGCATACATGGACAATGACCATCAACGACTAATCACAAGCAAGGCCGATGCCCATTGAGCTAATAGAAGCGCTGTCACAGACTTAGGCCTGAGACCGTTACGGTATACGTACGAAAGCAATCTGGATAAGACGCAGTGAAATGTTTGGACCTAGTCATCTCAGCAGCCCACCTTATTCAGGTAAGACCCCGAGAACAGCTCATGCCCGTGTTAGTGCCTGTCTTTGTGTGCACGGAGGCTGGCTCTGGTGCTAGTTTCGTTTTGCAGCCAATGAAAGTCTTCCTAATCAATTAGGAGACGCAGCCCTGCAAATGGTCTATCAAAAGGTTCGGGGTGCCGCCGAGAACAGCCATGTGCTTGGCGCTGGTCCCGACGTGCACGGCCTATGGGCTTGGAGGCTAGGCTCTCCCGTAGCCAATGATGACCGCCAAGACATATACCAGGAGCTTTAGCCAGGACTTTAAAGCGCAAGCACGGACTCTTGATCTACGGACAGGCACCGCACCGCACAGGGATAAAGACAAGGCAACGGATCGATTGCAGTTGACGTGAGGCTGATATATGCGGGGCTGCGACGTAGTTGTAGCGAATTGCATCTCATCATGTCATCGGCCGACCTTATCTAGGCATGCGACTTGAGAACGCCTCATGTACGTGTTGGTGCTAGCCCATGTGTGCACGGAGGCTTGCTCTATGGCTTGTCTGCCCTGGTGTGTTAAATTACTCAAAAAGTTGACTGGCCCCTGAGCACATCCGACGAGAGTCCGTGCGTGCCTGTGCGGTGCGGTGCGGTGATGGCCTGTGCGGTGCTGACCTGTGCGGTGCGGTGCTGTATGGTTCACCGTCTTCTTCCTCCCTATTTTTGATCCTTCAAAATTTCTGGCCATGTCGTTTGGTCCCCAATCCGGTTCAACCGTGGACTCTGTTATGTCGCTTTTCAACGAGAAATTTAGGAATCGTCTTGAGCAAGGGTACTATAACATACACAACAAGTTTTCATCCAAAGAGGCCCCTCGTGTCATTACTTGGGTCGATTTGTGCAGGGAAAGCGGTACACAATCGAGCGATTTATCGAAAAGTCAAAGAAACGCCAGACGCCGTGCCCGAGAATTTGGCCTAGAAACCCTACAAATCGGAAAAGATATCTTTGCATTATGTTCACGATCATTCGCCATTTCAAGTCTCCCGACAATTACCCATGGCTCTTTCTATGATATGCTCAGAGAATGGTGGGAAGCAAAGCCAACACTGGACGCTCTTTCGAGTCTTGCGGAGACGTTGGATACTCTTTTGACTTGTGATGAACAGACATACGTCCTGCTGCGCAAGCAGTTCCTGTCGCCAGAAATACCTGACAGCAAGAATATACGAGCCTCTCCTTTAAATCGATCCTCATGTGAAGCGCCAATATGCAAGTCCATTGATGCTTCTCAGACAAGTCACGATAATTGTATGTTGCAAACTCACGATTAAGTGATTCATATTGAGCTGACTATACCAAATGGCTTGGTCAACACTTGGACAAAAATGCCTCTTATAAAGAGAATCGCAGCGCCGAGAACGACAACGGAAAATCTCACAAAAGGTTGGGAGTTTTCGATGAAAGCAATATGCCTCCAGCCAAGCGCCGTGAGTGGAACTGCTCTGCTCCACGAGAAAAATCACATTATTGACATCCATGCGTGTTCAAACAGAAAGCTTCGCTCCACAACGACCACCGCAAAGTCCGCCGATGGTACGGTCTCAGGCTTTAGAGATGAAGTCGGTTGCTGGTCAAGGTAAAATACTCTTTCCATGAAGCAAGCGGTAGTTAAGGCTTAAACAAGAAACCAAGAATACACAAACCCACTGGTCCTCCCTCTTACGTCCGCAGCGGCAAAAGTCTTCGCTGATGCTGTCATCAAATCCGTGGAGGGGGGCCACCGGGGCCAACTGGCAATCACGCTCCCAAAGCCAGATATGCAACAACCATATATATCCATTCCTTACGAAATATGCACCCAGATCATGAGAGTGTACAGCGACCAAGCTCATGACGCTACTCCTGCTTCATGATCACTTTCACCAGAGCTTCTCTCATCGACCAGCAATAGCATCCAATATCTAGGATCACCATTTTCGACCTTATCGTTGGGTTAGAGGAGGTCGGGAAACTTTGAAGATGGTCATTGCCCCGGAAGAAGCTGACACTACCCTCGCCACCGCTCAAGTTGATCACAATTGCCGTGGTAAAATCGTACGGTCCTCTCACTAATATTTTGTTGTCGTTTGTGCTCAACCATTTCCCATTTTCTTCGATCACAGCTTCTTTATAGCCAGTCTGGGAGTTGCTTTTAACATTCCGTCTATTATAACGGGGCACACAGAATAAGACGTACCAGCTCTTTGTATAGGCGCTTCAGTCCTTCATTGTCTTCTGCCACGGTTGTAACATCCTCCGTACGAAGGGACGTCATGACGAGCATTCAAAGCACTGCTTGTAAAGAATGGGGAGCGATGGTAGAGGACCGCAAGCAGTAAAGTCGGTAACACCTCTTGACTCTTTTGGGACAGGACGGTGGCGACTCGATTGGGGACTGGAAAAAGGTACGAAGAGTTTCTTGTTGAAAATTTCTTCTGGGAAACTCAGAGGTCTTGTGTTAACAATCTGGAAGGCCCAAGAGCAATCAGTCAGTTGCGCAACAGGAAATTGAAAAGTTTTCCGGTTACCGTTTGATTCGCAGGACAAACCAATGCGTCATCCAGGAATGCTAGAATGAACTCGACAGGATCAGGAGACTTCAGATAAGAGAGAGATCACTGATATAATCGAAGTCTTCTGATAAATGAAGAGTGAATCAAGATCTTTGCTTGTTGGGCAGCATTTCCGCTGAGGAGGAGGGGTGACTGAACCGAGTGGGGTCTTGACAAGATAGCCAATTGGGAGGACGGTAAATTAGTCAGCCACATTTCGATTACCTGATATATGGGACTCTGCACACCACCGGATGGGTATCAATTACCAGTGATAGGTTTGGACGTTTTCTGCACTTTCCATCTATCAATTTTGATGGGCCTACGCAGATAATAGGCCTAGTAAGGAAGCCGTAATCCATGGCTGACAGCAAATTAGAAAATATACCGTCAAAACATGATTTAAAAGCCCACGTGGTTTAATAGAAAAGCGTGCTTAAGCGTGATTATATTTTGCGCGTGATCATTATCAAGTGTCGGTATATTTGAGCTGTGTTATGTCGTACAATACCACTTTTCGTTGTGTCCCCTCGGCTTATCGATTATATAAGCGTATTCATTCAGATCTCTAGATTACTTCTTGGCACATCATACTGTACAAAGCGACTCCGAGGTCGTGAGTCTGTATAAATTCAAGCAGTTTACCAAACGGCACAATTGCAAGACTATATTGCGGACTAACAAATAATGCCTGCACGACCAACTTTAAACATAAAAGAACCCGATTTTTCATGTACTACCGGCGCATCGTTGGCTAAATCCAACGGCAGGATCCTAAGCCATTCACACACGGTTCTGACTTCTTGTCGACAGTCTTTGATAGGTAAATTTGTAAGATGATGACCGGTATCGGAGACACGTTATGAAGAAGTAACCAACGTGTGGCAACGCACCATCTAGCACCGCATCATCTAGCACCGCACCGTCCCGCACCGCACCGTCCCGCACCGCACCATCTAGCACCGCACCGTCCACCGCACCATCTAGCACCGCACCATCTAGCACCGCACCGTCCACCGCACCATCTAGCACCGCACCATCTAGCACCGCACCGTCCCGCACCGCACCATCTAGCACCGCACCGTACACCGCACCATCTAGCACCGCACCATCTAGCACCGCACCGTCCCGCACCGCACCATCTAGCACCGCATCATCTAGCACCGCACCGTCCCGCACCGCACCATCTAGCACCGCACCGTCCACCGCACCATCTAGCACCGCACCATCTAGCACCGCACCGTCCCGCACCGCACCATCTAGCACCGCACCGTCCACCGCACCATCTAGCACCGCACCGTCCACCACACCATCTAGCACCGCACCATCTAGCACCGCACCATCTAGCACCGCACCATCTAGCACCGCACTGTCCAGAACCGCACCGCATCTCAAGTGCACAAAGATGGCTATGATGACAGTGTGGGCTTTGTATTCCAAACCTCTCAAGTACGTTGAGTAAACTTTCACCACTTTCACCTTGGCCTCCAAAAAGCAATTCTGTCTGATCGGCTTCAAGCAGGAAACAACCATGCAGCAGCAAGCCCTGAAGTTAGAGAACCCTTGCCAATGATGACGGTCGGGGTACCATACGAAACATTGGTACGATTCAGGGGTATATAGTCGTGTGTGTTGATAGCAGTCTCGTTGCCGCAGATAATCCACTACGCTGCCCTGCGTTTTCGACGAGGATCTTGCGAAGCCCGGTTATTTGTCCCCTTCAACAGCGATTCATTTTGTAACTTGAGATCCATGGGTTTCTTCACGAGGATTTCTATGTGGTTTCCTTCTAGCCGATTTCATTTCTCGATCTGCCAACAAAATATCGTCCTTCTGGGAAAGCCATCCACCCCCAGGTGAGAACGACACAATCGTACATAAATCCAATTTACCTACATGTCCTCCGCCACTGGTGTACAATACGCCTACAGTCACCGACCCTCCACCCGTGCCAGCTCGCCCATCTTATACTTTAACCCGCGTTTCTATACAACCGGGGTCTCCCACTAAACACCATACCTTTCCCTGGAACTACCAGTCGAAGGTACCTGTACAAAATGGCCTCGCAATCCCTCCAGAAGTAAGATATCGAACTTTGATCACTACCAATGGAAACCGCTAAGTGGATAGATTGCTAGCCAATTCACGGATCGGCCCTACAAAGCCGCCCCACCTCAAAATGCTAGACACTTACATGGGAGAACTCAATTGCTACCAAGAGGTCCAGGCGTATCTACTTTTTAATGCGAAGATGGTCGATGGATCTCGCAAGACCGTGTTCATTGAGCCACATCGGATATTGGAGGGAGACAAGTCAACAAACCCACGGGACCGGGATCTGAACCGCCAAGCTAGGTGCAAAGTTCTCGATACGGAGTGGATATGCTTGGAAGCTCGGTATGCAAGTAATCGAGAATAGCTATAAACTAGTGATTACCTCAAAAACCAGAATCAAACCATTGGAGATCACTCGAGATTTACTAGTTCCAGAGCTAATTATATTAGCAGCTTAGTCTTAGGTCTAGCAGGGGTGCTTCCGTTTCATCTCCACCGCTGGACTCGGAGCCGCCAGGCGTCGTGCTTCTGACCTGCACCTAGATTAGTTACTAGGCATGGAAGATTCGGTGATTTGTGGTGCCTAAGTCTGATTTGTACTTCAGCGGTAGGCCAATATACCTAGTTAGGAACCTGTAAGATCTGCAAGCGCAGTACAGGCCGCCTGAGCATTGGAAAGGCTTCACTAGCTGTGTTGTCTCCCCACCGCCAGTTTAGTGCCAGATCGAGGCTCATAAGGTCGTCGCATATGGGACAGTGCCTCATTTATTTAAAGGTTTCAATCCCCTAGGCTCGTTTTCAGACTTGACTTATCCTAGTCTTTTTCTACTTCACAGATCTGTGGTCTGGCCTTGACTTTCCAACAAATGTCGGAAGACAAAAACAGACTTGCTGTTATAGAGGGCATATTCAAGGAAGCAAACAAGAAATATGCCTGCCCTGTGTGCCTTCGTTCTCAAACCAGTTTCTATACGTTGGAAGATCATCTGAGTCGGAAGGATCAAAAGGAGAACGACGGTCTACATAGAAAGCTCATGGAAAAGGACTTATCGGCATTCCATAACAACTATCGAGATGTCATTAAATGGGCTGCAGGCAGTGGACTGGACCGTCAAGCTGATCGAGAATCTGCATTTGAGATCAAGTTTGTTGTTAAACAGGGAACCTCTAAAGAGTCAGGTTCCATTGAGATGATGATCCGAAATTATTTGCGCATTGCAGAAGCATCAGGGATGCTCTTTGTATGCCCTTTGTGTCTTGAAAAAAGCTTTGAATACTTCAACACCAAGAAGGAACTTTTTCAAGACCACTGTCGACATATTGGTGATCGAAAACACGAAGACCTCATGTCGACCGATCCAGCAAAAGTTCTTTCCTCCTATAGGGCCGCAATGAATCGTCCAGGAGATGAAAAGTTACTTTTGAAGCGCAATCGAACCGGACCCGTATCGTATCATCCATCTTTCGCGATTGCCGAAGTATTCCGGGAAAGAAGGTTGGTATCCTTTGTATATTTTGAAATCACTGGCCTCAGCTAAAAACATGGAACAGATTTGACAAAGCGCCCTAAAAGACCTGCATTGAAGAAGGTACACTGCTAGCTGGAAATTTATGTCAGTGCCGACCACAGCTGTGGCGCGGGGGTTGAAGAAGTAAATCTGACAGGGATCGTGCATACTTCCGACTTTCGATTACTGCTTATTTATTGAAAAGATTTTTAATCAAAATGAATGGACTATTATCTCAATAGAAGACTATCTAAGCCCAAAACAGACAAGAAAAGCTTCGACAAAAAGAAACTGGCAAGGTGTAGTCCCATGTTGGTGAGAGGAACCATTTTCCCTCACCGCGTACATGAGGTCCAATGGACTGAACTTCATCTCAGGGCCCGGACGTGGGCCTGTCAAAGTATAGGACGCTGATGCCGATACAACATTCTGCGCCCATCTGGTATCGCCTCGAGCCCAGTAGAAAATTGCGGGCGAAAGAAAATGTAGCGCGCATGTTCTCACGCTTATGTGTTGTCGATAGTACTTGTAGCAGCCCTCTGGATTGACAAGATTGCCGAATTTCCTTAGTGTGTCTGTCGCGAGCCCGCTCACATTAATAACACCCTGAGCGATGGCTGTCAGAGAATAGTAATTGCGACGACGATAAAAGGCCTGCAATACTTTGTCAGAGCTGTAGGCGAGGAGGTGCCTTCGTTTAACATACCTCAGCAAGAAGATCAACTTGCAAAGCCACATCGATCCCGGCTGCCATACAATACTTGACTCCATTACTGAAGTCATTCCACCTTCTGTTCAATAAAGATTGCGCTTGTCTTTGCTCTCTTGATTGATTCTCATTCTTGCTGAACGCAAGCGTGATATATCCGGAGAACAAAGCGTGGTCTTCCTTCGTTATGGCCTCGGCGAGAGTAGAAATTTGTTGTTCGCATCTAATGTGGTCTAAAAACCAGATGTTTGTATCGAATGCAAGGTTCCAGTCCACGTCAGAGTTTTTGTAGTAGTCACAAAAGCGGTGTTTTAAGACTTCCAATTCCTCCAGTATATGGCGGGCAGTTGCTGGCCTTTTGAGAAGCTGCTGCAAGGGATTAATGATGACACGGTCCAGTGATTTGTCAAGCTTTTGTGACAATCCCTTCATCGCCTTGGGTGGTATAAAAGCACGCGGTTGTCGTCGCTGTTGTATGAGTAGGTTTTGCCAGGTATGCTCGATTGTGACAAGTATGAAGGGGTCCGATTGCATTTCCTCCAATTCCTGCAATTCGTCAGAATATTCGCGACATGAGTGTTTTGCTGGGTTGATGATGGCTTACCGTTTTCAACTGCAATAATATATCGCAATGTTTCGGTGCCTTCAGTAAATCGGAATAAAGCTTGACACTGAGAAGGCTGTATTTCCAGAGAAAAGACCTAATGCAGTCAGAGTCGTTGCCAGAAGCTTTCCGTACAAAGTCTTCGAAAGGAATGCTTGTGAATTTGTCACGGCTCCTTCTGAAAAGTTTTGTAGCGACTGCAGCAGGACCCTCATCAAGGATCTGAGTCAAGCCCAGCCCCCAATGCTCCGAATTCTGAAGGTATTTCTCTTGATGAGCAAGAAAAACCGGCAATCCCTTGAGCTTGGCATACTGATCATGGATGAGCCCGAATTTGCAAAACCTCGAGGTTGAAATTTCGTCTCTTTCGCGTAATATGTTTTCGAGTTCTTCTGGCCGCCAACATTGGTGATCTGTTTGCAAACCATCTTCATTTTCGTTTTGGTCAACCGTTTTTGGTTCCTTAGATCTTTCTGTCAAGGAGTAGGCGGTGCTCGAGGATGAGAATGAGAATTCATGTGCAATAGCTGGAGGGCAGAATTTTTAGCTCGCTGTTCAGATCCAAGACCTACAGATGCCGCAATGCAAGCATACCTTTTCGCTCGTTACTGTCATTTTGCATATTGGTGGCCATCTTCATGGAAAGCTGCACATTGGGCTTGTGGTCGAGTCCAGTGATGGGTGCATATTTATAACCTGGCAAATATCACGCCAAGAAACGATGACTCGCATGAATGTCTGCGGCCGCATCATCGGTAATTGCTTCTGCTCGTAGTCCCTGAGCCTACCACAGTGGGCCCCAAAGCCTAGTCCCTGATCAGGCGAAGGAGGTCTGAGCGGCCCCTGAGAAATTCTTATCCGACAGGTCGGCTGAAGCGCCTGTCGCCGCTGGCCTAGAGCAGCGTTTAACCACTACATGCTTATTGGTGGGGCATAATAGTTCGACCAATCGTTTGCGACTGACGCCGTCGAGCATTGACGGGAGATCAGCAAACTCCATACTGTGGCCCCAGGAGCTGTTAGTCAGCTCTCGTAATTACGGCCCGTTTCACCCCAATAGATTTCAGTGAATTAAAACCTCCTTCGCTGGTAGGAAAAGCTGGGAAGGAATGAGTGTCTGGGGCTTTTAATACCACTTGTGACGCCCGGAATACCGGTAAAAAAGATCCCCTCCCCCTTTCCTTCTAAGTCCGGCTAGGTCCATCATTCACCGAGACTGGTGATCAGTTCACGCAGCTGCACGCCACGCATCTTTTCCATTGGACCTTGTTTCGAGCAAAATTATCATTACAGGGCTTCCCTTCCCATTTAGTGAATAATTGAAATCATTCTACCTTCTCGGCTGCATACTTGTGCTTTACACATTGACCCCTTGGGTGGTGCTCGTGCCTTGGGTCTTTCCCGTTGGGTAGTAGTAGTGTCTACAGGGGTCATTTATAGGAAGCTGTGACCCTATCGTCTAAAAGCAAATCAATCTGATCGGCTTCAGGCAAGAAAAATAACCACGCTGCAGCAAGCCCTGAAGTCCTGAAGTTGGAAATCCACAGTAAGGACGACCGGTAACGTTAGATTTCTATGTACATTAATGAAGTCGTACTGAAACTTCGCTTTGGCCTCCCATCGCGGAACCAATTCTAATTGTTCAACCGATCCTGGAGTTGGACAATCGTACTTAGTGATGACGATCAAAGTACAATGAGGGACGCTAAATATTATCGGACAGCCCGATTGCTCTCCGCCCCTGTTGTGCATCACATTGCGGATATATAACGACATAGAGCCACAGGTCTGGATTATGAAAGTGCTTGCTACCACCCGAGATTGATCGACGGCTGAAAGATGGAGAGACTCGTAAATTGTGAGGCCGCTGCGTTCATATACCAGGCTGCACTGACCCTGTACTTTAGGCTCACACTTACCTTTCGGGCAAAAATTCCTCGAGGATATAGAAAGGGTGGTTGAGAACCTCTTAGTGCGGATGTATTGGGCGACTTCCCGGTTTCCCGTATCGCTGATGGAGCTCTATGAATATATATTCGACAACATCGGTCCGATAGACAGCAGGACCATACTTGCACAATGGATGCTGGCAGTGGGGGATACAAAATACTATCCTTTCGAACAAAAAGACCCATGGTGGCCCATTACGGCAGGTAAACGAACCTGGAGCAACTTTTGTCTTTCCAGATTGACTAAAATCACCAGAAAGAAAAGAAGTCCTTTTCTTCATTCTCTGCGGAGATCACGGGCAGCCGTTACCTTTTCGACAGTTATACAGATCTTTGCAAATTGTCGACATCAGTTCATCAACCCGACAGACACTCACAATGGCCATTATAGTGCGAAGGCTTCATTTATGGAGACTGAACCAATTGCCTTGTACGTATTCTTTGGCTTTAATCGCATTTCTGGGAAGGCTAACGGCTCTCCTTACGTATTCAAGACCTGTACCGGGGTTCTGTGCAGGCTTCATCACCAATCAAAGATGAGGGTTGTCTTACTAAAGGTTCGCACGTCTTAGGCATTCCCTACTCATTCCATTGTACCACAAACCAAGCGACACCCATTTCCAGCTCGACGTCAGTACCCGAAGCGTGCCAGCAGACGCCATCGAACAATCCCATGACGCAGCATACTATCATACCTGACGAGACTTATCCCCATACTCCAAGGTTCGAGCCTTGCTTTTCCCATCCGGAGCACCCTGTATTCGGGCCGCAGATTCTCTCAAAGCCTCTTTTTAACCTGGAACCCCTTTTTGGTACGGACGCATCATTAAATAGGTCGTCTAGTGGAGATCAACGACCATACAAGGGGCTTGATGTCTCTGTTCATCAGGACCTGAAGCACCTTAACGGCAAGAAGCAGCCCATACTCTCCAGGTCAAGTGGAGCGACGCTGGGCTCTATCGTCAAGCCGTCGGGTGTCAAATGCGACGAACATGGATACACAAAGCATTTCACCACCCCAAAGCACCTCACACGTCATAAAGAAAGCCACTTGGAGAAGGAACCATATGCCTGTTGGATTCCTGAGTGCCACTGCACCTTCTCACACAGTGACAATCTTCGAGTCCATTACAAGCGACTACACGCCAAACGAGAGAGCTTCGGACGCCCTTTTCCCCACGTCGGTGAAACAAACCCAGATCACAACCCGAAGCTGTTCCACAATGAGAGCCTACCGCATGTCAACGGCAATAGCCATCACCGATACTCTTCTTTCCAGGTCGGCTCGGGAGACAATCCTTCCTATGCCCCAGGCGTCTCGGACTCATCTATAGCCAGTGTTGCCCCTCAATCTACACCTGTCAATGTCCTCAGCGGCACTACAACAGATAGTTGCTCGTATCCTTCGAAAAACACGACATTTCGACGTCCAGCCCCTGTAACCATGTCACTGGTCCATCATTCGACCCAAGCCATGCACCAGACTCAGAAAAAAGCGACCGCGCTCCCCAAGGATGCTCACCAGAACAAACCGCATGTTTGTGGTACATGTTACAGCGCTTTTTCCTACCCGTCCCACCTGCGCATCCACTCCCGTTCCCACACTGATGTAAAGCCTTTCCGATGCTCTTATGTTGGATGTGGCAAATCTTTCTCTGTCCGCAGCAATGCGAACCGCCACGTGCGTAATATGCACCGCAACAGGCCAAGAAGAGGTCGACTCCAAAGCAACAGTTGTACCATGGAAACTTCTACCGTCTCATAAATCTTTCGACAGACTGCCAATTGTGAGGTAAGATCTGCTCCACCCAAGGTTATATAAAGCTAGAACTCATCATTACCAGACCATTCGCCAGCATACGGATCCTGATCTAGTGTTTAAGGCATCTCCGATGGTGACTTGTGATGATAAATCCCCAGCTCCCAACACATATCCACATGCTGGATATTGGGAGCCTGAGTCAGAAGCCATGTCGTTGGCTTAGGTAACATGCAGGTGCGCTCAATATAATGCTGGCATGCCAGGAAAATTCAGTGATGACTCTAGTACCGGCTGAAGAGTGGATACAACTGTAATCCTTGTAATGTTGTACTATTATACAGAACGATAACTACTCAATTCTTAGCTATTTTTAACACCCATATCCCGGCGTTCATGGAGGTGACAATTATTCTAAAGTAGTGTTCATTTCCCAATAACACCCCAAGATGAAATTCAACCTCTAAATGTAACATGTGTAAAGCATACAAAGTACACCGAGAAGTTGCTGATCTTGCAAATATACATTCGAAACACCGCTTCGCCACGAAGCGCGGACTCATTAACCTCTTCCTCTTCTGCCTCCGATATTTCCGAACAGCTCATCAGATTCCACACTTCCATTTCGCCTATCTGCTCCCTGTTCATGCTTCGGTGGAGATCCTTTCCATCCGAAGATATACAGAGAACGACATTGAATGCAAACATCCGAGACACGCAGGCAGCAGAGCAGCTTTAAGCTCGAGAATCAACAAAAGGAAGAAGGGCTTCCACCAAAAGCTCCACATAAGCTGTCGTGATTCAGCGATACATCGGCAAATGAGAAATTGGATGGATAGCTCAGACGGGCGCTAATGAAGAGCGGGCTACCAACAAAATGTATCGGGGAAGCGGCATCAATAGCGTCCAAACCATACCCCAGGCTTGGATCGTGGAGATTCTTGGTGCTCGGCGTACGAACATTTGATTGAGTACTCCGTGACTTGTCCCCATCGAACAGGTGGATAGGAACATGTGCAGCTGGCTTAGTCCCACTCAGAAATGGAACTACTGGCCGCAGGAAATGTACCACACGTGGGGGAGGCATCAATGGCACGAAAAGCTTGAAAATAGCTGCTTTAACATCCTCACTGCAACCACATAGTAGCTCTCCGGAGCCGTCTTCTTCTAGCCCTTCCAGAGCCTTGACGTGGGTCCGGTAAACGAACTTGTTGACGGCTTCGACAAAATCCTTATGCAATTTGTCCAGCTGAGCTTGCTTCTCTGGCCAATTCCACCTGTATGTAGCTGCATCAACTGATTGAAATTCTTCATAGAATCTCTTGAGGTCATTGATCGTCCCTTCGGTTAACTTGAAAGCCACCTCGCTCCGTGAGACCATGTCAACATGCACGACATATGCCTCGATATGGATCATCCAAGGCCGGTTTTCTGGCATTACGGAGCTCCATGACTCGATGTCGATTATCCCAAGCGTGTTCTCCAACATCACCGAGCATAATGCCCAGATTGCGCTCTTCGATGACAGTTTCTCACTGAGGTAGCTGGTTCGCTGTTTGAGATTGTTCAAAGGTCGCCTAGCCAGATTCACTCGCTTGAAAATCTGTACTAACCAGGATACATTATCATTCAGCACCACTATGGACGGCGCTCGTGGAGTAAAGGCGGCGGCAGAAGAGGGTAATATGGCAGTCGGCGGCATTGTTTATCTGAAGTCAATGGGTATTCTGGGTTAAACAGATGCCGGGATTTAAGTAATATAGGTTAGGAAGCATCATCAACGGTTACTAGGCGACCTCCTCGACAATGTTACCCAAAGCGCCCAGATTATCGCGGTAACTTTCCAAAGCACGGTAACGTTCTGAAAAGCCTTGTATTGATGCTAAGTGGGACTGCATTTGACCCCACAATAGGATGCAGGCAGGGGTTGACCTGTGCCCTTGTAACTTTGGAGCTTGGGTCATGGCGCGTCTAGACTCACAAGCGTCTCGCGCAGGATTTGAATGAAAAATATTGCGCGAATAATATGAGAGTGGCAATGGCGCATGGTATGCAAGCCAGACAGACCCCTCCGCATGTGGAAAAGGAGCGATATCCGGTGCCCCGTGACCAAGAAATAGGCGGTATTGGTCTGTCTTCCTATCCCTACCCACCATTTTATTACAGGAGCAAACCTCACATGCTTCCTTTCCTTCGGCGTTGAAACCTTTGGAATGGGATCCTGAGTCGATTCATTTTGTTCAGCCATTTGATAACCTACCTTTCTGAAGAGGCCTAGGATAGCCATTGGCCTTCCCACTATACCCTCTTCTGTTTTGAGGACCACCACAGGGTTCAGACCTCGACCCAAAGCAGTTAATAACATCTGTTAAGGGATTCAAGAGGCGAGTATTACCTCTGATTTGACTTAGTCGGGACCTTTAGCGTGCGCATCAAGTCCGATATAGCCGAATATATTGGCTTTCCAAAACATTAACGCACCTGCTCTCTGGCTTCCCACCGGGGGAGATCTGCTGTCCTGACTTGGATTCCATTCTGAATAATCTCAGTGTTTGAATGCCTTGAGATCATGACGAACAACGGAGATTGGCCTTTTCATCAGGTCTACCCTGCCTCTGGGCCATATACATGGGTATATTCGGAGAACACCAGATCTCCAGCTGAGACGAATCCATCTATTACCGCGTCGAATCAACTCAGGAGTTTTCCGTTCAATGTCCAACAACACAATTACATTGAAGCACGTCATATCTCCTCCCAGGTCGAGGCGGTTGGCAATTCCCTTTATGATGGCACGGGTACTAGGTTTCGGGAGTCTGACGGGCACGCTCACACAATGTCCACAAACCACTCCATTGCAGCCTCAATCCACATGGCAAATTCCAGCGGTGTGCAGATTTCCTCACGAAAGATGATAAGATTTGAGGAACAGCCGCAGAATAAGTAAGGAAACAGCTTCCTTTACCATGATATAGCTAACACCTGATTTACATAGGAGACAATGGAATGAGAAAGCTACCGGCTATGTTCCTCTCCAGCCCAACGAGCCGAACCTCCATTTTGTGCGACCAATTAAGAAAAACTGGCTGCCATCACCTAACTCTAATAATCGCAATTCAGAGGGGATAACCTTCTCATGGGTCAATGGCCGACTTTCGGTGGATGATTGTAAGGTATTGAGGAGTATACTGACAAGATTTAGATCGAACGGCACTCGTTTCCGGGAGTATTTTTATCTTCATGTCCTACAAAGCTTGGACCTAAAGACATGTGCATATATCCTGACACTCTGGATGGGGGTGATGGGCCCGCTACTGCCAACTACGTCGTCAACCGGCCTCACTTTAATGGGGTTGGAGAAACACGGTACGTGAGTTCAATATACATTTTCCGAATTTGGGACTGATTGTCTCAGATACCCGCGGGGCGCTTTGTTACATATTACAAGGAATCCAAGGCGCAAAGCTTCCGTTCCTGAAGCTCCGTGAAGCTCTGTGGTCTCCTGGTATCGAGGTCCAAGATATCCATGAGGTAGAAGAGCTCCTACTCCTACGTGAAATGGAGGACCTGGAATGGTACGTACATTTGGTCCACTCCTGTGAATATCAGGGCTGATTCAGAATAATAACGCAGTGAACACAATATTTTAACCTAGAGTCCGAGACACTTTTCAATGAGCTATGGCTGGCTTACAATGTGACAAATGGGGAACATACTTGGAACAGAAACACTGAAACAATTTGATTTGCAATTCTACAATGTTACTTCTTCGCGTTCAATTATGCTTGTGTCATAGTCTACTTGCCAAACTGACGCTCCTGTTCGGACGACCCGGGGGGTTGGTGTTATGACTTCGGTCAAAGACGAAAGATTAGACGCTTCATATCAACACAGTTGCTATAGCCTCCCTTATGCCATCTCTTGGCTGAAAAGACTAGATTCAAAGGTGGTCTTTTTCTTTGTATCTAACGATCTTGCCACACAGCTATGATTCCACCTCACTGTAACTTTAACTCACCCCAGAATGATCATGTGTAAATGCCACCATGCGAGTTTGATCAACGGGTGAAAATGCGCCCCTCTGGTTCTCTCTGGCTGGTAATATGCATGCCCATTGTATCAAAGGGATCGCGAAGAAAGCGGAAACCGACTTGCTGAATTGTATGTTTTTCGATTGTTGCGCTTTCCCCGAGGAAGCTCATAGGCTATTCTGCGCCGGTACACCACCTGTACATCAATGAGGCCACCAATTCGCTTTTCAAAGAAAGCTGAGGGCCACCTGTTATTGGCAAGCGAGGCCCTTTTGGTATCGTGGAAGGGGCTTGATTTGAAGCGGAGATTACTTCGGAGGAGCACGGCTTCTCGACATCAATGGGAGGACTCGGCGCGGAGAGCTTTTTCGCGAGGTTGGATATTGCGGGCTATGTATAGTTGGATGTCAGTATGATAGAAAAGTTGACCAGGAGGTACAAAGCTCACTGTGAAACTGATTTGATGCGGTCGTGATTAAGCCAGAGGGTTCTGGACCCATGTTTCATCTCACAATAAAGGCGAGAGACAGTGGGCAGTATGCAAAAGGAAGCTGTACTGGAAGAAAAAAGCACCTCTGCGAAGAATGCTTTGTGTCTGGGCGTAAGTAGTATGAGTTGAGGTGGTACAGTACGCTCAATGTGCCGCCATGTTGACCACAGTATTGATTGCGCATGCCTTCTCACACGTGGGCTTGCCATTGTGTGAACTGGTTGCGATGAAATGCTTGCATGATACATCCATCGTCAAGTTTATCAGCCCTGCATCTTTGCAATCAATCTCTTGCGTGGGTAAATGTCTGGATCGGGACGGACGAAAGGTGTTCCGGCTAACTCAGGCTGCCCCCTTCAGCACCTGATCTCGGATTACTCAATCCATCCCACCAAGCCCTGTGTTACTTTCAGCCACTGAAGAAGACACAGCACCTTGGGGAGTCTTTGCCCTCCGTCCTCTTCAGGTAAGATTCAGGTCTCTGCTTTGCGCCATCTCAACCAAACTGATTGTCTTTCCCGTCGATTGCTTTGTTCCTAAGAAACCTTGAGCTAACAGAAGCATGTTCTCGTGTACAATGAAAGCTTCGCGCATGAGAGGATAATCTTCCACCTTAGCTGATCTCGAAGAGCTCAAAGCATCAAGGCTTCATGGTGCCTCGCGTCAAGCCTTCACGCGACTGAATCTGGCTGGTGATTCAGTATACACACAGCAGCGGAAGCCCCTTTCACCTAACGGAACTTGCTCGAACACAACAGCCTCAAGAAGAGTTAGGCTGCTGAAACTGAGAGGGGAAAAGAATCTACTCGGCACTATGGTTACTTGGTATTCCGTGTCTGTTTCTCTTCCTGTTTTTTGTCGTGAGCAATGCCTTTCGTCTTCTGTTGACGACAACATGACTGATACTTTGAATTGGTTCTATCAGAGAAAATTAAAGCGTCCCAAAGTACATTACGCACAGTCTTCGCCATGGCTACCAATACCTACCACCCTCCTTTCGAAAGCATCATTTCGGTTCCCCAATCCCACGGTCCCAGCCCTCTCCCCGACTCGCTCAATAACGATTGTCCTACCCTTGAGACATGGGTGGAAGCTATGGAAAACAAAGCGAATTATTTGCCTTTCTCTTGGCTGGTCGAAAGAGGTCAGGGGACAGAATCGGCTACCACCATAACCCATTTGCGGAGACAGATATCTATCCAATGGGGTGCATAACCGGCGCCTCAAAAGCCCAATGATATAGGAGGAGGGTATATTCGAATGATTTCTTGGCTTTATATTTGATTCAACAAGTTCACAGGGTTTCTAGTCTCGATACTCGTCCTGTTCTCAATATCAAGTTCGGTCATGCAGGTCTCGTAGAACAGTAACGGCCTTCGCGTCAACACCCCATATTGCGATGACTGTCTTGTAAAGATAAGGGTTCAGTGCTGGCTCAGGATTGGACTCCGACAACTTCTCTGTCATTGCTGTTGTCAATTCCAAAACCATGTTTTGATCCATGGTTTGCTGCGAATATTCCTTGGAGCATTTATAGCAGCTCATATAAACATAAATGTCACCGCCATAAGGATAGGCCCACTCCCACATTTTGAGGTTCCCACATGCCACAGTTCCGTTCACATCAGGAAAAGAAGACGTGAAGTTTTCCCCACAGGTCATGCAAACGATAGTGGTAAGCTTGTCTTGAGTACCAGTATATCCAACGACCGCTTTAATAAGATATCCGGCATATTCATTCACGTCAGGCATCTGCTCGTTCATTGTTGCAAACAGACCGGTGACTGAGCTATCGGTGGTCAATATCGCTCTCTCATGACAGTTGTTGTTCTGGGAACTCACACCCATAGGCCGAAGAGCTAGTTACTCTATCAAGGAAAGTCTCTGGTTCTAAAAGGCTCCTCCTGGGGCAGCAGAGCTTTTGTAAACGTTCGACGGGCTTGTCAGTAGAAAGAGAGTGTGCTATTGCAGAGTGGAACTCCCATTCAGAAAATTGGATCGACGGTCAGTGCTCTTACCAAGACCCATTCAGCCAAGCAGGTGTATTGTATGGTCTCATGCTAGTCACAGGATGCTCCACAGTATCCTAACTTGTAACTTACGTACTTTTGCGTTATAGGCGAAGCGAAAACTATCTTACCTATTACACCACACCGCTTCCTACTCCAGACGAGGCCCTGGCGATGCATTCAAAGGAGCTTACCCGCCCCACTGACATGATGGATTCAGGTGAAGCTCATAGCCAGCTCCAGGGGAAACGACTGGTTCGCGATTGCCACGCTGACCATGATATTAGCCGTCCTCTGGACCAAAGTTTCGACTTCATTCCGGCACATACCAGGCACAGCAGCTACCACCTGGCCGCGGCGACCTACGTTGACCCTAATTTGCAAGCGGATGGGGTGCGCTCCCAGCACTGCTTGCGACTTCGAACGCGGGAACGTAGCTGTGCAATTGGCGAAGGGGGCATGGAGCATTTCGACTCTCGTGGTGTTTGCTTATGGCCTTCCGAGGATGCTCCCTCGGATCTACTGGCCCTACTATGTCCAGATTCGTCCACTAGTCTTGTTCAGACTGTTTGTGACGAGCGGTCGATCATCTACTCTACCTCTGCTGAAGGATTGCCCCCAATCCCCATATGTTGATTCTCATCAACTTCGACCCTATGATACGCTTTCCTTACATGACCTCCCTGCATGAACAGAATGCGAGCACAAAGTCGGCCCGAAAAGTGCTCGATGCACCGCCGCCTGATCTTCCTTTCCCCCGCCCGCTCGTACAAAATGCGGAGGCATATCACCAAGCTATTCGTCAAGGCTATCGATTTGAACGTCCAACTTCCAAGAACTTTTCCAACTCACCTTTACTTGATTATGGGCCAGTAATGGACTCTTTCTTGTTGCAGCCCAAGACAAAGACTCTGCTCCAGCCAATCGCTGGAGCGTGCATCAACCTTGATGGTGAGGAATTGAACACTACAGACCCATTGATATACTTGTTCTTTGCAAACGGTGGCAAACCGTAAGCCCTCGCACTGATTTCAAAGCTTGCTTCATACTGACATAGATAGGATCGAACGATGCCAGACAATTAATAATGCTGGTCCAATTATATCCCACCAAGGCCCCATAAGTCTCAGACCGGGATCTATTTAGCTAGTAAGATGCACGACAGGGTACGTATGGTGAGCGATCTCTATAGTTGTGTACATGTCTATCTAACATGATATGGAACAGTTGGGGCATACTGCCGGACAACGAACAGGCCAAGGTGTAAGACCGCCTGATATTCGAACTAGTGCCTTGATCACCAACTCAGCCGCACAGAAGTATTTTAAAAGGGCCAAAATTGAGCCCAGGTAACAATTGCCCAGATCAATGGAGGCCGGTGTATGGCTTTGTCGAGGGCCATTGGCAAGAATGATTTCTCATAGGTCGGCAATCAATTTCTTTCACCTATTCCCACTGTACGCGCGCTGTTTTGGAATTTAATCAGCGGCCGCATAGAAGAAGGTGACAGGAAGAACTTGGATTGGCCCAATTCCTATTGTCGTCAGAAATTTTCGGCAACTCAGAACTGAGTCATCACTAAGTGAGGAGGATTTATTCGAATACCTTTCAAGGGACAAGAAACTTGATTATATGAATATTGGGCACAGCCTTTGTCTCTATATTGTGTAATCCAGTATCCTGAGGAGCGGAATCATACTCATCTCTTCCACATTTTGCCTGACGACCTGCATGTCCACATCGCCGAGTCAGAGGCTCGTCCTTTTGATGAAAAGAATTGGTGAAGCGTTTTTGTCCCCTTTCAAGTACGAAATGGCCATCTTGAATTTTCCCTTCTCGTCTGCCTATTACCTGCAACTGGCAGTCAACGCGGCAGTGTCTCACTGGATGTTTATTCTTCAATCCTCAACAAGACTTCACCCCCTTCCCCCCCCTTTTTTTTCCCTTTTTTTGATCCTATTGCCCTCAGCCTGTGTAAAAGATACGTGGAATTGGGCCTAGGAATGGATCCACTTAACATCACCCACTTGTCATCCGCGGATTACATGTTGTTTTAAACACTCCGCCATGAATTTGGCTCTGGGGAATTCTAATCATGAACAAATTTGAAATAACAAAGCATGCGATGATGGTCGTGCAAAGTTTTGACCATTTTATTATAGGCCAAAATTCCGGGATTGGGGTTCTCACGACCGACTGACTCGCAAACGGGTTGCTTTTCGCTTATCGGCCTCTGAAATCCAGACGCGTTTGCTCGCAGTCTACCTCGTGTAAGCTTTTTCCAGGGCTGGCAAACCTCTTCATGAATGCTCAAAATCACTAGGGACGGAAATGTTGCGTTCCGACAAATGAAGTACGGAGCAGAGTAGTGATGGGAGAGAACTAAAGACTAGAGCACTAGAGCAACCTTATGACTTGGGCGGAAACAATACATGAACCATGAACAATGGGGACATTGAGACGACTATTTGGTCTCCTTCCAGATTCCGAAATGGAACGGAGGCTATACAAGATAACAGAGACGTGTTTTGCTAATCAAAGTGTAAACTGCAGGTGGTAAAGATGTAGTGCGGGTAGGCATGTATGCAGACTGTGTGCAGTTGCTGCGAGAGCCGAGCTAAGAAATGGAGAAACTCACTGGATATCGATGCACATTCCTGATTGAAGTGCCAAGCGGGACCAGGAGCCCAAATCGAATTTCTGTTCTTGATCGATGGTGGTGGACATCCTCGTATGCAGACTTCACAATATACGTCTTCAGATAGCATCTTCCTAAAACTACGGCCTGAACAGAGCTGTAGCACCTTAAGGCTCACTAGATCCGAAGAATCAAGTCCACATCCACAGCCCGGAGCCACTCCATTCCTTGGCATTCGAATATCTAGCTATTCAAATGCATCCCCAGAAAAAAGCCAAAGGCTTCTGCCATTTGGGACAAAGAACCTTCTCCCTGAACTTTGCTGATTCAAAGTGGTTTCTGGTAGCTCCCGTCATTAGAAGATTTTCCAATGCGTCAAGTCTGCCAGGAGCCCACATAAAATTTTGATGCTCGTTCGGATCCATGACGATGGGGTAGGATCCACCTCGAGAAGACTTTAGAGACTTTCGAGACTTCTTGGTCTCAACCAGGAAATGAATTTGTTCAATCCATCTCCTGCTTTTGGGTGTATGAAACACGTCGTTGTCGCCCACTTGATCATATATGCAAGTAAGTATCAGGCCGGTCTCCTCGAAGAATTTCCGAATCAAAGCTTCTAATATCTTTTCTCCGGGATCAACTTCCCCCCCCCCATGCCTCGTACATATTTGGCGAAGAGTCATGCTTAGCACGCTGTCCCAGGGATGCCCGTATTTCGCCCCTCTGCCATCTGCAGAGCCAACCTCTCACGCTGATTCCAGATACTTTGCAAATATTTTACAGGGGGTCACACTCCTCTTTCCGCTTCTTCAGGTATTCTTCCCATGGGACGTGGAAGTGTCGGAGACTCTCTGCGACACGGCAGGTGCCGAATTTGGTTTTTATGAAAAGAAATCGTCATTCATCCTTCTTGATCACACTGGCAATGAATTGGGTCACTAAATAATGAGGGTTAGAATTTCCTGCGAATCAAATTCATGGTAAGACAAGAAATGGCAAATGCCAAAATAATCAGCGGAATAGACCCGGGAATGAAACTGACAAGAAGTTCCGTTCCTGTCAATTTAAGCCTTTGGAGTGTGGGCCAGAAACATCACATACAGTATGCAGCAACAACACTGAGCCAGTCGCAATTAGCGACCATATCAGGCTCTGTGGGACTAGTGGGTAAATAGTAGCTTGATAAGTCCGATGGTTCTACAGTAGATGCCCCTAGCATCTTCTGTCCACAAATGGTACTTTCCGGTTCCCAGCCACATCGAAATATTCCTCCTGAACCCAATGAGCAGAGTAGTCAATCCCCTACGTGTTTTTGTTTAATTATCATAAACTTCGAGGCTGTCTAGGCAAGGCGTTAGCCTTACCTCAAGCCTAACCCTTTTTTTTTTTTTTTTTTTTTTTTTTTTGGCGGCTTTATAAACACACAGTCTGACACACCGTCTGACACACTGTCTACCAGGTCATATCTACATGAGGGAGATGGCAACTTGAGGGTATTAAACTGAACGATCATTTCCTCGTGATAATTCAGGACAGCGATCTTTTCTTGCTCACAATTCACAACCCTGCGATTGGCAGATAGTAGGCCCGAGACTTTCTTGCAGTAGAACCACTATAACCATCCACTTCCACCATTCTCATCTACAATTATGTTGCGAATGCCACTCTTTAAGGGGGTGTTGAAGATGTCCATCGACTGCGTGCTCGGTCTCGCGAAGGCTAGCACGCATGTCCACTGGAATTTCGTATCCAACCGGCAGTCACTGTAATGTAATTGGCTGCTGATGTTCAATATTGTAATTGTGTACAAATGCGAACGCGACGAGTCTGACTACCCTACTTGTGGGACAAGATTCGTGTGATTGTACTTGTTGGTAGAGTTGCTCGTTGAGATGCAACAGCTACAGCATGCATGTAAAAGAAACAAGAGTTCTTTTTGGGAAACCCTCAGCATTAGCAAAAGGCAAAGGGAAACCTGCTATGAACAGGTAAGCCCCATACCAAGCAGTAAATGAGGTTGGCTTGATAAGATTGAGCCCCTATTTGCTCGGTAACCAGAAACGATTAAACCTTGCTACAGGTCGATGTTCAATTTCACTATGAAGCCCGCCGGTTTCTATCAGAAGGTAACAGGACAATGATTTAGAGGATATCACTTACTCTCTGTCCACATCCGCCACTGTCAGAACTGTACTCGTGTAGCAATCATCCGTCGAGTACATCAGGGACATCACTTACTGGCTGTCCACACCGGCGACTGTGAGAACTCCGGTTGTGTAGACATCAGCTCTCAATCCAATAAGGGACACCACCTAAAATTTGTCTATGTCCGTCACTGTCAGAACGCTGTTCGAGTAGTCATCATCTATTTATCTCCACCTCGAACTCACAGTGTAACCGGGAGCGACAACCCACCCTCTTAAACCAGATGACCCAATATTGCAGTGATGACGTGGGTAATTCATAGCCCAATTTTATCTAATAACGAGGTTCAATTGATGATTGCACATGTTCGATGTTTTGGTTACGATATTAATGAGATGTTTGACTTCATTTCCATACTGTCTAATAGAAGGTCTGAACGCGAAGCGATCAAGGGCCTAATGGCTTGGTGAAGAGGGACGTTCATCAAGAAGTATCGGCCACTTTTGAGGGCAGTTCATAATAAAAACCCCTAGGGGAACGAACGACCAATGAAGGGCACGGAAACGTCAAATGTTGGTATTTGTACTTCCAGTAAGTTACTGTAAACTGGCACGTGACTCTGCTCCATTCCAATACCGTTCAGTAGCTTCAATATAAGGGGTAAGGGTTTTAGCAATATAAGGGGTAAAGGTAAGTTAGAGCATATGTATCGTAGGGGTGGTTAGAAATAGGGATTGGGAAAGGACTAAAATGAGTAAATTGGTGAAACTGATTTCGATCCATCCTGTAATGCACTAAGCGCTCGATATGATTCAACTTATCAAAAGGATATGTAAGATGACGTCCTATCCTGTAGATGAACATGGAACCTACATACAACGATGCGGTTACTTGTTCCTCATGGTCGCCCGCAACTTTCAGCAGTTTCCTTTATCACCAATGAACGAGAGTATACTAGATGAGTTTGTAATAGAGCGTTGTACAAGTGCTGTGAGTTAAAGGAATACGTAGGCAATCGAGGAGCTAAGTCACTTTCATTCAGCAGAAAACCATCAGGATATTCTTTGCACATAATGAAGTACCGGTGAATCATGATTTATATGCGGGAAGTGATATTGTAAGCTCAAATTCTACTGTCATTTGCTTTCTGGCGTTGCTCTACGAGACACATTGGGTAATTGTGGTCTAACAAAAAGACTTGCTTGGAAATGGCAGATCTACTAAAGCCTATCTTAAAAACTATAAAGACCTCTTCATGGATCATTCGTAGAGCTCCTACAATCAAGTTGAAACAGACAGCAGATTCCCAAAATACCGAAATCATTAAGCGATGGCTAAGGGACAAGACAGCAAAGGTACAGGGAGAAATCCAGAAAGAAAACCCAACAAACCTTCCTCCGGTAATCCATCAGGGGTGTCGAAGCCCAAAGCAAATCGGGGAGATGGGAAATCGAAAAAATCAAAGACAGAGCTTAATGCTCAGAGAACAGAAATCGCAAAAAATCAAGCAATACAACAAGGGTCTCTGGAAGAGCTACGAAAAAGGATTACGGAGACTGAGTCTAAGATAGGCTCGGCAGGTCCAGCGGAATCCAGGGCGTTGACGACAAGTCTGAAAGAGCTTCAAATGACAGAAGCCGACGTCAAAAAAAAACTTGATCAGATAAGCTTAGATATGATGGAGATTGACCAAGACATTATGGATATCGATGAGGAAGAACCTAGGACTGGTCAGGCCCTGGATGGGCACGATCTGGAAGGAGAGTCAGCCCATCAAAGTGATCGGCATCCTTCGTTGGAGGTGACGGACCACCAAAACTCCCCGTTGCCCAAGGAACACGGGACCGCTCATAGGATCAAAACAGAATCCGATGAAGGTGTCTTGTCCCAGGATATACCAAAAGCTGAAGAGGACGACAATAGCCCTGGCGTTGATAAACCTTACGAAGAAGTCTCTGATCTGGCGGATTTCAACAAGTCAATTCAATATGAAGATGAAGCCTTCGCCGGAATTGAATTCCTTGAAGGCGGAACAACTTTGTCTGAGGCAAACAGCTTCAGTGGGAAACTCCACCTTAATTCGTACGGGCCAAAAAATAGCGCAATGCTTACCTGGAGCTCGTCAGCCGGAGACAAGAGGGGCCCCAATGTGAAGAACATTCGCGCTGATCCCCACAAACAAGCGATGGAAACAGACGACGATGGAAAATACAAACACAAAGGCAAAATCGGCAGTATCAAAGCCATTGCATGGAGGCCAAGGGGCTCTATAGGGAGCATGAGAGATCTCCTAGCCTCAGTCCGAGAATTAGATCCTGCGAATAAGAATAATCCGAAATACGTGTATCCATTTTGCACGGTGCTTGTTGATTGGATCGGGCCAAACACGCCACCGCCATGCTTGATCAATCGTTCTAATTACAAAGATCTTTCCACATCAGGGAAAGACTCGGGCAAGCGCGTGGACTGGAAGTTTTACAGGATTGCGTGTATTCAGGTGGCAAGGTTCGAAAAATGGGCCGGAAACGAAAGGCTGGGGAAAGAAATCAGCCCGACACCTCTATTTGAGACACCTGAACCAGAAAAACAACGATATGGCTCCGAAGCAGCAATTACGAATAGCCTGCGCAACATGAATGGTGGAATCAATCTCAGTACTAACGGTCAGAACACTAACGGTCAGGACACCAACGGTCAGGACACCAACGGTCAGGACACCAACGGTCAGGACACCAACGGTCAGGACACCAACGGTCAGGACACCAACGGTCAGGACATCAACGGTCAGAACACCACTGGTCAGAGCACCGACGGTCAGAACACCAACAGTCAGAATGCCAACGGTCAGAACACCAACGGTCAAAACAATAACGGTCAGAACATCGGTCAAAACATCAATGGTCAGAACATCAGTCAGAACATCAACGGTCAGAACACCAATGACCTGAGCATGGGTGCAAGCAACGGAACTCACCAAAGTCAGCCTTCACCAAAGTTGAGCACATTCTATAACAAATGGTTGAAAAGACAACCCATTGAGCCTACGGAGTTTGACAAACTAGACGACATATACATTGGAAAGTTCGAGGCTGCTGCTTTTGTTTATGTGGCAAATCTGAAGAAGGAAGGCTTCGTTGTAGAAGACGATATTGGTGCGGATATCTAGGTTGAAGACATCGATCAAAGGATCTCTGTCATTGAAGTCTACGGGTATTTGCCTCGACAGTGAGGTGCCGGTAACCGTCAAGATATGATCCATATGAACAATTCCCTTTTCCATTGCCGGCGAAGCGGGAACACCTGCTGAATGTACTCGTTATTTTGCCTTTCTTTTTGCTGTTTATATATCTGCACTCAGAATGACCACCTGTATCTTTTTAAATGGAACGAATTGATTTAACTTGTATGAATAGCACCAAAATGTGGCGGAAACTGGCTAGCACTAGTTGTAGCAGCTAGGAGTCAGAAAATTGAGAATCTACGTAGGAGTACCTTTGATGAGCCACAACAGATGGCCATGTGGCATGTCTTTCGGTCATTATTTATAATCGCCGCATCCTTACATGTCTCAATTCTACTTTGGTATTAATGTCAGGTCAAAATAGCGCGACGAAAGATATTGTCAGAATTAGGGAAGAGGATATTTAGAGTACCCTATTGTACAGTATGCTAGTGCGTTGGGGACAACGAACTGCAAAAATAACTAAGCACTGGCAATTTATGTGAATAGCAGTCTGTTTACATGAGGAAACATTCATTGTTCGATGAGGCTCCGCTTACACAACACATTCTCCAATTTCCGACAAAGACTACTGTACTTACAAGCAAATTATCCCAGGCCTTTGTTTCACGATTATTCTGCGACAGCTGACGCTGACCGTGAAACAGAATGCCGAATCGCCCTGTCATCATCTTGCATCACCTGTTCCAATTTGAAAAACCTGTAGAAAAATAGTAAGAATGCAAACACTAAGAATGTTACTCCGGTCACAATAGTGGTCATAATAGCCATTATAGACCAGTCTCCTTGCGATGTGTAAACATTGATGAGTGTTGTGAGTAATCCTGCGGCCGCATTCAAAGATGCTGGCCTCGAGTTATATGTCAGCTATGAGTTCCGTTCAACCTCCTTGAGCCTATTGTAATATCTCACATAAAAACTTTGTGAATGAGCCATGTATAGTTACTTCTGAGTTTTCGAGCCAGCAAGAACAGCGCTATAGCTCCACCAACGAGGAAGAAGCATGCAAGGACAAGCAATGGAGGGTTCTGTATGGTGTGTAATACTGCTCGCCCTGTGTTATTCTTTTGCAAAGTTTCTTCCACTTGGATAGACCTTTTTAGCGAAGTGAAGGTTCCTGGAATAACAAGGTATCCCGCAAGTAGCACCCAATTAGCTGCACTAGCAAAGACCCCATATTTCCAGTTCATTTGATCTTCCTCCTTCAGCATTCTGACATAGTCCGTATCACAATCTTTGCCTTCCGCTACGCTGGCTCCCTCTTTGGATTCTCCATGCTGGGGTCTCTCAGCCCTTCGCAGTATTCTTGAATCTCGAAACTGCATAGAGGTAAAAGAATATAGGCGTTTATGAGCGTTGTATATTCAAGACTTCAGGAAAGCCTCTTGGTAGGAGGGCGGAAGTGCGATAATATATGGACAAAGATATAACTGGATAGCGCCATTGTGATGTACGATTCTGGGAGGGCTTTTAATTTGAGGGGTGTTCCAGTCTACCTCAATTCATTGATTGATTATTTCATAATGCAAGGATCTGGCTGGCCATAGGGTAGTTGCTTAACTCGTTGATTTATGAGGGGAGTTGCATTGAGGCAGTATTTGACCGAGTCGTAAAAGTCAGAGCGTTCATTGCATGGGCCATTGATCAAATACCATGTAAATGATCTGAGTTGAACACAGGGCGTCTTAGTATATAAGTGCCCCAGACCTTCGCCCATGTCACCACAAGGTCAAATGGCTGCGTGGCTCGATCTCGTCTGTGACGCCACTGGCCAATCCTTGGTGGACACTGGCCGCCTGGAGGAGATTGTACAGGGTATGAGCCACCCAAAATCTCAATATCCTTCCTTTATCTCTTTTATTGGCAATGGTAGCCGAATCAAAGCACTGCAGGCCTTATTCCCACATAACAATGTTACCCGCAAAGGACCCGCTGGGCTGGCTCGGCTTCATCTCAGTACAGCCACAGCCCAAACTGAGCACCCCGTTATCTTTGTTGAAAGCAACCTGTCCGGTCAACCAGGGCTCGGGGATACCGAACGCATTAGACAGTCAACGGACAAACATCGACGATTTCCCATTCCTCGGGGGAATCGACCGTTGGCGCTGCTTCAGCAAGAAGTAATCAGAGAAAAGATCTTACCCTGGACGCAAATACTATGTCTCTTCGCTGGTACAGTGGCTGAGATTGAAGATATACAGCAGCTACTGAGCCGGGCTCGTGGAAGGCTTCTAATCGGCACTCACCCCATTCCAGACGTGATGCGAGTTGTCATCGTCCTCACAAGCAACCCCACAACTTCAAATAGCGAACTAAACGAAATGGTTGCCTATCAGATAGGTGGGAATCCTTACGGGCTGAATGCTAAGGTTTTGGACCTCCGTAGCCGGCGTGACCTTTCTCCTCCGGCTGCTTACGAGCCATTGCGACGTCTCATTCTGGATGAACTTCAGGAGACACGAATGGAGTTAATCCAACAACATATGTCATTTTCCGCTTTTCATTTGAATGTTCTATGGAGCCAAAGCTTCCAGCTGTGCGCGGGAAACTCGTATCATGGTGACCTAGACTGTCTGCTAGCTGCCCGCAAAAATTTCCCACCAACAGCAGCAATAGTAGATTGTCTCAACGAGTTTTTCAGTCAAGCGAGGGAGATATCTTGCCCGCCTTCTGAAGTTCATTCTTTTGTCGCATCGGCACTATTGATGGATGCTTACCCTCCTGAGATGCATCGTAAGTGAATACCTTTTTGGTTCCACTTGACCTCTACACGTCTAGTCAGACAGAAATATCCTAATCTGAACAGGCTTTCAACCTGAAGTTGTTTTCAATACCTTATATTTGAACCACTGCAGAGTTGCCTGGAATAATCAGCACGATGTTGATCCAGACCCGAACTGCCAGGGCATCCTAGCCCACTTTTGCGAAGCGTTTGTTCAATTGGGCCCAACCAAGTCGTCTGTCGCCGTTCGACACGGAGCACTCTTAGACTATCACCATAGGTGGGGAATTCCACGTTCAACAACAACTTGCTTTTCTTGCATGTGCAGAGCGCCAGAGCACATGCTTCCATGCAGGCATGCCATCTGTGATATCTGCGTCGTACTAGTCGGATCGCCAAGTAGAAAGGCGGAATATCATACGGATCTTTCTCAATGCCCCATGTGCGAGGAGTCATTTCGCCTCACTATTCGTCAATTACCGCCTACCAAGCGTCCGGTTGTTTTCAGCATGGATGGTGGGGGAGTTCGCGGGATCGTGCAACTAGGTCTTCTATGGGCGCTAGAAAGACGGCTGGGAGACGGTGTATCGATAGCCCAGATCCCAGATTTATGGGCAGGGACAAGTGTCGGTGAGTATCCACTGGCTCTGTACTTAGATGTCTATTGACGAAATCACTGGCGAGAAGGGGGACTGTCTACAATTGACTTTAATTTCAACGAAGTGTCCGCAGAAAAAAGCTTTGAGCAATTTCCCGCTCTGGCACGAATGATCTTTGGATCCTCAAAGTGCATGCGAAAAGGTATACTATCTCGATTTACTAATTGGCTGAAATGCCTAGCTGGATTCATGGCAGATGGCCATTACGACTCAGATAATTTAGAGGAAACCTTGAAAAAGGCAGTGGATCCCCAGCGTCGTATATTTGACGTGCCGACAGCTACTTCAGCTGGTTGCCGCGTTGCCATTGTAACTAGTCGTGTTTCTGATGGGAAGGCATGTGTTTGGGCCAACTATCGTGGGACAGGCCGACAGAATGTAAAAGCTGCATACCAATTCTTGATGCCCCGAACTGAAAGTCAAAACCCTTTTCTGTGGGAAGTGTGAGTAAACATCCAGTTTTCCCGTCTGTTGAAGCAGAGAAATTCGAAAAATCCGAATCTGACATCATCCATTGCAGAGCACGATGCAGCGTTGCCGCCCCCTTGTGAGTGATCCTCTTATATATCCCGAGCTGGTAAAACTGACACCCGGAAAGCTTTTTCAGGACAAAATCATTGCCAGGCTTTGGTCTTTTTCAAGACGGCGGTGTAAGGGCGAACAACCCACTGGCAATCGCTTTCAAAGAGTCCACTATTGTTTGGCCCTCGACAGGAAGTCCTGATCTCCTATTGTCAGTGGGTACAGGATTCTCTGATTCCACCGCCGAATTAGATTCTCATCGTAGCATTCTTCGAGACAGAGCAGTTTCTCGTATGGTCCGAGCAACTTTGTCTTCTCCATCTTCAGATGGAGAGCAAGGGTTTCATGAAGCACTCAACTGTATCCCTGATCAGATGAAGGCTGATATTTTTCGTGTTGATCAAGCGTTATCTAACCCTCTCCCTCGGTTAGACGATGTAGGCGGCTTGTCTGAGTTGACCGAACTACAATTTACTGTTCCAGATGAGCTTGTTCGAGCAATCCTGGCGACTGCTTTCTTCTTCTTCGAGTTGGATAAGGTACCGCTCAAGAGGCATGGGGTGTTTGACTGTCAGGGTTCCATTCTTTGCACCAGATCAGATGCTAAGCCATTACTCAATCGTGTGGTTGATGAATTCCCAGGTGCAAGATATAAGACTATTCGCGGACACGACCTTGGCCATGTCAACGAAAATGATGGCTGCACAGTATGTGGATATTATCGGAAAAAGGTCTGGTTTTCTGTATCGAGTCTTGAGGAAATTACTTCCATTGTGGTTGCTGGCTCTACTCATCAGCGAAGAATTGGCGGTTTTCCAAAATCAATGGAAGATTTTCTGCGAGATCAACAAGCTTATGCTCAATTTGGTCGTCCAGACCATCTCATCAGCTCATGGCCTCCCAGCCGAAATTGCTTTTGCTCTCGGGGCACGAAACGCCGTATCCAATTTTTGGAACCAAATTTCAAGCAAAAGAAAAGTCGGCTGTAAATTGAGTCTCGTCTTTCTGCGCAAATAGAAATTCAAATAAATAAAATGACATTTAATGCAAGATGGTCTGGATTTGATTAATTGTTATTATGTAAAGGTGGAAAACTAACTATCCCACGCTTCTCTGATTTCTATAATGAGGAAGAAGGATGTTATGGGTGAGAATGCTCAAGAAAGGAGCAGAAGGGTGAACCCTTTACGATTCAAGTATCAAAACTCTCTCACCTTGACATCCTTGTAATCAGACTGACGTTACTAGATCGTTCCAACGACGACTATCTCCTGCGTGGGTGCATATCAGCATGGAGAACTCGGGCAGTTACCCCAAAATCCGTCGCACGCAACTCTCATTCTGTTTCCACCCATTCGTTTCGTTTCTCGTCTTGTTCTTCCTCTGCTCTTCTTTCACCAACATATAATTCATTTTCATGGCTTCATATGGCACCGTGTAAACCAAGGCGGCAATGAGGTCACCAAAGGCCGTGGCGAAACTCTAAATACGTCTTGGATGTGGTACAACCTACATATACACACAGGGATATGTTTACAATTGTGGTTGCCTGTGTATCGCATCGGCAGTTGGAATTCTGAGTTGAGATACGATTGTTATGTTTTTTATGTCTGTAAGGAAAGATACAGCTATTTGTGGTCCCAGTAGCTGCGTTCCTATTGGCTAGCGCAGTGACAGCCTACTATGCTGCCACTCCAACAAACTCTCAAACCGTCACTAGACCATAAGTATGGCAACGAGTTAGAGCCGACCTCTGTTCTGCGTCTGTCTGTGTTACTCGAGTCTCGTCTATCGGGTAAAAAGGTGGAAAAGACTAATTTGTTGTGATATAAGGCTGGTGCAGATCAGGAACCAAGCCGCGTCATGGGAATTATCCCCGAACAGTCTATACGAAGAGTCAAGTTATTGAAAATTAACTTGACTTTCTCGTTGATATATATATAGACTCGCATACTCCGTCTGAAATACTGTAATAACGATCAATCTTTTGGGTTACAACATAATTAACTACACGTGATCAGGGATTCAACTTCGATACTAGTCCCAGTGGCCCATGCCTCAAAGGCACTGGTGACGCGCGCTTCGCACGGTGATGCCCTGAAACGGTGTAGAAGTCATTTTCAATACGTGAAAGTAACGATTGGCACTAGCACGGCGAACATTTTTAGGGTCTAGGGCCTTTTGCACTTGAAACTGGGAGATAAACCTAGAAATGCATACGGAGTATCACAGGAAAGCAGCGATGGTGTACAGTAGATCAGAAAAGCATCGGTTGCAAAACCAATCAGAAGTATATTTTACAGAAGTGCATAGCAAAGTCATGTAGGCAATGAAAGAGAAACAAGAGTTGAATGAAAGAAAGCGTTCGGAGCACCGGCATTATGGTTCGAGCACCCACATTAGGGTTGAAGAAGAAAGAGTAAGTGAACTAGATTGGAAACCGCCAGCACTAAGCCTAACATGGTGACAGCGAGGGGAACTAAAAAATTGGGATTTTAACAACAGGGGTTACTTCCTACAACGAGGGTAAACTCTTCATCTCACTTCGTTCGTTTCAGGGCATATCCGATGCATCCGGCAACTTACATTCGAGGTACCGATACTCACGACATTTTACCCTCACCCTTTTACCACTTACAAAGCAAGTATCTTCGGGGGACAAACATAAGTCTATAAGGCTACTTTTATTGGCTTCCATCTCAGAAATCATAGATATTTTATTTTAAACTCTAACCATATAGTGGTCTAATATATTTAAGAGAAGAATTTTCAAAATTGAATGATAGAACAGGCTAGTACAGTTTTTTTTTGGCGTACTTATTACGCTTGATATCACCCCGAAAAAGAAAAAGATTGAATAACACGAAATTTTTAGCCTCGAACACAAAATTTCGAAACTATCATTGAGTAACCCATGGACACAGGCCTTTCCAGGTAGTCGTAATAGGTTCAGGCCCTGATATAATCCGATCGGCCTCACGGCTAACAACCTTGACCCTCACGGACTTAAACCCTCGAAAGAAAATTGTCTGGCCCTCATTTCCTGGGAGCTCCCAGATAGCATCAACACAGTCAAATCCAGCTTGTGCCAGGCCAGGCCACTTGTCAACAATGTTGGCAGGGCCAGAGGTGATACGATTATCCCCCATGTGGACTTTCACGTATTTTGTACCTCGGAAGAAGTACACTTCATGATCTGACCCTGGTACATGCATAGCAGCATCTATAATATCAAATTGAGCTGCTCCCAGGGCTGGAAACTTGTCGGTGATCTTCCAAGGGCCTTCTGTCTTTTTGTTGGCGGTGGAGTACATCCCAACACGTGTTCCGTAGAAGCAGTACTTGTCATCATCTTTGGCTCCTTTGATGTCGAGCCAAGCATCGACAGTGTCAAAACCGAGCTTGGGAAGCAACGTATAATACTTAGGGATCAGCCAAGTCTGTGCTTGTTGTTTCGGAAGTTTCTTATCGGGGTGCTGGATGTTGACATAACCAATCCCCATGAACAATCCTGCCCAAGGTCCATCCCGCTGAACGTAAACCGAATCAATCATTGTGACAGTGAAGAACGGTGGATGGTCTTCTTGAACAAAAGTAGAGAGGGGTCGTGTGTAGGAGAAAAGGGCAGTAGTATCGATCTAGCGGAAAGTCTTTCGTTTTATATGTGACCCTCGTTAGATGAAACTCATGATCGAGGAGTAAGTGATCCAATGCGCTACTTATAGCATAAAAGCTCGCCTGTTTTAATAATATCGTGTTGAGATTTCAAGCTCTTATTCGCCTTAGTGCTCTTTGGGGGTCCACTAACAACGTCACAGATATTACTTATCACATTGCATGGCCCTATGTTGTATCACAACAAATGCGCCATGATTGGATCCCTTTACGAAAACGTGGGCCACGTTACGTGGCCGTGACTATGATCTCTCTATCCTGAAGTAATGCATGATGCATCAGAGGATCTGAAGGCACTTGAACTCCTTGCTACGGAAAAGCATATATTATTACCGGAAGATGCCGTCCCAAGACATCATTGCATGGTCTTCGCAAACAACATAATCCTACACGCTCTGGTAATAGGAAGGTATAGGACTATGGCTGAAGGCATGGCTGACTCTGAAGACCTGGGCAATTCCACGGTACTTTGGTGCTATCTCATTATTACCATAAACATATACGTGTACCACTTCGACGTACAGGTGGTTTATAAGATCTGCATGATTAAAGTGGCGGTGTAGGAAGCGTGTTGAAAATAGCCTTCCGGCCTGTATCTTCTGCTATTGCCTTTGCTCTCTAACACCGAACAACATCTGCGGCGTTCTACTGGGGCAGGGCACACAATGGACTGACAGTGAACATTAAACAGCGTGAAAGAGGTAAAAAAGAAAGCAAGTCTGTTTCACAATTTCAGGTCGCAGAATTTGCCTCACTGGCAGCTTATCCTGTCGAGCGCAAGATTACTAGCGCCCTATGCTTTATTCAGTCACTGCATGTTCTTCCTATTTCAGTACAGGAGCTCCGCTCCTCGTTGCTGTTTGCTGCATTTATTTGAGGTCCGCAGCTCGAGATGGGCTGCAGGAACTACGACATCGTGTCACGTGCATTTTCTGATACCTAGCACTCTTCCTTTCCCCATGCCACTGGTGACGCGCGCTCCGAACGCTGATGCCCTGAACGGCGATAAACTGCAGAAAACATGGGAGAAGGTATTAAGCACGTGACACTCTAAGCAATACAACCAATGAGAGTAACTGGGACATTCTCCACGTGACTTCCCAAATACCAGACCAATGGGAACGAGGCTTGGCACGAAATTTGGCTGCGTTTCGCGTAGCGTCAACTCAGCCTTAAAATCAGCCTCGCGCAGACCCACAGTTTGTAACTGGTGACGCGCGCTTCGCACGCTGATGCCCTGAAACGATGAAAAGGAAAGGCAGGTACAAGAAGCTAAAGTCATATATAATTGCTAACTTTAAAATAGGCTGTCGTAAGAATGATAATATTTTTAGATCTGGATCTAAAGTACTAACTTAATTATAAATACATACCTTAAATGGCTTGAGATTTTTGTTGAATGTACTTGCTATGATTACTAGTATATGCCCCTGACACAGCCTCAATATTGTGATCATCCTGAATTTCGCTCTCGCATTGTTACCTTCTCCATAATTGGTAGCCTCGTCGCCAATCATTTACAAAATGGGTTGGTTGATCGGGCGCTCAGCCGCAATAAAACGCAGGGATCGCGAGTCTTTGCCAAGAGGGCTAAAAACAAGTAGAAGAGCCCCCATCCCCCACCTTCGCCTCTCAGCATAATTTAGCCTTCCAGTGTTTCGCAATGAAAAACCCCGTTCCCTTGCCGGGGAAGCGCGAAGTACGCAACATATGGGCCTGGGCTCGTTCTCTAGCCACTTCGCAGCGCTACGATGGGGCAGCAGACAGTGATCCACACGATACCGAGCTCCTCGTACTTCCCAGCCAACAGTCGCTGGCTTCCGTCTCCAAAACCACGACAAAAGAGCGAACCGTCCAAGATCAGACTCTTGACACTCCTATGTTAGGTGAAGCAACAGCTAGTACCGACGAACACAGAGACATTCCAGCAAATGTTTTGGAAAATAACAGTCCTAACAAATCAAGACCCTCCTGGATTAAAGGTGTATACCTCTGTGGATACGCGACTGCCGGCCTCCTACTATCAAATGTCATATTTGTTTCCGTGACTGGCGGATTATCTTCCAAATTCCCGGGAACAGGAGGATCCTCGAATTCAAAAGTGATATATGACGGTTCTTGTGACGTGACAGGTCGGTGGAACACAGGTCTCCACATTATAATCAACATTATCAGCACCTGCACTCTTGCAACAAGCAATTATTGCATGCAGACTCTTGTCGCCCCAACTAGAGACGAAATTAACATAGCCCACGCAAAACGCCGCTGGCTTGACGTTGGAGGTTCCAGTTTTAGAAACATCTTCGCTATATCGTATGCCCGACTCGGTCTGTGGATAGTCTTGCTACTTACTGCCACGCCATTTCATCTACTGTATGGAGGTATATCTATTGTTCTATTTACAGCGTACTAATGTCGCCTTAGTTACAACTCACTCGTGTTTGAGAGCCTAACTTACAACCATTACTGGTCCTTCGCCGCCCCATATGATTTTACGCCTGAAGACGTGCGAAATCTCACGACTCCCGCCTTGCATGATTGTTTTGGGATAGGCGCGGGGGACTTAGCGGGTACAAGTCTAGATTCAGACAAAAGATTCGACTGGAACCAACAAATTCTTCAGATTGAAGGATCAAAGACTGAGAGGATCTCCGCCGAGAAATGCTACGGAAAAACATCTATAACCAATGGCCTATCCGGCTACAGAGGGATAATTCTCCTAACGAGCAACCGAAGTATGAGCGATGGCGGAACTGAGTCTGTCCTTGGAATTGAGAACTGGAGCCACCCCGGCGAAGTTTGGGCCGCTCCGTTTGTGAATTCGGATCCCAGAAACATACAGGATCATGAATGCACAACCTACGATGCATTCCTCCACCTTGAATACTACAAAAAAGACACAATGCACGTAACGGAGTGCCTGGCATTCGAGGGAAAAAGCAATTGCCAACTGTTTTACAACCCTATTATCGCTGTGATCATTATTGTTGCCACCTTCGTCAAAGTTATTGCGATCTTCCTGGCCGCCCAACTTCGTAAATCTCGATCAACCCCTCTTCTTACGTCAGGTGATGCGATAGCTTCATTCCTGGAGGACCCAGATGAGACTACGAAAGGCATGTGTTGGGCATCGCTGAACAGCACCAAACAGAGAAACTGGATAACATGTCCGAAAGGACAGGAACCACAACGGCGGGCCGTAAGATACCAACGTCTCACCAGGCCTCAGCAGTGGAGAAGAGCATCTAGTCCAATACATTGGTTTGTAACAGTGTTGATGTGAGCCACTTGAACCCGATACGCAACCTGAATGCCTGGAAGCTAAACAAAATTAAGCGTCCTTATCTGCATTGTGACCACCACTTTGATATACCCGTTCTTTGCTGTGGACTCAATGAATGGCGTGGGAACCGACGAACTTACATGGCAAGCAATCTGGGACTTAGACTCCATGGCAAGAAAAAATGCTATTACTGCCTCTGGTTCGAAAAACTATTCAGAACTCCAAGGTGTGGTGATTGCGAATAGCGCCCAATTGGTAGTCACGCTCTGCTATTATTTCTATAATAGTCTACTTACAAGGATGTTATTGAGTGCGGAGTATAGCTCTTATGGGGTTAACAGGAAGCCACTTCGCGTCACTTGGCCTGTTGAGGGTAGCAAGCAGCGTTCAACCTATTGGCTATCTATCCCATACCGATATGGACTTCCAGCGATGGCCCTATTCACAATACTCCATTGGCTTGTCTCGCAGGGAATCTATTTTGTTCTGGCTTTTCCTTACGATGCAGACGGCAATCTACTATACGCGCAGAAGGAAAGCGCACCAAAAATGTCATATATGCCTTTAATATGCGCTGGTGCCCTTCTTGGTGTCCTGGGTATCATGATTATTGGCGTGTCATTCCGGAGACTCAAGTCAGCAATACCTCTCGCGGGAACTTGCAGTGCTGCTATAAGCGCAGCCTGCCATCCGCCCGAGAACGTTCGTACAGACACCGTGACGCACGGTGAGCTGATGTGGGGAGAGACCGATCTGCCATGGGCCTTGGACAGCGGGGATGATGATGAAAGCGATGGCCCAAAGGGACATTGCAGTTTCACCCCATCAGGAGCAAGGCAGCCTTCTTTGGACAAGTTATACGCCTAGATCACAGTGTATCTTGCCCCTACGCTGATAATACACTCCTCTACTGGTAGATTCGATGACCCTTCACCTATTGCGCATTATTTTGTTACAACACCAAATTAAATACCATGTCATAATTAATCAAAAGGCGTTTCTTCCAGGCAATTTACTTGTCGGTCGCCAGATCAGGAATATTGGTAGATGGGCGACGTTGAAATATAACTGAGAGCCCGAAAGGTTTAGACTTCATGTATACCCACCCATGCCGGATTGTGAGAAATACCGGGCCCGTAATCTAAAAGCAGCTAGTAGAAAAGAAGAAGCGGATATAGGATTGGCTCGGAGGATGTGAGGGTTTCACGTATACGTAGATGAGGACAGCATCTTCGTTGAATAACCAGTATTAAGAAAAGCTATTTTCAACTCCAGATACAAGACGTAGCGCGAGGAAGCAAAGAGACAGGCTTCCTCGCGTTCTGGGGAACCCATATGCGCCATGTGGGCCCCGCAGGTCATATCTCCAAACATGCTCACGTTTCATGTAACTTAATCTCTCAGCCCCTGCAGTCCACCAATTCATCTGCAGCAAAAGTACGTTCTTCCTCATGGCGACCGTCCTCCGTCCAGGGAGTCCACAGGCCCTAGGCGCGGCAGGTTTGGAGCCAATACCCAACAACGCGCCGGTTCTTGTCAGCGATAAGAATAGGGTCAGCGGAGCAGTCTCAAACCCTGGATTTACGGCATGTTCGATAAAACTGCCAATAGTCCCGATCCGCAACGCCACTTTTCGAGTGAGGCCTGGCCAATATCAAAACCTGATCAATCAGGATGCTGCGGCTAGCAAGAAGAATGTGCGTTTCAATGATACTTCGAAGAAACCCGCTTGTTCTTTCGAGCGGATCCCCCTTTTATCTTTGACATTAAAGTCAGCTCCAACCGGCCGTGGAGCGACCTCAACGGGTTCGACATATAGTAAACATTTTCAGATTAGCCACGGAAAAATTTTTTGCATATTGAACTCTACTCACAGTGCACCTTCGACTTCCCATGCTTTCAAAAGCAATACTGGTGTGGAATGGTAGATTTGGTCTTACGGGTATTACGTCGGGGTGGATTGGATGTGGGGCCGGCTCTAATACCATCCAATCAAACCGCGATATCTGAGGCCGTATAAAATACGAATAATTTTAGTTTCTGTTAAAATCCTTATATTTCTATAATTATTGAATTTATATATTCAAGTGTATATGCCTAATAAGTATTGGACTTTCCTATTTTCATAAAATTTTTATATCTTTTAAATATTGGGGACGCGCGCTGCTGCACGCAGTTGCCCTCAAAATGAGACAGAAAGACGAGCACTTGAGGGCACGCAACACGTGAGGGGACAAGTACCAGACCAATGAGAGCGAGGCTTGGCGCGAAATTTGGCTGTGTTTCTCGCAGCGTCAACTCCGCCTTCAAGTCAGCCTCGCGCAGACCGGCGGTTTGTAACCCCTTTCACTCCGTTCCTTCGTTTCAGGGCACTGGTGACGCGCGCTCCGCAACCTCCGCACGCCGATGCCCTGAAACGACATGAAAACAATTAAGTTCGGTAACCGACAAGAAACTTTATTTGATAAAACAGAAATAAAGTGCATAAGAACCGAAAGTTTGCATGGTCCGGAATGGGTAAGGTGGAAGTGGTGTAATTCTTATCAGTTGAATATATAGCCAGTGCATGTTTTATGTATGAGAATCAGGATGGTCGCCCGGATGGCTAAGAAAACCTTTAACGGTGAGGAAACAAGGACAGCGTTGTGTTTCGTTTCTCACCAGTCAAATTCATGGGCGTGGTACAATTAGATGTAGAGACCCGCCCGGGTCAACAGAAGTTAAGAATGAGCCCCATGCATAGATGAATTTGTCGGGCTCGTAGGACTGGGGATTTCCCAGAGAGGCAAAGACATGTATAGTAGCCGGAAGCTCATTCAATTCAACATCGTCTGAGTAGAGATCCGTTTGAAAAGGAAGATGTAAAGAAGCCTCAAGTTGTAGGGCAAGTCCCTAGTCAGGTCGAGACGGGTCGGGTCCCACGCTGTTTATGAAATCCCGTATGTGAAGAATAGCCGGATAATTAACCTGGGATGGCATAAGGGCGACGGATTGAATAGGGACGGTGAAAATGAAGACTAAGTGGCTGCAAGGAATAGAGAGGTTTAATACAAGATGGTAATAGACAGAGGATATATAAGTGCAAAGAGTATCACTAGTGTACAGGGCTACCAGATTGTGAATGAGTGAGAAGGACTACATGATTTCAGTACTATTTACTCGTCATCCCAGAGATATGGTCATACATAACAGGGAAAGATTGCAGCATAAATAAGAAGGCGAGAAAGGATCCGAGGGCAGGTGATAGTTATGATGTCGACGATGCTATGCTAACAACTTAAATACATCGTAACAAATCACAGGAGCACAAAGAGTCCAGGAATGAATCCGTGCAAAAACACTATTAGAGATATTACCCGAACTTGTTAGTATAAGCGAAGATTATTAACCAAAGGTAGCAGACGAGGAAGCTTAATGGACGTGATATGACGACAATAGACCAAGAGAGTGAAGGCGGCTTCTTTTTCTTTCATGTGGTGGTCAGCGGTTTCGAGCGTAGCGGGAAAGCGACAGCTGTGACTGCATAGGTCATGGCGTGGTTAAAGTTACGGAAAGACAACAAACCGAATCCGATAGGACCGATTCAACCATAGTGCCGTGAAACCTAAACCAAGCCCGTGAATAGCATCAAAAACAACCTTTCTTCCAGTAGTCTGAAGCAAGTAATTCATCGGAATCTCGGAACTAGAACACATCCTCTCACGAACTTGGGCTGAAAGTCAACAACCTTGCACGTGAGGGTAAGGAGCATAGGGCAGAACCAATAATGCAGAACCCAAAATCCAATGACAGTGAAGAACGCAGGCCAATCATCGTGATTTTGGACAAATATCGCCGCAATTTTGTATGGACTTTTGGCAGTCTGTCGACTCGCAAAATATATGTGTCGAGTCACGTGCGATGGTCTCCCCTTCCTCTCACTTCGTTCGTTTCAGGGCAGAGGCTTGGCGGGGGAGTAGGCTGTGTGTTTGTCGCTGTGTTTTTGGCAGCGTCAACGTCGGCGTTGCGCAGCCGTGGGGTTGGTAACCCCTTCCACTCCGTTCCTTCGTTTCAGGGCACTGAAATAAGGCCTTGGATTCTGAGCTGAAGACACACCTTAGTACTCTTCTTCAACAACCGTAGGGGCTTGGAAATTGGTAGCACTTGAATTTCCTTGAAGCTCTCTGAGCTCATTTTCCAGCCATGTTGTAGCCTCATTCAGTTCATCCAATCCACCTTCGCGCCTTCTTTTGCGATTAACTTCTTCTGGCTCTTCTGACCCTGTGGGGGCATAGTATCGCCATGTAGCATGTAATGGAGTGAATGGACTGATGTCATAGTGTTCGTAACAGGAACTGCCTGGTAGTGTGCGGTTGTTGCGCTCCGGATTGGATATATTGAACTTTGTCGATAATTTTTCGAAAAACGAATTCAAAAAAGATGGGTTATGGAATGGCAATCTTCGTTCTTTAGCCGGCTGGTCAAGGAAGAAGAATTTCATGTTTATGTGGCTTGGTTTAAAGTTTCCGAATTGCATGGCCGTTGGAGCCTCAAATTGTTCCCCTGACGGGGCAGGAGCGGCAGAGGGTGCAGAGCCTATGTCATTCTCAAAAAAAATGTGAGTAAGGGATTCGTCAATCGCCATATTTTCCTCAACCACAGGAGTAACCCCTGGTCCAGGAGTAGAGTCTACCGTAGGCCATTCAGATGAACCTCCTTTGAGATAGCTGAAAAATGCCTCGAAAACGGAACGTCGCACGAAGCCTGCGGTGATTGAACTTGCTGTATTTCGTTTTACGGCCCAGGTTTCTGCCAAAGACTCTCGCGATAAAGCATAACGGTCTGCTTCAGCCGAGTCGGTATATGGCTTTCCGTGTCTTCTGCCTACAGCCACATCTTCTTCACTCCCTTGGGGGTAATCACACGCCACAACTGAAGGGAGCTCGGCAGGTTCGGTTGAGATTCCCTCGGCGATAGGAATATTGAAATTTTGCTCTCTAGCCAGCCAAAATAAATGTTGCCAAAGAACGGATTGATCAAGTCCGCTTTGTCTCGAAGAAAGCCCCGGGATTGGCTGGCGCTGATTTCTACGCGCCCTCCGCGGTAGGCGGCGTTGATACCCCGGGCCGGTCATTTCAAACCCGTACTGAAGACTGAAGCGCCAGAGTTCATAGAGCTCGTCCCGGATACGATCCTGCCGATACGGGATAGTCATTGGAATATTAACGTTGTACAGCCCACCAATCCCTTCATCGATGGTAACTCTTTGATCCGGGTCCGGGTCCGGTACAAAAAGCTCCTGCATTACGTTCTGACCAACTTCCAGCCAAAGCCTGTCCTTGAAAAAGGTCTCCAGGGTTGGAATAGGGTAGTCGATGTTTTTCAGCCGTTCCCAAATGTTGCGACGTAAGTCCAGGTCGTCAATATCCGGGAAAATCTGCTCGTTTTTCGCGCCAGTTTCCGAAGTCTCCAAACCGGTATCATAGATCTCGGGATTCATACGGACCTCCAAAAATTTTAAGTCTCTCTCGGATATTTTGGGGGCACGAGACTTGAGCAATTTGACGGTGACTCCATCAACAAGTGACAAAAGGTTAGTATTCCCACCCATCAAATGAAGAAATGTCTCTCGAATAAGGTTCAAGTAGCAGAGTATTGGCTGATATCATGTCAGTTTAACTAACAGAGGAGCAATTTTTCAAAAGTCTGCCTTACCTCGTCACACCGCATTGCCTTCAACTTGTGGAGTAACCCAATCCTCATGCCTTCCCACAAGCCTTCAATAGGAAGCAGCTTATCGAAGGCGTCAGGAAGTCGTGGATGCTTTAAAAATGATTTCAGATATCGGCCCTTTTTGCTTCCGGAAACCCTCTCCAGAACAGCCCACCAGTCGCTTGCTGCTAGGCTATTCCGAGGGCTCCCCAGATGCCCTTCGTAGTAACGAATTCGCTGATAAATTAGTCCATCCGCAGGCCGACGGTCATTAGGAAATCGTTCTCGGAGGGAGCGAATGAAGTTGTCTTGAAGCAACGCGTCGCTATTTGTCCCATTACCTTGTAAATGTTAATTGTAACTGAATTTCAATTTCTACCACATTATTTTATTTTGGGTGATAGAAGCAAACCCTTCACTTGCCTGTTTGTTCGGACACGTAGACATCGACCACCCACCACCTGTTGCCCGGCCCAAGAGACTTGCGAGCTGCAGTAATGAGGTTTTCATGATCTTGGGCGCGAAGCTGATAGCCAATGTCTACATCCAATTGAGGAAGACTATCTTCTGTTCTCCGCAGTCGTACACGGTTTTGCCAGTCGTTAGGGTCGATCAAAACCGGCACATGATACTCCGGTGGCAAACGGCGACAACCCTGGGTCTTAATAATTCGTCTCAGTCGAGTAATGTTTTGACGATCGTTCATCTGCCGACGGAAGCCTTTTTCGAAGGTAAGGCAGTCTATGTCAACACATGCTGATTCCTGGAAGCGGGCTTTGCAATTAGTATAGAGCTCGCGCTCCGCCGCTTCCACTTGAGATTGTGTCAAGCGCAGCATTCCGGAATGAAGGAGGTGAGTCTTTGTTGGAAGATTGTCTCGGTCGTATTGCTAAGTGCAGACTTTATACGACCATGAGCTGAGAGGGCCTGGCCAGTCAGTTAGACTTCAACGAATGGAACTGGAAACAACTTGAACGATGTTTAGAAGGGTTAAGCGTCATTCATGAGGGTTTCGCATCTATAATGGTGTCGAACAAATTCTAGGAAGCAAATATTTGAGAGAGAGCGGTCATGAAGAATCTATGGATCAAGTATTAGACCCCAATTGTTGAGCTCTATAAAAGCAGAATCATACATGACATAAATTCAACACGTCTGTCATAGTTTATACTGATGTAAATGAAATGATGGTAGTCAAATTTTTGGACTCAAAGTTAATTCGCGACCGTTTTCGCCATTCAGACCCCCTTCCAATGCCATTGAAATTCTTGCTCTGATTTATCGCACCTTCTTCGGAGCTTTAAGGGCTCAAGGATTTGTACAATTACCACCTGTATTGCTTCAAATACTTACTTTCCTTATCAGTTGGGTTTTGAGAGTAATCGCTGCGTGGTAGATTGGAATATGTGATAAGACATTACTGAAGTTGACATGTACAGATGAAATCAGTTGTTCAATAATTCACTTACAAGACAGCATATTCTCCCCATACGGCATACAGTAACTCAGCTTGATGTTGATGGGACATCTATTATTAGTACCATACCCGTTCAAAAGTATCTTCCCACTCCACTTTTTCGGGTCCCCTCTCAAAATATATATATTACTTACACTGTATATAGCACCACCATTTTATTGTCTATAATGCTATAATTAAAAATTGAGGTTGCTTAACAATAGCACAATAAAAATTTCGCTTAATATTTTGTATAATACATCTTGGCCTTCCGTACTGCTTTCAAACGTCTTCCCATACTCAATATCAGTGCATCTATCTTTGCTTGATCTAATGCCTCCCAAGCTTCTACCAGGCATTTTTTAAAATAAAGCCAGTCTATCTCCTTTCTTCCTTGGCCAATAAGCTCTGGAAACATTGCAAAGAGCTTTAATTTCAACCAACGCCAGACCGGTTCAATTGGGTTTAAATCAGGTGAGTGCGCGGACCAATCCTCGACGTATACTCCGTGCCTTTCAAACCATTCTTGCGTCGCCACCGCTAGATGGATCTTTGCGTTATCTTGCTGAAATACTAAATCAGGGGTGTAGATTGACATCAGACCTTTTTCAAGTGCTTTGATATATGATTTTGAAGTGTAACCCCTTCCTGAAAGCGAGTCTTCGTCCCGTTCCATAATAATTAATTCTGTCCGACCACCTAGCCAGATTCCGGCCCAAACCATTTGCGAAATATCTTTAACGTGTACTTTCGCATTCATAAGATCGCGGCGAAGGCCCTCGGAGTCCGTACGGAAGCACCATTGTGGTCCAAATTTCGAGGTTCGCTGCACCGAACACTCGTCCGAGAAGATCCACGATTGGAAGCTTTCACGCCCCCATTTTCGCGCAAATATTAGCCGTTCCCTTGCAAGAGAGGGCTTAATCGGTATCTTCCTTTTTGAACGCCGTTTTCCGAGACCGTATTGCTTTAAAGCTCGCTGTATAGTGGACCGAGACGGATGACTGGGTGTCGCAGCACTAAGCTGATTATAGGTCCAAAATGGGTGTCGGCGCGCTTGTAAATAGAAGCAAGTAGAAGCTCGAGAGCTTAGTATAAGAGGACGGCCCGTTCGGGGAAGGCTTTTAAATAATTGATGCTCCTCGAAGCGTTTCAATGTATTGTAGATCGTCCGACGGCTACATTCGAATTCATTAGCTAGTTTTGACTGCGAAATGCCGTCCTTATGGCCAAATACAATAGCTGACCTTTCCTCAGTAGATAGTTCAGCCGTTCTAGGGCGTTTTGAACTTATTTCCATTAAAATCGGACATGTAGGAGAGGTATAGGAAGAAAAATAGAAAGGTGGGTTGGTTGCCGGGTCAAATTGTAGTGGGGCAGTGGGAAGATATTTTTGACTAGTATCTGTATATAGATGAGTATAGTACGGTACTAGATATCCATTGGCTTTCCGGCTTAGTAGCTGTGCTTAAAGTGAATGATAATGATCCTAAATTTGAGAAAACAGTATGTACAGCATGTATAATTTATTGCATAGAAAGGATCATTTTCGTAGAATCTTCCATGAATGGCAATGGCGATCTTTGAATGGAGCATCGACATATTGGAAGCCTCTCTGAGAGATTTGAATCCAACTTGTCCATTATTCTGTGCTAATGACTAAATGTTCTCCGAACCCGAATGGCAAATGTCTTCGTAGGTAGTCCGGGCGTTGTGTGCTTGGGCAAGTAAATCGCGGACGGATCCACGCATCTTTTCTGCAATTTGATACACAGCATAGAGATCATCATCCGCTGACAAAGTTCGATCAGCTTGATGCAGACGAATCAGGTTCTCGGATGCTTCCACGACTAAATCTTGTAACTGCTTGAGAAGGGCGTAACAGGTACGATAGCACGCGTTTTCTGCCTGCTGTCGGCCGATATGTCGAACGACCTCTGCGATTTCGTCCATGGTGACAAGATTCACCTTTTACTTCTACTGTAAGCTACTAGTTAAGGCCTATTTATCCTATTATACGGTTAGAGTTTGCTGAGAGTTGATCGATAAGCCTCAGATGAGCCTATTCGAACTATGATACCTTTCCAGGTGCTCCTCCAACGGGTGCAAGATTTTGCGGGTCTAGATGTCGTTGAAGTAGACCAACAGTGGAAATGTCAGTCTTTGCTTTCTGAACTAAGATCTGCCGTAGTCAAGTGAATCCACCCAATTCGAACAATATTCTCGCTGTGGTTGATACTTAAAGCCTATAAATCCTAACCTACAATCTACGGTTCTAACATCCATCGATTGCAATGGCTGATTCCGAGACCGAAAATATGCGCGACAGCGCAATCATCGCGGCCATAAGCATATTCGGAATTTCCTACTTTTCTCTTTTTCTGCTCCAATTTCTTCTCTTCCATTTTCCGTCATCTCCGGAGATGATCCTGAATTCACTCTCCCTGGTCTTCTTCAGCGGAGGCGCTATATTCTGGTATTTATCCAGCTTAGTCTATCGAGTTATCTCAGCTTTCAACGGCAAGGATACAAGCGACTGGCAGAACCTTGAGTTCGGGGGAGCATTGATTTTTATCTACGCAGCGACCATTCCATCCGTGGTTTTACTCTTCCCCAGGCTGCCCTCTGTCCAGCTCGGTTACTTGTTTTCCTTCACCCTTGTGGCCGTTGGGAATTTGGTGGATTTTCTGGCTTGGGATCTCAGTACCTCCGTTGCCCGACTAAGATTCCCCTACCATTGTGCTTCACTATGCTTGTTCTCTTTGGTGCCGATGATCCACGCTTTGACTGGAACACTATCAAATGTCTCACCGTTGGCGGTCCAATTTGGCCGGGTCGCTGTGCTCAATACTCTTGGTGCTGCGCTTTATCTACTGCGACCACTGGAGAGACTATGTGTATTCGCTGGCTGGAGGTTTGAACTCTATTTGATGCATTCTGTTTTGGCCTACAGCGCCGTCATTTACTCCCAAGCTGTCTTACGTGCCGTTTTAGAATCTGCGCAGTGATTCAAATATGTACATATTTCCGAACACATTGAAGGTGTTGTAATATCTTCTCATGATTTAGGCGCTGTCAAACCAACGAGAAATAATCTCTTCTCTACCAATAATGTTCTACTCACAATTTGGGGTTTATTCGTACTTACACGCCAAGCTAGCCAAAGAGTATTAGTTGGCTGTATTAAAACGGTAGGCCCAACGAGCGACCGGGGATACCGAAAAAGGCCAATCAACTGCACAGATTTTAACCTCAGATATCAAGGAGTACTACCGGGGTCAGTATATGGAGAGAGTGGTGAAAAAGGGATAGTGATGTTCTGATTACTTGTTTGGCATACTTAGTGTGGTTCTGCTAGGAAGCCCATATTGACGTAAAGGTTAAGTACTAATTCAGCAATAATGAACGACCCATTTCTCCGTCACTTTTTACCAGCATGATTCTTTTGATGGATGGATGAATCAAGAATATAAGACATTTCTGTAAAGTGTGATATCGATCTTCTCCAATTATTCATCGCTGATCATTGGCCAAATATCCAATGTGGGAACATCATATTCGATTTGAAGAGCAAAACCCATGGAGTCTCTCAAGCTACACCAAATTCTTCAAGCAACAAAATGACTGGTAATTGCTGGTACAGTAATTCTCGAAATCGGCTTGACCAACACACAGAGTAACTCTTTTCTGGCCCCACCGCCACGTCCTTAGCGCGGATATAGTATTGAACGAACGGCATTAAATCGACGGCCGCAGTATTATGCCGCCATATAATAACGTGGCGAACGAGATTCATCGTTCAACCGTCAAAGCATAAAATGTAATTTCACTTTGTAAAATACAGGACTATATAAATATAGTATTGTTGTTGTTCCTTATTTTAATGTGGCTTGCGGTGGGTCCGTTCATCTATCTTACGTCAAGCAAACATTTCCACCGTATTTCATCGTTGAGACCGCTTGAACGACTCCCATTTGCTTTTGTCTTGACACTACTGGCCAAGCCCGTTTATTTGGTCCGTTTAAACAATAACGTACGTTCTCTATTTGGGTACAGTATTACCCGTAATTCAAGTCTTTCTTCGGCTCACTCATGTTCGAGCTTCCCTTCTCTTTGGCTAACTTTCAACGAGAGACACTCAACGGTCAAGCATGGTTTCTCACTGGGGCCTGCAGGTGGCTAGTGCAATGAACAAACAGATGACACCCTGAAAATTGGGGCCCAATATTCTGGGCAGTGGAATTTGGAATATATTTGAGGGATTTGGCGGTCGAAAACCCCCAAACCCGCCCCCGCCCCCTCCCTGAACGGTCAATCCATCGATGAACAATCCCCCACATCTTACATCTTTTGCTTGTCTCTCACTAATGGAAGACTCAATTATTGTTGGTGGTAAAAACAATCCTCGCTCCGGTATATAGCATGTAGATTTCTTAAGACAGCCCCATCCGCAATTACTTGATGCAATCGAGCACCTGTCATCAGCAATTGCAAATCCTGCCGAGGCGCCGCCAGCGTCATGCTGGATGAGCTACCATTAGAACTTTTGACATTAATTGCTCAATCGGTATGTCCTTCACGATGATGGCTCATTCGTGCTTCTAATCACTCCGTAGCTGCCAACCTCGAGTCTTCGCGCTCTCAGCTGTGTTTCGTTCAGGTTTTATTCGGCGCTAGTCCCTGAAATCTACCGTGATCTTGCGTTCTGCGCTTTGAGTGAGTGGGCATTGAATGTTCTCAACATTAACTCATTTTTCCTCCGCCACGGATCTTTGCGTGCATCCAGCTATCTTCAACACACAAAGAATTTGCACATCGAAGCGCCTATCCATCTCGCCCGGTTCAACAGATGCGCTTACTACAGCATCTTCCGTACGGCGAGCTTATCACGGTGTTCATCAACGCTCGGTGCGTCTAATAACGCGACGGCGCATGAGCAATTCTTGTGTGACATCACGGATCAGCTCCAGTTGGTTTTTGCACGACTAAAACCCAATAGCTTGTATGCTTTTAGGTATGAATAACCGTTTCCATAGCTACCTCCAAGGCTGACTCTACGCAGATGGCGACTGGGCACTTGTATGCCAATGGGGGTCCTGGACCAGGGTGGCTACCTCAGCCGGCACCAAAAGAGCCTTGCTCGTCTGTCGCTCGTAACGGACGGCACCTGTCCCCACGCATGGAGCCACCTGGACGGTCTGTCCGAATTATCGTGTCTGAAAGAGCTGGAGTGGGAGGGGATCCAGCATTCGGCCGAAATTGATTCGCTACAACAGTGCATCCGTCAAAATTGGTCACATTTGACTAGTCTCTCCGTTGGCTTTGTATCGACCTCCAACGACATAACGTTGTGTCGGGACATCCTCGGACTGCGATGGCCCATCCCCACACTCAGGGGCGGACCGCCGGCGTTACCGCGTCTATCCACTTTATTGCTTTCCAAAGTCACCCTCCCATCAAACCTATCGCCAGGTGATTCCTTGATATTCCTGAATCTGCGAGTGCTAAAGTTACGGGACTGCCCAAACCAGCTGCAGCTGTTGGGAAGTATGTCGCGATGTCAAAAGGCGCTGCGACTTGAGCAATTCGAAGCTTGCTTCGACTTTCAGCTACACCACCAGGTCCGTGACTTCTCCGCGCTCGTAGATTTCCTTCTTTCATTCCACGGGTTGCGGCACCTGCATCTGAGGCTATTCAATTTTCCATCGTCCGAGTCTCGTATGAAGGATGCAATCCAACACCACCAGCCCACACTAGAAACATTTATCTACCATGAGCGCCAGCTCGCATCTCTCGATGATGATGGGCTTTTCGAAGAAGTCCGAGATGTACCACCGGCGTGGTTCCCCCATCTGCCTACTATCGTGGATCCACACAAGGTCACCGGTCTAGCACTCTGTGCGACTCCATCCGCCACGGTAAGTTCTGCGCCTACGACGAACCGGAGCAAGCTAATAAGAACAGGAATTATGTCTGCAATCTGTGAACACACACACCAAGCTTCAGCTTTTACATTTGCGCTTCAGCGGGCCTGAAAGAATTCACCGAAACATCCGGCAGGAGATCCTCGCACACCTGTATGAAAGGCAAACGGATTCCCCGCATGTAGATTCTCTGGGTCATTGTGGCAATGCCCATCTTTCCCTGCCCTCTAGTGAGTGCGAGTATGACAGTCTGTTTGATGACTACTTCGAAACTCTGCCGGGTGATGACACTGTCGCCCAAGATGCCTCAATGGTCTGTTCTCCGAGACACACGGAGGCTGAGGAATTTTTGTCATTTGCTGAATGGGCTTTCGGCCCGTGTGGAATACCGTCACTGCAGGTTCTCGCATTTGGGGACTTCTCGCACGAGGAACGGTATCAGGAGCAGCAGTTCCTCGTCCGCCGGCTTGACCCGGCGCTGGCTTGTGGTCAGAATGGAGTCGCCCGCTGCTTCAGTGATAACAATCGGGGTGGACCGTTTTTTGTGCCTGCAGTTATGAGTGATACTTGGACTTGGGATGGTTTGTCATTTGATGGGCCTCAATTTCTCTCCGCATGTCCAGGTGGTGGCTTAATGGAGTCACCGTATGAGATGTAGTGGTCGGATATCCGTCACTTTGGCATCGCTCTATCACGCATATTACTTAACAAGAACTGTCTGAACACAGCCTTGGTTCTTTTCCTGTTTGTATTCGGGGCACTATCAGACCGTGTACAGTACAGTTGTATTAGCCGAATCAAGAATAAAGTGAGATTTTATCCCACGACACAGTATCCTTTATCAAATTTAACTCCTCGTTGGCAATTCTTTGGGAAGTCTTATCTAAATGGTAGCTCAGTCCGTATATCTGATCAGCACGCGCTCCTGTCCCAAATTGTTGTCATTGCGGATGCCTTCAGTTTCTCACGTAGTCTCCCACGGCCATTATGTAGTAGATTCACCCCTTTGACATAATAGTAACATGACTAGAAGATTTATCACGCAAGAATCTAGAAAAATAAGGAGGTCTTCGTCTCAAATAGTACTGAGAATCTATTGTAAGTGGCCAATATTGTATGGGAACCGGCTGAGAGTATATATCTAGCATACCCTCATAAAGATAACCATGCAAAGGCCTTTTTTCAGAACCAGTAAGGTTCTCGTGGCCTTGTTGTGTCAAACCCCGGTTGATGGTTGTTGAGGCCTCAATAATTTTGTGCGTCATGGGAAATCCACTTTCTCAAGGGACTCATCTTTTGATAGTATGAAACTCACCCAACATGAGTCAACTATGAAATGAACGTCCCCATCGCCGCACAGAGCTTGTTGTAGTGAGATAGAGACAAAGCAGCTCGCATAGCTATGAAGTACGTAAAAATCAGAAGTTTTATGCTGGGCTGTTGAGCGATACTCCTTTCCAGCGTGTATCTAGTCACGTAATACAGGCAGCGTCATTCTCGAGTATAAAGAGACACAAATCAGCTTCTTCAAACTTACTTACGCTGCAAGTAATAATGTCTCTTCCTCCCATGGATATACCAGTCACTCAATCCGAGTCAGGACGGCCGGCAAAAAGAAGACGTGGATCTGCAAATTCAGATGAGTCTGGATCTGCTAGACGAAGCGGACGCAGGCTGAGCATGAGCCCTGGTGCGAAATTGATAAAGATTAAGGTCACCTTTCCGTGCTTCCAATCCTGACAGGTCTAATGCAAATCCAGACATCCACGGTCACCGAGGCTCACTCGCTGCGAAACGAGATCGACCAATTGCTGCGCGCAGATCCAGCTCTAGCTTCTCAGGCTATACACCTCGTGGAACTTTATCAGTGCTTGTGGGATTGCTACGTGATGGAATACGCCAGTAAAGTACGCGTGGAGGAGGAGCGTCGCGTGCTCCAAGACTCGAACGCACGGTTGGTAGGGGAGAACGGACATCTCCAGCAGGTCTGTAACTTTCAGCAATCGTTGCTGTGGAAACAACACAGAAACTTCTGCTCGGTACACCAGGGCATACTTCGAATCCTCCAAAGCTGTGATTAGTTGGTTTCCCAGACAAGCACAATCTGCGTTGATTGGCGGGCAGAAAAACCAGGGTCAAGTGGCCGGCGATGGTTCATTCTGATGGGTGCATGTTTTGAACAACCAGGGTGTCCTCTTGTGTGGATTAATAGACCAATTGAGGATATTCAACGTCGTTGGTTTCGCTGAGGTTGGGGTTGTTTGACCGCTTGGCTTCGACAGTCGCGGCGCGATTTCAACGCGTTGCTTCCCTACATACATTAAACATTTACAATCTGTTGCGAGGGGTTCTTAAACTGGCCAACATATTCTCAAGATTAGTTTAGGTGTTGGGGGCCGATATAGGTGAATCAACATTGGGCACAGTGCAAAATTGGTTTGAACGGCAATGTTTCAACGCTCGGACCAAGCCTCATAAAGTGTTCACTTACGTGCTACTCAGCGAAACCGTTCATGGTACCAGATGAACATCATTTTGTAAGCAGTCCAAAGGGTTTCTTTATATTTATTCATACTTCCAAGGTATGTACTATGATCCCAAAGGCATTACAACTAGGCCAACCCTGCACGCGATTCTGCTATAGCCGGCCGAGGCCAACAAGCAAGTGCTAGAATGACGGACCAATTTTCACAAAACGGTACGTGCAACCTTTGGTGTACAAAGCCATCACCGCTCACTATATCCCTACAGACTGCAATCTAGATTTAGATATTGAGGCATTATGGACGGAGTTCCCAGATATGCCCACGCCACCGCCTGTCCTTGCAGCTTGCCATGACAGTCTTCCCCATCTACCTTGCATCCCATTTTCTACTGAAACAACAACCGGCCGTCTCCCGAGAATCGAGTACTGTTTATATCCTAGCTTCGACAGCGTGTGCTTTCTAGACTGGACTGGTCCGGATATATTGTCGCCATCTACCTGCGCCGACGATATCTTCTTCTACTTGTCTACTTTCCATCTCCTGAAGGAAGTGGACTGGGCAGATATCCGGCTCTGCATTTTGAGCAATGCGACCGACGAAATGGTAGCCGTATACCCATTTTTCCTTCCACGAGACGGATCAATGCTGGGAAACCTGCCCCGAGTCCGTAAGCTGGTACAGGATATGATCACAAGCCATGATGTGGGGAAGTTTCATTTCCGATTATCTATCCGGCCACGCAATCAAGAAGTGCCAGATTTCAGGGATGCAAGACCGACCTTCGATTCGTACTTCCACCCAGCGGAGCCGCTCCCGCCCCGTGATCTATATTTGTTTGTGAGAAACGGTGTGGGGAATTCTGGAAAATACTACTAGAAACCTACCAAATGAAAAACAACCTCATTTTGGTGATAACACGGTTAGCCTGCTTACGTAGTCGTGACTCCCGCGTCAACTCTCTGGAGTATACGCCGTAGTTACAGTCGATTTCGGAAACGGATTCCCCTGTGGACACTAACGCTTTGTTTCTCGGCCCGTACCCGAAGCCACCCTAATCCATATTCGGCTAGGACATAAATAATTATTTTCTATAATTGAGAGACCCATTTCAGTTCTAGAACCATTCCATTACGTGTGATACCGTATTTTACAGGATACATATATACACGGCTACCTCCGTGCCTCTTACTGTTTTTGCTACGTACGTTACATAATTTCCTGCGAAACGATGATCACTCTTCGTTTAGACCTTTGGCAAAGCTAATGAACGACAGATAGTTGGAAATATCCCGAAATCATTGCCTTCCTCGTAAGAGAACGCTAGTTGCAACGTGACTGGGATACGAGTCGGCAAGTATGCTCCAACATCCTTGAGTCTACTGGCTGCGTTCAATCGTGGCAGCTCCTGGAGGAGCGAGATGGAATCCACTAAATACGTCTTGGGGACCTTGCACCCGAAGAGACATGGATATCCTCTTTACCGTTCTGGAGCCAAGGGTACATTGCGCCGTAGACCACATATTCGGCGATAGTAAGCTGGACACCTTTGGTAGGTAGAAGAAGGCCATCTAACTCAGAGGACAGTGTCCCAGTGCCTTTTAGTTCAACCGGGCCCATAAGCTCGTGGCTAGCAACAATGGTGTTCACGAAATGTGCTTGGATCTTGCCCTTGTGATCCTTAGCAAATGCATCATGTCTTTATATATCCACAGTGTGCAGCGGAACTTATATCCAGGCTTATAAACCCAGAGATCAGACTTTGCTGGGACGTTGTAGGTATCGGTAACTGTCTTCAATTCTGAAGTCTCAATTGAGCTAAACGTTCTTGTTTCAGTGGAGCCGCTCACTTCAGCAGAGAAGCCCCAGCCACTGAAGCCGGCGCTGGCTGAAACAGATTCGACAACCTCTTTTCCTTCAGTGACAGACATGCCAACTTCGGTTTTTTCCTCTTTTGAGTGAGTGCTATCACTCGGGATTTCGATGGTGAACTGATGAATCCATTTTGCCTCGAGCAATTCGACATCTATCACCAAAGAGCTCAAATAGCCGCTATCAAGGACTTCACGGATCTGCCCAACTAGGGCTCCACCATTCTCAGCTATATCACGTAGATTTCGTGACTCGCCGAGGTTTTGATGAGGATCGAGAATGATTCGGTCCGGAAAAATGTTCACCGGTACAGTAGGTTCAGCCATCTTCCTCAGTCGAAAAAGACCTCGATGACCAGGCAGAGAAAAAGATATTCGACTTTGAAAGATTCTGTAAAATTGGAAAGTTCTTTGAGGGCTGCAATGGCGCAATTAGCGGAAAGATTTTGCTATTTATAATCAAAAATAAATAAACGATCAACGATAGCCGCCGGTTCGGATCCTAGTAGAACTAAGCGGTGAGCCTGAAATAGTATGAATTACGTAGTGTTGACTGCAAGTATATGCACTCTCCGTCTCGCGATTGTGTAACCAAGTCTGAACTAGTGACAATGACGCAGTGCTGACTACACGTATATGCACCCTCCATCTCGCGGTTGTGTAACCAAGTCTGAGCTAGTGAAATGACGCAGTGTCTACTGTCAACTATTTGGATAGAAACCTAGGGAGAGTCACCACACTCCAGATAGAGAGGCTACCAAATTCTCCACTTAACGGTTGTCTGGCCAAGTCTGAACTAGATTGGGCTTGGCCATCAAACACATCATGACTATTTTTCGGCCCCCCTGCGGAGACCCTAGTGCTAGAAATTTAAATTATTTATCTCACCTGGGGGCAGGAAGAGCCATCTTGTTTGATGTAATACTGAGTCAAGTAATAATACAAAGCTTGTATGAGTATCCCGGGATCAGTCCTCAATGAAGGTTACGGAAGGCCCTGACTACTATACTCCGATCCCTAAGTGATCCACAAGCGATCAGAACTTATACAATATCCTTGTATTCTGGGCGGTATCGCAGGTTCTCTCTCTGGGAATAAAGATAAAATTTTTAGAAATTTACTATCGACAAAACATTCGCCATGTCCGCACGCCATACGCTATTTAGGGCCAGGTAAATGCGGTCTACAAAAAGTAATAACGACCATGCATAGCATATGCAATAAAACCTCGCAGAGTGACAGTCAGTAGTCTGGCTGGTACATATGCAGTTAACCACTAATTCATCCCCTCGCTGTGTGCATATTGTTAAGAGCTGCTGACTGGTCACAGAAGATTCTGGGTTGCAATGACGTTCGAAATCAGTTAACGGCAATCACTCTTTGTTTTCCAGGCCCCACCTCAAGCACACTAGTCCATATTAAGAAATCTATCCGGCGCAAGGCGCACTTAGATGGAAAGGGTCTGGACTCCCCAACGCAATATAACAATTCTTAGATTCTGGGGCTCGAAAATGAGTTCCTAGGAGCTGGAGTACTCCAAGAAGCCTCCGCTCGATTTCCAGGGGCATGTATCAGGGATCCTATGGTCCTTGGGGGGTTACGGTCTCCAAAATCTACTTCACCAAAGGCGGTCAGCTTGCGCACGGATCCCACACGGCAGAGTCTGGTAGCCTAAAGCGGAGTCAATGTTCGATCATAAAAGGAAAGTGACTCCTCCCAAGATCTAGCTCTCCAGAACACCTTATATACCATGCGCTATTGGGTAAATCATACTGAGCCTGTTGCCCTCCCTGATGGTCATCGCCCCGAATCCGAGCCCCCTACCTACCCTGTGTCGGAAGCTGGTGCCCAAGCCCAGCGAGAAGACTCACCGTCAGTCTGCGATGCGGCGTGGAAGTTGTTGATTCTGGCGTATGAATCTCTCGAGCGCACCGATGACACTAGCAAACAGGCCGCAGCGGTGTTTTGCTTCGTGGGATGGTTGTTTGCGGATGCGATTCTCGAGCAGCGAAATCAAGGAAATCTCGACCCCGTGTTCAGTAACGATATTATGGCTTTGCTTTCCCAGGTGCGGCGGATTGCGAAGCAGAGACTGCGTAGGCAAGTGAGCGCGGCTTCAAAGGAGTTCAGAACGTACCTAGATGAGATCGGGTTTTCTGTGGGTGACTCGGAAGACGCGTGGATCGGGCTCAAGGCGTTAGATGCGTGGTTCGAGAAGCGAGGCGAAAGTGGCCCGATGGGCATTGAGAGGGTGATGTTGGACGCAAGCGAAAGGAGCACTATAGTGCATACCATTATGAATTTCGACAGGGAATGGCAGACGAACGGAACAACCTTGGGTATGAGCTTCGACTCCGTAGGAGGAACAAGAAAGACAACAACCTTCGATGGCAATGGGAGGCAAATCAATTATGTCTGCACCGGCTCTGGACAACAATACATAGTGGAGAACTAGAACTTTGATTCTCTAATAGGACATTCTGCTCTTTTACTTTGTTCTACATGTACCATCGTACTTCAACAATTCAAAGCTTTCCCTCTCGGGCTTGCTTACTCGAAAGCTGTCATTAGCCTGCCCGCGGGCATCGACACTCTGTGGATGTCGAGTTCGAAATAGCACTGGGTGTGCGAGGCAAAATAGATATACTGTAGTAACAAGATCTTAATGTTTCTTGAAGTTCGGATAAGTCAATTGCAGAGGGTGTGTTGAGAGCGATTGGTTTGGTGCGACATGAGGATGTGCCCTGTACGGTCTGGTGTGGACATCACAAGCTTTCGATTCAAAATCCACAGCTTGGGGATCTTTATCCAGAGGTTATCGTGAAAGCGCTTCGAAGGGTTGTGTGAGTTTATTATTTTCTGGTGGAATCGTCAAAACAGTGTGTTTTGTGATGGAGGGGTTCGACTTGCTTTTAAAGGGTTGGCGATATCGGTACTGGCGAGGGCGATGTATTCAAAGCCTCCGATAGACATGATGGAAGCCCTTTGCACTATTTAGTTATGGTGGTGTTTTATCAGTGGCACGAGTTGAGGCGTTCGAGTGGCTTTGCGATCCCAGTGCTGAGCGATACTTCTTATGAGAAGATTTGTCGACACCTGTCTGAGCAAGATTATGTAATGTTTTTGGATGAAATTCAGTTTATTGAGTACGGGGATGGGAAGCTGGGAAAGTTAAGAGTACTGTCGGAGTTGAAAACAGATTCCTAGTGTGGACACTGACACTTTGTTTCTCGGCCCCGTGGCGCAAGTCTTTGTCACAACCCGTACTGTATCCGGTCAATTGGTATTTCATTACCCCTGTTTCTCGCTATTTATTGGGCAATTTTTAATTACGTAAGGCCCTGGGATATAACGTTATCCTATAACTTACCCGAAGCCATTCGGATCATCTATAGACCCAGTTTCATGCAGTATTCGTAAGGTAATTGCGACAGTCCTCTTGTGCCTCAGGCACCAAAATGCTTTGGCCTTTCTTCAGAGCGACAGATTTCAAGTATATTTCTTGGCTGAAATTGGGCCTGGCAGTTAAACCTCCCCGGGTAATACCGTCTTTGGCCTTTTTTTTTTTTTTTTTTTTTTTTTTTTGCGGTATCAACCGCCACTGGAGTGGTGCAATTGATCCTAACATCGCCCCTCATTTATTTTTTATTGAATCAACATATCAAACCTTCGATGGGAAGCTCAGAGCCTTTGTTCCTGCATTGAACGATTTTCTTCCGATAATCTATCGCGTCTCATCCAGCAGCTCATTTTCTAATTGTACCAAGCTCGATTAGATCGTTGGCGAGCCTCGGGCTTTTAATCTCGCCAGTACAGGCGCCCCGTGAGCGCCTGCAATGGGTCGTGCCCGATGGCCTCTCGATGCCAACACTTCTTCTGTATTAAATATTACGTAATGTATCGAAAAATCTTCCAAGCCTAGAGTACTATTGAGAGTTATAGCCTGTTCGAGAGACAGTAGTGGTACATCCTCCTTGCCGGAGTTGCGGCATTGATGTGCTGATCAATGATGACAATGTCTGAGCATATACCGTAGCTTGTGTGTTTGGTCGCCGATCAGAAATTGTGCACTTGGTCAGTACAACCTAGCCTTCATGGCCCGACACATGGAATAGCCAGTCTCTTCTCGTATGCTCATGCCAAATCCGAGGGCTCCTGGGAGGATGCAATTTCTCCTGGGAGTGGGTATTGCCTTCCTTGGGAGCAAGCGTTTGGTTCCCAGGATCATGTGAATGGTTTTCAGGAACGCTCAGTGAGGTTCCCGGGAGAAAGTCGGATCCTGGGAGACTGCGGTGCTCTCCTGGGACTCCTATCTGGCGTCCTGGAAACAACGCAGTGGCATCCTGGGGCTATGTAGTGGCATCCTGGGGCTGTCAAACTTCTACGTGACTACGTTGAGACCATAGACCTTCTAGGCTCGGGAAACAGAACCATATCAGAGCGTCCTCGCCATCTCTATTGGCACTCCACTGCGATTTCGTATAGTCTCTCTCTTCGCTAGAATTACGGGGCTCATGCTCATACTGTATCTCCAGTTCCTCGTCTCTACTTATACAGTACACTACCCATTAGGCCGTATCTGGCACTTTGCAGATCTAGCCAGGGAGCATGCTGTGATCATGACTTCAGTTGGCTCGTACGAGTAGCACCCACCAACCGCGTGTTGATATAATATGGTGTATTCTGAGATACTACCAATACTACCAATCGAAGACTATGCACACGAGACTTACGTAAAGCTATACATAAATGGCATAGTCAATTGACAAACATATGTATTCTCAGGTCATTTTACGCTGGCCAGGAGTTCATAGTCACCGGTTGCTTATATGGTAGTAAGGAGTCCTTAATCTAAAGCAAATGAAAACCAAAACTATCCAATCACTGACTACCTAGAGGTACCCCTTCCCACGAAACCGACGTGGCCGCTTCAGCACAGCGATCCCAGTCTTTCAGGACGCCAACGATCCCTTCTCGGACTTGCTCAAGGGCGTGTTCGAAAAGGGACAAACGCGCAATCTGATTGTTCTGTCGCTGCTTCAGGGACTCCCTTTCCCGCAACAGCTGAATATTAGTGATACGCAGCTGGTTGTTATCCGTTGCAAGTTGTTGGCCGTCATGGTGCTTGGCAATGCATGATTCCCACAGGCGCCGATAGAGCCCCACAAGACGTGCAGCTTGAATAGCCAGCTTCGGGTCTTCTTGCTCCATTCGCTCTAGGGATTCAATGACAGGCTGAAAAGCCTCTGCCGCCAGGGCGCGCTTCTCGCCCTCGACCCCCGAGGGTGTGAATGACTAAATTGTTCAGTGGGTTTCTCTGTAGTCGTATGCCGCAACTTACAAGATGAGCGCCTTCGCACGGCGAGCTTGCTGTCGCTCCATTTTCATCCGGATTTGGCTGTGCGCAGAGAGGCGCTTGCGTTTCGTGTGTCTCTAGAGACTTGTCAGAGGTGTCCATGGTCGGTGCTTGAATGCGTGACCTGAATCTATATCTCGAAGGACGATGGTCCCTTTATAAATTCATGCAATGTATGGATCCGTACCTTGAAGCAGCAAGAATTTTGATTCCGTTGGTTGCGCATTGCGCCTCACTTTTTGTCGTGATACCAGCACAGCACTGTGTGTTAAAGCCATCTTGGAAGGCGTTCGGGTCATTGAATTTGCACACCTGATATGTACAAGGAAAGGTCATCATGCTACACCAACGAAGGTTCGAACTTTGTTAGATCGGCCATCATTAAATGACAGGGTCAGCGTATCACCCTCTCTGAGCCACCGACTAAGCTTTAGTATTCCGGGGTTACAAAAGGAGTTCAATCGTGAACCTCAGGTTTGATCTCAAGTGATCACACCGATTCCCCAGCCCGCCCACCGAGCAGAAAAGATAAAGAGGGACTTGCACCTTATAACACCGACCCCTCACATTGAATTGAATAATACACCTGAGGTCGGTGCAATGAGGATCAAAATACGAATTCATCCAGGACTTGCTCCCAACTGTCGAGGTGGAGAGAGACCTTGGGTCGTCTGCAGATAAATAACTCAGGAACACCCGAAAGCCATGCATGATAGGTTTCTTTACCCTTGGACTCATTTACAATGGCTCAGGCTGCACGCAGAAAGGCGCGCCAGGCCGCTGGCGATGTTCCGGAGGCAACGCCTTTGCTAGAAAGATCGGCGAGAAAGACGGAGAAAGGCCGCAATCAGCATCCCGAAGGCAGAATGAGCACCAGGAGATTCCAGCCTCAGCCACCTTTGGAGAAGCAAACGACTCTCCGACTGCGATTCCGACAGGCGTACTTTGATCCTGGGCCCGAAGAGGACTGGTGGACGTCTCTTTCAACGACCAATCCAGATGGCGAGGGCCGAGGACACAAGCAGCTGAAGGAGAACACCGACAAAGAACAAGCTCGCCTGGGCTGGATGCAGCGACTGCGCCCCAAGCCCCATCGACGACTCTCTTAGACAGACACCACAGTCGAACATGGGGATTACAGAGGTTGCTTGGTACGGTGGAATGAGTGGGACGAATGCTACGTACAGGGCCTAAATATCCATTTTAAGCTATAGAGTACTGCAGAGGACCAATTCTACTGGTCAAGGAGGTACGCAATTCCATGATGATTTTGCTCCACATCCACTGTTCTTAGCTTCTGCAAATTTCCGTAGAGCTTGACGAAGGGACGTCGTAAAAGCCTAGAATGATATGTATTTCCAGGAACTGAGTTATGTTCAGTGGGCGATGTAGAGCGGGAAGTCGATTGTACAGGAGGTTTCGACAGTATGTGGACCAATGCAGAGAGACCGTTCCTGGGCAGCGTGGGAGCTAAGACCTACCAACGCCCGGTGATGTAGATTGGCGGGGCTCCTAGGAACGCACAAACCGTACTATAACTCTAGGCCATATATTTTGCCTTGTTGGCTATTTAAGACACCGCACTCTTCAGCTGGACCTGTCTTCTTATCTTCCCGTCAGTATTTTGTCCAAATACACCATCTACAAGGTCAACTCACCGATACCATGTCACAATCCAAAAACCATATCATTGGCCAGTGGGAGCTTCAACCAGGTTTGTCATGTCCAGGATGAACGCTGGAACCCAGAACTGACTGACTTCTCACTAGTCACAACACAGACGTGGAATGGAGATATCCGGCAGAAACTGTTCGAGGCCTTTATTGAATCACGGAACAACGACGAGAGGACAGTCGGACTTTTGCACGCAAATCGCGAACTAGGCATGACCGTCCGGGCACTAAAGGATGACCTCTTTGTACTCAAACGCAACCTGCAGAATCTTAAAAGGGAAAATCTGGGCCTGAAAAAGAAATATGGGGACCCGTCGCGGAGGGTGTCTAACTAACCTTATGCTTTGGACATGCCTCTTTTTGTCTTTGCTCAAGCTTGTTACGTATTCAGGCTTTATTCGTGGTATCTTAGCTCCGCATTCGTTCTATGTCGGTTGCTGCTCTGCGGACCTGCGCATCTGCTTCTTTCCTCGTCTCAAGGCTTGGCTTCAATGCAAGTAACTACAAATATGAAATGTGTTGAATTGCGAATATCCGAGCAGAAACGACGCCTCATGTGTATCTGTATGTGCATACATGCTGGAAACAAAAAAAGTGATTGGAGGCGGTCTATTCTGGCTCCTTACTAGGCGTTTAACCAAAAAGACTTTCGGAAATTACCAGAACCCATCCTTGATTGTAGTTAGCTTCCAGAGCATAAATCGATATACGGTACTTACGGTTATCCTGACAGGAATGAAAGGATTGGGGCGTTGACGCAGCGGTCGGTCACTTCACCCGAGATCATATCCCCATAGGGCAGATTGCAACCATTGCCCGTGCTCAAGGTAATGTTGTTACCACTATCCGTAGATACCATGACGGATTCGGTTTCGGCCTCCAGAGTCTGACACCCAGCTTCGAACCCTCCAATCTCTCTGCCTGCGCCGGAACAATCAGTAGAAGCGTAGTAAGTAACAGACCACAGGGCAGACGTTGACGTTGCCAGTCCAAGGGCGAAGAGAGATTCAAGATGCATAGTTGTGATGCTTAGATGAAATGTACGGTATGACAGATTCGAAGAAGGTTAGTTACGTGTCGGAATAGAGTCTCTTTATATCTTTTTCCCAGACAAAGTTCGTTATCGTGCACATAGAGTGATCAAACCTACAGAACTGTCAGGCTTGTTCAATAAGATCGTTGATTGTTTGAATTTTGGCGACAATGACCCAACGCGACCCATCCGCACGCACAATAAAAATGACTCAACAGTCGACCTTGTTGTGTACGGTGACCTAAGTGGCCTACAATTTGCTGGTTCGAGCTCGGTTGTAGTCGTTGAGGTCGTTGGAGGGTCGTTGGGGGTGTCACCTGCGGCTATTCCTATTGTGCTTCATCCATGACGTAGGGTGTCATGCACAAGAAGCTGGGTCTCATCTCAGCCTACACAGGCTACAAGAATCCCGCTCCTAGGAGCGCGATCGGCTGCCGCGGGAGAGAGCAATCACTGGCATTATCGAGGAGGTACATATCGTGAAGGCCATGACCAAGACAGATATTTAAGATGTGCTATATCTGTCGTTTTACTTCCTATCTTTCAGTACTTCACAGTCCTCAGAGCCTCATATCCCAAGCGTTTTCAATTTGCCACCACAATCATGGTAGAATCCTCCTTTCTATCGAATATTCTTGCAATTAGTGACTGATACATTGATGTCTAGACAGGCGATCTAGAAATTCCAGCGAAGTTCGAACTTCGCGACCGCTATAATCGAACAGATCTTTGGCATGCCGTCTCCGAATGCAATGTGGCAGAGGTAAAATTGCTGCTGAAGAGCGGAAGAGATGCACTTGCGGCGGATCGCGATCGAGTCACACCGCTCAACTGTGCAATTATGCGAAACAACATTTTGATAACACGACTCCTGTTGAAGCATCTGAGAGCCGTTTATTCCATGACAACATTCCTGGACGACAAAGATGTCAACGGTGCCGAGCTGCCACTGTGTCTGGCCGCTGAATTTGAACGCACGCAAATGATAGATCTGTTACTCGAATTTGGTGCGGATGTCAATGCAGCGAACCAACGTGGACACACTCCGTTATATCAGGCGGCAGATCAGGGGCGTTTGACGGCCGTGGAATTGCTCCTTGAACAGCAAGGCATCAATCTGCAGGCACAGGATCATTCAGGATCTACTGCTCTTCATGTTGCTACAAAACGGAACCACATTTCTATTGTGAATCTGCTTTTAGCCAACCCGAATGTTGATATCAACTGCAAAGATAAGCACGGAAACACACCCCTCTGGTGGTCTACTCGACTGAAGCATGATAACATCTCCACCCGACTGCTAGCTGAGGATGGTGTGGATCTCAATGCTGTCGGTTGGAAGAGCGGCCTATCTACAACATCTCTCTATCATGCCGTAGAAAGACAGAACTATTCGGTTGCGAAACGAATTGTCGAAAAAAGGGAGTTAAACCCAAACATCCTCGGGTGTTTCCGTTGGACACCTCTCGGTCACGCTGCGCGCGACGGCAATGTAGACATGGTGGAGTTACTGCTTCGGAGAGACGATATTCGAATTAATGCAGTAGACCCGGGCGAGGATTCACCGCTTTGGCTTGCTACGAAGTGTGGTAGAACCAAGGTGGTCGGTCTCCTACTGCAGCAGGGCAACCGAGTGAACATCAACTGTCGAAACAACAAAGAGAGCGAAACCGCCCTGTCAGCGGCCGCTGGTTCCGGAGATCTTCACACTGTGAAGCTGATTTTGAGGGATGCCCGAACAGATCTCAATGCAGTGGACAAGTCGGGCAAGACTGCCATATGGCACGCTGATTCAAAGGGGCATCTTCAAGTCGTGAAGGAGCTTCTGAAGGATCCAAGGCTTTCCTGCGATCCGGAATCTATTGCTTCGGTGGCGGTCAACCACTAGATGCTCTCGAGTTGGTCAAGCGATATGTGGGGAGGAAATAGACGGATCTGCTTTGACCAATAACGTACTGCATGTCAATAGGTGTGTGGTGCTTCAACTGTGGGATTCGGCATTTAATGGCCCTCTGCTTCATGTGGGTACGTAGGTAGACCAATAACAAAACCTTATCTCGTACATGTAGCCAACTCATTGGCTTCTCCAGCTCACTGACCATTTTTGCTTGACTTGGTCATCGGATCACTGCCCGTAAGTCCAGCACCACCGAGTAGTTGAACCGTCGTTCATGTTCAATCCGGACCCTATTGACCAGTAATGTGTAGTCAAAGTCGGAGTGCCAAGAGCTAGTCTCTTTGAGGATCACCGTTGAAATTCGTTCATCCCCACTCTAATCGTTGATCCGTTAATCCGTTTGAAATCTAACTGTTAGTGGGTCTCGATAGATGATGCTCAGCGAAGACATGGTTTTATTACGACCCCACGACAAATGCTTTTCAGGGAAATAGTCAGTCATTCAAAATGCGGCGTATTGGTCTCGAATATTCTAGTCAGGATAGAGAGAACCCACAAATGGCTCTTAAAAGCAACGAAACGCGCGCCGCAATGAGACAGCAATGTCGAGAGGCACTATCGGCACATATCCGTACTTTATTCCTGTCCCATGCATTATCTGGAGAGGGGTGACTGACAATTTCCAGATAATCGACTGGGCCTTGATATTGCGCCCAGCCAAGTTCGCCTCCAGCCACCAGTTGAGGATGGATACGCCTGGTCAGTGACGGAATCCAAGAAATCATTACTGCAGTCGAGCCTCAGCAATGGAAGCGTCGGTCTATTTCGGGCCATAAGTGAAGAACTGGGCCGGTCACTCGAAGCAGTTACACCGCAGACCCTGCAGGATTCTGACTTGGAGCGGGACGATGATCCAGGGGAAGAAGTGAGAGTCCCTATACCTGTCATGTTTTTTCGGTACTCAACAAAGCCATAGGAAGATCTAAGAGTGCATGAGGAAGAAGATGGGTCATTTACAGCAAAAATCCGCCAACTGGAAGGCACGAACCGTGAGCTGGGGGTTGAGCTCGATCGTACCCGGGTCCGACTAGACGACGCCCGCAGCAAGCGCGATCGATACCAGACAAAGACTCGTCGGCTTCAGAGTGAGCTTGAAGCCAGCTCACTCCGCACCAGTCGACTGGAGACTGAATTGACGCGTGTCAGAGCGGGAATCACCGAGGCGATGAAGGCTTTGCAAAGCCACGGAAATCAGAACAGTACCTCACCGGCGGAAGAACGCAATGGAACTGGATATCAGGAGAGATCCCGCGAAGTGGCACCGTAGACCTTGACGAGAGCGATATCGCATGATCTGAGGAGCTGACTTGACTTTGCTGACGCATTGTTTCGGTACTTATGTTATGTAAGCTTATTGGATGTGAGCACTTTACGTGGGAAATTATCTCTTGTCTTACAGTGCGATAAGCAGAGTGGGGTGGGTCCCCAGGTTGAACCCCCACAGTAGGAAATCTCATGTTGTTTGGAGTGAAAACACGGCTAAACCACGACCATCATGCGTTCTTACGCGTCGATAAGCTATCATGGATGATATATAAAACACTTAAGAAAGATCAGTCGCGAATTTGCGGCGCTGGAGATGGCAAGTACGCGTTTGTTTTCTTGGACGGAAAAGTAAGGGGAGACTGTCGTAGATATATATATGCATGTATGGAAATATTTGGAAAAAGCCCAAAGGAGGTCCGCTCAATAATGCCAAAGCGTGGGGAGTAACCAATAACCCTGAATTACAGAAACTAAGCAAAGCGAAACCAAGGAGGAAATACGCAACGGTTACAGTACCAAGTCGAGCGATATCAGAAAGAGTCCCGAAGTTCTCTACGAAGACAAGCCGGGCGGACCGAGCCCAATGCGGTTAGAATATGTACGCGCTGGCATCCTCATGCGCAGCTGAGAAAATCAATTTTGTGGCACGCGTCCTTATTTACCACGTTCACTAGCATTTTCAGTTCCCCCCCAGACCCCAATTGCTCGAAGAATTTGCTCTGCCTGGTCAGCCGCGGTTTTGCGTGACCGACAGGTGGGATCACACTTACTCGCAACAAGTCATCAACCGACAGGCGGTTCAGATCCTCGGGCAGACTCTGGGCCTCGGGACTCCATTCTGTTCCCGAAGAGCTTCTTGTCATTAGGTTTTGGACCACATCAGCCAGAGCCATCAGCTTCAGAGTTGCGGCATCCATTTCGGTCGCGTCGATTTGGCAACTGTGCTCCGCCCCCGCTATACATTCATCGTCAGTGTCACACACCCCGAAGATGTTCGCAATCCTGTGTAGGCTGTCCTCTCACTCACCAATTTTGACAACACCGGACTCCGTCAGAAAGATCGTGTCGGGGCTCAAGGTAGCCAGTACTCTGCCTTGCCCACGGAGATGCTTTATTCCTTTCAGGACCTACCAATCATTAGCCCTCAGTTTCTCAATGACAGCGACCCTGTCCTCCAGAAAGAGCAGGCGGACAGAGCCCGCACGTCCCACACCCACCGGCCAAACAATCGCGGCGAGGGCTCCTTCATCGATCGAGCATCGCGACCCTAATACCTGGCCCACGGATAACTCTAGCGCCTCCCACACCAAGAAATCCTGACCCTCATGACGATAATGCTCGAGTAGGTCCGGAAAGCTTCGGTGTGCGACTTGGTGCATCGTCTCCACCAAGGACTGGGCTGAAGAGGGTTGCTTTTCAAGCCGTTGAATATTGACCAACTCGGCCTTGTTGCTTCGGAGACGGGCGAGGAAGACCGGCCGCCCGAAAATTCGGACGATCGGCTCGTAGGTCAGCCACGGATCTTCGTCGATCTGTCGGATCTTTGGTTGATTCCTGTGCTGAGCGGGAGCGGGACGAGCCAAGGGGGATGCTGTGGTGGATGTTTGGGGCTGGGGTTCGGACGGGCATAGCCGTGAACGAGAGGCCTGCTCGATTTCCAAATCTAAATCGCGCTTTCGCTTTGGACCCAGCCACATAGTCCGTGGCCGAACGGGGTGGGACTGATTGGAATCCATTTCAAAGAGACCGTGGAGGGGGTTGCCATGCGTCCGGTGATATGTTTTCAGACATAGTGCGATTGTTTTATAAGCCGGCGTCTGCACGGCCGGTCCAAGGCACGTATGCTAGGGAGGCAACCGAAATGAGCGGGCACGGTTGCTTTCCTGTCCGGCTGGTCGATACTTGCGCGGTCGATAGACGTCTGTGCGATTGCCTGTAGGGCAACGGCGAATCTTTCTGCGGTTGTTTAAGATTCGTCCTCACATGTCGGCAAAATTCCACCCGATTGCCCATCCAACCGTACAAGAAACAGGAGAGGATGCACTAAATATGGCGTGACGTGGACATGAAGTGACAACCTAGATGCCTCCAGTCAGGTTAAAGTCGCCGTACTATACAGTATCACTGATCAACCTCTTTGAATTTGCTACGTAGTAGGTACGTATGCGACAAGGCACTTCAACAACAAACGAAGGCCGGATTGGGGCTCTCAAGATGCATTGCTCCTGGCGTGAACCGTTAAGGATTGATGTCAATTACAACAGTGCGCACTCATACAGTAGGAGGCGGGTCTGGTAGCATGCTCCATTCCTCTCTGAACCCCCCGGTATCGTCAATTTGGTCCCCACCGAACCATACGGATCATACCCCATTACTGGAATCGTTCTGGAGGCTGTCCCCGCCGCGCTGACCGACGAAGCCTAGATAGGCTAGACGTCCCCGAAGGGTTGGTTTGTTGTGCAAGTTGAGCTGAACGACGGAGAGACGATCCCGTTGGTTGGTTTTCCACCGCTAACCCATCCGTGGGCGAGCGATCCTGATAGGACATATCCATGGAACGGTCAACGGAACGGGTTGATCGATGGATATGTTGCCCAGAAGACGAAGGAGCTGAACCGTATTCGTCGGCCCGTGTTTCACCACTAGAGCCGTCCAGACTTAAGGAGCAAAAGAACGCGTCAAAAGCTCCGGTATGTTTACTGCTTTCCAGTTAGTGACCGCACAAAGCACGACGAAGAGGGTCAATTGACGTACCAAATTGGACAAGGGGGATTATCCCCGGGTGGACAGAATCCGAGCCAAGTTTCCATACAGTCCAAATGAATAAGCGCAACGCATCTTCCACATTTCAGAATCACAGGCTCGGCTCGGGCTTCCTGGAGGCAGACCAGGCAATTCCTGTCTTGTGAGACGGACCACTCATTGAAACTTTGGAGTCGCAATGAGTGCGATCCGCCGTCAATGGAATAAGTGGCTGGATGGGTTGTGGAAATCTGCCAGGGTACACTATCCTCTCGCAGCATATTGCGTGTGACGTGTCGTCTGGTAATACGGGACGTCTCCGGTGGCACAGGCGCAAACATTGGTATGTAACGCAGGTTGCGGACAGCCGCATCATACCATTGTTGCCCGATTTGATCGGCCTGGCGTGTCCGATGCCACCGCCGACAAAGGAAGTGGGACGCAATGTCGCGCAGGATAGGGAGGGTGGAAAGGTCAAAGTGCCTCCTTGCAAGGGCCTTCAGCTTATTGCGACCTTCATCCACATCATTCTCTGCCGGGTAGAGTTTGCAATACGTCCCTTTCCTGGTAAGGCCACAGCAAGTCTGCTGGTCCCTACGAAGTCCCATTTCACAGATGATCAGAGGATCCCATCGCTCCTGAAATGACGGCATGTTGAGGATAGGTGGTTGTGGAGGTGACAAGGGGTCTTGAGGAAAAGAGAATTGGATGAAAAAAGTCTCGTTGGCCGTAGCTAGAGTACAGTACTTATAACTCACAGAAGATAGATGTATCCTTGGAGTTTCCCAGCTTAGTCTACGTAATGTTTCACACTGGCACATGCAACGAGTGCTTGCGAGCACGATGACTCTGGTACATGCTGTGCGGGAAGCGGCACGTAGCTGGTCGGCATGTCAGGTGTGTTCATCGTGAATCCCTACATCCCGGAGCAATCAACCTTGGCCCTAGGAGCAGTTGAGCTTCCGGTAACCATCCACACCGAGTAACTCATTAAACCTCCATATTCTGGGCAGCAAAGCTCCTGGGAATTGCGTGTTATGATAAATTAACCGATGGAAGTATTGTCAGTGCTCAAGGTGCCGCTCATGTGCTTGGTCAAGCCTGGGGCCATGATCTCACGGCTTGAGGTACTTTTGCTCAGTCTAGGTGCTGTACTCTCAATGACGCTATATAAGGGGATCAATTCTCTTTGCCAGTTTACCGCTCTTCCCAAAAGACTTCGTCGCCGTCATCAAAGCATCGATGTTCAGGTCTCTTTCAACATGAATTGGGACTCTACCTTTCAATCGACACTCAGCCAAATTGTTGGAAATCCTTATTATCGACAAACATGCCAGGGCATCAGAGACGATGGAACCCAATGTCGGAACGACGTGCCCAAGATCTCTCGCATCAACAGTGCGATCCAACTTGGCCTGTTCGACGAAGGCCCTCCCAACTGTCCTTCCGAAGCCGTTCTTACAGGTGCAGCAAAATCTATGTTATGTGTAAAATGCAGGCTTGATAGCTCCCGAGTCAAGCAGTGTACCCAACGATGGATTCAGCAATGGAACGCCACGCTCAACCAAGCAAACATCACCCCCAAATCTCCGACTCTAGGGATCGGTGAAACGGATCAGTTGATACGGCATCGGTTGGCTGAGTCACCTCCTGCGGCATCGATACCGCGCGCTGGACTGAAGCTATGGAGCTCCGGCTATGCCGGTGTTTCAGAGTAGGATACAAACGCGACATCAGAATGGTATCGTGGAAAACAAATAGAATTTCAGCTTAAGGTCACAGCGAAGACGCGGCTGGCATCTATACTACGATACGTTGAATTTGATTCTTGCATCAAAATAATTCCAATGCCATGTTATCGTACTGACAGTCTTCTCTCCCTGCCCATTTGGTAATACACGAGCGCAACAATGGCAGGATCACAGAGTGCATCATCCCCACTACCCTGCGACCCTGCTCAATCCCTTTGCAATTTATGCATGACAAAGTTGCTTGAGCCATTCCGCGGTCCGTCGACAGAAGAAGAACGGTCAAAAACATATACACGGTGGACCGCAGCGCCTACCAGATTGACCTACCAGCATCTGAATGCTCTGGATTACTCCTGCCGTGACTGAGATCCTGAGTGGATATCATCTCTGGAGATGGGGCAGTCGACCTCCGCGCACGATCACATTCGAACGCGGGTCCAAGGGTACCAGCTGCCGGCCTGGCTTGCGATAGAGCTGGAGCAAAGGCTCGTTCGAATTTATCTAGTGCATGCTGTAGCTCTCGCGTGAGTGCACGGGCACGATCAACATGCTTTCGATCTTTCATGGCTACCAAAGTGGAGCGTATTATACTAGAACATGCACAGACCGTGAGAGTATAGACTTGCACGGACAAGCCAGAACCAGTGTTCTCTTATATTCCATTAATGGAACGAATAAAGCGAGTTGCCACTGTGTGTAGTGTGGGATTCGATCTCGGCTGACAAACATGGGTCACTGCGCGCGCCCGCAAAAATTCCACGGCTACTATGTAGGGAATATTTACACGCTGTGAGCGATACTCTAGCATGACTTAATTACCCATTTCTGCGGGTCCCGAACCATTGCTCCTCGAGTCGGCGTCCATCGTCTCTGCGTTCCTTTTGGGCTCCTGCGCCTCTAGTTTCTCGACCACGCTGTTGAGCATGTGCTCAAATGACTCCGAACCTCGTGGATTTTCTTGAATACCGTATTCTTTCAGGAGGTAATCCGTTACAGCTCCCATCCTCTGGCTGACCTCATAAATAAGATCGGCCAACTTGCTCACTTGGTCCAATTCTTCGGTGACTTGCGTCAGAGCCTTCCGCGTCGTGGTCAGCTCCTGGTCGAGCTTTCCTTGAACTTTCTCGGCACGAATCGCCCGCGCATTCACTGCGGCAAGGATACGAAGAATTTCCTGTCGATGTCAGGAGGGACTTGTCAGAGATACTCTTGTGATATCTGTACTTACTGAAGCATCCATGGCTTCGCTGATTGAGCTCAGGGAGAAATGGGCGTTGTCAGGCAGGGCTTGGAGTTATGATGGCTGAATCAATCCAGTCTGTAGTCAGTCTATTTTGTAGGACAAGCAAACCAATACAATCATATCTTTTATATACTGCCCTAGTCGACCACGCGACAAAGGCATTACTAGGGTGTAAGCAGAAGTTAGTTTCTGCGGGCCAAGGTGGCCTTTACAGTATTGTTAAAGACCTGATCGCTGAACGGACCCGGAAAAGGGAAAGGAAAAGCAGTACCCCCACCGTGCAAAGCTATTAAATCGACGTGGTGAGGCGACCATCCTGGACACAAGAAAATATGCTCAACGGCGAAATCGAGATGACCATGTTCTTATGTCCGCCAATATATATAAGCCTATAGAGCAACGGTTTTCAGTTTGTCTGAGAGCACACACAACTTGTCTTCAGGCAGAGAGATATACCTAAATCCCATTTCAATTCTATTATTTTTGCAGTCCTCTCTCTGCCCGTTGAGACGATGCCTACACTCTTATCAAGGATCCTAAAGAAAGTGGGGCTGGAGGTGGTACACATTGTTGTTGTTCATCACTCTCGCCGAGGCGACCGACGGATCTTCCAATCCTCTTTTCCGCGAGATTACTGGACGGTGAGTGGAATAACGCAACGTCAATTCTGGGTGCTGATCTTTGACTAGGATGTCACCGTGACTGTTGAAGATGAATAAAGCCTGTCAGTAACCTCACACAGATCTGACTCGCATCATTAGCGGTGGTGTACTCTTGACAAAGGGCTTGAGTGGTGGTACGGTCCTAGATGGTCCACAAGGGCATAAAGCTCGACCGGTTTAGGAAATTGGTCAATACTGTATACTTGAAGAATTTCAACTGCAAGTCTGCGTGGCACGTGCATGTGTATCATCAGTTGAGCTGATAGAGTGATGCTAGCAAGACCATGCAGTACCGTGACTGCCGTCGGATATCTCACCCCAATAATGGCGGTCTCTCTGACGTAGATCCTGTAGAAGTAAGCCTCGGTGAATACAGAACAGATGTCAAACCAACCTGGTCGAGATGACCGAGGCTTGACCACCTGCTGATTGTGGCGGTCAATTAAGGTTGGAATTTCACCGCGCCAAACATGCACAAATCCGGGGTTGGGACTAATTCCAAGGCTTTAACGATTCCAAGAAACAATCACATCTGATCTCAATTATTAAGGATGTCCTATTCACAACATCCGGCTGTTCAACGCTCTGCTGTTCAACGCTCTATTTTATCAACGCCCTGCTGTTCAACGCTCTTTTTTATCAACGCCCTGCTGTTCAACGCTCTGCTGTTCAACGCTCTTCTTTATCAGCGCCCTGCTGTTCAACGCCCTCCTGTTCAACGCCCTCCTGTTCAACGCCCTCCTGTTCAACGCCCTCCTGTTCAACGCCCTCCTGTTCAACGCTCTTCTTTATCAACGCTCTTCTTTATCAACGCTCTTCTTTATCAACGCTCTTCTTTATCAACGCTCTTCTTTATCTGTTGAGATAGGTAGTTGTAGTGTTCTTATTGAGTGTACTATCAAAAAGTGGGAACCCCGTCTATTTAAATGTCCATCGCTAGTCCTGCCATAAGCTTTGACCACCGCGATACTCAACATTATCAACGCTCTGCATTCAACGCCCCGCTGTTCAACGCTCCCCTCTATCAACGTTCACCTCGTCCACTCTGGCAGTGTTCGATGATCTCATGCTACCAACATTCTCGTCACCAACGTTCCCTTTAACGAACTTCCCTTATTCAAAACCATTTCTTCGTAATGAATGCAGGCCCCGCTTCCTCGTTGGAACGCCCGTCCCTTCGATGCCTTCGACTTCAACACCCCGACTTCAACACCGCGACTTCAACACCCCCAACTTCAACACCCCCGACTTCAACACCCCCGACTTCAACACCCCCGACTTCAACACCCCCGACTTCAACACCCCCGACTTCAACACCCCCAACATCGACAAAATCGCGTTTTTGACCTCAAGCTCAACTACTCTCCGGCTTAACGGACTTACTATCACTGTCTGGCTCGCTGTGGAAATCATATGATATTGTTTAATTTTGTCTGGGTACAGTATGATGTTTCTTAACAATCTAACCAAGTCCCAAACATTACAGATCCCCTCGCTTGATGTCAAGGGCTCAGCCCTCAAGAGCTAAGTTTATTTCAATAATAAGTTAAGGATCAACTTAGTCTTATGTAAGCTTCAAACTAAACGGTTCAACTGCTAGAACGAGTACTTGGACAGCGTAACAAATCTGTACCTATGAAGCATCATACCATTATTATCCATGTCGTAAGTTGATCAGCTACGTCAAAGCATTCTAGAAAGCATTTTGCAGATCGGTGCTAGACCAAACTGTGTAAGCTTACCGCCTGACGCTGGAGAAGACATCGTGTGGGTTCCGTAGAAGTGGTGAGCCGGGTGCTTTTCCCCGATTGTCCATAACATTCCACCTGGTTCCTACATGGCAGTCTTATTATATAAATCGTCCATTCCGACTACCTAAAATGACAGGGAATCGAAATTAAGTTTAGGAAAGGGTCAAAAGTACGGTAGTGCGTCATACAACTCCACCCTCTGGCATCTAGCCCCCGTTTAGACATCGGGGATTGAGCTGTTGATCGGCGGGGACGGGATTCAACGTCATATTTCGGTTAGCGAAACTCTAACTAGCGGCGTGAATCCCCTTACTCGCATGATCCTCCGGTGTAACCGCGCGGTACATAACTCATGCTTCCACGCCTCTGTAGACGTGATGAGATTGGACATAAACATGGCAGTCGGATCAACTGATGGAATAGAAATCGGGAGACTCAGTGGGGGGAACAGAACATCGATCTCACGGTAGACCAGTGCACTGGACAAATAATAATCTTTCCCGGGCTGTTTTCGTCTAAAGCTAACCCAGAGATACCCCTTCGAGACCCCCTCGAGACCTTTTTCTAGTCTCGATCTGAGAACAGCGGGCCCACTTTAGATTGCTGGAACGGTATTAGTTGAAGGAAATGTGATTCGGACGCTGACCGAGGTTATCCCGAAAAGAGCTCCTTTAATGGAAACACGAAGACTGCAGTAAACGACCGCAAATTCCTCCATCAGAGCACGTCTTATGTTATATTCCTCCAATTGATCATACCTGATCCAAATTGATCTCACTTAAGCAGGAGGAAAGTCAACACACTTTTCGTGAGATGCTTGAAATGCTCTATGACTTGTCGTTGGAGTGGGGTTTCACATGATCGGCATAGAAGTTTCAAAGTTAGATGTGTGATTCCCAACCTCTGTCGATTGTTCGGCTGGAACCGTTGGTTAATATAACTCAAGGGGTAGGTTAGCAGTACTTAGCGTGTACGGGAGTTTCATTGGCTATCACTAAAAGTATATCACTTGAGATTTTTTTGTTTACTTTACTAACTATTCTCTTTTCCTCCCACGAGGCCCATTTACCTTGTCTTTCTACCCGCTCAGCGTCCGTTAAGATGCCAAAAGTGCACCAAATCTCTCGCACCCTAACGTTTGGAACCGTCCGAAAGCTCTCAAGGCGCGCTTATGCTTGCAGACCTATCCGCCGCGTGCGTGCTGTTGCTGACAATGGGCCCCAACTTTCGCCTCAGAAGGTCCAACCTCGCAAGACCATGGTATACAGTGATTGCCTTGTCTTAATATGTTGGAAATACAATTTGACTGACGGGTTTTGGATTTCCACAGACATCAAAAAGCGCCTCGAGAGAGCAGAATGCCTGCAAATTGGAATGTCTCTGCCAAATGTGCCTTAGTAACAGACATTGCCTTCGAATCCTTGGAAACATGCATCAGCAGCTCGATTTGGAAAATGAAACAGCTTTGAACGAGGTTCGGCACTTGAAAGAGGAGATCACTCGACTGAAACAGAGCCACATGCCTGTCAATCCCTCTACCCATGTTGTGATGCCATTGGCAGCACTTGATGATATGAAGCAAAACTTGCAGCGACACGTTAAACAAATCACTTCGAGACTTGACTCTTCGATCAAGGAAACCGAAAACCGCCGAAGAGCCTACCTGAGAACCGCTTCCGGGCGACCCGAACATCTCACAGGTGGCCAAATCGACCGTCCAGCTCACTGAGAAATGCATCGGTTTTGAAAGGTCCCACTTCATCACTAAACCGAGCTTCCCAGTTTTGTTCAGTCTTTTTCATAGCTAGAGCTGCTTCATTACTCTATATATTCTGTCGATCAAGTTCTATGAGTACTGCCAATGCCTCCCATTGCCTCCCGCGCCTTACTCCGGAGTATATTCGCTAGATATATTTTGATACTGTTCCGAACTCTTTGCCCGCCGGCGAGTATAGTGGGATACACTTGCTTCAGCATTTCTTCTATCTGTTTGTTTTGGAGGCGAGAAGCCCTAAGCTGTCGCTGCAGCTGAAGATTTTCCTGTTGTAGTTGATAAAACTCCCGTCTCAGTTGCTTGTTCCGGGTCGCCAGCTGTTGGTTTCCTGCTCTGATTTGGTCATGGGATCGTTCTGCCCAATTTTATGTCCGTCCTCCCTGCGACGCTGGTAGCCTTGGTCCCGGTCCTCAATCGACTGCCCTGAGACTTTCCCATTCTGTCTTGAGGTGTGTTGTTTTACTTCTGTTCCGAAAGTCGAGCTTGCCGAACCCTGAAGACATGTCATTAGTGCGCCGATGCTTTGGGAATGATCCGGTTTGCGAACAGTGCCCTCTGTCCAATACTAACCTTGGGCTGATGTGCTCGATCGATACCTATCGAGGCATCATACCCCATGGGGACTCGCTCTGCAGTGGTGAAGTACGCCATCGATGATACGGACTAACAACCGAGAGCTATCCGGAAGGAAAAAGACACCTATGAGCCTTCAATATGACCAGGGCAGAATAGAGGCAACACGGGTATGGGAAAGCTTCATTATGGGAGAATCAAGTGTCTCAAGGACGGAGTCAGAGCATCCGCTGTTGGGCCGGTCTTCATTTGCGTAGGTCGATCCGCTCACTGTAAGACCTATGCCTAAGCCCGGACCAAATTTTCTGCCCTTTCAGTGAGCGACTTAGATAGGATGGTAAAACCTTTACTCTTCATCAAGGTCCTTGAGACATTACCGATAGGCACCCCCTCAGAGGACCATTGTCATGTGCGACCCGGAAATTAAATGAGTCCCTCCCCGGAGGGAAAAAAGCAATAGTTTGTTTCTATTAACCAATCATAAATTGTAGTTACCTTAATTCTTCGGGAGATTGCTACGGTCGGGGCTTCGCCGAGCATGATCAGCAGGACCCACCTTTATATACCAGTTTACAAGTAATTAACGAACCATTGTCGTAAAGCAGCATGGGGGCCAAAGGGAACCCAACCTGAAAAGGCCACTGAACAGATAGATAGGTCGTGGGGACCAGAAAGAAGGCGAATGGGTAAAACAGATCACTTCGAGAAACTTAATTGCTTATCCAGGATACCTGATTTCTCGCAGATCTGAATACCAGAGTTTCTCTACAATCCATATGCAAACGCTGCAAGAATGTACAGACACCACAAAGAAAGGCCTCAACGGTGCCTTAGATGGTGGTAAGCAGGAAGAAGAAAGACAGAGTCAATAACCAGTCTACCGGTTACAGTATGATGGAAGTGCTGGCCGCTACTCGTTTCACACGAAGCCGTGGACCCAGAGACCGGTTATATCCTTCATCCCCATGACCTGTTTATTAATGATGCATGTTGAAACAACCGTTGAACTTAAACTGGCGCCTACATAGAGGGCTAGAACCATGCAAATCCTCGATCTTCGGGCTATTTTGTTCAGTTCCACATTCATTGCGGCTTTAAAGCTCATGCTTGCCCGATTTTGCCACTGATATCACAAATATCTTCCTGTCTTCGTGAACACTCTCCGTTGAAATAATTCCCGGGAGACGTTGCACACCATACCATGCCGAAGATGCCAACCAAGAAGATACAAACTACGCGGGATCCGGCTCCAAGTAAGGCTCGTCAACGGATCCCTGGCCTATCCGCTTCTGCCAGTCGCGTTGCACGACCCCCGGCTGCTGATACCGAAGCTGATTTCCAATCCTCCTCCAGACAAGAACAGCTGCGGGACTCGTTTGTAAGTGGCCCTCGTTTGCTATGTCACCATAACTAACTTTGGCTCAAAGGCAACAACTTCCTCTTCACAAGCAAAGAAGAGAGAGGAAGAGGAATGGAACGAAACCCATCGACGATGTCTGGATATCCTGGGAGATGCGGATGATGACTACCAAAATCTCAACGCAAAACTGATGAAAGAACGACAAGAAGCTCGGCAGAAGCTGCAGCAGCTCCGCACTGAGCATTTCCAAGCGACAGCTACAAATCGGCAGCTTGTCACGGAGAGGCAAAATGTCCTGCACGAGAAGCAACAGTGCCTCGGCAAAATCCAGCGACTCGAAACGGATATTGCGCAGTTGAAACAGCAGCTCGAGACAGCCAATGGCCAGACCACGGAGCAAATGATATCGCAAGGGATAGAGACCGAGTTAGAGACGGCTCACAGTGATCTGATGGGTGTAGCCACACGAATCTGGAAGAAGATCCAAGAACACCAAAACAAACGCTTTGGTCTTGAATTTCCGCAAAGTGATGTGATGCAAGCACCCACTTGGACGGGCTCGAATGGACAGTTTGGAGCGCTGGCATCGAGCACGCTACCGGGCCCTCCCTTGACGAACGCCTTTCCGTTGGATACCCAACAGACGGTGCCTCAAATGAACCAGTATGGAGCTCTTTCCTGAGAGATGTCAAGCAATTACTTGTACCCAAGGAACGCGTGATTGTCAATCGTGTACACCAATCCAGCACCAACAACTCCGTGGTCTCTCTTGTCTATTGACGAAAAACGATTGTTCCAGCGAAGTAATGAAATAAAATCTTTGTAACTCTCTACAATTCGTGATGCATGCAATAGAGTTGGTCTATATATCTCCCTGATTGGTCGGGGCACCATGTCAAGAGAAGACGTTGAAGTAAGCACGCATTTATTATGCCATCCAATGATCCTTTGCTAGACTCAATATGGTCTAGTGGTACTGTAATAAGTTACCATCCTGCTTCCTCGGCACGGCCCTGTTCCGGGGGGGGGGGGGGTTCGTCTTCGGCTACCGCCACCAAAGTCTCTGCATAAAGCCGAAGTATTCTTGTCACCTACTCCCCCATTGAGGTGGCGCCAATAATTTGATGAATTAAGTGGTGTTTTCCTAGGCTGCACCTTGCTAAATGAAAATATGGAATACCAGCATCCCTAATCTTTCACAGTGGTGCTCGGGACCGGGAAGTCCGGAAGCACCCATTGTTGGTTTTATGGTACGCGCTAGCCGCATTTAGCGCCGCGTGCATGGTGGCGTTAAGAGGCTAGTAGATCAGGGGAAAAATACCACATTGCATGCTTCGATTGGCGCACAATGTTGTGCTGAAATAATCGACGAGGTAAAAAAAAAGGGAAAATAAGGAAAGGTTAAAGCCCGGCAAAGTCCGACTGCTGTGATTGGTTCCTCTTCCGCCGAGACGGAAATTGATAGATTAATGCGGATCTTCCCTCGAGGGGATTGTGTGGGTCTCTATGACTAGGGGTAGATCTCAAGTACTTTTGTCCTAGCTGCCTTGTATGACGAAAGAGGCGGTGGTCGGAGAGAGCGTTGACTTTAGGGGAGATGAAAGTGGGAACACTGTGTAGATCGAAACGGAAATAACCCTGGTCGGAGTGTCCGAGGGGTCTAGAACCATTGCGAAACCGAAAATAACGAATTAGTAGAAAAGAAAAGGGCTAGTGGGATAGCACTAAGACAAGTCAGGCAGCACGGGAGAGATATAGGCCGGGCGAAATCTACGACATCGGAATCGAATATTGATCGCCAGATAGAAGTGGACGATGAGGCCGAATATTAGTCATAGCTCCCGCCCGCGCCCGTGTTCTTAGACTGCCGGCATGTGATGGTACCTGATCGGAAAAGACAGATCGTCTGCCTTGTACGCGCGACTAATGGGCTTGGAAAAACCAAGATAGTATTATATCTAGGCATCAAGGGCGACATGACCGGCTCAGCATACCACAATTTACAACGCGATGGCAGGCAAAGTGGGCCACTATCGGGCACGTTGTTGGCAAAGCAGTGATCCCTTTTCTGGCCTCTTGACCTACGTCGCCGATGGGCTCTCTACAGTGAGCCGAGAAAGAATGCAAGTTTGCCCTGAGACGTGAACCGTTATATCCGTTCGGATGTGCCGCAGTCATCTTGCATTAGGGCGAACCTTATTTCCAACATCAGCAAGTTTAAGTTGGGAGAACGCAACGTTTCCGATTCAAAAGTTTGTTGGGTGGAGCTAACGCTTGTCCGATTTAGGAGCCTCCAGCGCTATGTTGGTGATCGGCATTGATTTGGAATCATGACAAGCTGCTAAATAAACTTTCCTGGACATACAGACCTATTGAATTGACGCTAGAATGTTGGCACGGTTGATCTCAGATGGGATTGTCGTAACCTCATTACGATATTCAGCCGGCTATTACGGCAGGCCAACCTTGTATCTGTCTATGCAAATGAGGCAATGGATGATTATACATAGCCTCTTGCTTGACTCTTTCTGTATATTCAGTTTCAGGGCAAGGCCCTTAATGGCCAGCTGACTATCGTAGTGAGGTTACGACACCTCCACCTGAGATCAGTCGTGCCAACATTCTAGCGTCAATTCAATAGGTCTGTATGTCCAGGAAAGTTTAGTAGCTAGTCATTATTCCAAATCAGTCCCGATCATCAACATAGCGCATGAATGGCCAGCGACCTGCGTCTTTTGCCGACCATACGCCAGCATCACCTACCTCATAACGGAGCATATCGTGTGTACGGCGACAATATCGGCCTTTATGTGACAGGGATGTTTGGATTCCTATATTTCCACGAATGCAGATCTTTCCTTGCTATTCATGACTGTTTCGCCTTCGTCCCCGTCCTCGTTTTCGGATAGTTACTTGAAGCTATTGTTTCAGTCCGGCTCAAACCAAAAGAAATCCTAGCATCACTGCATCGGGCGCTTCGAGCGAGCCATTTTTCGATCCCCGCCGACATTGTCCTTGCCTTTGTCTCTATTCTGCCGCAGTTCTTTCACTTCCTCCTCCAGGATGATGAGTCTTTCCCTCAGGGTCTGTAGAGACTGCTCCGTGTTTTCATTACAGTCGCGCTGGACCTTGGCGAACTTCTCTGTCCCTCTGAACAAACTCATTAGCGTCTCTCCAGCAGCCTTGAGCATGAGAATGCCATGTCGATCGGAAGTGGTACTTACTCTTGGCGTAAGTCCAGGCTATCAAACTCTCAGTCAGCCTTTGCTTCGAAAGACCTCCATCCAAGAATAGCGTATTGCGACTTACTCGGCCAGCATTGTAAAAGCCATCATGATCGAACCCTCAGGTGGATCTTCGGAAGTTTTGTCCTTGACTGAACCCTGATCATGCTCGGCCCCGTCGGCCTCCATGGCCCAGTCATCTTGGTCCTCGTCACTGTCTTCGTCCATAGGGGCGATCTCCCCCTCGTCACCGGATTGACCATCCGCTCCGTGAGTTTGATCGTTTCCGTCTGGGGAACTTGACCTGGGCAGACTCCATACGTCCCTTGACCTACAGGGTTGGGGTGCAGACCGGCATAATCGACTCCGATAACTTGCTGTGCCCACCATGTCTGTCTTTCGGGCTTGTCGAGATTTTCGAGAAGTGGAACAAAGTACCGTGAAAATTAAAGAAACACAACCAGACATGGGAAGCTCCGCTAATTTATAGGCCCGAGCCAACCCGCGCATCACAACTCAGCCTGGAACGCAGCACAGGGATTGATCCCTGCAAAGCTAATTAGCCATTTCAGTTTCTTTCCAAAGAGCACAGATGTCACGAACAGTAACATTACCCCACAGCGATAGCTAGGACAACTGGCCGACTGGACAATCTTGATGGGTGACCCAGAAGGCGTATATCATACATTACCTGGCCAAATGCATTTGTGAGTAGGATAATCAGCTTAGTGAGAGAACGGTACCCCTTCTAGTCAAGCCCGCACCAGTATATAGGCCGGTAGCGGCAGGCGCTGGCGTACGCCTCGATGGAGGACGGAAATATATTCCAACCCTCGGATAGATGACCGAGAACTCACCATGGTATGTCATCTATGAAGCACTGTTGATCCCCGTGAGCTCGGTTCCACATAGGCCTCCGCTTAACCAGGTCCAGCAAACCAGTTGCGGTGGGCTTGGTGGATCCAGTCAAATCCGTTCATTGCTTGAAATCACCAGGACTCGCACATGCCGGGCAGGCACGACCGCAAATATAGGTGGCGTATTTGTCCCCAGTTATCCTCCCCTAGGTCAAGTCGGCTTTTCAGGGCATTTCATTACCGTTCACCTTTCCTTCTGTTTGCCCGCCCATATACCTGTTTACTGCTTTTCGTTTATGTCTCGAAACCTCTCATAACAATGCCCAAAGCCCGTTGGCCCCAAGCAGAGGCGGATAATCTTTTACCATGGCTATCCCGACATCAGCATCTATCATGGAAAGCAAAGTCTGTGGCATACATAAAGCAATATGGTATCAACAGATCCGGCGAAGCGCTGCGAGGCAAGCAGAACCAGTTGGAAGATGAAGCTCGCCAGCGAATGGAGGAAGCTTCTGAAGTCCACCGAGAACCGGCCCGCAAGACAAGGTGCCAACGAAAAGAAGCTTTCCCGTCTTTAACATTATATACCCCGGCCCTCACACTGAGGAATCCCAATCCAAGGGTCCGTCAATTGCTACAACATTGGCGGTGCAGACAGCACCCTTTCTCTAGGGGATCCTCGAGGAAAAGCAGCCAAAAACTCTTTGGTAAGTTAAAAGTTGATATACAATCTGACTGGAATGACTCACGGACGTACTGATGGATGGGATACACTAGGTGGTCAACGAATGCTGATTCTTCGATCTCAACATCCACGAGTGATTGCTTCTTTTTGGAATTTCATCCACCGCCGAACATCTGATAGGACATTGAAGGAATGGTAGGCCTTGGGTACAATCGAGGATTGATCCGACGATTGGTCCTATACATCATGAAATCTCCTCTATTCTCGCATTACCGAACACCCCAGCACAGTTGGTTAACCCCAACTACGCTATGTATGTACTGAGTCAATATTGCGCTCTTACTCACTACGCCATACCGTGCGATGACGGAGCCCCGTCTCCAGGCTTCACTTAGTCCTGGACGCGGGATCAGATAGCACTTATTTTCTTTTATCATTTTTCTTGTTTGAAGGTTGTGATACATACTCGATCACCTGTGGAAAGGATTTTAGTGCACGACTGGAAAGGAAGACACGTTGACCGTCGTCGCATCAGCGGACTTACAGTGACGCAGCAAATGTTTTAACACCCCTCTGATTTTTTAGATTCTGCCAGTCAAAAATTCGATTTTTTCAACACTCTTTACTTGTTTCTTAATAACACACTTGGCTTTTGTGTATTGAATGAACCATACCTTCTATGAAAAACACCTACTGAAACAAGAATGTTTAAAAAGTAAGATATCATAAACTTGCTCTTCGGTCTACAATAGGCGGTCTCAAAAGCGGTCTGTCCAAGGGTGTTAAAACATTTGCTGCGTCACTGTATATCTGAGACTGTAATCGCTCATGTTCGACGATGATAGCCATATTAAACACCACGAGGAACGCAAGGCAAGCGGGTCTGGATGAGGCAGCGAATGATACATTTTGACTTACTTCGCTAAGAACTGAGAAAGTGGGCGGCAACTCCCGGATCAGGCCTTTCATAAAAAGTTGGGATAGTTCCCAAAAGAGAATAGCAGCCTGCGCCATGTAATTTCCCATGATACGCTAAGCATTGTCATGTAATTTTCTTTCTTGATCGGTTGGGACTAGTAATGGCCTTACGGACTGGTTTTGATACGATCGGTGTATATCATTAACCTCCAACCGGCCCCGCCATTGATTCCACGGTTCACCTCAAACAGCCTAAAAAAGCCCACCCCTGGAGGAAACGGATGTATTTCCAGTTCCCCGGCCAATCGTGTCACAACATGATCGCTAGATAGCAAGGGAGACCTACCCACCTCAAGTGTGGTATCCTGCCTAGAAGCGACCTGAATGAGGGAGCAGCTTGATTATGAGTGATCCGTGAGCAGAGAAGACTATATTTTCTGAAGGACTCGACTGGGCTTTGTAGCGAATACAATGTATTTCGGCAAACTCATTAGTATCAAGAGGATTTACCATTATTGAATGTAAAAAGGGTGGGAGGAGTTCCGTGCGTGTGCGTGTGCGTGCGATCGCGTCCACCCTGAATATAACATGCTCGCCAAGTACTATTAGCTTGGATTGCTGTCCTATATCAGAGTGATCTTGTACTTTTCCGGAAGTGCTTCTCGTCAACCACACCATAAGTTTTCATGTCGGGACAGACTTTCCATGCCGCAAACAGATCGCGCGGTACGATGCTTTATTGCCACGAGCTACGAAGCGACGGAAATTACTTAGCGCTACTGTAACTTTTCTTTGACAGACGAACGATAAGTTGTCGTGGCGTTGGGTCGTGGAATTATGAAGAGTCCGACTCATGATCACATGACGTAAATGACTAGTGCGCCGTCAAACTTATAAATTAATCTAGCGCTGCTCTAAAACCTGTCTGGTGACATAAAACTCTAGCACTCCAGGATCCCCTTATCAGCATTTGACCTCACATTGCCGATTTTGTTGCTTAACGAATGACTTTGGGCAAGTAATAATCTCCCTCGAGCATTCACATTTTTCTGACTCTTGTCTGTTCAGATTGAGTGACACCTAGATGGATGCCGACGCTGTCAATGTTGAAGGCTATGGCCACAACATTGGATGGGATGACTGCAGTATGGACATTCTACCAGAGATGAACTGTGTGTACAGGCAGCATTTCCAGCCTTCTGAAGACACGTTAGGTTTTGTCCTTAAACAATCACAGTCATACCTCAGAGCACTGGCGGGACGCGAAAGCTTTGCCGGGTTCTTAAATGTCTCACTCATGAGTGACATACTAGTGAAGAGAACAGAAGTCATTTTTGATGCACCGAGCCCTTGCGTACTTCAGTCTGAGAATGGCGAAGCTAGTACCAATATCAGCTGGCTCGATGTTGTCAAGGCGAAGAACTATCAGGCCGAGCATACTGGCAATGGGGTTTATCATTTCCATATGCGAGATCGGGGAGTGATTGTTCAGTTGTCTACCTTCCAACACAATATGCTTCTTTCGGGATTACCCCGGAAGCTTGTGCAACCCTGGTCATACGAGAAAGATGTGCAGATGGAGATGTATACTCTGGCCCTGGCCGCCGAAATGACATCACTTATGAACCAATTTGCATCGGAAGGTAAGCACACCCAAAGCTGTGGTTGACCCACTCGCTCACTCCAGCTTGCAGTCATCAAAGCAAACAACACTGTGCTCGAAGAGATAGCCAAAAGAGACCAAGCACTCCGCCACTCCCCGCTGCTCGGTCAAAGATCAGCGACAACACCCTTTTCCGAACTTGGTGCGGTCTCAGTTGGGTTGCCAGCACATTCCTCACCAGCCCAGGCTGACACTGACTCACTCGATGAGGCGGCTGTCGAGACTCGCGGCCCAGGCGTTCAAAGCAATACTAGAAGACGCTGTGCTGCAAAACGGAGCTGTAAGTGTGGACTTGAGAGAAAAGAAACCTCACCGATTTTCCTGAGAAACAGTACTAACAATTTGAACGTGTTAGTTTCCAAAAATCAGCTTTGGTGTCCCGATGTGTTGAAGCAGTTTCCCGAATGGTTCGAAGACCAAGTCCGAAGAAATCTGTCGCAAGAAGAGATTGCTCGAAATTTTGAAAAAAAGTTCAAGCAAAAACGGACATTCAATGCTCTCGAGGCGAAGTTGTATAAGATAACAGGAAAGAGCTCCTATAGGAAGCGCGGGAAACAGTCTCCGGTTCCCTCGACAACTCGCAAATCCTCACCATCTCATCAGTCGTCAGGGGCATCAGATTTGCTTCAACAAATGATTATGCGGTCAAACATGGATGTTCACACCTTATATCTATCCCCGAGCATTGTTCCATATCTTGCTCCAAACAATAGCGAGGATGGCAATCCTAACGCCCATACAGGTGCTCAACCGACTCACTCAGCCCCAGAGTCTAACGGTTCAAACCCATATGACCTCGCGGATGAAGAGTCAGAGTGTCTGGGCCCATCCAGGGGACGCATTTTTCAGTCAGGTGAAAGCTCTCAGGTCGATGAATTGACCCAAAGCCTTCCGAGCTTTTCAGGTGAGGCGGCCGAAAGTCCTCTGTATTTAGACCAGTCAGAGAATGGCCACTCGATCCATGCAATGGAGGCAGATCCGAGAAGGGGCGATTCTAGCGCCCCTCGAGAGTCTCCGCCAGAGGCCCGTCGGATAAAAGAACCTATTCGATCCCACACCGAAGATAATAGGACGCCTGCGATGTTAGGCCAAATGCTCCTTCATTCTAGTGAAGTCACACCAATGCATATGGATCATTCGGTTTTATCACAAGTCAACCGACCCGCAGGGAATGATGTTGGACAATGCACAGTACGTGAGAGTCAATTTTATGGACTTTCAGCGCATAAGAGTACTGGACATGACCCTGAAGATAGCCTCGATGCGTTCGCCAGGGCAACAGCCTCCCTGCAAGCTTCTCAGTCGAGCGCCACTGGCAGTTCGACTGAGGGACACTCTCTGAACAGAATGAATGGGCCATCCACCGACACTCTCAAAGAGGATTTAGCCGAGGAAGAATTGATACGAAGGTGTGTTCTCGAGAGATCTCAAGCACAGGTGCGACCTCATCGCCCATGGAAGAGCGGGGACCTGAACCGCTTGCCACAATGGCTTATGGTACGGAAGCATCTACCAAAGAACAAACTCGAAGTTGAGTTTCTGAGAGACTTTGGACACTATCGAACTTCCTGTGCCATTAGCACTGCTTGCCGCAAAATAAGGAAGGCAGAAGCCCGTCAGAAGAATGCAATCTCAAACTGCACCTCAATTTCACTATCTCAGGCCATCCCTGGCGTCGTCGGTTCTACCCAAATATCACGGACATCCAACAACATCACTGGAAACGACACGCCCGGGTTGAACCCATCTCACATGCCGAGCAAGGAGTTGCATGCTCCTGAAAATTCACTGTTGGAGCGACCTCGCTCACCACAGACGCAGCCGCAGATTCCAGACTGCAGAGAGGGATCTTCTTCTACCCACTCTGCTTTGTCACATGATGTCGATGAAGCAATGTATTATACCACATCTGCTGCCATCGCCTCGACATGTGCTCCCCCGCAGACTGCGGTTTCACAACGCACCCAATGTGTCGAGAATACTTCTCAGTTGGGCAACCAGAAAGAGCCTCCCCCAGCTCGGTTTACAGCAGTCAATGGTGGGAAAGGCCTCCGGGCCAGATCAGGTACGGAGAACACCACTCCACAGGCTCAGATGGAAAGGGAAGGCCGTGGAGATCTGCAGGGCGGGCAAAGAACCAGGCAAACATCAACACCACCCGAAGGGCTGATAGGGCAAGAATTGAATAGCCAAAATGGGTCGCAAAGACTGTCGCCCCAGAGTAAGTTTGTCTTCTCCGTTTAGTCAACCACCCTCTCGGTTCCTTGGTTGTATCATGTTAGACTCGTCCAACTCATTCGAGTGCCTGGCCTGCCGCTTACACTAATAATTTCGCTTTTATTTCCGCCCACTCATACTGATTGGCTTTGCTCAAAGCGCTCGCAGAAGGACGGACCAGTTCGCTTGACTCAGAACCGATAAACAGCACACTTGAAGCCACTGGGGACCAGCCGTATATCCCTGCCGTTATTTCCGACACCCGCACCCCGCAACCGGAAGTGCGCCCAACTACGCAGAACTCGTCGCAGACTCAAGCAAACCCAGTCAATATCCCATTCCCAAACAACCCCCAGCCCGATTACACAACAGGCAAAATCCAAAATCGTTCGTCCGCCTTCCAGATCCCATCCCCACGAACATCCCAGCCCTCCACAGCACAATCCCAACCTGATGGACCACAATCTGGCGGTGTATCCGGGATGGCGCAAACAGACCGTTCGTATCTACCCCCTCGCCTGTCTTGTGCGGTGCTAACGTAAATCCTGAGCAGCTGTTCCGTTATCAGGCCAATCGTTCCCAAAAGGCCCTGCCAGCATTTCTCTCCATTCTCCTGACCAGCTGCAGGGTCATGGAATGCAACGATATCAGAGGTATCCGCTCCCATCCTTGGGCGCAGCAGATGTACCATCGCGAGGGTGAGCGTCATCGAAAGCAGCCACAGAACCACGTATTGCCTAGCCCTTGTACCATATCAGCCATTACGCCTGGATCCATGTTTCCTACTTCTGAAGCCGGGCTGGGCTATAAGTCGGCATAATTTGGATTATGCCTTTCGAATGTCTGTCGTTGTCTTAGCCTGTAACATCTTAATTCCTATCTATCATACGCCTGAATCGTATTGTCTTCTCTTTCTTTTTATATCTTCGTTACCTTTTCTGGTCAGTTCTGGATCATGACTCGGGCTTTAGAGACACACATACCGTGCATGGACTCGCAGTCGTCGCCCCCATGACTTCAGACCATGACCCAATTTCCTACCGGCCAGTACACGAGGCGGCTCTACAAACCGCTACCTAAAAGTCGAGCCTATCTGTTGATGCAGCTGTGATCGGGGGACTGTAGGTTAGCCATGTATGCAAAGGTGAACTCGATATTTCTTCACGTGCCAAGACAGTGGAGGGCGTCCTGGACCTCGCGGAAGCATCACAGCATTTTGAAGCCGCGCACCATGATGGCAAGACGTCAAGAACGGCGACTAGGCCACCACAGGCCCTTATCTCATGCATTGAGATGCGATGTTACACATCAAATACACTGACTTGAGATGTCAATTCAGGGGTTTCAAATTGCTGATGTATTGTGCCATTATAAATAGCTATAGAGATGCCTCCATTAGAGGAGGAGACTTCAATCATCTCTTTTACAGCCCATCATTCTATGGGCAGTTGTCCGTCATTCATTGTATATTACAGCAAACCTGAGGTAGATTCTATGTGTCAAACACGATTGGAAAAACAACGATTTTGGTCAACACTCGAGTCCTCAAGGACCATGTCAGCGGCAGGGAGATAACAGCCACGAGACCTATACACTTCCATTGAATACGTTCCAGGGATTGAATTTATAATATATACCAGGCTGTATAGGCAATCTGGGCTCGTTTTAACGCTCGGGTTCTTTTTTCCTTTTTATTTTTCAAGACAGAATATGGTGAGGTGGAAATGAATCTTTTCGAACGCAAGAGAAACAACACCTCATGAATGACGGAAGAACAACAAAGCCACCAAAGGAGCCGCAGAGGTGTTTTTAGTTTACTTGATGAGTATTTCGATCAATGTCAACTTTAACGACTTCGTTGCTACAGTGCGTCCCGAAACTGGTGCCACCACTTCTACTCTTTCACTGTGTTTCGGAGTCAAATTACTAAGCTTAGCTAGTCCCTATTGGGAATTAATCCGAGTATTCTTGGCACTGGAGCCTGTATTGTTTCTTACATACCGTACCTACCGCCCTGGTGGGGTTGTATTCACTTGTACTTTGTTACATGCGACACCTTTCTTACCCCACCTCAAAGGTTAATCTTCTGGTTCACAAAAGAGCTGAGATACTGGTATGGCACCAAAGCCTGCCTCATCAAATCATGTGCCTATCTCTAACAAGATCCAAGTGGAGAGCTATCAGAATCGCAGATGGCAACAGAAGAACCATCCTGACATTCTCTTCCCCTATAAGACATTATTATGGTAAGACATTCTCTCGATTAGGATAATGGCCAATCATCTACATAGAATCCCATGGTATTACGATATTTATGCAAACAGGACAAAAAGACTTTTAATTTTACTGGAGATTTTCGATAACCTGATAGCGGGGTAGATTGTCAAAAATAAAAGTGTAATCAGTTACGTTCTTAATCAATGCTGACCGTGCTGGGGCCGATGGGGTCACGTGTGGCAACGTGACCTTCAGCCCGATGTTTATTCTGATGATCTGATCTATGCTCAAGTTGTTTTCTTTTCTTCAATTTTTATGTAAACAGATCGTGGCACCGCTCAATTGGACAAATTCGGCTAAAACCCTTCACTAACCCGAGCTCGAGCATTCTTGTCTTGTTCTTCTATGCTTATAGCCTCGGGCCCAAACTTCTTGTTCTGTTCCTCTCGGGCTGCTCTAATTAACCCCATGTAATAATCCTTCTCCGTCCCAGTAACTTCATAGCCGTTCCACCAGTGGGCGTATGCAACTAGCTTATCCCTGCATAAGTGTTTTCCAAACAATTCTTTCAGAACCATGAATTTCCAATCGGAGTCGCGCGACTTCACATCAATTCCGGCCGGCACATAAATAATTTTATCTTTGTCCGAGTTACGCGTGGCGGGATGATCCCTGAGATAACCCGTATAATATCCTTCGGTTTTCAGAAAAACAAGATCATTGTCGTAATTGAAAGCTAGACACCAGCCTGTGAGCGGCTTGCCACTCCCCTTGTAAGAGGCGCGGCTGCATTCCCTAAGCAAAATCAGTTTTGTTCTATATTCCATGGTTGTCCACTTACAAAGGTAGTAGATTCCAAAGCCAAGGGGTCCAAGTTCCTTGCCGAGCTGTTTATAGTCCTCGTCTCCCATTTGATAATTGGTTGACATTTTGAAGAATTTATAAACTTGCGTAGATGAAGAAACAAGTCAAGACGGGCGAAATACTATGTATGAACCTTGACGGTGGATGAAGAAGAGTAATTGTCAATTTGAAGGGGGAGAGAGGCCATACTTATATTTTTTTTTTAGATTGGTGCTAGGCGTGGTGCACCATTACATCATATTATCAATATAATAAAAGTGCTTTTAGCTGAACTGTGGATCCTTTCAGCTTTCATTGATAAATGCCAATCCCCTTACGGATTGGTGGTTAGGGAGGGGGGCGGGGGGAGGGATGTGATGATCCTCCACGTACAGTCGATGGATGGATAGATGGATGGATTTCAGTTACCCTGACCCCTCACAACTAAGCATGATAGACTTCTCTCACTATTGTGCCCTATTATGCAGTGGATGGATTCCTCCACGTATGTACTTGAAGCAGATCCTTGATGTAAGTTCCTTTCCTCGAGAGAATAGTCGTTATCACATGATAAGCTGCTTCTTAATGGCTGTTCAAATAATGTTAGTATCGTCAAATCATTTAGTCAGATTGCTCTACGTACAATCTTTTCACTGAAACGACAACGGCAGTGTCATCAGCTCTCACCCAACAGTGGCGAGCAATCGTTCGTCGTAGAACCTTTTCTAGCTTTTTCTCTAAAAGCAGCTGCCAGAAGGCACTTGGAGCTCCATCCTGTTCTTCCGATTACCATGATCGACGGTGAGCGCGTGATAATTGAAAATTGCAATTGGATGACAATATTATCAGCACTCTATTAATGGGCGGGTGAATGACGTATGAGCTAAACTTACCGCTACTGATCAGCATCTTTAGCTGAGAAATATGGAGCATCCCGACCTCTTAGGGTTGACACTACTTGTTAGTCACTGATCGCTTGTATGCATATATGGTATGGACCCATAAGAGATCAATTCGGAAGTGCACTACTGTAGGTGATCCCTATTGATAAAAATGGGCCCCTAAACAAGGCGTCTTAAGATACCAACCACTAAGCTGAATCCCATGTCTTACACTATCAATTTTCTCCTTCACAATCAAAATCCACAATCTTGCGCATTTAAGGGTTCCGAATACCAGAGCCTTCATTAAGCTACTATATTCTCATAGGCTACAGTAAAAATACAGTGCAATTGGTTTTTTGTCTATTTCCGCACATATGGCCAAAGATGCCAGTTGATGCCCAGAAACGCAAGCCCCAAGCCCCACCTGTTCAGTGGCTAGCTGAGATCAAGTATGCCCACGCCGCTTCGTCACTCTGTCCCGCGTTGTGGAGTCCGGCTCCATTTCCTCCACCTCAGCGGAAGATACTTGTATGTAAGTAGGTTTGCCTTGGTAGTCAATGTTCAGGTACCCCACTACAACAGGTTATAACCGCCAAATAGCCATACTCCTTTCTGCTTGACGCATAAGGCAGAAAATCATTGGTTTCATTGTACAGTAGATGATGATGATGATGATAATGATGATTTCATTTACCCTGACCCCTCACTTTAACGGTGATATGCAGGATACGACACCTATATATATCCCTTTGCGTACATCTAGAATGTCCAAATTTCTGACAATGAACTTAGAGCCTCGTCACGGCCTACCGTGGCCTAATTGCCGTTCCTATTATTAGGCTGTCCTCGTGGCGCGCGGCTGCGAAACTGTTGTCAGTTGCTGTTGGATGGTGAATACAGTAACAAACCAAAGTGCGCCGTATTCTAATGTAAGCATAATACGTACGATGTGGTATTTTAAGAATACATGGGAAGATTAATAATCCGAGGCTATCCCTCATATAGACTAGTGCACTTAGCTAATCGAGATCGAAACATAGTTTAAGAGTGAAAGTGGTGGCACCAGTTTCGGGACGCACTGTAAACAGAGCAACTATGATATTCATAATGGGGGTTTGGGTTAATCTTTATGAACTTCACTGTGAATGCATGTACTGTACGGTAAGTGCAGTCCGAGAAACAGGATGAAATCCGGCCACGATCTATTGTGAGATCTAGAAATAATTTGCAGTCTAAATGAGTCTGGTCAATTGAAAGCATGAAATGATCTCTAACCACTCTCTTCTTCTTCCCAACCCCGTGGCCGTATGAAGAGAGCATCCGCTTTGATGGCCTCAACCCAACCTTGAGAGGCTTTTCCTGGAATCCGAATGGACCCTTTCAAATACAATTTGCGACCCTCAACCTTGTCTGGCCACGCACGAAGAAGTATCGGTACTGTTGGTGGGACAGACTGGACAAAAGAGGTGTTCAGATAGGCTGTGACTGCTGGTTTGCATTGTTTGCAACAATCGGCCAGAATACGGTCCATCAACAGAGCAAGATATCCACCAAACAGTTTATTATCGTAGTAGCACATTTGCTGTGAAGGCTTGAGGATCAAGAGAGACTCTGCCTCGCACCCTAGTGGATGGCGCTTGAAAGTTGGCAGATAGCCTTCCAACAAGGACCGCATCATTTCGTCTGGAGAGTCAACGAAGGAAGAATCGAGATGAAGCTTTCGAAGGTCAGTGATATGTAGATTATCCAAGTTATGCAAACTTACAAGAGTATCCTTTGGTAAATCACTAAATGGGTCAAAATTGGGAGTGGGCTGGCTTGAGTCTGCCAACGGCAAACATCCACCAAAGGATCGATGAAAAAATGAGGTCACGAGCCGTCGATTCATATTTCTATTAGGCTTGGGTAATTTCGTTTAGGAAAGGGATTTTCTGAAACCGCAGATTATGCCAGGCATATCATGGGACTTATATGTGGCGCTGCCCAGGTACATGCGGTGTTGTCTGTGTAGTACCAACAAGACGTAAGAGTCGCCACGTTGAATGATCATAAACAGATAACACCGTTTCAATTCCACGCTATCGCAATGAGCACAATAGTTTGCGTGGGACAACCCATTTTTTTTTGATCGCATCGTGGTCTCTGATAGCTGGTGTAGACCCTCGTTCAACACCCTGGTTCAACACCCTCGTTCAACACCCTCGTTCAACACCCTCGTTCAACACCCTCGTTCAACACCCTCGTTCAACACCCTCGTTCAACACCCTCGTTCAACACCCTCGTTCAACACCCTCGTTCAACACCCTCGTTCAACACCCTCGTTCAACACCCTCGTTCAACACCCTCGTTCAACACCCTCGTTCAACACCCTCGTTCAACACCCTCGTTCAACACCTTACATCAACCTCTTTCGTCCAGTATTACATTCTTGCCCACCTTGGCCGTAATAATGTTCAAAACTTTACAACGATGGCGGAGGGCCATTCACACAAGAGAGTGAGGCACAACGGGGAAGAACCAGCATTGGGTAGTTTAGCTCTTCATCTGTAATTTATTTCTTGGTAAATCTATTAATAGTTACGATAAGGTGATTATCTTGGTAATTTCGTACGCATAAGCTTCTGGGTATGACGATGAAAGAAACTCTTATGAGCACCACATGTCAGAGAAACGGTGGATCTGCATGTGGTTTTCTGGGTTTTTACCTGTGAGATTCCTACATACTGTATGGGAACCAGAGAAGTCACCTAAGAACTATCCTCGTTGAACTATCCTCGTTGAACCATCCTTGTTGAACCGACCGCCTTCGTCAAAGCTGTGCGCCAAATGAACTTAATGTCCAGTATGGTCATCATCGTCCCAATATTTTGGGAATTCATGTTTTAGGCCTAAATACCGTGTGATGGGCATTTGGGTTTCGAGCCATGGATCGAAGAAAGAGCACAACAAATATACTTGTACATTTTTTACGGACAGAAGAATGACAAAAATAGTGTCGGACCCTACCATTACCGATGATATTTAGCTTCAGGATGCAATCTACCCTCTGTGACCGGGGATGTTCACAGTTTGCGATGTGGTGAGATAAATGCTAATATGTGGTACATGAGTTCAATTTCACTTTAAACGCTTTGAACTTGGCCGATGAGAGCTCGATTCCGGCTGACCATGTACGAACAAATCCTGCTTCTCGACTCGGATTGGTGAAGTATAACACGAAGCACTGCCTTTGTGGAGAGGCCCGTTGGATCATTGGCATTCTGACCCTGGATCTGAGTCCCCACTTTGGACGGCTGAATTAGTCCAGTTCTATTATAAATCACTCAATGCCATATTGATACCGCTCCTCGTTCAACCATCTTGACGAACTGAAATATCCAATAGACAGGTTCTTCTTGCGAAGAGACTGTTTTAGATACTTTCTAGCTATACAGCATATAGGCGAAGCTGTGCTTTGATCGCAACACCTGGGTATGTAAAGCTCGCCCGCATCGTTCATGTCCTGACATGTCTATTTTCGAAGTTTTATATCTAGGAAATGGACCACGGCCACGAGAACAAAGAGGTCGAGGAAGATGATAACAACCAATACGACTCAACTCTAGGGCCTTGCGAAGAGCAAGTTCGTTTACGACACTTTTACCCCTCGCGACAGAAATTGCTATTTGTACTCGAGATATTGCGGTCATATCAAGCTATGCTGCATGGAGACAACAGCTTTGCCAGGTTTTTCAATGTACCGCTCATGAGTGACGTTCTCGCCGAGAGGATTGTTAGCTTGTTTAGTGAAGCTCGCCCAAAGATCCTGGAAGCTTGCAACCATGATATAAATTGGGCTGACGTTGTTCGTGAGCGTTTGTTCGAAGTCAAACGCCACGAGAACGGCAAGTATCAGTATTATCTTCCGAAACGCAAAGCTTTAGTTGAAATGTCCGAGTTTGATCACTGTTTGATTTTGTCGGGCATTCCTCGACAACTAGTTCACCCGAAGTCTCACTCCAGTGATGTGCAGGCGGAAAGAAGCACGTTGGAGCTAATAGCCAAAGAGATAGCATCGTGGAATGATATCCTTTCGAACCGTAAGTACATCATGAGGTTGGTCGTCCGGCAGTCGCAGTCACTAATTTGTGCGAAGTCAATGAGATAAACAAGGATATTCTTGGCAAGGTGGCCGGCAAACTCCGCAAGCTCGGAGAGTCACACAGTACACCATGCTCTTCCCAAGCTTCTCAACCTATTCCCACATATGAATCGAATGAAGTGAACCCACACGCTCGCACAGCGTCCGAGGCTTCCGCGGAAGCTTCGGGTGCAGCTATACAGAGCAAATTTGGAAATAACAAGCGTTAGTGTCCCGAACAACATGGCTTCTGTGGAGCGTATCTGAAATCTAGTTGCAGTGTTTCCTTATGGTCGTCGATGGACTGCCGAGCAAAAGGCCTGCCTGCCCAGGTGGTTTGAATCACGGGCGCATCTACCGGAAAAAGAAATTGAGCTCGAGTTCAAGCAAGACTTTGGCCATTCTCGAACTTTTGCGGCAATCCAGGCCAAATTATATGAAGTAGGTGCCGGGAAGCTCCGCAGGAAAAGGAAAGAAGAACATCGTCAAAACAAGATCCCAGTCGAGATCAGCCCTGCTCCGGCGATTGACCCGTTCCGATCGTCGATTCCATCAAGATCAACTCCGGAAGCTGAGGTATTTGACCTACCCCTCCCAGTCCCGTTCGACCCGGAAGTAAATAATAATGTGGTGGACAACAGTGAGTGTTGGCTGTCGGAGGATTTCCAATAACGCATCCTGTATCGCACCGTAGCGCAACCCGGGTTTCCATGAATATAGGCAGAGCTTTTGTGTCCACGGATAGTTGCGGTCTAGAACATCCTATAGTGTCTGGATCGGGAGGTAGATTACATACGAAAACAGATAGAGTTTTGGGTGCAGTTTCAACAACTACATCATCTAAGGATTCGGAGGATTGAGTCTATCTTATTAGACTTAATCGTGTGACTTATATTCTGTGGCGATATTCAGAAACGTCGTAAATAGATTATGCATTGCCTGCGTCATATTACCGCCACTTGAGATATAAATCCAATGAGTTCGTCATAAGTTTTATTAGGCTACTTTCTCATAATCAATCTGTCCGAGATATTCTAGACATCACTCCTTTTGATTTGATTCATATCTTGCATTCTTACATTTCATTACTAGCACTCCAATTACACTTTTGGAACCAACTGCATGTCGCTAGAAGGCTATTTCAACGTGAAGGACTTCGGTGCAGTTGGCGATGGAAAGCAAAGCGACACTAAGTACATAGAGCGTGCTTTAGCCGCTGCAAATACTCAAGGGGGTGGCGTTGTTTGGTTTCCACCAGGCCTCTACCTGATCGATCAAGGTTCGACCGTCGGAAGAGGTTTCACCATCAGCGACTCAATAACTTTGGCTGGAACCGGAACTGGCAAACCACAGTTCGATGCTGAGCAAGAAATTGACCCCTTTGCAACGAACGGTTCGAAGTTGTTAATCAGAAACACGGATATAATTCCAATTTTTGTTACTGGTTGGGGCTCAGTCATCCGTGATCTCGCGATTTACCACGAACAAGAGAAACTTTCGACGGTGCCATGGGTGCCTACAATATTCAAAGAGGCCATTCATGTATTTGGACATGATGTTCTCTTGAAAAATCTTTACTTACGAAATCCATATGTCGGGGTGGTATCAGAAGGCGTTGGACGGTTAAGCATCGACCGTCTTTTCGGCCAACCACTGGATACGGGGATCGATATCGATCGCGCCACGGACACTGTGAGAATAAGCAACGTCCATTTCTGGCGATTTTGGTCTGCTGCAGAGCCTGTGGCGAAGCACACATTTAACAACGCGAATGCTATCATAAGTCGACGGAACGATAATCCACACTTTTCCAACATCTTCGCAATAGGTTATAAGACTGGGTTTGTATTCCGGAAGTCCGTCTACGGCATCACAAGCAAATTTCGTATCAATAATGCAGATATCGACAATTGCAAATTTGGAATTGTTATTGAAGCGGACGCACAACGGACGACTGGTCAGGCTGTTAACTACACGTTTCAAGGGACGGATGATGAGTCGCAATCTGGCATTAGGATTGAAGCGCCTGATGCAACGGTTCAGTGCGGTAATATTAGAGTACAGAATGTCCAAACAAATGGTATTCTGGTCCTGGGCCCTGCGTCGTTTTTGATGATCGATAATGTTTGGGTCGAATCCTGGGATAAATCAGGTAAAGAGTTTCCTGCCATTGAAGCTGCCGGGGAAGGTGCAGTCGTGTCAGTTGGGTTCAACTTTCTTGCCAGGAATGGGGGGAATATACTGGTGAAAGGAACCTTTGGGGGGAAAGTTCTATACCCAAGTAACAACAACTGGCCTGAAGCTGCGCTATGGTGGTGACAGGCTCCAAGTCCAGGGGAAGGACCTATACGAATTGTGGACTCTACAACACCTGTCGGATGCTCTTTGGACGTATATTGATGGATTTGTGTTTGGTTCACTTATATATGCGAGACTCAGATTGATTTTGCTTTCGCTTTCTCAGTTGCATTTCAGTTGAAATCTCATCAACGACAACAGAAACATCACACGCATCTACAACGGCTGGCTCATTCTAAATATCAGACAGTCATTGTGACACTGTAGGGCGAGTTTATAAATTTCAACCCTATAGAGAGGACTATATGCCCAGATTCCACGAATGCTACTAGATACTGCTGAGGTATCTTTGGTGTCGCCATTACCTTACGATACTGCATGAAACCGGGTCTATAGATGATCCGACGGTGTAGCTTATGTAACTAAGAATGGACCCATAAATAACTAGTGAGAAATAGGGGTAATGAAATACAGAGTCATTGATATGTCCAATTGGCCAGATACAGTACGGGACGTGATTTTGGTGACAGTCTTAATGGCCCCATTTCACAACAGATTTAGACATACGAGCCCATGGGAAGATAGCAGTCGGTTGAGGGCAGAATGGCTTTATAATTAGGCCAAAATAAATAAATAACAGCGGGGAAAAGGGAGTAGTAGATTCGGCGAGATGAACAATCTGCCCAACCTAGATGAGCCATCCACTGCCTTTTCATCACCACCCTTATTTGAAGTCAAAATCAGCAGCAGCACATTTCAACCAGCCATACGAGTAGGGCAGAAATAGAAAATACGACAGCGAGCCACGCTGCGGTGAATGTTTGAGCCCCTAGATTAGCATGGGCACCCAATGGCTGCAAGACGCTTTGAATACTACCAGTTATTAAGCCATATATCACCGTCACACCAATGGTTGCACCAGTGATAAAAAGCGATGCTAACTTGATCATAGTGAGCACACTCAGTCAAAAAGTATCGAAATTTGGTACTTACGAAAGAAGAAGCGACGAGCAATATTTTCCCTTTGGAAAACATTATCAAGATAACTTGGATAATAATCGCAGCTACAGTAAAAGTCAACCCTAAGATGTAGGCTGAGATTGTCCAGCGTGAAAGGTCGTGGTAGCCGGCAAGGACTTTGTTATCGTCTTTTGGTAGAATTTTATTGATTTGCTCGGACGCTGATCCGAAGAGCCCCAACAGGTCAAACGAAAACGAAGTACTTGGCTGGGAACAGTTTGAAAAAGCCCCCGTGCTGTTATCTCCCTCGCAGTAGCCCCAGAGGCCAACGGCATAATATGCGGGAAGATGTAATTTAAGATCTTCGGATAGAGTTTGGAGATGGTCGCCAACCTGACCGGCTGTAGTCTGTGCCGCGGTAGAGGCTTGCGCTATGTCACTCGCGGTAATTTTCGTCTCACTGTTGGCCGCGTTGGAAACTTCATTCGTGACGCTGGATGTATCCATACTAGTGGTGCTAATTGACCGGCGTAGATGGAAATTGCCGAGCACTGGAAAATCGGTCAAGTTCACCTAACACTCTGAAATAAGTCGGCCGTCAACAAAGCGGCCGAGTAAATTACCTTTACAAAATAAAAGCCCGACGGAGAGGACGACGATGTGCATCCGGCAAAAACTATAGCAAGACAGATCAAGCTCGCGGTGGAAAGAAGTAAAGGACAAAGCTTTCCCAGAACCTTCATTGTGTGCCAGAGCATATTTTATATTATTGGAAGAAAGAGCTCAAACTGCTAGTGAAGTAAATAACAGAAGAACAATAATTTTTGTGGACGAGGAGGAATTCGTAGTCTTTATGGGAGACCAGTTCTTTGGGAATGTACACGCCAATGGTCTTTGCACACCATGAAATAGAGATCAGTTTGAAACAGTGATATCTTAGCACCGTGCATAGCTACCTACCTAAAAGCCTCATTTAGTGAAGTAGGGGTAAGAATAACCACAGTTACAATGAAAGGCAAATTAGTGGGCAAGCCAGCAGTAGCAAGGGCCATCAATTCCCTGCTCCTACGGGCCTTGCCAATCGCAAATGCATCATGTATAGAGAAAATCTGGGTCATCTGATAGCCACTGGTGAAATTAGGTTTCGGAGTTTAGTGGGTCAAGGAAGTAACAAACTTATTCAATAGAAATGGTAAAAGCTCTTCCGGAACGAGTCATAGGGCAGCGCTTTCGTGTCTTTCGCAACACATATCTACGGAACAGATAAGAAACACCCAAATCAGCTTGCACAGCCTCTGGAGTGGGAAGCAGATGATAGACATTATAGCCAGACACTTGTGGCCAGGCAATTTTACTCATTCCAGCCGCCTAATTCCGAGGAACCTATCGGCAGAATATTATCGCTGGGCATATCGGGCTTTACCTTGGGAAAATTAGGGAGTCAGTGATGGTCTCACATATAAATAGAAACGGATAGTGTCTTGAGATGAAATTACGAACAACTACTGTTGACTCTAGATACAGGTCGTAGGGCGAGGAAGCAAAAGAAAGGAGGCTTGCTCGCGTTCTGGGAACCCAGATAGACTATGTATGCCCCGCATGTCACCTCTCCTCCACTTCACGTGTCTTTATAATGCACATCCCTGACGGAGCCGGTCATATCTCCTGGGAGCATATATCTATGTAGGGCATCAACGTTACCCGTTTCCAACAAGGCTTTATGTCAGCTTACTCACATTGTTAGAATAATGTATATAAATATCGATATGAGCCCTGATTTTGTGTTTACGACCGGCGCATTGCACGAACCTTCAGGTATGACATGACATTAAGTGCGACAGAAGATTAGTTGCTAATCAAACCCAATGCAGGCTCCCTTCCTCTAATTCTTTGGCTAGTTAAAATCATATTCTCCCCATACTGTCCCAGGACGAGGCAACATGGCCGCTGCTGGGCCTTTGTGTGATGAATCCAAGGAAAGGAGCTCGATCGATAATCCTATTATGATCGATGACGACAAACGCTCCGACAAGCAGAGTATATCAAAACAAGATAATTCTGATGGGGACACTGAGCCTTTGAGTACGCCAGTATTCTGGGGGTGTTTGGGTGACGGCGGCCTCCACGTTCCACCGGACAACTCCGAGTCCCCACTGACGGATTCGACTTCTGGTTTGGCGCCATCCAAATCTACACATGATCAAAGATTAGATTGTATTCATTCCCCCTCACTTGGACCGACTACTTGCTCTCTTGCAAAAGAGGAAAGATCTGGAGCCGTCGAGATTGCCAAAGGTGGAGAAGGTACGTTTGTTTGAAGCGATAAAAACAACTCCTTAACACATGTTTCGCTAACGAGATTTTCCAAGGAGCCTCACAAACCAAAGATGAAAGCTTTTATTGGACAGCAGAGGTCCCGCCATCTTGCAATCAACTCTACTTTTCGAGGTTCGGTCAAGGTGATGGATCGGAAACATCTATCGAGACTAGCCAGCCCGACAATGACCATCCGGCCCGTCAACAAGGGTCCAGTAAACGCAAAAGGGTACATAAAGGAGAGGATGATTCTGGGAATAGGCGATCAAAGCGCCTGGCGAACAATGCAAAAACATGATGAGATGAGCAGTGAAGGGTCCCTTGCCAGGGATTTCGGGGCTCTTATGCTGCGGGACCAGGAAGTGCTTAACATATACACCCTCTCCCCCAGTTAATCACTCCTCAGTTAATCACTCCCCAGTTAATCACTCTCCGCTAGTTCGTCACTCTAAACGCTATCCTTCATTTACATGCCCCGTTTGTCTATCCTTCACCGAGCTTAAATGGTGAATATGCCAAGGCGAGCTATGAAGCCCCAATATAAGGATAAAATCTATCGAGGCGGATGAAGCTAGCTTACCTAGAAATTTACAGTATCTTGGGAACAGTCCTTGGCTGCAAAGAATATTGTGCACAAGACCGTACTGCTTCGGCATAATGGGATAATGCCTCAGCATTTTCATTTCACATCTTATACTCTCCGGCTTCCCAGTCACAAGTCTCCAATCCTTGCCTACTTACAATAGCAAGACTGGTCTTGCCAAGCAATCACAATTATGCGACAAGTTATACAGCAGGAATCGAGGACCTCATTTTTCTTTATCTAGGATGCCAACACAACATGTTATTTGAAAATGAACTTGGTTCTTCGTAAAGGCTTATATATAATGCATGATTTTCAACTCATTCCAATAATTGTCCCATCTCTTTATTGCATTATGTGTAAGCAGAGGCTCTTGCAAAGGTAATTTCACGCCAAGAGTGGTTTGTGCAACCTAATGGAGAGAACAACCGCATCAAGTTCTTTCCCTGGCTGGCTAGGCCGAACTGAAGAAAAGCCCACCTGGCTGAAGGATATTTCTAAGCTCCAGAAGTAACCGCTTGGAAAATGCTTTCTTTGTACTGCCCGATTGTGTATTCCATGACTTGGCGAAGTGTTCTCAGAAGAGATTTGGTATGTTTAATATTTGCGGTGCAGCCGTCCAAGTCAGATAAAGGACCCCAGATGCGCTGAAGAAACAATATTTAGCCATTGAAAGAGTCCTGAAGCGTATTACTTACTACTTCTTCCAGAACGCCAGATCCTTCAACCCCGGTTGCAATATAGAATTTCCAGTCCTCCCCAACAGCAGTGCAACCAACAAGTGGTGGCAAGTCTTTCACATTCTTGCGTTGTGCGAAAGCCCACATCAGTAGACCTGTCATCCATACCCCAAGCTGGACTTGCGCCTCTACCAAGTTTCCGTCCGCGGCTTTAATCTCAATGCCGGGGCCCAGAACACGTTTCCCGGTGTGCGGATGGGCCATATGGCTGAAGCATTTCCCTGGTGTATTGAGCCCCGCCTGTTCATAGTCTACTTTCCAAAAGTCCACAGGCAGACCGACAACTAGGTCCACTTTGCGATTGTATGTATCGCGGGCAGTGTAGCGAGGTTGGTACTGAGGGTCAACGGACTCTGTTTGACTACAAGAGATTAGCAACAAAGCAGTAGGGCACACAGGGTCTTCGTGGTTTGACATACATGCTCCAACACTCTAATGGCAGTTCCGCAATGGCCCCCTCCAACAGTGGCAGTGCGACCTTGTTCAACCAGGAACCTTCACTGCGCAGTTCAGTAGCACATTGACACGACGCGTTCGAGGTTTTCCGAGCAACATCTTCATCTGGGCCGAACTCAGAACCCTGTATTAGAGTTGCCAGTAGCTGACTGGCAGCGACGCTTTTCGGGTCGGTAGATTCATGTACGTAGACGACCCGGGGGGTTGCGGCGGCTAGTTCTGCTTTCACGCGTGATGGACTAGATGAACGTGACCTCCCACCTCGACTAGCCACGGAACTTGATGGGGCCAGAGAGGTGATGTCGTCAGGTAGGCGGACGGAAATGGTGGATCCTGTTTCGGAACCAGTTCGATAGCGTCTCTTCGAAGGATCTGGCTGCGGCATCGGATTTTCGGCTCCAGATAGCGACCTTTTGCGTTTGTTCTGGATCGCTGGGGTTGAAGGAGGCGTCGTTAGGTTGCTCACCAGTTCCTCGAACCGATCGCTGTTGGGCGGGGTTTTGGGCACGCTCCTTGCAACTTCCTCGATCCAGGACAATATCGCGACGTTTTGCCCAGCACACATCAGGGCGGACTAGACGCAACATGGTATGCCCCAAAGTTTACTATTTCTATTCTTCGTCGTCGGAGGACGCGCGGTAAGTCAAAATCTGGACAAGATGAGTTCTTGGGGCCGCCTAACGGATTGACCGTTGCTGGAGCAACCGCCGACTGATGATGTTGACAGATCACGTGGGTTTGTTTTGCGTTTCGGTCAGCTGACTCGCACCGAGGCTCTTAACAGGCTGACATTCATATTGTCGATGATAGGCGGCGGATCGGTAATACTTCCGACGAAGCAAATGGCTGATCATCAAGAAATACTGTACATTACTCTCTTAATTCAACTCTATCTTCACTCTGCATCCTATACATTTAGACGCTCCGTTCTCAGTAACCTTTTCTGAGTAGATACTATCCGAAATGGGATGTAGCGGTGATTTTCCTCTCCCACTTATGTAAAAGGTTACAATTGGAGAGCCCGTTCTCTCGGGGACATTAGCATCTCAACTGAGATTAATTGTTTTTAAATGATCATGGGAATTTACATGAGAGTTTTATAAAATTACGTCCCGCATATTCCACCGATGCCAAATTATGTCCTTGCGAGGGAGCCTCACCATGACAGGTGGCAGCTGTCCCACTATCTCCTCTGCTTTGCTTTGACTATGGAGCACCCTGTAAAACTTGAATAATAACGCATGGAGAAAGCTTGTAAGGTAAAGAGCGTAAGTTCTTTCTCGGGCCTAGAGTTGTGGTGATCGAAGATTGGCTGGAAATTTCACGGCAAGGCCGCCTAGGATTCTTGTCAAATTGATGAGGTTTCGGTATAAAATATAATACTGTAAGGTCAATGAACGGTCTAGCAATACCTTTTCTTCGGAAAGGGTTCGCCAATTCGACGTGCCTTAATTATGGTACGCCAGGAAGAGTCGAGAACCGGCAGCCACTTGCGGCCAGATCGATAAGTGCCGGCAAAATATATGGGAGGCTCCTACGAATCTTTGCCTAGGAATAGAGCGTACCTATTAACGAAGCTGGGAACCGGACACTACTGGTTGTCAACCTACGGCAAGGCTTTCCGATTCCGAGATGATGACCTGTGCATCTGTGGCGAGCGGAAAAGTATATACTATGTAGTGCTGAATTGCCCGCATCTGAGAGAATTACGACGGGCGCGGGAGCTCCGAAGAAAGGTTGGCGACGCGTTCAACACTGTTGGGAAGACCGGGGGAGATAGCGAAGCTCTACTTACCCTTTAATGTTACTATAGCAATACATGATGGATACCTTACTGAGTCTTTTACCTCGTTCAGTATTATCCTATTTAGACTTGCAACAGAGGAATAGCTATATACAGCTTAGCGCAACATATGATTAGTGTTTGAAATAGCTCCTTTATGTCCGATAGAAAAGGCGAAAGCGGTCGCTATTATACTCTACAGTATAGACTTTCGTAGTTGGATCGGTTACTGTATTGGCGTGACACAAGAGGTATCAGCAAATGCCTTTTGAGCCGAACTTCACGACTACATGCTCGCCGCTGCGATTATGAGCTTCATTGAATCCTCGACCTTCTTTTCATACTGTAGCTGCCACGATGCAAAATAATTTAAACTTCTGACCTTATTTTTTGAAGGACGTTCGCATAAGAGTTTTACTATAGGAATAGTTACCTCGTGACCCAAACAACACTAGTACTCGTGACGAGATTATCTTCCATAGTGGCCGTAGATAGCATGCTAGTAGACGGAGTGCCGGTAGATGAAGTGCTGGTAGACGGAGTGCTGGTAGACGGAGTGCTGGTAGACGGAGTGCTGGTAGACGGAGTGCTGGTAGACGGAGTGCTGGTAGACGGAGTGCTGGTAGACGGAGTGCTGGTAGACGAAGTGCTGGTAGATGGAGTGCTGGTAGATGGAGTCCTAGCAGATTGAGTGCCGGTAGATAGTTTACTGGTAGATGAGTAGGAGGGCGAATTCGTTTTGTTCCATTTTCCAGTTGCAACACACCAGCTACCGGTCTTTAATCCATTATTGAGCACACAGGACGCTTGGTTCCCATTTTTATTGGTAAAAGTGGCCAGTCCCGTGTGGTTCACCTGGATCCAAGCAGCGGGTAAGCCATCTTCAGTACCGCATACGTCGACGTTGAGCACATTCAATTCATGACGGTTGCTCTTGTCGACCACACTGAGCTCTAGCAAACTGTTAACAGTGTTCTGAAGTTTCAATTGAGCTTGCCTACTTGAACAATCAACTCCATTGAGAAGGCCAAAAGACGCAGAGTAACCCGTGCAGCCATAATTATCGTTAGACCATATCAGACATTGCCCATCATGATCTATTACCTCAAGGGTTCCGGCTTGGGAAATTCCTGCCTGAATAATCGCTAGAATTGCAATTAGGAAAGAATGCATCTTCGAAAGACCTTTAGGAACGATAGGCTATCTTGACTTGGATGGATGGAATTAAAAGCACACTGCGCGGCTTTAAATATGAGTTGTATGCACAAGAGTATACGTTGGCACACGGAGCATCGAGACAGTTTTCTTGAGGGACATCTGGAAAACCATGACATGAAGCCTCAAACGCGACTAGATGAACATTCCAAGCGATTTATGCTTTTATATGACTTCTGCTATTCCAAACTACCATAACAGGGCAGAAACTGGGGGATGAATTAGCGCGACAACGCTTTTAAACGAGGCGGAAAGTGAGGGCCTAACCTCCTACTGCACAGATCTCAACCACCAGGCTTGGCAAGAAATTACGGATTCGGGGGTGTAATCTAGCACGCTTTTATTATGCTACTTTGAGGCTTTTTGAGCATTGAAGGTCAATTATGAACTTGAAGAATGCGATCGACGATGAGCAGCAATACAGGACAGGGAAGGGAGCATCGGAATCGGTTTCACCACTTACAAACAATGATTCCTTTCCGAATCCTGTCCCGAAACACGCTATACAGTATTCTCGAACAGTCGTCAATAACAGCTTAAATATAGCTTTTGTATCGGACTCGAATGGTCTCCAGCATTTGTAGAACGCGTGGTCATGCAAACAGGCCAAACAGACTGGTGCCTGCTCATTTGGAGACATGGCAGGGATTCGAATTCCTTACCTGATCCAGAGCCGCGTCCCTGCATGGTTCCCCAAGAGGAAAGCCCGAATTTCCATCTATTACAGCTCTTTTTTATTGTACCTCTTAATTTTGCTTTGCTCATTCTCTCTCTACGTACCGCGAGACTCCTGGGAACTGTGATCTTGGGCCTAGGAGACTACCTAGTATGTGAATTATTGGTGGGTTGTGCCATATAAATTAAATATCAGCACCCCTTTACCTTCTTTTTATTATAATTTATCTCTCGGCCTACTGAGCGACTGCGCTGAGCATATTCATATTCACTGTCACTATGGTAAGTACAGTCATCTACATCTACAGTTTATGATTTTGAACAATGCCACTAAGCAACACAAAGTTATTGTGGCTTTCTTGAAGACGATATACCTTATCAGGTGCCACAGGATTGTTGATGATACGACGAAATTTTTGGTAGAAGGAGTCGTAGGCGCGAAAGAGAGCGAAATCAGAGAAAATTTGCCGTGGGTATTCGATGGATGGAGTCTACCTCAATCCATTGAACTCAACAGGGACTTGTATGGGTGGTTCGAATGCGGGCTCAAAGTCACTTTGGAGGCAAAGTGTAAGGCGAAGAAAGACCGGCACCTGGACGTTGTGTGCATTTTAAGGGCCACCCCAAGTGTAAAAGATGATAAGGAATTTGATCTTCACGTAGCTCTTTGGCTTAAATCCGAAGTGCTTGAGAAAATCGCTCCTTGCCAGCTTAAAAGTTACAACACAGATCCGGGTATGTATGTCAGCGACAAGGGGAACTCCAAAAGGCTAATTGCCACTCAAAGGTGCTATCGATTTTAAAAATCTCCCGGGTCCTAAGAGAAAAGCAGGCATGAAGAGTGCTAAGCCAATAAGCCCGCGACGCCGGCACTCCCTCAGAATTCGAAATCTACGCCAGATGCAAGAATAAGATTCATTACTTTTGGGGGTTCAAATCCGAAGCAAGCACATTACATAGCAAATCAAGCGACGCAAAATGTTGGGCGATGTCAAGGAGGTACAGTACAGGATGGATCGGAAACATTTTCACCATATAAAGTACTACTGTACACGTAGTTACTTGATGAATGGCGTGTTCGTTATTTTCGAAATAGCAGACATAAAGTCCTTTAAAGATAACTATATGTTACTGTAATCCAAGTACAAAGTGGGAGAAGATGCAGCTATGCTACTTGGCGTTTGGGGATCCTGGGACGTAGCAGTGATAATAGAATCTGTTGCATCGATCGATGAGTCAATTGACGACGACGACGACTGGCCTGCCGCTATGGAACCATCCAGCGCCGATGGCCGAATAGATACACACGAACAGCTCGTCTCATCTAATTGAGTTGAGACTTTTTGACGATATCTTGCCATGTAGGTTTTCTTTGCAGCCTGCGGGAAACGGGAGGCTACGATGGTGAGATCACTACAGAAGAGCTTCGAACTTTGTACGCCTATTTGCAGTCAGCCATTGCACTTTATGATCAGAACGGGAAACTGACAGCGGGAAAACACATCCTCGAAGCCTTTCATGCATTTCGAGGAAGGGAAAACGATTTTTGTTTCCCGTCAAGAACGTAATGGCCAAGGTCGCCACGTGAGTAGGTTGGATCCAAATTTGGAATAGGTCACAGGCATTTTCAGCAAAATCTTTGCTCTGGTGCTGCGCATTGGCTGTGCTGGCTAATTGATCATAGAAAGTTGGAGAATCATCTTAATATGATAAGATGACAAGAACCGGGGCTAGTTTTTTTCTAGTTTAAATACTTTCAAATCTAGCTACTAGCTCATAGGCGTTTATATAAGGTTGCCCTGCCACGAGCCTCACAACAACGTCCCAAAGCTGAAACATTCGAAGTATAGTAAAATCACTTCGAGACTTGCTGATGGTCGCCTTCAGCCCAGTATCCTCAAAAGCCCCCTTTTCATTTTATCCCCTCATGAAGATGAGGTATTGATGGTAGAACTCTCTTACCTCTCAGAAAGCCGCTTTTTCTCACCTCGCAAAAGCACATGCAGATTTCTATTGAAATTTTCAACGTTTGAGCTCTCCTCTCCTTGGAGTTCCTATAAAGGGTGTGTTTGCCCGCCCTCTATCCTTTATCAGTCGACCTGATTTCCAAATATGCAAGCTTGTTTTGTGGGACTCGAAATGACAATCGTTCAAAAGACTCTCATTTTGTTCGCCATAATTTCCCAAGTGGTCAGTCAGCTGAGTCTGAATCCGTCTAATTGTGCTGATATTTCACAGCTTGGCGGTCCAACAATCAATGGCAGTCTGGGAGGCTTAGGTTCCAGAGCGGTGAGTGATGAGGTATCTTTGGTTCTCAAGCTAGTTACCGAGACATAAAAGATATTAAATTTCTCTGCCTTCCCTGCTTCTGATCGTTCGCCGACAATGTCCACAGAGAAACGCAGTGTAAACCCTCCTGGCCTGCTTGCTACCTCCCATGGAGCCTAAGTTTCTCAAATAGATGACGCCAGTCACTGATTGTGACTGGACATATGGAGTTGCATATACAAAGCTGACCAGAGAAGAGAATATCGACCGCCGTCTCGAAAATATCAAGGATTTGGATACTTGCACGAGGGTGGCGTACTTAAACCAATCTGGCTTTTCCCTTTGTAACAATGTGCCTCTCTTTGACATCAAAAAATCGTTTCTTCTGAAACCGCTTTTACTTGCTTGGGACAGAATCCTGACCTTATCACTACCGAGTGCGAGAATCTCATTGAACCTGCAAAGCAGCTGTCGGCAGCTTGCAGTTATGGAAATAATTACACATTTTGAGTATTGGATGGAAAGATCAAGAATGGGACAGAGCAGGTGCCCTACCATCTTAGAGTCGCTGCCCAAGGCTGGTAGCCTTTTATATAGGTTCGCAAATTCAGGCGGATTACTATAACACCATTCGAGAAATTGGCTTAGATACTTGTGCTGTTGAAGGTTCCCGAGAAAGTCAATTCTACTATACGAATCAGTGACGCTATCCATCAACCTCCGCGTCATTGTTCTGCGAATGACTTGACAACCTGCTGGGACACGGTTTTTCCAGCAATTGCTCTTCGTTGTTGAGCTGAATCAAATTTGCGCCGGATATTTTCAGCTCCACGTTCGTGGGGAAACGGATTCGGGATGCGATAACAAAACCTGCGTTAGCCCGCGAACATGTTCTCTAGAATCTGTGGCATACCATGTTGTCTGAATAAGCATGTTGAACGACGAATAACCTTCCAGCGATTTGCACAGCGTAATGTGATAGGATTGTCCAGATAACGATAATGATTAGTTGGAGCTGCCAGAGTCAGAATGGAAGGCAAAAGATGGGGCTTCTGCTCGGCAGAGGTCAGAATCTACCTCCAATAATAGTAGCCAACAACCTATAACAACCCCCAGGATTGCAATGAGCAGAACAACGGCTGCCACTCCATACGTGCAGTATAAAGCCCAACGTAGCTGTGATCGAGTACGGGAATGTGCCATTGTATTCCCATTTAACCACCACAGGAAAATAGCCAGACCCAGATAGTCCACAAAGACAAGGAAGAGTAAGATGAACTGTAGTGGATGATAAGTGTAGTTACCTATCAACGTGGCCATAATCTTTAGCAAGCATGAACAGAGCGCAATTGACGGTAAACATATTCTCCATATGTATGGTACCTCAAGGAGGGCTCGCAACAGAATTATCATTCGAAGATACTGGCATTTGGTGATTAACAGCAAATTAGGGGAATAGCATGATAGTACTCACTCCAAGTGAAGATGGAAATAAGCTTGTAACCCCGACTATCACTTCCATTTCATTACCAATTGGTCTGACCCAGCTTAATCCTACGAGAACCGCCTGTAGAACAATCATAGGCACAGATAATGCAAGGTCAAGCTTCTGGTATAAAGAGCTTTCTTGAAGTGCTCGGTAGGACAACACGAGCCGGACGAAGCACAGAAAGAGGAATACAGTGGCTAGTGCTGCGTACACTGGAGCTGGGATGTCCATAATTGGCTTGAGGTAAGCGTGCGAATAAACAAGGAGTTTCAATTTATCGTTGAAGGGACACAGTGCGTTATAGATAATTTCTGCGAACCATAAGTCATAGATTCCGACGTATGCAGCCGTCGCCGCCTTAAATTGCTGATCATCGGGCGGCATTACTTCTCCTAGGAACCATTTAGACCCTTGTAAGCCCCGAAAAATATGTTGAAAGATAAAGGGCTAAGAGCAGTTGGCCATTATTTATGAACTTGTGGATATGCTAAAGAATAAAGAGCAGATGAGAACTCTAGCCTCCAGCGACCAGATACCTGAATCTGGGAGCTTCTACGTATCCTTGGGAGTAAAGACGCTTCTAGTGACCTGCTAACTCGGCCTAGATATCCATGCTAATTAAAATGCTCATTTCCTGGGGGAGCCGAGTAGGTGGGAATGCTGATGAAATCAGAGAAGCTGGAGACTACAGGAAATGTTCCCAGAAGCGCTACCATGCGCTCCTCGGCATAAATGTGGTACCCTGATCTTATCGGTTGCGTTCGGCTATCTCGAGAATAAGTGATACCTTGGAATAGGTAGCCATTGTTACCTACTATAAACTCTCGAATACGAAAAGTCTCTGTTGGCCCTTTGGCGAACTGTATATATGATAACAATTCTCCTTGAATGCCTATAATCCGTAGGAATCTTCGAAATATGACAAGGTCGAAGCAAATACATACAAACATTTCGCAGAACTCCTTGAATACTAGTGATCAATGTTCTAATATATCTCTGAACCAAAACGACTAAAGATGCAAATGGAGCAAGCTCCTTATGGTGGCTCACTGGTTCTGCTCTGTTGGTAACACCACATCTCCCACCATAATTGTTCTGCTACCAGGGCCCTTCCCAATGTTCTCGCCTTCCTTTGTTGAAATTACCGCATATCTACCAAATTGAACTCTACCCTCGACTTTTCGCATCTTGGGCAGCGCAGCAAATATTTCATTGCGTCTCACGCCCGTAGGCTGGTCAACGCACAGCATCTGACAGCGCTGGCAAGGGTCAACCGTATCAAAGAGGAGCTGGTCTTGTCCAATACGAATGGATGACCAGTGGTCTTCGGCATAGGGGTGTTCGACACGAGCTGGTTGACAGGCCCGCTCAGCAACAACGATGTTGCTCTTAAACAAATCTGCACCAATGGCCTTGCTCACGCCGGAGGAAGGCTTGGTGTTTGCTTTGATTATTTCGTTGAGACGGTTGACTGATGCCCTCGATACGATTAAAACGGACATTTCGTTTGATACGAGCACGTATTTTTGGCAATTTTGGCGCGGTATTCGGTCCGCACGGGAAAAGGAATTCAAGGTAGCAAACCTCCGGAACCGATTCTTCCAGATACTAGCGAGGTTTGGTGGCTTTATATCGAATGCTGCATCATGTGAAGAGAACCGTGCAAGAGTACAAGCTACACCTAAGAGCTCTGTAAAGAATGTTGAGACCACTGGCGAGGCGTAGGCACGAAGGCATGAGCTATGCTCGTAGGCACTGGGCACTCCTTTTCGACAACTCGAGCGCACTGGAGAACTCATAACGCTCGTACTTCTGGCATCCCAAATAAGTGGAATTTCGAGGCTGAATGGACCATTTGTGGCCTTAGGATTGCAGGTGATGCGAAGTATGCCGCGTTCCATATCAACAGATGGATATATAGAAGCCATCTGAGGATATTCTTTCTGCTTCAAGGGAAACCCGGTCACCTGATGAACGAGGTACCATTCTCGGTCCCATGCAAGCCCTTCTCTTTTGACCTCCCAACGCTTGCCTCCAGGAATCTTGAACGGGGCACAACCTTTGATGGGAAATATCGTCAGACTCTCAACATAAAATTGAGGGGCGACTATATTGTTCGCATCCGTCGGAGGACTCAATGGCACCAAAGGAGGGACTTTCTCCACATAAAATTCCTCGACGAAGTCTGTTAGTGAGTCTATATCCTTCAGATTGGTCATTGCTCCCAGACTAACACGCAGAATGCCAGTTGGCCGGCCATCTAACACATCATGGTCATCACCGCAACGTAAACCAGTGGCATAATGGCGACGTAGCTCTTCTCCTGCCCATCCAAGAGACATGGCCGTTCGTCCAGGGTTGCAAACAGAACCAGAACGCAGTTGGATGTTGTGTACCGTCGCCAGTTTTTCTACCTCGGACTTAGGGATCCACTCGCCGTGACTGTTTCTCATATTAAAAGCGATGATCGGACCTTGGAGGGCGGGGTTCCCATAGTCTGATTGGTAAATCTCGCAGACCTTCATGCCATTGAAGTGCCTCAATCCAGAGAGTCGATCATAGACTTGCTGAGCGAGAAACCCAGTATGGGAAGAAATATTCGACATTGACCCGTATAGACGTTTGTGCGTCGTTAGGGCGGCATCAAGTGCAATAATGCTGTGGAACGGAAGGGTGCCATCCTCAAGCCGCTCATGGATTGAGGTTTCTTTTTTGGCATGCCATTGCGCTCCGGATGCTATCACCATATCCACTGTACCCCCGCCAAAAAACTTTCGTTGCTCAAGTACGGATGCAGTGCGTTTCCGGACGATCAAACCCCCCAAATCAGGAAATCCAAAGATTTTGTAAAAACTGAGCGCCGTAAAATCCGGCGCGGTGGCTGCTTCACCTAGGTCAAGAGGAGCGGTTGATAGAAACGAGGCGGCATCAAGCAAGGTGAATACATTCCTTCCTTCATTGGCAGCGGAACGGATTTGCCCGCACCACTGAAGTGGGAGACGTCGACCATTCATGTTAGATTGAGCTGGAAAGGCAAACAGCTTGGGAATTTTCGACTGAGCTGTGCCTAGCTCAGAGATCCAAGCGTCTACATCGGTATCATCGAAACATTGACAGCCCATATCCGCGAGTTCCCGAACACCAATCACACTGGTGTGGGAATCAACGTGGTACCCATACCAAAATCCCCTAGGGTCATCTCGAAAAGATTCTCCAATCAACTTAATAGCTGCTGTCGCATTTGCCACAAAAACCACATCAAACTCATCGGGGCTTGCATTGAAGAACTGGAGGACCCGGAGTCGCACGTCGTCTGTCCGCTCTGTAGACAGCTGTGATGATACAGACATCGAATGGGGATTTCCGAAGAGACTGGATATCATATCATCCGAGAATGACTCGATAAACGATTTGGCATAGAGCGTTGTTCCGGCGTGGTCCAGATACGTTGTTCCTGCATCCCGTGAAATATGGCAGTCAGTACAGATGAATCAAGTAATATTAAATGCTAGGTCATACCATTGAGAAGAGGATACTCCTGTTCACGAATGGCATCCATACCCGCCAAGTATCCCTGGCCATATTGGGACTGGACGGATTCCTCAATGCTCTTCATCATAAAGTGGGTGGACGGAATCGAAGAATGTAGTGTGTTCGTTTCAGGAAATACTGTGCCTTTGCGAAGTTGAAGACTCAAGCGGCGATTGTCTCAGTGAGAAGATATGACTGCCGTAGAGCCTTCGCGGTAGACATTTATAGCTGGAATATATGAAGGGGAAACAGTCTTTGTGGTCATACAGTATACACCAGGCTACTTAATGGGTTTCCTGGCGACGACGTATGTCCCCTGTCCAGAAATGTTTGCGCTAGAAGCGAAGATGAATACTGTAATCGTTTGATGAAAAGGCAAACTTTGGACTAATTACCTCCGACCAGCTTGCTGCAAATGTTCACCACAATTCAACAACTGCGAGGAGCCCTGTTTAACTCCTTGCAACCATCAGACCGTCCTTCGTTTGCGGTCCACTACAAACTCTTTATAACCGACTTTGTATTCACCAAAATCTCGACAACTACGAGCGCGACCTCAGTCAAATTTGCGCGGGGTGGACGTTTAATCCCTTTCTTTAGGCTTTTTATTTTTTTATTCCAATTTTTTTCTACGATAAAAGTGCTCAAATAAATTCCTCCAAATAGAACAACCGGCAGATCAACAGCGTTCCATGCAACAATAGCAAGCAACCCCGACTACATTGGGGTCTTAACATACACAAATTTCTGGTGTTATTTTGCAGCAGCAACTTTGCTCGTTGGAGATTTCTGAGATTTTGCCCGGCGCAACGGACAGAAGTTGATGTCCAACAAACAACGAGCTACAGTGATTCTCGAAATCGGCTTGACCAATGCACACTGAGTAATTCTTTCTGGCCCCACCGCCAAGGCCTTAGCGCGGATAAAGGATTGGACAAGCCGCATCAAATCGAGACGCCGTAGTATTATGCCGCCATGTAGTACAGTCGCAATTCGGATTTATCGCTCAACGATAAAACCATAAGATGTAATTTTATATTGCCATTGTAAGAAAATCTACTCTTGGCCATGCTCTGGCTAATTGATGATATAGCGGGCCTGAGTTCGATTTTAAGGCGTTCAATACAGGGCCTCAGAGAGCAAGCGAGCAAAAGAAACCGGTGCAGTTTTACGAACCCACGTACTACAGCGCTTGTCAATTCTAGAGCTCTGATTTAGGGTTTTCTCTGATACTTATCCAACCAGAAACTTCATACACTTCATGGGCTCAGATCAGTAAAGACCTAGGGATACATAAGGAAATTCCTATGTATGTACACTTGATGATACTGTACAAACATTCGGTTCTGTTGATTTCGACGCTCTTGTGCTTGACACACGCTCTGGTATACCGGGTGATTCGAAGTAATAATTGAAACTGATTCTGAGAGATCAATCTAGGTACACGATAGAATGCCGTAATCATTTCCCTCTGATATTTGCCGAGAAGTAGCTATTGCTATGGCTTGGTTAAATTGAGCGGCAGTATTTGTGAATCCATCACACGATATCAACGGAGGGCTTGGTCTGGTTGGCACGCCGAGCAATGTCGATGTAAGCATCTGCATCGCTTCCATGTTTAGCGATATCAATAGATGGGTCGCTCATATCAACACGTCGGGCAATGTCCATAGAAGCATCTGCCTGGCTTCCACGTTTAGCCATACCGATAGGTGAGTCGCCTTCAACGCGCTGGGCAATAACGATAGAAGTCAGGCTCCCATCGATGCTTCTGACAACATCCGCATTTACTGCATAGGATTTGACAGATGCCAAGGGAAGCGCTGACGCAGCCGTAGCCAAGCAAAGAGTAAGAGCGCGGAGTTGCATTTCAAACTCGAAGGAAGGAGGTATGAGTTAGCGAGAGTCAACACAGAATACGTTTGGAACGGAATCACTCACTGTATGAATGCCGGACACTGAGAAGAATTGTTGTTAAATAAAAGATGAAGTGGATGAACCATTGAGCTCTTGGTGGCATCTTATATGGCTTCGTTCGTATGACAGCTTACAACGGAGGGCAAATATCAGCTTTGTTTCACCAGAAGCCTGGTCTTATTAACCTCCCGTTCTTCATTTGTTCTCCTAGTATCGTGGCTGTTTACCTGGAGACAGTTCACCAATGAGTTCGACCAGATACATGTACAAGATCAAATCCAACACGAGATACCTGCGAATCTGATCGATACATCGTTGAATATTCAACTTAGAGTCCAATCTTCGTAATATTCACGCACCGTCCCGCATAATAGCTCATCATGAAATTGCATTATACCTTTTGGCTTGGATAAGGCCTAGCTTTGTTTATAAATAACATCATGTCATTATATTCCACAGTACCAAAAGAAAGATTATTCAGATTGTTGACCGTCTCAAAGAGCCAGACTGTGAATGATCCGGTATTGTTGAAAATCTTGAGTAAACGTCACCTGCAACTAAATGCACGGTTTGTCCCATAGTCACTTGATCAACGAGCAGAACTGCGTTAACATGCTCATAATGTTCATGTTCAACAGTAATAATAGATTTCAACATGATATGCTTTATTGATGATACCCTTACAGTAGCCCATCCCCTGGATCATCACAATTTAACTCAACCTTATGTGAATTGCTCTCGTATCTAGAATACAGCGCAGATTACGAATATTGATTAGCCTGGCGCCCCATAGTATGCCGCAAAGAGTAATTTCCTCTTGCTTGGTTGGGGTGACACTCAGTAGGGACGAATTATTGGATATTGTTCGACAGGAAGTACTGTACCCGAGATTAATAGATTTTCTCTAAAGATTGTCTGGCATGGCTTGCAAATACAGTCATTCTCAAAATCGGCTTGACCGAAACACACTAAGTAACTCTTCCCTGGCCCCGCCGCCAAGGTTTTAACGCAGTTGGTTTATTGAGCAAGCCGCATCAAGGTGAGGGCCACAGTATTATGCCATCTGTATTATGCCGCCGTATAGTATTGTGACCGTTAATTTTACTGACCAACGGCCAAATGGTAGAATGTAACTAAACATGGCAGAATATAGGACTATACTAAAGGATTTATCTCTTGCCCATCATTTTCTTAATAAAGTGTGCTCAATATTTTGTCCGCGCTAAAGCCTTATCGGTGGGTCCAGAGAAGAGTTACTCAGTGTGTTTCGGTCAAGCCGATTTCGACAATGGCTATATCGGGTTACATTGACTTAAACTCATCCTTCAGTACTCTTTTTCCCTTCGAGAACTTTATAATGCAGTGTTTGAACATACCCCAGCGCGCGAGATCCTGCCTATGTCGGCCTAGAACATGAACCAGATGCCGAGTCAGTTGAAGATACAGTAAACGTCAATTTGTACCTATATTCTGCGCTGTACGTACCAAATAACAAAACCCTTCTCTACGACGTCACCTCTAGCTGAGCCCGAGCCAAACACACCCCTCCCCCCACTTCATTGTAAGATTCTTTCTCAAGCCTACTTTCGAAACACGCTATACCCATTACGGTTAATTCTCCCAAAACCCTTGCTTGGCAGTACTCCAGTAGAGTCGTAAATAACAGCTTAAAAATAGCTCCTGTATTATACTCCGTATGGTTTCTGGGGGTTCTAGAACATTGATCCATTGGACAAGCTAAATAGAGGGTGGGGAGCCGTCTCAACGCTGCGGACCTAAAGAAAGGTGCCCGTTAGACCATGCGTTATTTTTGCCATACTAGCAACAGAACGCGATCTCGCATCTCCATTCGTACACTTGAAGAAGGAAAGCGGGGATGGATTAGGCTGGTCATCCCAATCTGGGTACTAAACTCGGGTTAATTTAGTTCCTAGGAAGGCGCTAATCCTACCGGGCGCCACCCAGGATTCTGCCCTTTCTTTCCGTCTTCTCGGACGCATAAAAAGGCCACATTTTGCCCCTCGGGGCTAGAGACTTTGTTCTTCTATCCTCGCATCTGTTCCAAACCGAGGTAGTGCACAGCACGATAAATTAAAAATGAAGAGACCGGTTCCGATAGAATCTGGCCAGTCAACAGTTGACCGACTATCGGAGATATTGTACCATCGCAATTCGGCAATGTCTTTATCGTTTGATTCCGAGCAACAATGCCTCCATATCACCGGTTTTCCTGATATGGACCGCTCGGAATGCGTTAGAATACTTTGTCAAGCACAATCTGACTCTTGGAATTTGTTATTCAAGGAAAAAACCTCACAAGGTATCATAATCATCAAGCTCGTCCCTGTTCTAAATGAGCGTGACCTGGACCAAATTGAGCGTGTGTTTGCTCAAATTGAGCGTGACATTCAAAGTCAACGTGATCATGATCAAATTCATGATCAAATTGAGCATGAGTTAGCTCGAAGTGAGCATGACTTTCGAAGTACGCGTGACAACCAAAGAAGCTTGAATGCCCTCCGAGCTAGAATGCAGCGGATGCATACCCGCCGATAATCTGCGCATGAAAATCGAATCCAATTATCTAGCGGACCCTGCCACAATTTACTCCTAACTAGGGCGACACGACAGCTGCTATCTTACGCCGTTCGGTTATGTCCGTCTAACCGTATCTACTCCGGAGTTGGTACCATTGTCCTTGTCGAAATGTTACCGGCGCTCACAGAATTTTCTAGCAGAGAATTCTTCGCGCTGCGATAGATGTTTTGCATATGCATGCCAAATCTCGCGCTTGCACAGATGCTCTTGGGAGACGTCCCCTGGCATGTCTTGTCTCCCCGTGTTTGACTCGAGCGTGAGGGGACCGGAATGAGAATTGTGGCCTTTGCGATCGTGACGATGAACAAACACTACTGCATTGGCTGAGATGAAATATTTCCATTTTGATAAATCTTGCCATCCATATTCAATGAAGCCGACGAGGAGCGCCGTACATGTCACGCTGAATGTCTTGGCGCGGATTACCAATGCCATCAGACATTCCGATCGAGGCTTTTTGTATTTCGCGTCGTTTGCATACCCCACCCTCGCCGTTCTCTCTCGGCCCAGTGAGAGGGTCGGTAGCTTTGAAATTACACTTTCTTGCCTTGTAATTAGTATCTAAATCTAGCATTTGCGGATTGAAATTATGTTCCTGCTGACGGCCAAGGACGAATAGAATTGATGCACCATCTTTAGATGGACGTTGTCAAGAGAAAAACTAATGCGGTAAAAATCTGGCACAAGAACGGGGACTGCGAAAACGCCATCCAATACGTAGTCAGTAATCTGGCAGGTCTCGCATCACGGGTTAGAACACAGGTCACGCTTCGATAGAGAGTGTGTTCGCAGTATGTTGATAGACACTCAGTGGGCGCATCGCGGTGGTGATAATACAAATTGCTTACCAGAACACCCGACTGTATGGCTAGTTCGTCTAAATTACGCAGTAGGCTATCATGTGATATTCCTTACAATACATTTCGATAATCTGAAGCGCGCTAAAGCAAAGTGAGCCTAGCAAGTTTCAAAGGAGGGTTCGAGAAAGAACTTCTGCGATTAAATGATTTCGATCCATCTTGTACCGAAAAAGCAGGATAATTTTTGTGGTTGAATTATTACAGTATTGCCACACAGAGACCATCCAGGTCGACGCTGCTTACGGGAGCATTCTCTCCGAATGCTTGGTCGTTGGTCACATTTGTATTATTGACCATGCTCATTGGCAAATTCCCTCGGTGTGGATGTGATTGTGAAGATAAAATTTCAATATGGGCGATGCTAGATTCAGGTTTGTGCGGATGACGCGTATCATGCAGAAAAAAAGTCCCTAACAACTGAATCCTTCTAGATATGCCAGAACCACTATTAAAACTGGAGAAAAGACGGTTCACGAACGCGGTCCGAGACGACTCCAATGGCAATCTCTACCTACTCTTCAATCAATCCGGATGAACTTCAGTACGCCGGCCTTCCTAGCCCCAAGATCGATAAGAACTGGAATAAGCTTATTGGAAGTTCGTACACACGAACATATTCATTCCACTGTCGTTCTAATGGCTCTATAGGTCGATACTTTCGTTTAGAAGTCTCTGAAGTATCACTACTGAACCAAGACTCCGAGCTCCCAGCGCTCACGAAGATGCATAGCAATGAGCGAATAGCCAAAGAAGGTTTCTACGGCGGGCTTGCCCTCAAATAGAATCCACGACTTCGGTGATCCATCTTAAAGTTGCCGACCTCCAAAAAGCGTGGCAGCATCCTACCCTAGCTCGACCATAGAAATGCCCATGTGATATCTTAAATTGCTTACAACGTGAATCTGAAACAGTTGGTACAGTAGCAGTGGGATCTCTACGAAATAATATTAAAGTGTACATTTTTAAACGGGATGGCGGGCTGCTCTTGACCGCCGGATCACCTCCTGGGAACTGGAGGGAGGTCTCTATAGTCCCAACCATGTTGAACACATCTCAAGTTTACAGTGTATCATGTTTCCTGGTAATACAAAAGGCCAGCTACGTCCCCGTTTGCGAATGTTTTAACATTGTTTATTTTCTACGCCTTCCCTTGGTATCTCTGCAATATGTCGTTCCGGTCATCCTCCTTGGCTGAAAATCTCACGCAAGAGCTTCAATACGCATTATATAATTGCGCGTCCGCTGTGAAGCCAGTCTCTCTGAGCGGAACCTCGAATTTAAATGCACTTGAGCCGCCTTTCAAATATATGTGCGTTACATCTTCCGAGCCACAAGAGCTTTTGCCTAGAACAAAATCGAAGAGAAAGACTGTAAGCAAAGTTCCACCTCTCATTTTCAACATGTCAAGCCTGTCAACTTATACGCGCTGGATATATTACTAGATGCGAACTACACTCACAGACGCCGCTCCTCTGCCTTTCCCAAATTCTTGAAAGATCCTCATCGCAGACAAGCGGTGGATGCTGCTTACAAACAGTATGTCTCAGTACGGAATATATGCAGAGCCACGGTAGTTTTCCTTCATTTTCAGTCTTCCTCCTTGTCAGGGTCGCCTCTCAAGTTAGGACGGGTTAGCCAGAATTAGCTGTACTGTAGCGAAATTCTGTACGCGTTAGGTTTCCAGGTCAGGTCATGTTCATCGGAATCCTTTACTGTATGCGAATTACAAATTTGCACTTCTAGTTCTTCCTAAAACCTTTATATTTTGATATGCAGGCTGCCACTATGATCTAAATACATCATCTCTCTACGAGATTTTTCCAAAGTTCCCGGTGAGCTTGGAGTATCACCGGTAAATTGATTCCACTAAAGTCAATGAAAAGTCTGGGGTACACCAGTACCCCGGGCAATAGTATCCCACTATGGAGACGTGACGATGCTTGCTATTGTGCCGACGTCGGCACTCGACCAATTCCCACAGGATGAAAATGACCGGTTCGTCACCCTTCAGGTTGGCTCGGAGTGCTTGCCAACTGCCCTACCACAACAGTATCGGTATTGTGATAAGTGAAAGTCGAAAGCAGATTCCCCTCAAGAGATATATACTGCATACATTGTTTCTCAGTCCATACTGGAACAACGAGAGTCTATATATAGACCTGTCTGCAAACAATTTCATAGAACAGATCATTTAGATAAAAAACTTGATACACTCGGCCTTATCCCCCTCACACTTCTCTAACCTGAAGCTTATCCTTCAGCAGCGCATGATCGAAAATTTCTTGAATGCCTTCATGATATGATACGAAGCTAGTCGCTAACCACTTTTTAAAAAGATGATGCCGCTGAATGTAGCGAGCTAACGGTCAAGAATACCCGTAGGAACCTGCGGCTGTTCGGAAGTCTCCATGTCCCTCCAAATCGTATCGGTCGGAGAGGAAACATAAATCTATTGAGGCTGGACATCTGCTGGAGGCACTCGGCCTCCATCTTGATGGAATGGGTGTATTAGATATTGTAGCACGAGTTTCGGTTGCTAGCAAGAATTTGTCCAGTGAACTGTGAAAGCCGAACTTGTCTTCTACTGTACCACCCCACGATCCATAGTCACAGAGTCGTCGTCGTTTGGCGTGCCTTAACATGATGGTGTCCAAATCCAGGTGTCATCGTGAGCCCACCTCCAATTTTCCAAACTCGAGTAGCAATCTCATGATCTCCGTACGGCCATGTTCCGCGGCACGGGACAATGGTGTTCGGCCCTCGTTGTCTTTTGAGCCCACCTCCACCTTACTTGTTTGGAGTAGCAGTTTCACGACCTCCTCATAGCCAAATTCCGCGGCCCAGGACAATGGCGTTCGGCCCTTATTGTCTTTTGAGTCCACGTCCACCTTCCTAGTCTGGAGTAGCAGTTCCATGACCTCTACATTTTCAGTCTGTGAGGCCCAACATAATGGTGTTAGACCCTCGTTGTCTTTTGAGTCCACCTCCACCTTTCTAGTCTGGAGTAGCAGTTTCACGACCTCCTCACAGCCAAATTGCGCGGCCCAGGACAATGGTGTTCGACCCTCGTTGTTTTTTGAGTCGACGTCCACCTTTCCAGTCCGAAGTAACAACTGCACTGCCGCCTTAGAACCATTTGACGCGGCCCGGGCCAATGGCGTCAGACCCTCAGAGTCTTTCGAGTCCACGTTCACCTTCCCTGTCTCGATTAACAACTTCATCACCGCCTCATGGCTCGATTCTGCAGCCCAGGATAATGGTGTTAGACCGTCGACGTCTTCTGAGTCCAGTTCCACCTTCCTAGTCTCGAGTAGCAATCGCATGATCTCCGTACGGCCATGTTCCGCGGCTCGGGACAATGGTGTTCGACCTTCGTAGTCTTTTGAGTCCACGTGAACGTTTCCATTCCGAAGTAACAGCTGCACTGCCACCTTGTAACCACTTGAAGCGGCCCAAGATAATGGCGTTCGCCCCTCGGAGTCCTTCAAATCAACATTTACCTTCTCCGTCTCGAGTAATAACCTCACTATCGCCTCGTGACGACTCATTGCGGCCCGGCATAGTAGTCCCCGGCCGCCGGGATCTGTCCATCCAGTTTCAGCCCCTGCTTGGATTGACATTCGAGCTGTATTCTCATTTCCATGAAAAGTAGCCCATACCAGTGCAGGTCTCGGGGTGCAAGAGTTGATGCGATAGAGGTACGAATTGAGAAGAAAATAAAGTCGCCGGTTGGTCTGACATAATGAGTTGATATCTCGTTCTGTCTCCAGGGATGCTATCACTAGGAGTAATTCCGAGGGCAGGTCGAGTAGCGACATAATAAAGTATGACCAAGTGAGACCGAGAAGATGATGTAATCAGATCGTTGTCGACAAATTTAGGATAGATTCTGTAGCTGGTGCCCGAACAACTTCAAGAAAATTGATACAAGGAAATTTGAGATAGGCGCGACCGAGAATACCCCGCTGAGGTGGAAGGAAAGCAAATAAGCAAAGTAGTGGCTAGATTTATATCATATTCATCCTTTCACGTGCTTTTGAATAAAGCAATTCCTAGGAGTTTTGCTGTCCAGCCTATTAAGGTTCAAAGAGGGTGGTTCATCGGAAGGTCCATTACTCCTTGGGCCATGACTTGTTAGCGGATGCAGCGTAGTCAATAGCAAATGATTCCCGGGCTCCTGGGAACATCTTGGCACGACCTAATTCGGATTTATGGATAATCCGCTTAGATATCTCTAAGCGAGTGACGCATCCCACCCAAAAAGCGCGTACATCAGCACTTAGTTGATTCAATCACCCACCATGCCATCAGATCGTTCTCAATCCTCTCGAAATTCAACAGAGCAAGAGGGTAGGATATCATTACAGTAGCGAACTCTACCGTCTTCGATGACACAAACTATATTTGCGTGGAAGCTTCTAGGAGTTCCAGTTTCTAATATTAGGCTCTTGTATCTGTCTTATAACTGATGAAAAGAAACTGGTATTATTACGGGTATGGACAAAACGTGTCAGCTTTCCCGTGTCATGTGATTAGGTTTTGAAATAGCATCTCCATATTTCCGACAAGGCGATGTTGGGCGCTACCGTAACTCTCCTCTGAAGGCGATTTATATAATTCTGAAACCTCTCCTGACCGAGCTGTTACAACTTATGTTAAGCAATCTGAGTTTCTCTGCGACAGAAAAGAGGAATGTAGAAGAATTCCAATATAGGCTGATCTGAATGCTATGTATTACACGGAAATTAGTCCTTTATGTGTTGAACTCATAAGGCGGCCCCCGCAAGACTAGAAGGGCAATCACCGGTGTTATTTCTGGTCATCAAATGGGTGCGTTAACGAGAACGTTAGTGACGAGATCGATGATAAGTACGAGAACGTCGGACACGGGCAGGGTGTTGGTGACGAGAATTTTGGTGAGAGGAGAGCATCGAAGGGAACGTTGGTGACGAGGGGAACGTTGAAGAGCAGAGAGTTGAAGAACAGAGCGTTGAAAAGCGGTCAGGAACGTTGAAAACAGGAGGGCCTTTATCATCGAGATCAAATGTAATTGTTTCTTGGGATCGTTGGAGCCTTGGAATTAGTTCCCAACTGCGGCGTTTGTGACCCTATTTGGTGCGGGTGACACCGTTGATGAATGTATAGCGGAGGCGGAGCACAGTTGCCAAATCGACGCGACCGAGATGGATGCCGCCACACTGAATCTGATGGCTTTGGCTGACGTGAACTGACATAATTCCTATCATTATCATCAAGTTAATAAAATTTCATTATACTTGCTACCGAACTTGTCAGAGTAAATAGACTTCACTGCATAGCAACGACCTTTTATGTGTTCAGCCTTGAAAACTTCCCCGTCTTCTTGTAAGGACAAATCCGCGGAGTGAGTTTGGTCATAATTTAAGCTCGGGAAAAAGGAAGTACAGGGATCGCAGCGAATTGAGTCGACAAGTGAGTCGAGAAATCGATCTTGCTCGAGAATCGCACTTTGACCTGTTCTTGGTCTGTCACCTTTTTTGGGCTGTTTGAAGTTGTTGAGCACCTCGTTTTACCACCGCTTTTTCACCACCGCTTTTCCGACCCCCCGTTTATACACCCCCCGTTTATACACCCCCCGTTTATACACCCCCCGTTTATACACCCCCCGTTTATACACCCCCCGTTTATACATCTCCGTTTGTCCACCCTGCGAACATTCGTTCCATCGCACGGCTTTGAGCCTCATATTTACTATGTTTGACACTTAAGCATCGAAATAGATCTCAGAGTACACGTTTCAAGAACATTTGAATTTTTCACCCCCACTAGACTAGCAGCAAACGAACGATTGGGAAGACGGTGAAGCCTGTCTGACTGGGCTAATGATCATCGACAGCTCAGCCACATGCGATGTGCTCTTGAATTGACGCGGTTTAAGATTTTCGGGGGTTCCACACCCAAGGATTCACAGATTTGGAATTGCAGGAGCTCGATGGACTACCAAGCGAAGATGAACCTCGGCTGTCAGACAGAAAAGTGAAACGAGGTCATTCAAGATCATGGTCAAAATTTTCAATTTTGTTTTTCCTTTGCAGCGCAGTGGAAAACTGTTTGGTAGTAAAGAAGAAATCGAAAGATGGCAATTGCTGATTAATAATGAACCTCAGTTCTCTTTTGGGGATAACATAGAGAGGCATATACTGGATCGACAAACGAACCAAGTATACGTAATTGGTGATCAATTCTGATGGGCATCCCTAAAACCGGTGCATGTGGGTTCATACTGAAATCTAGGGAAACGGTTCGCTCCGGATAGGTGAAGGGAAGGAAACAAAAATATATTGCGGGCGGTCAGAGCTAACAACCAAACAGTTGACTTGCTTTTCTTGTCCTCGTTTGTGAATGTCGATCGCGGCCCCCAAACGCAGCTAGGTCCATCGAATTGAATATCTCTTCAGCCTTGACAACGTCCATCTAAAGATGACGCATCAGTTCTACTCGTCCTTGACCAATCATTCTGATTGACAGCAGGTCGGGACTGGTCAACCAGCAGGAACGTAATTTCAATTTGAAGATGCCAGATTCAGATACCACAAAGAGATGAAAAAGCATAATTTCACAGCTACTGATCCTCTTTGAGCCGAGAGGGAACGGCGAGGGTGAAGTATGCAAACGACGCGAAATACAAAAAGCTTCGACCGAAATGGTTAGTAGCGTTGAGAAATGCGCGGCGAGATATTAGTGTGATATGTACGGTGTTCCTCAGGGACACATGGGCAAAGAGTGCAGTGATGAGCAAGACTCTATTGATGCAGCTCCTACTGTAACTGCAGGATTGCGAATTTTCTCCGAGGTCCCTCGAATGGGGATGGTGACTTGTGCGTTTGGCCTTATGGTGGAACGGACCAAAAATTCATTACAGTATGCTATTAAATTTGTTACATGTACAGCAAGTAAACTTCAGGCACCAAAGTATGGATGCGACTAGGTAGTGCGATATAATTCCTGACCTTAGCGGCAACATGTATGTCGATCAACAGTGTCTATTAGGATCTAGCCGTGGGGGCTATATACCAGAATAGAACTAAGAATGTGGTGCCTTTGGTATCGGACAGTCAATAGATAGACATAAGTATTGGTCCTTCCCCAGGCAAATATACTTCTTTGTCTTCTGTCATCGATCGATCAATCTCAAGATGCAGTACCCAAAGGGCTGGCTTGCTCCAGTCGGCACAGCTCTTCTTATTTTGTCTACTGTTACCCAATATTCTGATGGAGCTGCCATTGGAACTCTGGGATCAATTGGTTCCAGTTCCAGTTTGATTTCTACCTCGTATGCTACATCTTCCCTGTTTGAAAGTGGCACAGCAGCAACTGAGATAAATCACAGGTCTCCTGGTACGAAACCGTCAGCTGCAACCGCCACCACGCATCCGACTCCCACTGCATCTGTATCTTTGAGCAGTTCCAGCCAGTCCGGCAATAAGTTTTCGACACTCTCTAGGAGTAGCCAAGGTACCACTGGCTCTCATGTCACTTCCTCGGACCACGACATTTCCTCGTCGTCAGTGACTTTGACCTCATCGTCTTCACCTTCTAAGAAGTTGGATTCTAGCAGCACTGCTTCTCGTACAACTTCCTCACGGGTTGCCAAGAATGGCAGTAACAGCTCAGCTTTTTCTTCAAGTGCTAAGATACCTCAGCAGGATGCTGCCAGCGCCACGTCTTCTAAGACATCTAGTGAGCATGATACCTTAACTTCAGAACGCTCAACCTCCAGGTCTTCAGATCTAGAAAGTACCAAGGCTTTTGAAGCATCGAGTAGTAGCAGCAATGGGGCCTCCTCGAAAGCCTCATCGCATGCCACTACGGGTACCATTTCAGATGCCCCGGCTGTCCAGATAGTCACTGAAGTTGTATCTGGTACAACCGAAAAGGTCCCTGTCATTTCAGATACTGCGGAGTCAACCCTAATTACTCTTGCACCTGTCACAACAAATATCGCTACTTCGCAAGCCACATCAAGCGCGTCTTCAGTTTCGACCGAGCTTGCAGCTCTGATACCCATTCTCAAGTCATGGAAAAAGAACCCTACATCGAAGAAATCAAACACCTTGAACAAGATCAAGGATGTTAAAAACCATGTCGAAGATTTTATTTCCCAGATAGGCACTGAGTCCTCCTCCAAAGGATGTGGCTCAAAGAAGAAGAGAAGCGCGCTGGGTGATCTCTTTGGTGATATCACTGGATCTCTATCGTGCATTGATAAGGGTCTAGATGATGCTATTGACAAAGTCAACACCAACAATGTTAATGCTATTGACAGTACCGTGGAAAAACTAACAATGGGGAACACAAACCTCGACAATGACACCGAAAATGACGATTCCAAGGACAAATATTCCAAGGACAACGACTCCAAAGACAATGAAAGCAAAACAGATGATGATTCATCTACCAGTGAAGCAAGTTCGAATACTTCCAAAACCTCCTCAGACACTTCTTCGTCCACATCATCCTGTACAACACACACGGCATTGCACATCACTACCAAGTGTGTTCCCACTTCAAAGACCACTGGAGGTTCTACAATTTCAACAACAACATGCACGCCCTCTACCACCGTGACGACAGGAGGCTGCTCTGTAACTGGATTGACAACAACTATCTCCAGCTCCGCGTCAAGCACAATTTACCCCCTCTGTGCGTCCGGAAAATGCGGCAATGGCAGTGGATGTGAAAAATACACTGGACCCCTCAGCGGTGCTCTGGGGGCCACTGTGTCTACCACTAAAACTTGTTCTTCGGTATCAACAGTCACTACTGATATAGGTACTGCAAGCTTTGGCACCTTCCGAAGCGTCGCCGAAGCAGCTCCAACGTCAGATTCCAATGCCGCGGAACGGTCCTCTTCTGCAAACGAAAACTTGCTAGTGGCTCCTTTAAACAAACGGGCACTTCTGGAGCCCGCGGATTACGGTCTACATGTTTCGATGATGAGCTTGGCTCTTACCAATAGTAATGCATGGGCCTCCCAATATGGTGGCGCTTCTGGGACTTGGTCTGACTGGTCCACTGAAATTGGACAATTAGACGGCATGAACGGCATTTATGGCTGTACAGTGGTCTTTATCGTATCCACGAAAGGTGTCTATAGGTCACACATCTGGCAAGAGCCGATCTTCGTCAATAAGCAGAACGAGCCGTCGCCGACTGCTTACTTCCACGAGCAGACCTTCATGGCTCTTCGTGGCGGTGTTCAAAATGAAGCCGAGAGTCTCCTTGAGCTCATTGGGACCAAAGAAAATAAGGGTGTATTGCATCCAGAATACAACCCTCAGGTCCATGTGGTCACTCCTTTTGCGCTTGACGGGCAGACCCTCGAATATTTTGAACGCGCGCACCTTCTTGCCGACATGCTGACCAATCTCTTTGCTCAAGAGGATACGACAAGGAAGGTCTGGGGATATCACCGTTATGATGAAGAAACATCCATGGCAGCGTTTGGATTCCTCGGCAGAACGATTGTGGAACATGATCCTGTACAGTTCGTAATTATGGCTCCAGAAGAAGGAGATCAGGCTCCGAAAAAAATGAAGTTACAGGCAGGTGGCGGCTCTGGGTCGAGGATCGCCTCGTGTGGCAGCAGGACTATGACCATGGCTTTACTCAGCGTCTGAATAAACGAGACCTTGAAAAAGATGTGTGCCTGGTTAGCAATAGCTTATCGGAATCGTCTACTTCCTCATCATCGTCCACACCGACTACTATTACCACTTCCGTGTCGAAGTCGACCACTTCCTCGTCATCGTCATCAAAGATTTCCGCCAGCTCAACACACACCATCACTGCTTACTACCAATACGACAGCAAAAGTGATTCTGCTTTCTGCGAATTTGAGGGTCATGAGGGAAGATATCAGCTAAAACCCAGTTCCTCCGGTGTCACAAGTCATCAGCCTTGTGATTGGAGCACGATGCCGCCCACCCTGGCCACCACTCCTATCACAGCTTACACCACCTATATAGATGGCACCGTTGGTCGGTGCACCGATGGTGAATACGGCAACGCTAATGTCAACGACATTCCGACATGTACTGGTTCCGCCTCGGTCTTCTCTACCAATGCTGCAGTCGCGTCCGCATATTCTTCTTCTGCAGCTGCCGTTCAGGCTTCTCGAAAGGCAGAGAGCGGAGACTGCACCATTATCCATTCTGAGAACCTCTTCGGGGACTCAATAGAGTCGACATTCTACCTATACAACCTTGGCACTTGGGCTGACGAGGATACGGTTTACAAGCAACAGGACGGCTGTGGTGCACTTGATGCCTGGGTCTGGGAAAAGGCAGATGATGGTACTTACCAAGCTGGATTCGATCTCTCTGGCTTCAAGGGTGGTTGTATCGAAGCAGCCATTGTATCAGCTGGTGGACCCAAGATCACATGCAACGACCTGCCTGGCAAGAACGAGAATCTGAGCAAGGATGATGAAGCCATGTACAAGAAGGTGGAGAAGGCGAGAAAGCCTTGGGGTAGACGATAGAACAGCATCACATTCTGCACAATACTCGAAAACCTTCTTCAATAGTGTCTTCCTCCTTCTCATTGATTTCCTCTTCTGACATCAGATGTTTTAAATTTGCTTTTAAGGAAAGTTGTAGGTGATGATCGCTCAACCAATGGAGATGGTTCAATTTGAACGCTGTCTGCTAGTAATAAAGGGGATACTGGTTTGTTCCTTAGGACACGTTTTTATATAGTGACCTATAACATTTTCCCGTCTAACATGACAACGATGATGATATTTCTTAGTCAATCCGTATGCATATGACTTCTGTACAGTATGACTATTCCACGGTGATAGCAGATTCTCCGAATCCCGTGGATCAAGTAACAAGCAGAAAGTAGAAGTATTTGTGAGTGGTTACGGGAAGCCTGAGTGTTTATAGCCTCTCCTCGTTAAAGTAACAAACAGAAGTGGATTGGATGGTTTCAGTAGGCGGCAATGTATTCAGACTGTACTAAGGATCCGGTATCAATTGTCATTTATGTATCGTGCTTACATCTCCCGTGCGCATTATTGGCACAGCCACAGCTCTGGTAAATTCAGCCACCATATACTAAGATTACCATCTTCATATGTAATGGGAAAACCCGTATCATTCTGTTCGATACTCAACATTCGCATCAACTTCAGCCTTGTTCAGATCATGTCCCAACGAAAAGAAAGTGACTAGTCCAGTCCTAATTAAGATTGCCTCTGAAAAATGGAGCACTATACTTCTGGCTGTCCGATGGTCGAGACATGAATACGCCAATGTCTTCAACTTTGTCTGCGATTTACCGTTCAGCTGATTCAACAATCATACATTGACGTCCCTGCGTTTTCCGTGCGTGTCACTTACAGCTTGTGTAATGATGTTTTAAAAGAACCTTACTCTGTAAGCTTGGCAAAAGCCGCTGTCTGCACTAACTGTATCCAGCATAGTGTGCTCTGAATTGGGGTTTCAGAAACAATTTCTCTGTTTAAATATGGAAGCCAATTTCGAATCCAGTCATTCCGAACTGGTACATTCCTGGTGTACAGAAATGTATATTTTGACCACTCCCACAACGACCTTTCATGATTTCGATCTGGTAAGCATAGAACACTGTTTATTTACCGAGTTGCTCAGCATAACACATGTTAGCTTCACTAAAATTTCTTGCCAGGGAGTTCGACCTTAAAGGCGTTGGTTAACCATAATACATCAGACATACTCCAAACATGGAAGCCAAGTGGAAGAACCATTGTTCTGGGCAGCTTTGCTAGCATTAAAGCATGTGGCTGGTCTTGTTCAATTTTTCTTTTGCCCTTGACATTAATAGACTGAAGATATGACGTAGCCCATGCATGAAGGTTGGGGGCGGTTAGGGCAGGATGTACTTAAGTAGTTAGACGCGACACTTCTCATGTCACTTTGGATTTCTTGGCACCAGGGGTCGTTTACATCATTTCTCCCAACTCTTTCCACTCTGACAGAATGTCATCCCAGAATACAAGACACGAGGACGTTTATGGACCATTGCCCTATCAACAAGGATACAGAACCGGAAGAGCCGCTGGTCCTCCGGGAAGAGAAAGAGAAACGACTGAGAATAATGAACGGGCGGAGGATATTTACCAACATTCGGAACAGCGGAGGTTTATCAAGGCCCATACCCCGAGTCATTCACAACGCGAAATCTTGAACATCGCCTACCCAGCCTACGGCGAGGTCCCTCTGATAGACCCTAGTGATCATGATTTCAAGGGTAAAAGATCTCAGTGGGCCCTTGAATATGAGGCTGCATGCGAGGACGGACACCTCGCCACTGTGAAGTCGATGGTGTCATCAAGAAAACATACGCCTCTTTTTCTTCACTCTGGCCTCACTTATGCTCTATGTGCTGGTCAGGTAGAGGTTGCCGACTATCTCCTCTCCGTTGGCGCACCAATCGCGAGTAGTGCGCCGCACAACATCATACGTGCACCCCGCGATACAAAGATTCCCCTCCTCGATGTTCTCGCACAGCACGGATGGAGACCGGTGTCTCAAGTCTGCAGCGAACAGATTCTCCCTGATATTGTGGGGGATCTTCCCCTGCTCAGCTGGTTCCTCGACCACGGCACAAACCCCGATTTTAGGCCCAGTCGCGAGAACTTCATCAATTGTTCTGCGCTAGAGAAAGCTGCAGGCTCTGGCAGTCTCGAAGCCGTGCAAATGCTTGTGGATGCAGGGGCGGACGTTCATCACGATGCGCTACACGCCGCTGCTTACAAGAAAGCACCGACCAAGGAGGCGGATGTGGACAGAATTCCAGTGATGGCCTTATTGGTGGAAAAAGGAGCTGATGTGAACAAGAAGCGGCAGTCCCCCTACGTTACTCACCTTTATCCTATAGTCTTTGCTGCGGTCGCAGGCGCTGTGGAAAGGGTGAAGTGGCTATTGGAGCATGGAGCCAATCCCGAGTTAGGTTGTCCAATTCTTTATGGGAATGCAATGGATGTGGCCCAAGTGAAAGGAAATGAGGAGATGCAGAGGGTATTAGACGCGGGTTTGGCTGCGAGGAAGTGGGAAAATGCTACTGCGTGAGATAAATTGTGATCTGCACCGTGTTTTTAAGTACCTTTCGTTGAGGGATTTCCGAAATAGACATATGCACTTGCGCTATCGAGTGCAGCACGAAGTAAAACACGGCAAAAACCTCGGGCTACTAAAATCGCTTGAGCCCCTGAACGCTCGTCAGACGATAAGCTGTACAACAAAGCTCCTGGCCCCCATCAGGATCATCACATCACAGAAGAGGCGCCCCAAATCCTATTAGATCACTAAAGCCCAACAGCGCCTTGGCCGAGTTTGTGGGCACCAGGTAGACACCTCTGTACAGTAAACGCCTTACAAAACGCCTTGCACTTGCATATCGGTGGGGCCCTCCCTCTTAGCTCTAAACTACATTGTACTTGTAGCCCCCAACCATGCACATCATTATCAAACCCCTGAAATACCTGAAACACTAAAGGTAAACCCACAGTGATTGCTCCACGTTAGCTACAGCCTCACTTGCAACTGGTATGGCCTGAGCGTATATACAACCAAGGTCCCGCATAAGAACTCTAGCAGAGAGTCAAGCGGAGCCTTAAATGAGCCCCGGGCTCTATATTAATCTACGCAGAACTGATTTCAGCAGGATGTGGAGCATTCTCTACATCGTAGTGGAGCACTGATATTTCAGTCCAGGATTGGGGACGTTGCAGGGTTTAGGCAGGTAGCCAGAAACTAAGATGTCATTCGTGGTTTAGGTAGGGACAATGGCTAGATGTGTAGTACCAATGTACTAAATTCTAGATCCGTCGACTGAATGGAGGCCGACATTTTGATCAAGTGAAATGGCTCTACTTGAGACGAACTGATAACTAGTAAAGACCCAGGGGCCATAGCAATGATACTGTCAGGATGAGGAATTGATGTACTGGCTAATACTGAACACGTCCAATAGAATCATATGATTAATTGAAGGTGTTAAGATCAATTGAGCCATCTCAGGGGTCTCTGCATAATCCGAGCTCCAGCGTGTTACGACACCACCTTCTGAGTCTAGCCCGAGTGCCATACGAAAACTAGGGAAACTTGTGAACGATGAACAAGCCTTGAGGTTTTGGGGTCTATCTTTTACCGCCCTTTTACCATCCCCTTTTTCCGCCATCCCCTTTTTCCGCCATCCCCTTTTTCCACCATCCCCTTTTTCCACCATCCCGTTTATGCACCCGTTTATACACCCGTTTATTCACTTTTTCTTTATCATCCCATTTTATGCACCCCGGTTTATTCACCCCCTTTTCCACTACCGCTTTTTCACCACCGCTTTTTCACCGCATCTTCTTTATCATGCCGGAAGTGTTGATTATAAGTGATGCTTCAGTGTTCATGTTTCTGAGGGGAGTTAATTATGTGTTTGTTGCATGTTGTCTAAGATACAAGTAGGCTGGTAACAGGTATATATATGTATGCACGTGATCCCAGCCTCATTATTATCTCAGCAACCGGGATATTTCAACAGGAAGATTGATCTGTGTCTTCACCGGATGATGTGCATTCGAACATGAAAGCGGGTAGTCAATTCCAAATGGGCCTTGATCTTCGTCTTGCTTCTGTCGCCTCTTCTTATCTTCGAATCGTGTTCATCTGGAATCCCATAAAGTATATGACAGCATGCCATTGTGGCCCTCGTTTAAGTGACATTTACTGAATGAAAGCCAAGTTTAGCGGATACGTGCTTGCTTGAGCGGATAGTGGCATGGGCGTTGAAGACATGAACAACTTATTCCATTTTATTTTCCCACGCTGCAGAAGTCGTATGATTATAGATTGAGTAAGGAATATCATCGTCGTTGTCATGCTAGCTGGGGAAATGTTATGTGTAACTATATAAAGACATATCCTAGGGCACAAATAATATCCCCTTGACTGCTAGCAGATAACGTTCAATGGAACCCTCTCCAGCAGTTGAGCGATCATCGCCTACAACTATTCTCAAAAGCAAGTTTAGGACATCTGATGCTAGAAGAGGAAATCAAAAATGTCTGAGAAGGAGGGAGACACTATTGAGAAAGGTTTTCGAGTATTGTGTAGAATGTGATGCCGATATCCACTTCGTTCTCCGAATGAAGAAAACTGGCCAGATCTACACATTGACTTCGAACGCGAAAGAATGGCCTCTCTCTACAGAACAGATAGTAAGTTGCTCCGCTCATGTCACTCATTAATGTAAGTATACTGGTCGCTCACAGGACAAGGAGTCGAACCACCCTGAGCCGATTCAAATGACGATGGACGAGCTAGCCACAAAATATCAGCGACGACGTGTTCAAAGGGAGCACAGGTCGGATCATGTTTCCTCCGAAGGATTGGAGAAACCATAAATGAGAAACTACTCCATGATTTTTGATATGTTCTTGCATCCTATCTATGAGGCATTATTAGAGATAAATCCAAATAAATATCGGGTTGGCTTCGGAAAATCCCGGAGCTCAAAGAACCTTACGTAATGGAACATAGAAGTCGAGAGAGTAACTTAAAAGAGAGTGGGAAATTGAAGACTATTGGAATGTCGAAAAGGCTAATGAGTATGCCATTGACATCCAGAGGAAAAGAGGGCTCCCAGGAGTCCTTATTGGCTTTGTGACGGTTCATGGATGCTTGGGTTTACCACTACGCCATCTGGCCAAAAATGCACAATGTTTGGTCAGCGGCCAAACACCCAAGCTACTATATATGCTCGATCTCTGACAGACTTCCTTAATACCCTTGATCGGCTTCTGGGAGACTTGGACTGTATTCCTGGGAACAACTATCAGCACTCCCAGGAAGCTAAGTGATCCCGGGATCGCGAACAAGCCTCCTGGGAACATGCGACAATGCTCCCGGAGTATAGGCTGTTTCTTCTGGGAGCCAGGATGTCCCTGGGAACTGGCAAAGGGTCTACGTGGATCACCCGGTTTCTTTGGACGATTCCCACTCCTTTGTGCGCTACATATTGGTAGATTTAGTAGACGACATATGATGCTTATTAGAAGCCATTCAGATAGATTTCATTTGCCGGGGAAAGCTTTTTTAGCCAAGTTTCTTCCAAGTTCTGCTCGCGAGCACAGTCTCTAGCACTACATTTTGAAATGTGAGAGACTCTGGCCTACGTCTGCTACGTACAGTACCCGATAGGAAATCCCAAATCTTCTATGCTCCATCCAGCTGGTCTTTGCACGGATTCCTACATCAAAGGAAAAAGCCACTTTCTGTAACCAACTTAAGGGATTCTTTACTCCTTGAATATAGGCTCGGCATCTAGGAATAAAGATATATAAACTCCCGCCTTGATCACATTGTAGTACTGACCACCATTCATAGCAATTATATTCGTCGCCCAGAGACTATCCACGTACCGGCCTTTCAACAGAAAAGGAACAGGGTGACAAATTCTAAACATTGTTGATATTGCGAAGTCGAGGATCAATAGAATCAAGATTCAATGCATTCGAACCACTGGAATGCTTTGCGGCGCGCGAGGGGTACCTTCGCTCGCGCTCTGCATTGCTCGTTCTATCGCTGACCCGGCGAGGCCGGCTCAACCTCGGGCTTCTTCGAATGCTTGATGTGCCCTTCACTTGCCGACCGGTGCAGACCGAGTGGTTTTCTTTGCTTGAAAGAGGTTCAGAATGTTTGGACGACTCCCGAGAATACCGGGTTCTGATTGCATTCATAGTCCTCTCAGGGAACAAATCTCGAATACGACTCCATGACAGATTTTGAGAGTCTCTCAGCCTCAACAATCGATGATCATCTTCAACAGTCCACTTGCTGCGCGTGAAGGTTGACCGCTGTTGCACAGTCGTAGCCTCTCGCGCCACATTTTCCATTGCTGTGGTGCTTGTAGCGATGATACCGTATGCGTGTTGTAGCGTTTTTGTTGCAAGCTGAAGCACTGAAAGATTCTCTTTGAGAATATCTGCACCCGCAATGTCGTCAGAAAACTTGGCCTCAGCAGTGACCAGGCTGTAAGCGCGCTTTAGATATCCGATCGCATTCCTAAGCCCTGCGAGATTGCTATCGGAATAACCTTCTGTATTTTCAAGTGGTGGATCTCCGGCTCCTAATGGACTTGCTCGTTTTCCTCGTGGCTTGTTTGCATTTGTGACAGTGGAAGTCCGGTATCGACGTCGTTTTGGAGGGGAGGTATTTGAATTTTCCAAAGCTCGCTTCCTTTCCTTTGGAGCGCAGTTTCTGTAATACTCCCCGTCACTTTGTCTAATACGATCGTCTTCGAAGACATCGAAGACTCGAGTCGTCCCAGGGCCTTCTAAGCCAGCCACAGAGGGAGTATCACTAACTCGGGAGGAAGGATAGAGAGCGACTTCCTCAGGATAGTCGGGGTAGTTTCCAGCGGTTGATAATTCGTCATTATGATAGAGGTCAGGCGAATTAGCTCGAGGGAGCTCGTTGGGTTCTGACACTGGAGGGACCGTATTAATCCCAAATGGTATGGGGTGGAGGCTGTTTGGAATATGTCTTACCGAAGCCCATTGTACTATCTTCTTGTAGCACATTATTCTCCGGGGTATAGCTTCTTTCTTTCGGGGCGTCCGGTCGCCTCGTTGCGTCGATAGTCTGGGTTTCTGAGCCAGTGGAAGAGCAACCCACTGAGGCTCCTGGCGCTGGCTGCCAAAATATTTGATGGTTCAGCGTTACCATGATAGATCCAAGTAGTTCTGAATGGAGGGCGAAGTAGGAGATAGTAAAGTTCAAGTTTGAATGATATTTCAAGGGATAGTTGGGACCATTTATATGTCATAGCTTACCCGGGGGTCAATTGTAGTAAGGTGTTCCCAGGAAAACCAGCCTGATATCATTCACAGTGGCGGATATACAGTCCGAAACAAAACTAGATCCGCCAGTCGTAGTCATAGTCTTGCGTCACATGGTGCGGCAATGGGTTCTAGATCTATGGTAGAGCGTGCCAAAAGACTTGCCAAAGGACAAAGCGAATATTGTTCCTAGGATCAAATGATACAGGATATGGAGCGACGAGGGCAAGGGAAAGTATTTCCGTGATTCTCCTATGAAGCAGGTCCTGAGTGAAGTCGGCAGAATTTACTAGGGGGACGCAAGGCACGAGGGAACGTAGAGTTGAGGTGCTGAGTTTCTCATGCAAGTACAGTAGAAGGAACCGAGTCGATCGACGGAAAATTGTGAGCACTGTAGCAACGTGGGAATATGTCATCTCTGGATCTGGACTCCCAGGAACACCAGTAACAGCGCGGTTACCATCGGAGCAGGCGAAAAGCCTGAAATCAAGACGAGAAGGGAAGGGGCTGATCAGGGCAGAGCAACGGGGTGAGCGATCAGGATGCTCAGTGAACAGCTCAGGGTCGCTCAGTGGGCGACTCAGGGCGACGGGGTGACTAACTCACCCTGTGATCCCTGAGCCGATCGCAACCCGAAGCGGCAATGTTACCGTCAACATTATTACGAAAGAAAACAAGACAAAACCGAAAAAAAAAAAAAAAAAAAAAAAAAAAAAAAAAAGAAAAAGGGAAAAAAGAAAACCAAATGATAATATGTCCACGAAATGATACCATGTACAATGACACATGTTTGATTATTGATCTAGACTGTCCATTTTCTGTTGTATCGCAGCTTTCCTGAGCTGTCGAGTTTGTGTACCCTGTCAATACATGTACGATAAGTTGCGTCGGGATCTATGAATGAATTCTGTACAAGTCAAAATCCTCCTGACAGAAGTAGTTTGCAGCGATAACAAGCTGTTTTAGGGTTGAAGTGATAACTTGTGTGGGCTGACATCATGGAAACTCCAAATCCTCCTCCACAACAGCCTGTAGGCTGTGTAGCGATAGCCATTGGGGGTTAGCAGCGGTGAATACAGAACAACAGTAAAATATAGCAGAACGAGATGATCTATGTTCGCGAAATGCGCGCTGCTTGGTCAACCACGCGACGCGCCCATCCACCAATATCTACTCAGGTCCTCCTCCCGTCTAAATCTTCCTTCTTCCCCAAGCGTCCCAGAGGGGGCTGTATTTCTCGAACCATCGGTAAGTCTTGAGTTTCATTGAGAAAAATTGGCCGTGGAAGAATACATCCATCGTTTACAGAGACCATGAAGCTCTTCTGTACTCCATTTGATCAAGGAATACTGACAAAATGGCGTTCCTTAGATGATGAATACAGGCCCAGATGCCTCCGGTACACTCGAAATCTCCTATGAATCGATCTATACTTGTATGTGTGGAATTCCACAGATAGTCGCAGATGATACAATGGCCCCTGTCAGACACACATGGCTCTGGTAGAACATTTTTGGGTTGGATTAATAGCCCGGTAAGCCCTGACTTATTACAAGTTTCACTGGACACAGGTATGGAACATCGATGTTTGTTGCCTGTATACTAACTGGATCGATGTTACTAGCTTATAATTTACGAGCCACGATGAACCTAGTTCATCGAACTTCTGCGTGGGGTTACCGATGATAGCCACAAACGATACAATGACTCGTTCTGAGAGGTCATTACCTGCCCCAGCAACACAATTCCGGAAGGATGGAAAGCGGCCGAGAACAAGTGTATAGGGGTTGGCTTAGGGCTGGACGGCACGTGATGCTGCCCAGCAAAACACCGGCCGCTCGCAAAGTCGCGCAGATCGAACTTTCCATGGATAGAATTGATACCTTAACTGCACCTTCCCCTGTTTGAACATGTGACTAATCTCCGACATCGCTTTGGCCGCCACTTCAACATCATGGATCCATGGAATCGGTCGGTCACGTGCAGGAAAAATGGCCGATGCTGACGACATATATCTGAATACATGGATTGATTGAAGTTTTCATGCATTTGCAAACCATCCACAGAATGCAGCATGCCTCTAACCGGTGTTGCTTATTGAAGCAGGCGACATACGCTCAACATGGCCCAATGTTCCGCACCCGTCGAGGGGATCGTAGGTTCATACACTGGCAATAGCTTCGCTCTCCAGGGCTTCATTGTCAGCCTGTTAAGCGTTGCCCTCTACAGTGCGCTGGAATTGATTATCCTCGTATTTTCAATATTCCGTATCTACCGCGGGCTTTACTTCTGGAGTCTTCTCATCACAGCCCTCCTTGGCGTGATTCCCGACGCCCTGGGCTTGCTTCTGAAATATTTCGAGCTCGCGCCCATATGGGTCCCGGTTACACTATCAACTGCGGGATGGTGTATTATGGTGACTGGGCAGTCACTGGTTCTCTACTCCCGGCTACATCTTGTACAACAAAACAAAAGAATCCTTCAATTCGTCTTGGGTATGATCATCTTTGACGCAATAGTTTTCCAAATCCCTCAGATAATTGCCTCATATGGTGTTGTATATGCCTGTGACCTTGCATTTGGTCGATTTTTCAATATATGGGAGAAGGTTCAACTCACCGTCTTTTTTGTCCAGGAGATTATCATCTCCAGTATATTTATTGTGCAGACTGTCAGACTGTTACGCAGTTACCCAACCAGGAGCAAGCGGAAGACAAACATCATGTATCAGCTTTTGGCGATCAATTCTGCCATCATCTTGATGGATATATCTCTGATTGTGTTGGAATTTCTGGGCTTGTTCATCATCCAAACTGTGCTGAAAACCTTCTTTTATACCGTCAAGTTGAAGTTGGAGATTGCAGTCTTGTCGAGGCTGGTCTCATTTGTACAATATGACTTCCAGCAGGATTCGTCTGGATTTGGCCGGTCGAAATGAATTCATATAACATGATATAACATGAACTTCAGTCCTCACCAATTTAAATACATGTAGTAACATTGCGGGTGACATTAGATAGTTCGGATGTTTGTCTAGTTTGTTAGTTATGGGCGCTAGCCATAATTGGACTAGCGTGAGGGAGCTCCCACTTCGCCTGGAAATTTGATGGAATGCGGGCGAACAGCGTTGAAGTCGGAACTCCTGGATTGTCATTTATCTTCGTGGATTATTTTCTGATATCTGGAAGGAATTTACCAGATTACTCCACCCTTAGTTCCAGCTCAAATTCCGACAAATCACCGCCAAGATGCAGGCTCCGGTGGTGGTGATGAGTTCGATACCCCCCATTGCTTTGATCCCCTTTACGTGCTAACATGTCATCCAGACACCAATGCCGGCGATCGTCAGGTCGGCCGTAGGGCGCAGTTGTCTAACATCACTGCGGCCAAGACGTACGCTATCCCCCCGATTCCCCTTTCTCCTTCCTGGACGATGCTAATTCGGTAAACACCAGTGTTGCGGATATCATCCGGTCATGTCTCGGACCCAAGGCGATGTTGAAGATGCTGCTCGACCCTATGGGCGGTATCGTCCTGACCAACGATGGTCATGCTATCCTGCGAGAGATCGAAGTGTCGCACCCCGCGGCCAAGAGCATGATCGAGCTCAGCCGTACCCAGGACGAGGAAGTTGGAGATGGCACCACAACGGTTATCATCCTTGGTATGACTACATCGGCGATATTGTGTTGGACAGTGACTGATCTTTAGTAGCCGGTGAAATGCTGGCCCAGGCCCTCCCCCAGCTCGAGCGTAACATCCACCCCGTCGTTATTATCCAGGCTTTCAAGCGTGCCCTCGCCGATGCCCTCCAGATCGTTGAGGAGGTTTCGACACCCGTCGACATCACCGACGACAAGGCCATGTACTCCCTCATCCAGTCCTCTATCGGAACCAAGTTCGTGTCTCGGTGGTCGGATCTCATGTGCAGCCTCGCCCTAGCTGCTGTGCGCACAGTCTCTTTCGACGTCGGTGGTGGAAAGCAAGAGGTCGACATCAAGCGTTACGCCCGTATTGAGAAGATCCCCGGCGGTCAAATCGAGGATTCCGAGGTTATCGACGGTGTGATGGTCAACAAGGATATCACGCATCCCAAGATGCGTCGGAGAATCGAGAACCCCCGTATTCTCCTGCTCGACTGCCCTCTGGAATACAAGAAGGGCGAGTCCCAAACCAACATTGAGATCTCCAAGGAGGATGACTGGAACCGCATGCTTCAGATTGAGGAGGAGCAGGTTAAGCACATGTGCGAGGCCATCCTTGCTTTCAAGCCCGACGTCGTTATCACCGAGAAGGGTGTCTCCGGTAAGGAAGCGAACACTTGAAGAGACGCATGATGGTTTTCTAACATTCGCGGTTTACTAGATCTTGCACAGCACTTCCTGATGAAGGCCAACATCACAGCCCTCCGCCGTGTGCGAAAGACCGACAACAACCGTATTGCCCGTGCAAGTGGCGCCACCATCGTCAACCGAGTCGACGACATCCAGGAGTCCGATATTGGTACCGGCTGCGGTCTGTTCGAGATTGAGAAGATTGGTGACGAGTACTTCACATTCATGCGCCAGTGCAAGTCCCCGAAGGCCTGCACAATTCTGCTGCGCGGTCCTTCCAAGGATATCTTGAACGAGATTGAGCGTAACCTGCAGGACGCCATGTCCGTTGCCCGCAACGTTATCTTCCACCCCCGTCTGTCCCCCGGCGGTGGTGCCGTCGAAATGGCCGTGTCTGTGAAGCTCGGCCAGCTCGCCCGCTCCATTGAGGGTGTCCAGCAGTGGCCTTACAAGGCTGTTGCCGATGCCATGGAGGTTATTCCCCGTACATTGGCGCAAAACGCTGGCGCCAGCCCTATCCGTGTGCTTACCCGTCTGCGTGCCAAGCACGTCGAGGGCCACACCTCTTGGGGTCTGGACGGCGACTCTGGCAACCTGGTCGATATGAAGGAATACGGTGTTTGGGAGCCCGAGGCTGTCAAGCTCCAGAGTATCAAGACCGCTGTCGAGGTAAGTCATGCGTATTTTCTATTTCTACAACATTGCTACAGTTCACTAACGTTATACACTAGTCTGCTTGTCTTCTCCTCCGTGTCGACGATATCTGCAGCGGAAAGTCTGCCCAGCAGATGGCTGGCGGCGGCGGTGGCGGCGAGGAATAATTGATAGACGAAAAAGAAAAATGATCCTTGGACTCGAGGTCCGTACATAATGCTACACGATTTGCCTCTGAGGTTTCTTCCTTCTGTGTGAATATCCTAGAAAACAAATTCCACATGGGTATCTTCGTATCATACACGGCCCGCATCTATCAGATATCCCAATCTAGTCATCATCATGAATAATAACACCGGGGACTTCCTGCGACACAGCACCCTCTGCGCCCTTCACCCCATCAGCACTGGTATCCATATCCGGAGCGGCTAACCCGGTCACAGTGGGAGCAGCATCCTTCTGTGCACCACCCTTCTTCCCTTTAACATTCTTCCTCTTTTCTCTTCTCCGCCGATTCTTCTCCGTCTTCTCATCATCCTTGCGCTTAGCTTCCTCCCGCTCCTTCTCCCAGGTCTCATTATCCTTCTCCTTATCAACCTCCGACTGCATCAGTCGCAGCCGCTCATACTCTCGCCGCCGACTGGCCTTGTACACGTGGAACTCGCCGGATCCCGCACCCGCCGACGAACCCTGTACATTGGCGACGATCTCCGGTGGCGGCGGTAGCGAGCCTGATGTGCGCGATGTTGAGAAATTGGGTAGTTGCAGGTCTTTGCTTGGGTCTTTGAAGAGCGTTTCGATTTGGTTTGCGTGCTCTGCATGCGGCGTTACGGCGCGTCGCTTTGTTGGTCGCTTGCTGCGCGGGTCGGCGCTTGTTGGGATTGATTCTGGTCCTGGCTCGGACATTGTGACGGTTGTGGTTCTGGTTGGGTATGCGACCGGGGTTGATTTGCGCGAAGTGAGAGGTTTTGCGGGATTCTCTCTTTTTTGGATGTGGTGGCCGGGGATGGGCTTTTTTTGGTGCAGCCCAAGTACTATCCCCTATTTCCTTGTTGTATCTTTGTGGGATTGTCTAAATGTCAGACTCGAGCGAGATGAGCCAGTTGGATAACAATCTTAATTGAGAGTGTAGACTTGCGACCTTCAACTTCGGGAACCGCTAACCGAAAGCGGCTAGCGCTATATACTGGGTTGATCGCCTGTTCTTTGTGAAATGTTCATCCTGTCACTATAGACTTGCCCGCGCGGGAATTGTCTCTGAATCTGAATAACCGAATGAACAACCAGTGGATTCCTTACTTATGTCCTAATATAGCCCTGCCTGTTACTAATTGCAACTTGTTAGCATCATCTTAAACAGGTATGAGCATAGCTCGGTTCATCTAGTGAATATTCAAGACCTGCGGCTTTCTAATTAACCAATGCGTCAGCGAATCAGTAGGTTTCTATCCAAGTCATGGTTCTAGAAGACCTTCTCGCTCCTAACTCTGTCGCCTCCTTGCGCTATTGGGTACTGAGTTGACAACGATTTAGGAACGAATCATGGCCGAAGCGTTGATTGGGGACGTAGTAGTTAGTATAATAACGAGGCGTGGCGGGAAAAGCAGCGAATCGTGGGTCAGGATGACCTTACTCCCAAATTATGGAACTATTTTCCACATGAGATACATCTAGTCCACAGCATAGCTGACGAGTACCTCAGTGATCTTCATGCCATTGAATTGCTACATGGATATATAGTCTGCATTTATTTGGGGCGATTTCGAAGTCTTGTAGTTAAGTTTGTTGTTGAATAGAGAATTGAATTGAACGGACGACTTGGTGATCTTTCTCCTCGGCCGATTCTCTACTGTATCGGTTCCGTTTCCGGGTTGATTCTTCGGTTTTGACAGGTTGGCTCATCTGTACTCTCATCCTGCCGGTTAAGTGTTTCCAAACGTTGGATTGTAGGCGCAATTGGGCCCTAAGTAGACATCTCTGGGTCCGAGTATTTCGAGAGGGATTCAAGATTGAATCGGATAGTTCTGAGCTGTCACAGTATATCATCTCTGCTTCGTCTTGGGGGGTGTTTGAAGCTGATTCGGGGTGGCGCCGTTTAGTATTCCTTGCTAGGCACTTCGGAGTCACTACGCCTTCACCTTCTGATCAAATTCATTGTAAGGTCAGTTCACCTTAAAGATGGTTGATATAAACACTTTTTTATAGACAGTTCTATACAGCTTTTGAGCATGAATTTGGACGCGAAGCATGGTTGTAGACAGTGCATTGATAAAAGAAGCCTATTGTCAAAGGGTGAATATTGAGACAGACCAGAAGATAAAAAAGCATTACTTTGCTTGCCGCATTCTTCTTTTTATTTTCTCCAAATTGCATCACTAAAAAGTCACTTCCATGCATAATTGGCGTGGTTGATACCTCTCGCTGACTTAGCCGCAAGTGGGTGTGGTTGTGCCGCAGTTTACATTCCGCGGTGTCGCACCGCCTGACTTCATCATCTGTTTTTTTAGGCAGAACAGTCAAAACAATTGCTTTGAGAAATTGAAAAAAAAGAGCCAAAGTTCGATTTCGATCTCCGGTCGACTTTGACCTCGTTCTTGTGAAGTGCCCTGTGATACAGCACATGAGTGCCAGGATAAGGTACGATAAGTCGGACCATCTCACCATCGTCCACTTTCTTTCTTCACCCACCAGCGTCACCTCCGATTGCTACAATGCCTACCTATCGCTTCGGTGAGTTACTCCTCGCGCTTAATGTTTATTTTCATTGTGCGGATTTCCATTGTGCGAAACACGTTTTCGCGTCCCCTGGGCTGTTTGGGTGTCAGCAACATGCGTGAAACGGGTATGAAACTTCGCATCCTTGAGTCCTGCTCAAGAGAACAAGATGCTATGAAGTCATCCTGCTCATTGTGTTCTCTCTTTGCTCATTGGTCAACGCGTCTTGTTCGCTTCAAGAACTGTTTCTAGAGCCGCTTATGACATCACAGCTAACATTATGATGAGAGCTCGCCCGCAGTGGCAGGGCTAGCTGCCAGACTAAGGAATGCAAGGACAGCGGAGACAAGATTCCCAAGAATGAATTCCGTGTTGGCACCTGGACCGATACAGAGAAAATTCAAAGCTGGATGTGGCGTCACTGGTGAGTTCTGCCTGTTCCGTCCTCTTATACCTCGCTCGATCTATGGGATCGCGCAAGACTTATTGAATTGAACAAAAGATTAACATGATTCAGGGGCTGCCTGACTCCGAGAATGATTTCCAACATGCAGGAGTCCCTCAAGATTGACGGCTCCGATGGATACAACTTTGAACAGCTTGATGGCTTTGAGGACCTGAGCGAGGAGCTTCAGGATAAAATCCGCAATGCCGTCGAGACTGGCCACATTCCTGATGAGGACTGGAAGGGCGTAAGGAAACCAATCGATACCAATCGCATCCCCACAATGGACCATCACTGACAATACGACATCCAGGATGTTGAGCTCAACCGCCCTGGCAAGTCTGGCTTCCGTGTCCGTGGCAAGAAGGCCGAGGCCAAGGTTCGTCTATGAAACTTCTTTTCATACATTGCCACAATATACTGACAATTACAGAACAAGGGCCCCGATTCCGGAGAGGAGTCTCCCGTCAAGAAGCGCGGCCACGCTGATTCCGACGGAGAGGAGAAGCCCGCCAAGAAGAAAGGTGGTCCCAAGGCTAAGGCCGCCGACGCTCCATCTGCTACTCCTGCCGCTGGACGCAAGAAGCCTGGCCCAAAGCCCAAGAACACCGATGATGATGATCAATCCGAGGCCGAGGAGAAGCCGAAGCGTGGCCACAAGCTTAAGACCACCGAAGACGCCGAGGATAAGGACTCTGTTGCTGCAGCCGAGCCAAAGAAGCGTCCTCCTCGTCGCAAGGCCGCTCCTAAGGAATTCCCTCAGCCAGATGACGAGGAGCCCAAGCGTAGCCGTCGCAACAGGGCCCCAGAGAACAAAGCCTCCAAGAACAATGGAGCTGCTGAGGACAACGACAGGCCCAAGCGTGGCCGCGCTAAGAAGGCCCAGAGCAACGAAGCTGCCGATGAAACCGAGAAGCCAAAGCGTGGACGTCCTTCCAAGAAGACCCAGAACGGTAATGGAACAGCTAATAAGACGGAGCAAATTGACACCGCTGAGCCCGCCGCCGAATCCGCCGCTGACGACAGCAACTAAGTTCTCTCACGTTTCCATTTCAATGCCCTGCTTTTTTCACTGGTAGGATCCACTCCTTTCGGAGCTTTCCAATTTGCAACGGCTCGTTCTCATGAGATCTTTCGTCTATCTTAATTTGTGCTTCTATCTCCGCATGGTTTCCACCTGGCAATTTCCTCTGCTTTTCCTCTAATTCCGTCTTTTTTATCCTCGTTGAAGCGTCGTGATACTCCCTTTATGGCGGTGGTTTGTGCGCGGTGTTTTGTGCAGAGGAATCCATGGTGATATGGATATCTAGGATATTTCCCTGTGAATTAGCCTACGAGATATCTAATGAAACACTTGATAAAAAAATCCCCTTTGTGTTAATCCTGCAGCCTCTAACTACACTGTATTCTAAGATCTTGGCGTTCGATATTGGTGCAGGTCAAGTTATCTTGAATTACATTTCAAAAGGAGTATGGCATTCGAAGAAGGGGCTGACAAGAGCATTGGAAAGACTATTAAGTTACAAGAAGCAATTGGCAAATCAATCCACGGTACAGCAACGTTCAATACTCTAATGGTATACCAGTCCGCTATCCGCATGGGATCTACGGCAGTCAAGACTTGCGTCGTTATGCAAGTTGATATTTGGATGGGGCAGCCTTTATAGTCGACAAAGGTGATTTGCATGAACATAATGCGAGTAAGGCGGCTATCATAAGCTTTAATGGGCATGGTAAACACACATTTTCTGTCTCAATAACGCCGAAATCTGCCATAAACACAGCTAAATTGAGTATTGTGCTTGAATCAATAAACCAAAAAGGGTATTGGGACTAGCGGGAAGTGATAGCAACCCTTCTACGTGAAGCTTCACTACTTCGTGGTGAAGACGGGTCGGAAAGCGACAACGAAAAGTTGAAGCAATGCATTGAACTTGTTCAGCAATGATCAACTCAGCGATAACGAATGTCAATGTCGTAAATTAGATACACGCAGTGGTTAAATAATAGCATTGAGGCAAGAAAAAGTCAAGGAAATCAGCGAGAAAGGAGTCACGAAAGGGGGAAAAAGACATGGAAAACGACGCTTAAGATCTGAAATCGAGTCCTTGCCCACACTCATTAGTAACAGATCCAATCCCAAAACAGACCATGATCACAACTTTGCAACCCCACGGCTCCGGATTAGGGCCTGCGGATCAGAATACAGTCTCGGATTCTCGGAGATCAGTCCAGATCGCAGCATGATCACTGCATCTAGGAGTCCAGAGTTTGCGCGCATTACCGACCAGAATATATCGGAGCAGTCGTAGTTGAACAAGTCATAAGTCTCAGCAAAGAAGTGTAACATCCAATGCTGAAGGACATCATGAGTGTTCTCGTCATAGTGATCGTCGGGAAAAATGAGACTGGTGATCTTGAGTAAGGGCTTGAGATGAAACAAAGCTGGATACGAATTCCACGCAACCTGGAGCTTGAAAGTGATCAGGTCTATTAGATCAGCCAGTTCGAAGCACCGAGCCTGTTGGTACAGAGTTCCTAGGCTGAGAATCGTTGCCTCGAGGTCATTGGTGTCGCTGATTCCTTCCAGGTGATACGTCCGGCCAATACAGGATTGGTCACCGATCTGGTGTGGAATTGCTGACATTGGCGCAAATGACGGGGGTTTATGCAGCTGAATGAGCCTTGGGGAGAATTCTCCCTCGGTCAAGAACGATTGGATCTTGTCAAACTCGATCTGATGCTGAACCGTGACGATGCCCCGAAATGCGTTCAAAAGCAAGGTGGATTCATCAGTGTTGAGGAATATTTGTTGAAATGCCTTGCGTACTGACATGTCGAAAGTTTTGTCACGCTTTGCCGTGTCATCACTCGCGCTTGAATAAAATAGTAAGTAAAGAGGTTCTGGATCGCCACACCGAGTTCTCAAAAAAACCTATGTATATCCTCCTCTTTGGTTGAAACCCCACCGATCCCGAGAGGCGGCTTCGAATCGAAGGTTGGAAAGTTGCCACGGGTCATCCATTGAGCTTGCTGGAATGGATGAGAGCCTGAGGATCGAGGTGCAAGACCGGCGGTGAGATTGACAACAGAGCTTCCTTGGCCTGGTGTGCAGGGCCTGTCGTTGAAGGCAAAAGATTCATGGTCATCGTAGAAAAAGCCCAAAGCATTCGAAAACCTAGCAGGTCTGGTGTTGTCAGACGCAGAAACCTCATTAGCGCCTTGGGCCTCGGATAAAGTGGGCGCATCTGCTTTATCAGGTCCCACGTTGTGAGAGGGTGATGTGGCTGGCTTGTCAGGAAGATAGTCATCTGCGGATTCATTGGACTCATCCTCGCCCTCATCCTCGCCCTCATCCTGCTCTTCCGCATGTCCATCAGCATCGGCGTCATCATCATCGAGGTAGTGTTCAGAGCCACTCGGGAGCACAATGCGCATTTCACGGCCTCGCTTTCCCTTGCTTCCCGCCTCTTGTTGAGCCATATCAAGCCACCAGTCTAGGGTAGGCGCAAACGCGATTATTCGCATGAGGTCGTCCCAGACCTTTGCTTCCAGCTCTCGCTTGGCACGCTTGAAGACATTCGGAGTTTTGTCATTTAAGACAAAGATGTCTTGAAGTCCGGAGTAGCGACTATAAGCATTGTTAACGCTCATATAGTTGAATGAAAAAAGGGCAACTTGAAGGGTCTTTTTTGGGCCGCAAAAAAGAGGGTCGAACTCACTACATATTGATACCGGGAAGGTAAAGAGGGTACATGCGATCCTTTAGGTGTGTTGTCCAAGGGCCATCTGTAGGCTGCGCAGTGGTGGGGCGCCGGTTCAAGTGACGAGAAGGACCGAATGTTTGAGGAATCACGACCCCAACCCAGAGGTCGGTTCTGTACTTACGCATTGAATTCTTGAAGCGAGTGATTACAATCTCGCCCGGCTGGAGCTGCCGGGGTTCGGGTAGGTGTTTAAGACCTTGGCTCAGGACTGGGAATTTTGCCATTTTGAGGGCCAGCGATCTAGTAATATAAGTTAGAAGTTAGCCCAGGCATTTCAATTCGGAGACCAAGGATAGTGCCCCTGTCCTTGAAATTATATCAGACCAGTGAGCAGTGGAAAAAAGAGATAGCTGAATCTCCTGGGTTTGATAAGGGTGCAAAAAGAGATCTCGAATATGGCCCGTAAGTTAGGTATTCAAGGGTGTCACCAAGAACTTTTCAAATATGGCCCTAAAAGAAGACCAAAGATTGGGGCTGAACAACACGGCGGTGTTGATCGTTGTTTTGGGATATTGGAGATTCAAACCTACCATAGGATATGACCCGAAGAAAGTAGACCAGAAGGTGAAGGGCAAGAATTCTGTTAGAAAAGGGTTAGATAGAAGCACATTAGGAAGGGATAACATTGGCTACAAAAGGGGCATATAAATGATAGAGAAGGACAAAGTGTTGGAAATTGAAGTGACGGCGAGAAATAAGTGAGCGTACGCGAGAGGAAAAGCGAGAATACTGAGGCCTGTTAGAAGCTTCTCTTGTTTCATCTTAGACGCAGCGAATTTCGATCTTGAAGAAACCCGCAACGTACTAGCTGCATCAGAATGGAAGAAAAGTGCGAAAGTGCAGATAGTAAGTGAAGCAATCAAGGCGAGACAAGTAAGGGAGAATACGAGCAATGCACACCAGAGAATAACGGAGGATAGCAAATAGATGGTAATGCGTGTAAGAGCTATGTGCAATACTCACAGTTTCGAGTATGACAACTCCAAAATCAAGCTTTGAGCGGGAAGTAATGGAAGTTCTCGTTTCTTCACGATCAGACAACGAAGGAGACGGTCTAAATCGCCGCCTTTCAATGATGGATGGATGTTTTCTTGGTCAGCGGATAAGCAGCAATGATAGTTGAAGAATGGAGACGAAGGAAGCGGGACGAGAAGATGCAAGTTGGAAGAAGCTGAAAGCAGGAAGAAGCAAGAGGAAGGGGATTAAATATGCTGAAGACGTGTAGCGAGTCTTCGCTTTCGCGAACGGTATACTTCGGTAGGAAGATGGCCGAGATGACCGTGAGCTTTCGTATTTGAAGCCTTTTCGAGGAAGCTTGATCACAGCATCACGAAAAAGAGCTTTGAGGGAAATTCGTATGGGCATCGTTGGTCTTCTGCAAATTGCCTTTTACCTTGTCTCGGTCTTGCCGATTGCAAGTATCGGAGCCAAACTGGAACAATAACTTCCATGTGGCCAGGGCTGCGTTGGTACGAATTTATCAGCTTGTTTTGCCCTTGGAGGCTGGAATCGGAATTTGAGAAACAGAAACTAGTGAAGGGAATCCAGGTAGCTGACAGTAAATGGCAACAAGGTGCGTTGATATCATGTCACTGAGCACAGCTTGACCTAAATCCATTGAATCAACAACATGGACGGTTGAAAAAGGGCGACACGAAAATGCCAAAGAGAAAATGGTGTTTGATGGTCTATGGCTGGGTTAGCATTACAATTCTACGTGGAGCATGTGTGAGGTGGCCGTATTTCTCGATTTCTGTTTCTCAATCACCATATCGACGTGTGCTCCAAGACTTGATAATGCAGTGGGGATGATGCCGCTGCCTCAGGGATTGAATACATGAAAATAAATGCAACAACACATCAACGCAACAGAACAAGCAGAGATTGTCAATGATGGGGCCAAAACATGGCCAAAGTCAAGGAGTGTGGAGTGGTCCAACGCAGGTTACCGTACGCCAGGGATCCAATTAAAAATGAATAGGGCTGGTTCTTCAAACCAAAGGGCGGCCAACCTCGAAAGAAGTGAAGGTCAATCTGCTGTCAAAGCAAGAACGCAGACCAGGAGTTCAGATTCGTTGCCAATGTGCCAATTTGGTTCATAAAAAAACGTACGCCTCCCTTGTTCAATTTCAATTTCAAATTCCAAGTGGCGCGATCTGATACAAAGGAAATGTGACTACCGCCTAGAAGAATCTCGGCGATCGCTTGGTGCTAATAGGTGGGAGTGTAAGCACTCATGGCTCAGTGTTGGACGAGAAGTCAGTAGTAAAGGAAGGGTTCTAGAACGAGAGAGAAGGTGGATCGTACCGCAATTCCGAGAGGTCGTCCATGTGGTTGCACATCGCCACAAACAAATCGAAAAATAACTTGCCGCCTTTCTCCATCTCCATCTGCAAAGTTCCGCTGCTCTTGAAGGTCTTGCGGGTGCGGATGATGAGAGCCAGATAATGAGCGCGCAGTCGGGAATCAGTCTCCGGGGTGTTATCATATGCATATCGAGCAGATCGCAATACCACATCGGCTGGGATTCCACTCTGGAGGCCCTGCTTTCGGAGAGCAATGCGCTTGAGCTCTTCCAGGCCGTATTTCTCGGCGGTGCAGTACACCACGGTATCACGGAGGACAATATCTCCCACTCCAGGGTGGAAGAAGGTTGCCTCGCTCGACCCGCGGCCACCAGTTTCGTTGACATCCTGGGCGTTCTCGAGGGACCAAGAGTGGCGACGCTTACCGTGGAGCAAGCGGGGGAAATAGTCGCCCTTGTACAGGAACTCGAGAATGCATGACAGGATTTCAGGTTCTCTATTTTGATAATAAGTATTTGTAAACAAAATCATGGTGGGATCGATTCTCACTCATCGGGCAAAGTCAGTTCCTTAGCACCATCTTTCAGAAACTGCTCCTTGAGGGCGGCACTGAAAAATGGCGACATGGATAGAATATCCTCATGGGCGGCAAAGAGACGCTGATCCCCGCCCACAATCATCGTAACGATGGGGCTGGTCAGCGGACTACCAATGTCAACAATCCGCATTCTTATTGTTATTGGGCGCGAAGCCTGAACCGTATAACTACTAACCTTCCCATCGAGAGACTGTCCATCTTTTGATGCGCCTTCTCCTTCGCCTGCTCTTCGTGTCTCTTCTTAGCAACCTTGGCGTTCTTTCCCGCCCGGTTCTTAGTTGCGAAAGGGCGCTTGAACATAACGGCAAAAAGGAAACCTAGTGCCGAAAGATCATGAAGCAGAATCTCCAAGAGCGACTGCAAGAACCTATAATAATCAGAAAGAATGATATTAGTTGGTCGAATAAAGGAGTGAGTGACGCTGCTTATCATGCACACGTAGCATGTGAGTCTCGGAAGCTCTCCACAGAAAAGGTCCCTCCGAAACTTAGTTAAAAGACGAGGGATACACAGTTCTGGGATAACTTTGCAATCGAGAATTCTAACGATATTCTCTTTGCGGATAGTTACCGACTCTGGCAGGCGTGGGAGGGAGAAGAGGAAGGGAGAACGAAGAGGGGGTTTAAATGCGGGGGTCAGGTGATATCAAATGTGACTAGACTCGAAGTCACCTGTCTTGTGAGGCTCAGATAGATGTGTGGCTGCAACTTGCACATGTCGGCGCTAAATGCTCACGTCACATTGGTTCCTCGGAGGCCAATAGTGATAAGCAAATCACGGGAAATCCATGTATATTTAAATGCTGACAGATAGGTGGGGGATTGCAATAACAATGAGCATTGACTAGTAACTGAAAGGGCAATACATTTCGTGATGCTAGTCATGTTGAATGGCCAGCAGCAAGTGGAAACCAGCTAACCAAAACACAGTCTGATTTTCCATCGCCAGCGAGGGGAAAGTAACAGGCTTGGCTAACTGCCGATATAACCACAATTCAAATATCATTTTCGTCCGGGGCTCGAAAAGCCTTCCATAGTAGACATTTAGGAACTCACAGGAGGGAGCCACAGCCAGCAGCACCCAGGGTAATACCGAAGCTCTGGAAGTGACCAGGAGTGACACCGTACATGCCATTTCCAGCAGAGCAAGAAAGGTCGCGCTGCCCAGAGCACTTGAGAGTGGTGGCCTGGAATCCAGAGCTGTAGATTTCCTGTGAAGATTGAGCGGTGATAAGTGACTGCGTGCATACTCAGAAAAGCATTGAAATAAAATGAGATTACTTACGGTTCCGTAGTGTTTGAAGATGTAAGGAATGTTGACATACATGTTCTAAATGTATCGTTAGTAGATGTCTGAAGCATCACAATTCGAACAACTTACAGGAACACCGTCACCGATGTTGTTTCCACGGTAGAGGGTACCCTTAGCTTGCGAGCCTGCAAAGTTGGCCCAGGCCTCGTTACCAATGGGAAAAGCAGCCATAGCATAGCTGGTGAGTTGCTTCTCGGGGAAGTTCTGGGCCAGCGCGACGTGAGAAATGTACGTCAGAGAGCCACCGAGAGAGTGTCCAGTCGCCTCCAAGGTGTAGTCTGGGTACTTTGCGATAAGGGTCTTTACTTCGGAAATTATTCCGTCGTGGACAGCACTCCAAGGGCGGTTGATGCCGCTCATGATCTTCACCCCCGAGGGGAAGTTAACACCAGAGAGAGATGGCGTGACGAGGGTGGTGCTGATGTCGTTCATAATGTCAGTCACTACAGGGGTCAGCAATGAAAATTCTGTGTCATACGGAATCAGGATGAGTCTCACAAGTGGTAGAGCCCCTCATGACGACAGCTATGGTCTTCTTCTCTGACGAGTACCCAACAAATCCCTAGTCAAGTCAGCCTCGTTCTGGTTGGAAATGAGACAGTATTACTTGCCTGGGTGTCGGTCAAGGCATCATGGATTGACTTTGTGACAGTGATATCAAAAGCTTTGCCGGCGCAGCCAGTGTACGCAGCAGAGGAAAGCTGGGCTGCGCGACGAAGGGGTGCCCAAAAGGATGTGTCTTCAATTGAGGTGAGTGAACTCTGTATGAATAAAAATATGCAATTAGGTTACTATACCTAAGCTTGCTCTTTCTTCCAGCAGAGGCGCGGCGAAAACCTGGGAGATCAGGGCAATCCCAGCCAGAGCAGTTCGGGCATCGAAGAACATTTTGAATGGAAAGAAGATAGATAGAAAGAATTGGTATAAAATACTGGTTCAAAAGAGGAATTGAATGGGCCAGCCGAATGTTGTCTGCTGGAGAGGGAATATTTCACCTGGCCATCGTCCTCTTTAAATACTTCTGGTACACTTTCGATGGCTCATTCTGATCATCTGTGCGCCCCATCCATCCCGAACTCCATACCCGATATCTGACCACGAGGCTTGGATCCAAGGGATTTTCTGAAACAGGAAGTGGGTGTGTCAGGCTAAAGCAGACTGATGCATGGTAAATATGCACACCTACCTTCGGGGAAATTTCCATTCTAGCACTTGAGCCCTTGGCCGGGTGGAGACGGAAGGAGTGAAAAATAAGGACCCTGGAACACATAATTGGAAGCAATCGTGCTCAATCATATTCGCAAAAGAAGTCACATTTGAGTGAAAATGGTAACGAATCAAGGCTCTAATAGATACTATGTTTGACGTGCGACGTATACAAAATAGAAACTGAAGGATGATCGGTTGACCAAACGTGGCTACCAACTTTCAAGGCTTCGGACGACCTATCCTAATCCGGGTTGAAAGTTGAGCCTAAATCACCGGTTCGTGCAGACTAACGGTGTGGGGTTGATGGATCTGCCTCAAAAACCAGTCATCGGTCTCGAAACAGCCTCGGTCGGTTGTCCACATATCGAAGCTTGGACAGGTGATCAACTGGGGCGTTGAAAATTCCTAGACTCCACAGTTGCCAACATTCCGTCTGGAATGTTGGATCGATTGATACTGGATTTCAGGCATCCGAAGTTCAGCCGACTCATTTTTGGGAGATCAATGGCACTTTTTGTTCTGTCTTCTAATCAATTTACACTCCATTCGCAGATTGTCTTGTCGTATTCCTGGCTTCAATTTTGGTATTAATCTAATTAACAAGTTGGTAGATCACGTTGGATGAATTTAATTCATGATCGTGTCACGCTAGATCTGGGAGACCCTGAAACGAAGAATGGGGCTTACAACCGACTCGACATAGATGAAAACTCACTGTGACTCTAAGAGGGAAGAGCCTTTCCGGAAAGATCTGTTCTGCATATATCTAATGAGAGTGTGAGGTTCTTGATGAACACCAATCGGTAGTTGAGGGTTCGGCAGTTGGGGACCGAGGCTCTCATCTGGAGGGGCTTTGCAGCCACGAAATGGAACTAGATAGATTGCAATCTGCAGGCATGTTTATTAAAAATACGGGTCTTGCATAGAGCCCAGTGACGACAAGTCACCTGGACCTGGGAAAGGCGGAATGAAATTATCTCTAAGCGTTGCATATTTCATATTCCATTTTTTGATAACAGAAACAATGTGAAAACTACCGAACAATTCATTAACTATATATTCAAGGAACAACAGTTATAGCCAAGACAGTCTTTCTGTGTGGATGTCCCATTCTCCATCCCGACCACTCAGCAAAGGAAGTAGGGGAGAATAGAGACTACAGCAAGCAAGTGTTGCCAATTTGCGGGGTTTGGTGGCTGATTACACATTGTGCCTGTGAGGTGCAGATGATCTCTTGACCGTGCCTCCGTGTCAATGTGGTTCTAGTCCCTGCATATCTATCGACCATCCGCAATGCTAGAACTAGGCGGGGTGCAGAGGTGGGTATGTTGTTTTCCTCATTGTGTCCTATAGACCGAGGCTGTTGCAGGATTAGACAACGCTATGCGTGGCTACCGTCAGTTGAAGATACTTCAGCGTGTCCGGAGGTGGCGCTCGTCTTCATTCCATTCCATTGAAGATGCGGGGAAGACTAAACCACAATAGCTGAGCAATGCGTCTTGGGAATGCAGATCTTTGACCAGCCTTTTTGATACTTTGTCCAGATGCTTGTTCCGGTCTCAGAAGAGTTATGAAGGGACTTGCACACACATTGACTGCAGGAACACCCATCTTTGTTTGAACACAGCATGTCCATCGCACCGAATTTATAATGTTATCCACGATTCAAGCGCAACTGATACTACTTATCCCATTAACATACTTAATATTCTACACTGATGTTTAGATTATAGTCTTGGCATATTGCTCTACCACTCCTTCTCATCTCGCATGTACCTCTTGCCAAGACAGAGATTCGGGCATTGGCCCTCTTCGCTTTCCGCACACTTAATTATCTTAGTCGGTTACGTTAATTACTATATACCTCCGTGATATTTTCGGTGCGCGTTGGGCTCCGGTTCTACGCGACCTCGCTAGCATTGCTCGCCCCATCAGTCGGTATTTACCTCCTCTGAATCTTCGTTGCCGATAACCTCCGCTTGACAAAGCCACCGCTAATCTTAAATCTTACTTTGGAACCCGAGCCTCGGCTGGCCATTATATAGGAGGCACTGGGAATATCGTCGCCCCGGGATACAGACTCCTAAAATACTGCACGATCTCGACAGTAGTGCGTTAGCGAGAAAAATATTGATCTAATGGAAGATTACGGGCTTACAGTGCGTCATATCATGTGGGGATTGGATATCAAATCTCGCACCCTCGATGGACGCTTAGGATACAGCTATTCCTCACATCGTTGAAGGTAGCTAGGTCTATCTAACTGAAAGATTCCCCTGGGTCAAGCACCTTAGACAAGAGTCTTCTTAGATGGGCTAAGAGGATGCGCACTTGCTCTGAATGAGATAGGGGTGACTCTCGGTGTTGAACACCCACTCATCCAAACTGAGAACACCCGTCTCGGTGAATGAAAGATACAGGTACTTGAGCACTTCGGCGAAATAGAAGCTAAGAGAACGTGGGATAGGTAAGCGAGTATCCAAAGCAAAGAAACCCGAAAGAAACTATGAAGTAGTTTCGCTGTTGGGAAAAGACTCACCTCGAAACCAGATTGACCAATTCCCCACCTCCAGGAGCATTCACATCGGAGATCTCAGTATACGGTACAGCGGCAGAGCGATGGGTGTCCAGCGCCTGGAAGATCTCCCAGTTATATTCTTGCCAACGGGTATCACCCGTAATGCGGTATGCATACCATATGCTCTCAAGCGGTTCCGGGTATGAGCGATAAGATGGATCTTCGATGAAATAGCCATACTTGGTTGCCTCGGCGCGGTAAGTTGCGTTGTTATTGTACGCTGGATCATAGGCCTTGTTGCTGGAGTTGTACCAGGCGATCGCTGAAGATGAATAAGTCAGATTTCATGGGAAGATAAAATGAGTGAGAGAAGCAATATCTTACTTGACGGTCCTAATCCTGTGATAGTCGAGTTATACAGCCAGTGGCAGCTATCGGTTACTTTCAATCCCAAATCGGTAAAGTCAGGTCGATCAAGATACTTTCCGCCTAGGAGCAGATTTCCACCTGCGAAGCATGCCTGTGGGGACTTTGTTAGCATAGTACAATTTGGAAATATTGCGCAGTATATGAACTAACATAGTCATCCATTGTCCACATCATACTGCCATTGGCATCAAGTTGAGATAAGAATGTTAGCTCTGGCTTGTGGTATGGGCTCAACGCAATGTTCTCAATGCTGGACTCTGATGCAGTCACCCAGAAGTCTCGCAGCTTTGCTGAATATTCATCTTGGGGATTGTAAATGTAGGTTTTGATGAGGTACTACCGAAGCGTTATTTCATGAAAGGCAACTCAAGGTAATGTGGGATATTGTTTCTTACCTCGATAAAGCTGTCGACACCGGCCTGCCAGCCTGCATCAAAAGTGATGAATTTACCGGTTTCCATGTCCAGCTCAGTACTTACCAGACCGGGGAACATCGGTGCGGGATTGGGCTTGATCAAATAGTCTTCTGCCTTTTTAGCCTATGTAATTATTAACATGTTAGCAGGGTCTCAAGCCCCAACTTCCCTGATAGTGTTGGAGAGAGAACCATACATGTTGTCGGAAGGATTCATCGCCAGTGAGATCCGAGAGACGGTAATATTCCAAGATTAGAGTCCCAGCCTGAGCAGTGTTTGTACTGTTGTACTTTGTTCCATTGATGGTTGATGTGCTTGGAAGAATCTGGCCGGTTGAAAAATTCTTCTGTGCTGCTGGGAGACCGGTGATTGTGTCAAACACTGGGCTGATAGCCGTCGCAAGGGTCTTAGCCTGGGATAAGAGTATCTCAACTAGGTCTTTGTCGTATGAATTAGGGAATTGGCCGCTCTTGATCAAATCATAGGCACTCAAAAGTCTACCAAATGGGTGTCAGCTTTGTTATCCGGGGGATGTATCTATAATAGACCTACCCTCCCAAATAGCGAATATTCACGTCAAAGAAGTTGACCAAGTACGAAGACTTACTGTTCACAGTTAGCTAAGTTATTCAAGAACCGGGATCCAAGATTCTAGTGACCCATAACGCACGTGAAATCAACCGAAGCAATGTGCTGCAGCTGTTGCTCGACAATATCTGTCAAGCCCATGACAATAGCGGTATCGATGCCATCGACAACAGACGCACCCCAGCCAAACAAGTCATTTGTGTAGTTATGGCTCAGGGGCATGAGGTCATCATTGGGAAAGGCATATTTCATATACTCATTCCACTCACGTACATAAGCCTTTTTCACAGCTTCGGCGCGCGGATCATTCTTGTTGGTACCCGACGGAAAGTTGTACTGGATCCTGTTACAAGCTTGGTGTGGAGTAGATGCTGGCGTTGCTCCACCTTGGCTGATCAAGCTGAGGCCTAGTAAAGCCTGGGAGAGACGAATCATCATGTTGTTCAATGTTGGCCCCTTCTGGTCTTCGACTAATGAATAAGCGCGAGAAACTTGAGTCAAACACTACAATTCTACAGGCGGACATAAAAAATCTATATAAGTCATAAGTCTTCCCCTGCCGATCATGGAGCTAACGAATGTTACATCTATGAGGGGTTACATGGACCTGGATTCATTAACTGAAGAGAAGGATTGCTAAAGAAGAACTCAATGTAATTGGAATATTGGGTCAAACTATTTAATAACATGATCCCGGGCCTCTCTGATTCGAAAGAAAACACTTATTGATCTAATATTATGACCTGGAGTAGGCCAGGCCGTTTCAGGGGTAAAGTACGGGGTAAGAATACCGAAGGATTTCGAGTATAAGAGACCTATACAAGAGACCGACTCACATTGCTAGACATTGATCATCAACAGCGCATTGTCGTGTGCTCGTAACTCTCTTTGTTGGTTGCCATTTGACTCAAGCTTTTCATGCGGAACCACCCGCCTTCTTCGGTCATGTAAAAGCCGATTTAGCCATGCGGGGAAATAGCGGAAGTCGGACATTGAACACAGATCCTGGAAGCACGATGATCGTAACTTCAATTCAATGTTACCCAAGGGTCAGTGCGAGTTTGACCATCGACTGGTGAATGGCATCCAACTTTGTTCATGCAAAAAGTCCCACAAATTGTACATTGTATATATTGGACTGCAATCGAACAGTCGCTTGACGTATAGCTTTCTAGCTGCAATGATATGTATGGGTCCACCATGAGCTTGACACTCAATAAATGTAAACATGTTTATTTAGATTTCTTCGAATGGGACTTACGGGTGGATCCTTAACGGCCTTAGCACTACATCCCTTCCGCCAAAGTTGCCCTAATTGCGTGATATTCTCTTTGCATGTATTACATCTTGAAGGAACGGGAGAATTGACACCGAGATATCCTAAGTGTAATGCCCGTTGCTAGCTAGGTGGAGAATAGACAGGTCCAACGTGAGTTTCAAGGGCATGCCCAATATTTGTAACCATAAAAGTTTCGGAGACGTACTTCGGCTGTGGCATAGAATTTGGAGCCACTTGGCTTCGCATTGTTTCTCTAGATACCTTTGTCATTTGTGCATCCTTGGTTTCCTGTGGAGTCCAATAAATAATCAGCCAAAGAATGACAAACTGCGGAATATATAATAAGTTGCTAGATAAAAGTCTTTCTTGAGGTTAGAACACAGACATGATTAGATATTCAGCGATCTATGCTAGATAGAACTTAAGCTTGAGGTTAAAATACAGACATGGTTCAGCATCCGGATCCTTGGAACTATTCAAGCTTTGACTCAGATGTGGCGGTGCGATGATGCAGTGGCGCAGTAGTGGGACTTGCGGGGACCAGAGCCACCGGTGATATCATCACGAGGAGAGCTCACATGAGAAAACAAAACAATGCTGACTTGACTTTTCATGCCTCTAACTCTTCGACTATTTTCTCCAAATATCTGGGCTAGGCCCTGGCGAAGTTGATCTATCACCAAAAGACATAGCGCGCGCGTCCCCTTGCCTGCAGCACGCGCCCGCTTCTTTTCGGCCTACCGCAAAGCCCAGAAATTAAAACCTTCATTGCTGCCCATGCCACCTGGGTAATCTCACCAACGCCATGGAGTATTTCAATCAGATCAAGAACCGCCGTCGTTCCTCGCAGATGACCAGTGCGCCCAAGCCTGTCCTCTCGCCCGAAGATGAAGCCTATCTGCGTGGATTAACCGCCGAAGAGGAAACTCTGCCGATTCCAACGGAGCCCAAGGAGCAAACTCCGACCGGAGCCCCTGATGGGGTTTCACCGCAAGCAGCGACAAGTGAGGATGCTGTGAATGTCCCTTTACCAACGTCACCCGTAGAAGAGTTTGGAAAGGAGCTTGGGGAGGAGGAAAGGCGTGAGCGGAAGGGGTCTCAACCAGCTTTGATGAGATCGGATACACCGAAGACTGAAACCACCAAAGCACCCCAGAAGAAAAAGCGATGGAGCGCTATGTTCTGGAAGAAGAACACGGAGAAGAAGGTCAGTTCGTCATCTGGAATTATTGTGCCCAGTGTGGCATAAGCTAACATCTAGCCTCCCATATACAGGACAAAGATGTCAACGAGTCAGCCAAGGCACAAATAGAAACCTCAACTCCTCCCGCGACCTCGGATACCTCGAATAACGGACAAAGCGCAGAGAAGGACAAGGAAGCAGAAGACATGACGGACATTCTCGAGCGGTTGAACCTAGCCGCAGACAACAACCGCGTGTTCTCCATCAGCGACGAGACACAGGAGCTTTTACGCAAATTCAAGCTTATTTTCAAGGACTTGATCAATGGAGTGCCGACTGCCTACCATGACTTGGAGATGCTCTTGACCAACGGGAATCGTCAACTACAAGATACCTATACAAAGCTACCTGGACCCATGCAAAAGCTTATCGAAAAGCTTCCTGAACGTTGGACCGAGACTCTGGCCCCGGAGATGCTGGCTGTTGCCGCTGAACGAGCTGGGAAGAGCGGTGTCAGCATGGAGAACGTGGGCAAGGCAGCTGCCGCTGCAGAGAAGATGGGCATCAACGTGCCAAGTCTGAAGGAGCTTGTGTCGAAGCCTGCTGCCCTTGTTGGTATGCTGCGATCGATCATGGCATTTTTGCGAGCTCGATTCCCTGCCGTGATGGGTATGAATGTGCTCTGGTCACTGGCGTTGTTCAGTAAGTATAGTTTTCTGCTAAACCACCAAACACAGATGCTAACTCTCTTACCTCTTAGTTCTACTGTTCGTTCTATGGTACTGCCATAAGCGCGGACGGGAAGTTCGTCTCGAGAACGAGCGTCTCGTGACCGAAGAAGAAATTAACAAGCTCAATGAAGACGCCTCCGCAGAAAGAATCCGTGCCACTGAGACATTGACAACCACAGCACCCCAGGGTGCCTCTTCCGAAGAGATACGTGAAGGTGTGAGAAGGGTAGAGGAGGCCAGGGCTACTCCCTCTGCTACCCCCACTGAACCCGAGAATGAAAGTGAAGAAGCTGTCCGACCAGTGCCTGTTCCCAACCGGTCGAAATCCCGGCTATCCATCTTTGGCCGATCAAAGACAGAGCCCATGCCTAACAATGTCACTCCGTATCCTGGGACTTGATCTGTATCATGTGGAGTCGTTTTGTAGAGGGCGTCCCGTGGTTGATTCCCGGATGAGGCCGTGACTCTGGGTGGACAAACCAGGATTTACTGCCAAATGGAAACCTACATAGACACCTGTTCTGGGTAGATGTAGGGATGATGATTTATGGATGTTGTTTTCAGGCTCATCTGGACTAATGTGTTAATTACTTTCAAAGTGTCTTGTACCTATTGATTACCCCTTCCTATTCTATCCATAATCACATCCCCCTGTACATAAGTGGAATGTGTATTAAGATGCTTTGAAATTCCATGCTACAAGTTATATGGAACCCCCCTTACGATCTTAGGCAAGCGTAGTATATTTGTTTTATTATTGTCCACGGTAAAGGTATTTCGTGCCTGGTTGGAATTGGAGTGAGCCAGCACGCCTGGAGGTTTCTATATTCCCCTCCTGCAGTACTTCTCTACGTCTTAAGAGGTAGGGTTTTAGAAAGAGATTATTCGCAACTCCATTATGACCTAATTCACTTTACCTAGGTAATCATACTACTAGTTAGACGTAATAAGTAAACATATAAGGACGAGGGTAGTAGAAGGGTAGGTAAAAGGTGGCTTTACGGGACAGTCAGGGGAGGGGTTGCCTTTAGGCGTATAGGTTCACTTTAATTAGACTCACGATGTCTGCCAAACCTCACTTCATTGGGTCTTGGGTGCCAAAGGCCCCTCGAAGCAGCACGATGCAGGTTGAGCCTGATTTCCACACGGTTTGAAGAGGTGGTATAACCTTTGTCAACTTACCTCAGGAGCAGCGAGAGACCTGGGGACTATCTGGAAACCGTTTGGCCTCGTACTTGTTGAGAGATTAGAATGAATTAGTCTACTCTCTTAATCTAGTTGAAATACTACCTTGTTTAGCGCTGAAAATTGGGCAGAAAGGAGCGAGGAAGAGAGGCAAAGTAGACAGGGGAACTACAAGAAACTACATGCTCGCGTTGAGGCGTGTGGATATCGTATCGATGCCATGCAGATACTTCCCAAGTGACACTATATACAGATCAGCAAACCTTCTTGTAGCAGTCATTGTTGTGATACACTATGCTCCTAAGCCGGCGTCTCCAACCTCATCTTCCGCAACCCCTCTTCTCTTGGTTCTTGCGGGTCGACGACCCACTTCATTGTCTCGATAAGGCCAAGCTTCAGTACCAGGAGCCAGGTGTAGGCACGCCTCGTGACGTAGGGACAAAACCTTGACTCCTACCATCACCGCAGAAGAAAAGCTACAGTAGAGCAGGGGCATACTGCACAAAGCGAGAGATGGAATTGCCAGTCCTCGGTGGAGTTGTACTGTGTTGCTGAACAGAATGGGTCTATGGAGCATTCCGAAAGAGCGGATTCAACTGCCGACACAAGTGTTTTGTTCTACATGTGCATACAGGTTGCAGCTGAGTCCATTGAGTGTGGTGTCCATGTATCTGAGTAGCCTTCGATCCAAAAGAGCCATCTATATGTACTATAGAACCGATAAGTGGCACCGCAGAAATGTAGATATACGGAGCTCTCCGTTCCGTAGAGGCGTTAGAACAAAGTGGAGTCAGTTATTGGAAGGTCATAGAAGTGGCCAGGCGGAGGATTGACAAAGTGAAGAAATTCTTGACCGAAAACATATTAGCGTCGAGAATATTGTTTCCTGAGGCATTTGATTGGCGTTGGGGATAGAAAATTTTCCACAGCACTGCGGGGCAGAGATGATCTTGCATAACTAAAAAAGGAGACGGAAAGATCTTCCGCGTTTGTCGCCCCCGCAGATGAAACGTGTCGCTTCACCGATAGAAAGATAAGGGACAATCGATAGATCTCATGCATATAAGACTATTGAGACTACCCCTTACCGCTCTTATAGTTAGGCCGCCGAGTGTGAGCAGTCAGTAGTTTGGGGGCAGAAAGGACCTGCAGCTTCCCGGTCTTGGACCGAGCGTGCCAAGCCGGCCAGAATGGAGTATCAAATTGCCACTGGACAAATGTGAGTCGGAACTAAGCCTTGAGCCAATCGTTGAGGTGGAAATTTGAGCTGACACGGTTGAGGAGCTAAAACAAGTCAAACAATATGATTCATCGATGGATGTGTCATACGTTCAAACAATAAATCCGGGAGAATGAATCATAGGCATCATCGTGCATATCGCACGGGTCAGATCCTGAACCGAGCGAGGTTCTAGTCTGACGTTCATAGTCAATTGATCGGTCTGCTGGCTCGAGAGGAATCCTGTAAGCGCTGGAGATCTCCGGTGCAGACTCGTACAGTAGACTGGCCACTCTGGACCCGCTTCATTGCCCCGAGGCTGGGATGACGACTAGGTTTGTTGTGTTTGCAAACAGCGTCAAGTATACAGCACATGTAGAAAAGAATTCACTGCAGTACCTATACTCCGTAGTATATGTAGAATACTGTAATTTAATCAATATTTCCCAGGAATATGTAACAATGTAACAGTCAAGGGGAAAGAAAAGAGTCGGTGAGCGGCGCCAACGAATGGGCTGCCGTTGTTCGCAGCCAATCACGGGCGCCCCCACCTCCGGGAAAAAAGTCGACTATCGTCCTTCTACTCCTTCTACTCTTCTTCCTCCATTCCACCCATTCTCCATTCTTCATTTCATATCAAACAGTCGACTTCTGATCTACTGAACTTTTTGACCCTTCTACTTACAAGATATCGTCGAATAACCAGCCAAATGGCTTTCGTTGAGCTGTAAATGCCTCGCTGGGGAGCCATCCGGTTCCCCAGTCCTGCAGCTCCGATCCCTTATTTCGACTTGACGATATCTGTTACTCTTTCAACGGCTCCTGTGAAGCGTTGGAATTGCCCCAAAGTACACTCCCAGAAGGAGCACGGCGTTCGCATTGAACTGCGGGTGCTTTCACCATCGGAAAAATCTCCCTACCTCCCGCTCCGCCTCCCCACCCTCTACCCACCCTCAGCCCTCCATTTTATGAACAACCTTGGACCCAATTACGAATATTCTCTTCTCCTAAAGAGATCCACTCACCCCCTCCACCTGCTAGGCCCGCCTCAAACGAAAAGGGAGCTGAACAGTCCGGACCATAAAATTCCACGTCCCCTACCTTCTTTCTCGCAATGCCTCAATCGTCGTATTCCTCCAAGCGGGCACCCAAGAGTTCAGCGAAAAACGCTCACCCTCGCCCTTCAACCCCCGAAGGCCACTTCATGCGCAACCTCGATATGTCTCCCAAGGCCAACCCCCCTAGGAAGTCGGCCAATGGTCGACCAGCCGACAGAAAACGCAGAGCATCGTCCTCCTCTGTCTCTTCTGTCTCCTCAGTCTCGTCCCTTGAGGATCTGAGCGAGGAGGCAGATGATTCCGAAGAAGATGCGGACGATGAGGAAGAACCAGCTGTCAGGGCTCCGTCTTATCGTCGTAGGGACAATAAGGCGGGGCGCCAACCTGCACGAGCCAAGAGAAGACGGGTGGTTCCCGATGATAGCAGCAATGCTAGTGACTCTGATGAGAGTTCTGACGATATTTATGCTGCAGTGGACTATATTACGGATGCTGAAGACGAAGAGCAAGACGTTGAACAAATGGAAGAGATGATGATCATGGAGTCTGAAAGATCACAGCGGGCTATGCCCACCTCGGAACTCAACGATGAGCAGTGGACCATCTCCACCGTATTTGACGACCACATGTTCCTACCGGCGGCTTCTTTCTTCGACGAGGAGCACTTGTACTCCGCCATGGACGCTTTTGGAGAGCCAGAAATGACTAGCGAGGCCGTTGAGACTCCAGTTGCTCGACGAGTCCACTTCGAGGAGCGATCCGACTCGTCCTCCGACAGTGACTCCCACACCGACGATGAAATTCCCGGTGACTTTTTACAGCAAGACAGCTTGGACCCACAGCTGCGTCGTATGATTGAAAATGACCACGAATCCTACCGCACCAACCACCGTAGGCAGTCTGAAGAGATATTTGGTGATGCTGATTACGGCCACGGAAACATTTACCACGTCGAGTCTGAGGGTTCCTCCGAGGGCAGCTTGAGTGGATACGAGAGTATGATGACCAGTCATCAACATTTTTGTTCTGTTTTGCTAACCTGCTAAAGGCGATGATGGCGACACCACAGATGAAGATTTGCCTCCGCCAGCTACCATCACTCACCCTCGATCCCTTCTTCGCCGGGACTCATCCGACTCTTTGGCCCCCGTGGGTGACGACAAAAGTGATAGCGTCCCTCGCCGCCGTGGTCCCATCATGGGAACCTTCGTGGCTGATCCCCACAAGCCAGTGGCTCTGGTTGACTGCACTGGAAAGCACCTAGTCATAATACCTGCCTATGCATCCTCTCGCCACGACTGGCTCGAGTCCGCCGCCAACAGCATGCCGGGAACTGCCAATACCAGCCCTCGCCAGACTACTCTTCACCTGGTCGACGAGAGCGACACCGACGCTCTTGCTTCTCCTAACCAGACGGACCTCAGCCCCATGCTGGCATCCAGTGCCAACCTGATGATGACCGCTCTTGGAAACGACCTCACACCTGGAGGCCAGGTTATGGGTCCTCCCGAGGCATTCTACCCCTCGCAAGACTTCACCATCGACAGCTCATTTGAGGAGGATGAAGACGATGACCCCGAGTCCGCCCTCAATGTCGACGACTTCATCGACTTTGGCAACGGCTCCTCGGACGAGGAAGAAGACATGGACAAGCAGTTCGACGATGAAGCCCATGTCTCCCCAATGGCACCCCCATCCGTCAAGTCCATTAGCGCCCGCACTCCCACGCGCAAATCCGACTCCCAAACCCCTAACAACGAAGAGCGCTTCTTGAACCACCTGGACAAGGGCATCGTCACAGCCTTCCGCCGCAACCACAACCGCTACCAGGCTCTCCTCCGCCTTCCCCAGCACCGCGAGTTCATGCCCGCAAACTCCCCAGCTCGCCCTGCAAGCGTATTTCGCCATGCAAAGAACAACGACCAGCGCACGCCGACTCGCAAGCGCAAGTCAAGCGGCATCGCCGGCGGCGAGGCTGTCCGCCGTAAACTGATGGACGCCCAACAACGGCGTAGCGCTCAACTCCCAATGTAAACAACTGGTGCTTTTGATTGTCGTCTAGACACCCCGAACCGGGCCAGACATCCACACATATTCCCTTCCCCATGGGCCATGTCCCCGGTTCTCGTTACGATTTCCACGACTTTTGGATTTACAAGATCATGATACACACGGGCGCATCTCCTATTCATTTCCTTGGTCGCTGGCTGACTCGACTCTCGTGGGCTGCATCCCCCACCCACCTTGAAATGGGCGCAAAAGCTCACACTTCCTGGTATCATTGCATTTTCTGCTGGGTTGTGGGTATCAGAATCTGGTCTTCTGTGATTGGATGGATACTCTTTTCTACTCCCCCGGCTTGCTTGTCGAAAAAGTCTATGTTGGTTCTTGATATATTGGAAGAACCAGATTACTTGTCTTGCCATTATTATTTGCATTATCTATGCTCTTTTTTTCTTGTCTTTTTACTCTCATTTACTTTTCTCCTTTACCTTTACTCATGGTGATACCTTTGGATCTGGAGTCAAAAAATTTGTGAATTTTCGTTTTATGAGTGATGGCTATTTGTTTGCTTTTCTATTTACCAATTTCAAAAACATTCGAAAAATGATTCCTTCTCCTTGGACAAGTGTAAGATGTAGTCAATAAAGTTGAGGCTTTCAGTATGACTGCATGCATGCAGATCGTCTAGCCTCATCCTTGCGGGTACGTACATCCTAAATCCGGGGTGCAGTCATTGAAACCTGCCGAGCATTCCTTGCTTCATTACCGGATGATTTTACTGATCTTACTTATCATCCCCATTCACACACATCATCTGGCACTCGAGACCTTTCTACTAATCAAAACCCCTCAATAGTCCAACGCTTGACATTAACGAAGGGAAATAATTTCAGTTTTTGTTTCACTATAGTGAAGACCGCCTGTCTTTCGAGCTTCCAGTAGTAGGCCTTACGGTTGAGGGCTTCGGGCTTAGGATTCTATCTACACTACAGCTAGGCAGCTTGCGAGCACCATAAAAGCGGCGGCAGCTCAGACAGGGAAGCCTCACCAGCCAGGAAGAATCTGGTACGTACAGATGTATACATGACGAATATCAATCAAATATTATCAAATTAACGTCCGTCATATCACTCAGCCAGCCCTTAACCCGTTCCATCCGAGCAGCTACCTCCCCTCTATCAGATCTCTTCTCATCCACCTCTTCTTCATCACTATCACCCCAGACATCAACCCAAGAATGCTGATATATCTCCTTCTCGCCGGCTGCACATCCATCCCGTCGGAGATAGCAGTAAATTCCACGAGTGGGATTCCTAGACATGTGCTCGGTGTACATGTCAAACCCCAAGTCATCTGGTACAGGGGGAGACCAACAGGTTCTGCAGGAACAGCTGCTGGCTCGCAGGAAAGACACCCGGACACAGTCAGCGAAACAAATTCAGGCGCACGAAACTCAAGGGAGGAACTCAAACAAGTATCCAACCCTGTGTCTTTAATAACAGAACCATCTTCAAGCTCCCAATTGTACCCTTCATATTTCAAAACATGGCATCCACACTCAAGATGGCCCCTGAGCTCAGCTTCCGTATCGCAAATCTTCGTCTTCCCGAAGGGTTTCCAGGACCAAACAGGCAAATGCCCATGATTGTGATGAGTATGGTTATGCTAATCCCTCGCACTGGGTGTCACCAAAAAGAGAAGTTTGCACTCATCTTCCTTGTTGATGGTATCGGCATCTTTGTCGTAGCAATCTGGGTTCATTTTCATTGTCAGAAATGTTGTATTGACCCCCATCCACGCTTCCGCTTCAAGGCTTACAGCCAAGTCACCTCCTCTCAATACATCAAGAAGAAATCCTCTCACTCCATTAATTGTTGCACCGAGCCAGAGAGACCCAAGCCGTGGTTGACGTGCCGTGAGACCGTTCAGGAGATGTGTGTCGTCACCTTTTCTTCTGATTGGTTCGATCAATGCCAGGGCAGGGTTTAGCCATGCATCGACTAGATTGCAAGGTATTGTTGGATTTAAAAATGTGGATCTAAGAGCACCGAGGATGGACCATGGATTGCTGCTGAGAGTCATATAGTAAGGTAGTAAAGTTTCGTGGGAAGTCATTAGCGAGGTGATTGACTACGGGCTGTGATGTGTTGCCATCGATGCTTGTTTAGAGTTTTCTGGTGGTTTTGGAATTGGGAGGATGGTGTTTGGTTTGAAGGGTTGACAACTGAGAATGACGGCGGATAGAGCTGCTGTGGCTTGGGCGTAGAGGCTATGATGAGTACAGAATCTGGACAGATAACGTAGGGCTGTTGTCGAGGAGGGCGGAGAGACTGGATCATGAATACCATTTGTATTGACACCCATTTCCGTGGAGCCGGTTATAGTGATGAACCATGGCGAGTAGAATAATCTTGAGTTAAATTCGACCACCATCTGCCAGGCCGGGTGTCCAGCGAGCACGGCATTCCACCAGAAAACCTCATCTTCACTGGAATCTGGCGGTATCTCGACTTCAATGACATTCTTCTGGGGCGTCCCGATCCCGATGTTTTTCTCGTCTCCTTGGCTCTTGTCGTCTGGGCTCCCTTCGTCTGAACTCTCTTCCTCTGAGCTCCTTATCATGTATTTGGTCGTACACTTATGCTTTTGGGAATCTTCCAACAATTCAGCCCACTTTGCAGACAGAATATACGCCCAAGCGAGAACCAGCGGAGCAATGTAGTTCCCCTTGTCGTATCCAGATATCCCTCGAACGCCAGGCCACTGGGAAAATGTTGCATTTTCGGAGACTGATACCTCTTGGGGAATTCCCACACCCACAATACTATTCCAGTCGAAGATCTTTGGCTGGGTGATGCACGCCGCGCGCGGCGTAGAGGTTGTCTACTCTCCGTGGCCCTTCGCTTTTAGATAACCCCATTTCTCCACACAGGCAAATGAGTACTTTTTCTCCTTCGGTGTCAGGCCATCTCCTAGGTACGCAGGTGTGCTTTTGAGGATAGCTTTGAGATCAATACATTCGAGTGGGAGGGTGTCGCTAATTATGAAATCTGATGACCATTGTTGATAGCTTTGGCGAAGGGTGCGCTCGTAGGACTCTTTGTCCGGGCGGGCTAATATATATGATATTTAACTTGGTCAAATTGAGCCGACTAGATGTTTTGAAGCAGCCAGATCGCTTCAGATGTACACTTCCATACTCACCAGTTTCAAGTTGTCAATATTAGAAGAGGACATGTTTTTGTAGATATCTACGGGACTACTTTTCTTCTCAAGGACGGTGACCTTAGGTGGAAAATCCCCTAGACCCTGGACCATTTAAGCCATCTGAACTACAAGTTATGACTGCATAATAGAGAAAATGAAACAAGCAGTAAGCAAACGAGGCGGCAAGTAAGCCTCAATGAACACTACAAAGAATAGTTCTCGGGTTACACCTGCTCACATATTATGCCGCCCCACACTAAATTAAATGCTCGGCGAGACATGAGTTGACAATATAAATTATGTCTAGACTCTGATAGAGCAGGAGTACAGCGTCGCATTCTCTGTCGGTGTGGCGTCAGCCTCATTGGCTTATATTTTTAGTTAAGCGTTTCAGGTTGGACAGACTTACGCTGACAAAGCCATCGTCCGATGCGAAAGATTGAGAGAAACAAGTGACTTATATTCTTTCTCTATTTCAACTCTATCCCTACAATGACAGGATTTCTAGAGGTGAAATTACTAAGATTCACAAAGCGTTGAACATTCCAAGCCAAAATGCCGCAGTGCCGGAGTATCGTTTTCTCACGGAGTTATAGTTCGCTTAGGCTGGAGAAGTTGCACGATTGACCCGAGAAAATAAAAATCGCTCATGCTCATGCTCACGCACACGTTGCATCGGTCACACAGCCGTGCAGAAAGGGACCCAATGCACTGAAACGGATTGAACCCCCGTGAGAGCTGCCGAGTTGTGATCCACCAGTGGACATTAGCGTGCAGTTCGTTGGCGCTTCTGGTCTGCTTCAGCCCACGGATCCACACCCACTTGGCAAAACAAATCAATAATCAAGTTAAGAGGGAACCTGTTCAGGTACCCGACGCCACAACTGCCAGTAGACCAGTTAGGCCGTTGGAGTGGGCGGATTGTGGCACATTCTCACGCAACTACTGTTCGAGCTTTCAGGGGTGACCCCTTAAGGGGAGTGGGAGGAAAAGGGAGAGAAAATAACAATGATTCACACAGGGAATTTTGCTTTGTCCTACACCATTCCAGCAGTCTTGTTGGTCCTTGGTGTGTCTTTTTGTGATTCGCTGATCCCTGGCGCTTCGAGTGCAACAATCACAGCGCTTCTCCACAAAAGCAAAGCTCAGAAGATCAGCGACGATCACGCACGGATGGTATCGGCAGTCACCGAACAGAACAGCAAAGTGCGAGGATTAGATTTTCTGACGCTAATGTCTCAGGGCGAGACGCCAAGTAGCATTCCGTCTGACCGGTCGCATTTAGATTCCAATACAAAGTACCAGTTGACTAGTAGACCAGAAACATGAGAGTCATGTAGTAGATTTGGATAGTGTTGGGGTGTATACCAAGAACAGAATGAAGAGAAAGAAGAGTTAGAACCCTGCAAATGGACGCCCTGCACATCTCCAATGCTTTGCAATGCATGTAGCCGTGCCGATCAAGCGCCGTCCCATTGTTCAATGCTATTTTTACTCTTTCCACTTTTTATTGGCTCATTAATTACAGTGTCGAGTCGACGAACATGGCATGAACCTCCGCAGCCGCCCTGGTCTCCTGCAAGCCCTAACTGGCTCTCCACTACAGCCTCTTCAGGCTGTTCCTGCACTAGTCGGCGCCGCGCCTGAAGTGGATCCTACTTTCTTCCTCTTCTGGCTGACAAGCGTTTCATATATGCCTTCAGATTCATGCCGATTGGAGGGATCAACGCCCCCTCTAGCAGCGTGTCTTACCTGTTCCCTAGCAAGATACCATCAGAGGGGAAAGGAAGGGCCCTCTGTCTCCGTTCATGGCCCACTATGGAGTCTTTAAGAGCGCTTTGCCCAGGACCCTGGACCACTTCCAGTCTGTCATTGTGTTTTCCTTTTGGCTTTAGGCCTTTTTCCCACTCGTTCAGGGTTTTGTATTCTTGTACCACCCTCGTTATTCGTTATTGGCTTTCATTGACGCCTTTTCATTGTTGCTGGTCAAACAATCACGTTTCACTCATATCATTACATTCAGCGCTCTATTCTACCGAGAGCTTAGACATCGGACTTTATAACTCTTCGTTGCTTTTCTTTCTTACTTCTTCTTTCTCCTGTTTCGTCTCCCACTTTACCGTCACTCGTTATCGACGTCCTTCAAGATGAAGGTTTCTTCTTTCGCGTTCTTCTCTCTTCTGGCCTCTGTCCAGGCCACTGGATCGGTATGCCACTCGATGACTGTTTGAGGATGTTAACACTAACATCTACAGTACTGGGGTTCTGAGAAATGCTACTCCAGCCCGGGTCGAGCCCCCAACAAGTGTAACGATCACCAGCAGAAGGGTTTCAGCTGGTCTGATCTCGCTGCTGGTTCGTTCTCCAGCTATGGTGGCTTCGAGTTCTCTGGTTTTACCTGTGGCAACGGGTTTGGCTCTAGCCTTGGCAAGCGTGGTGTAAGTTCATGTTGATATTTACATGTTGGGATATCTTGAACATGAACAGTGGACTAACCTCACTCTAGACCCAGAAGTGTATCTCTGGTACTGTCTCCAAGGGATCTTCCAGCTCCTCTGGCTCTGGCTCTGGCTCCGGCTATGGCTCCAGCTATGGCTCCAGCTCTGGTTCTGGCTTTGACTCTGGCTCCAGCAGCTCCGGTTCTTCGGCTCCTTCGTTCTCCTGCGGTTCTGAGGAGAGTGGCTTCTCCGTGACCAACTTCCACATTGCCACAGAGAAAGAAACTGAACTGCACATCATCTACAGCATGCCCGATGGATCGACCTGCAAGAACACCGCCAGCTGCCACTCCGGTGGTACCACTGTTACCAACGATCAGTGTGGTGGTGCAACTTCCGTTCACTTCGAGCTTCCTGAGGACAGCGAGACTGAGAGCTGTGGCTTCGGTATCTACAGTGTTGGCTTTGACTGCACACCTGGTACTACAAGCACTGCCTCCGTTCCAGTCAGTATCCCTGCGACCTCGGTGCCATACACTTCAGTTGCTGCTGGATCTAGCTCCATTGTGCCCTCGGTATCCGTTCCCACGTCTGTTTCTCCCGTCACTACTCCGGCCGTCAGCACCCCTGTTAAGATGACCACTTCGACTGTCTACACCACGAGCGAGATTACCATAACCAGCTGTGCCCCCACCGTGACCAACTGCCCGGCCGACTCGACTACTGTTGTGACTTCGACTATTGCTATCTCCACCACGGTCTGCCCTGTTACCGAGACTACCCCTGCCTCTGGGTCTTCGTCTGTGCCTGGTGTTCCCAGCCCCAGTGGCGTCCTCCCCGTCAGCTCCAGTGCCCCGTACTCATCCGTTTGGTCTTCATCTGCTAGTGAGACCCCTGCTGGAACTCCCGTTCCTTCGACCCCTGGCGCCGTGACCACTCCTGGTCCCGTTACTACACCTGCTCAATGGACCACCTCCACCGTGTACACGACTAGCGAGATTACCATTACCAGCTGTGCTGCAAGCGTCACCAACTGCCCGGCTGACTCTACCACTGTCGTTACTTCTACCATTGCTGTTTCAACCACTGTCTGTCCTGTTACTGAGACTACTCCCGCTGCCGCTAGCTCGCCTTCCCTGCCCGGTGCTCCCAGCCCTAGCAGTGTCTTGCCTGCCAGCTCCAGTGTTGGGTACTCCTCCTCTGTCTGGTCTGGATCAGCCAGCGAGACCCCGTCAGCCCCAGCTCCCTCCGACTCGGCTTCGACTCCGGCTGAAACTCCTGCTCCCTCAACTGCTGGTGCCGTTACCACTCCTGCTCAATGGACTACCTCGACTATCTACACCACCAGCGAGATCACCATTACTAGCTGCGCTGCTAGTGTCACTGACTGCCCTGCTGGCTCCACGGCCGTTGTCACCTCCACTATCGCTATCTCGACCACTGTCTGCCCCGTCACCGAGACTACCCCGGCCGCTGGATCTTCGTCTGTGCCTGGTGTTCCCAGCCCCAGCGGCGTCCTTCCCGTCAGCTCGCCTGCTTCCAGTGAGACTCCCGCTCCTTCATCGTCGGGATCGTCCCCTGCAGGCACTCCTTCGGTTTCTAGCCTGACTCCTGCTGCCTCGTCTCCTGTCGGCACCCCCGGTGTCCCTGGTGAGGCCACCACTACAGTTGTGACCTACGAGACTGTGACTACCTGCCCTGTTACTGATACCGTCACCTCTGGATCTTCCACTTTTGTGACCACCTACAGCACTGTTTCGACTGTCACCTTGACCTCCACTTCTTCTCTTCCCAGCTCGGTCGCAGCCGGTAGCACTCCCGCTCCCTCTGGAACTGAGGTTGCTACCAGCCCTGCTCCTACTGGACCCGCTGTGACCAGCGTCGTTGTCAGCTCTACCCCTACAACTCCTGAGGGCCAGACTACCACTGTCGTTACCTATGAGACCGTCACTACCTGCCCTGTTACTGACACCGTCACCTCGGGATCCTCCACCTTTGTGACCACGTACAGCACCGTTTCGACTGTTACCTTGACTTCGACTTCGTCTCTTCCAAGCTCAGTTGCTGCCGGTAGCACTCCCGCTCCCTCTGCAACCGAGGTGGCCACTAGCCCTGCTCCCACAAGTGTTGGTGCCAACTCCACCCCTGCAGTTCCCGAGGACCATACTACAACAGTTGTAACCTACGAGACCGTCACCACTTGCCCGGTCACTGGCACCGTGACCTCAGGCTCATCCACCTACCTGACAACCTCCAACACCGTCTCCACAGTTACCCTCACTTCAGTCTCTACAATCTGCACCAAGTGCAGCGCTACAGCCACGGGCACCGTTGCCGTCTCCGCAGCAACTACCACCGCTGTCGCCGTCACTGGAACCTCCCCAGCGTCGAGCCCAGCTCCCTCTGCTCCCTGCCCCAACACCGTGCCCCAGTGCATCAACACCTGGTTGAGCCTGGCACCAAAGTGCACATCCAACAGCGACGCCTCCTGCTTCTGCCCCAACAGCGAGTTCACCGACAAGGTCATCTCCTGCATCCAAGCCTGGGGCGCCTCAAAGTCCGAGATCCAGTCGGCCCTCTCCTACTTCACCGGTATCTGCGCAACCTGGGTGCCCCAAAACCCAGGCATCGTCACCGCCATTCCCTCAACAATCACCCTTGCCCCAACAGTCGCTCCCTCAATCGCTATTCCCAGCGACGTCGACGCAACTGGTGTCCCAGCAACCCTCAGCCCAGTTGCACCCCTCACTTCTGCCCCAGCCGTCCCCTACACCACAGTCACCTACTCAACCTACACCCTGACAGTCCCCCAAGTCAGCTTCATCACAAACACAGCTACAGGCACTGGGGCTACGGCAGGTGCAACAGTCGGCCTCGTCCCCGCCGGTCCCAGCGGCGCCTCCCCAGCTAACACAGGCATCGTCCCAGCACCCGCATCGGCAACCTGGGCCACAGCCTCAGCAAGCGGATACGCCTCAGTTAGTCGAAGTGCCTCGGCCAGCGCCTCGCCAGTATTCAACTCGGCGTCCAGCTTGTCGATCGCTACCAGCCTTGTACTGGGATCTTTTGCTGTTTTCTTCAGCTTGATGCTATAAATGGGAATGTGCTTGGCTTGCTTTTTTCGTATCTAATTTGATGTGCCTTTTTGCATTCTGCTTTTATCTTTGAATTTGGTTGTCTTCGTGGTGTCCCCATGTTTGTCTGGGCTCGCGAATTGACTGATATGAATTGGCTGCGAGTGACGCCTTTTGTATTGTATTTATCCACTCCCTAATCAAATGAAGATAGGCCTCACTTTGGTTACTTGATTGTCTCATCACTGTAGTGTGCACTGTATGTAGATAGACCGTGTGGGTGTGTAGAATGTAGGCATGTTATGCTCGCATGGGAGCGCTTGACGTATACGTCGAAATAGTTCATGCATTTCTATGGAATCGAGAACTACTCGGGAAGTTTCTATCTTCCCTTGGCCATGTTCGAAAGCAATTCTTGATGAAGGCAATTTACGTATTAATATCGTGGGAAAATACCTCACACCCGGCTTATTATGGCATGGAAGGCATTAAAGGTGGACCAGGGCATGATTTAGATCACCTATGATTCTTTCGACAAAAAGGTGTCTCGTGGCCGTGATCCATTTCGGCCCATTTTTACTATGTGCTCACTGAGTGTTCAGGGATCAGCTCACCTTTTCTCAGGGTACTCAGGTTTGGGAATCAGAGATGTCATCATGTCCTGCCCTCTGTGCTATCCGATTGTACGTGAGACCACCCAAGCTAGTCTTTGGTTACGAATAGGTTAGCGACCTATTGGGGAAGTATATGTGACATTGTGAGGGGCTTGGCAGCTCAAGGTCTCAGGCCACCCCTGAGGCTATTTCCAACGAGAGGAAATGGAAATAGAACTCCAAAAGCAATGGAAGTTTCAGTTTTAACATCCTCACCTACTAAGGGTCCATTAAAGACGTCATTACCGGAAATTGCTTATCACATGGGAATCAACCATTGTCCTTCACTTCTCTTTTATTCTCGTCCCCTGGTGCCTATTCTGGGCGTTGTTCCCAAGTCCAATATCACTGTGAATATTTCAGGCAAAGTACACAGACGCAGGTAAATATATGGCTTGTAATATGATAAAACGAATGTAGACCCTCATTCCGGGTAAATTAGTCTAGTTCTAAAATTATTGGCTTATCAACCTGTATCCGAGACTCCTCCGGCTATGTCAAGAACAGGAACTGATCTGTTCGTGCCTCACTGACGGCAAGTTTGGCAAGCCCACTGAGTTCTGTGACCAGATCCACCAGGCGCTTCATATGTACTGACCGGGAGTTTGTAGGGAGCCCTCTGATTAAGGAAGCCATCGAGTCGAGCAGTGTGAGATCCTCAGCAGTTCGGGAATCCAAAGGGGAAAGAATGACGTTTCCGAATATCATCAAACACGCTGACAATGGATAAAACATTAGAGGCCTGAGACGATCGTAAGCGTCGTTCACTGATAGCGTTGAAGCTCAAGGGTGATTCCAAGCTCACCAGAAAGTTCCCTCCGGCAGTGTAGGCAGAACATTCCGGAGGAATAAGAGAGATGATCGACTCGATTCCACCGCGAGTATAAAGCTCGTTCCGATCCCATCGACTCCATTGGTCTCACCGCTAGTCCATGCCTTGGATCGGCCGCAAGCTTGGTGAAGAATGGCCACACAATGATAATAGTCGACCTGGAGGAGGATGCTATGCATTCTTATATGATGGCTGGTATTGGTCATTGGCTGTGGAGCCGTTGAAAGGCTGGGTCGGTATTGTGAAGGTATCGACAGCCTCCACTGCTCGAGCTCTTCGTCAAGTTCACGAATAGACTTTAAGAGGTCGGCGTCCGGCTTGTGCAGAGCTGCCGGCCCGTATATTGCACTATAGACACGAGACTTGATCTTAATTAACCGGAGATCAGTCAGGTACAAGTGGCCTCTTGGTTCTAGCTGACCACGCTCGCTAGCCAATCCTAATGCCGCGAGCTGACCTGCGTAACCTGGTGGGAGGGTGAGGTCGCAGGCTTCATCTTGAATAGCGGCCGGTTGGCCCATCCGAATACACAACTCTTTGTCGAGTATGTAAGCAATCCAGAACAGATTGCGGAGATGGTGATCCACTGGGGACAAACCATTCTCGTGGAAGAATTCACCAGATGCTGGCGGAGAGTTCACGTGAGCGCCAAATCTATAAATTAACCGGGCCACGAGAGAGTCCAGAAAGAGTCCATTCCGCAAGTTCCCGGAGGAAGAATGGAAAAGTAGCTAATTCGTAGAGCCAAGGTCAGAGGCATATATTCTCTGCAAGGGTTGATTGATATCTGGCAACGTACCAACATGAGAAGTGTTTGGAGCCCGTCGATTGTGTCCTCTTGGAGAACACGAGGCATGTAATTTTCAACTTCCGTGGCAAGGGTGAAAGCGTTGACGGGCAACACATGCACCCCAGGAAAGTTCCACATCGAACACAAGGATAGGAACGCCCAAATACATGCCCTAGCAGTTGAGGTTCCTGGATAATCGGCCGATGATGCTGAGAAGGCAAGGTTGATTGTGTTTTTGAAAAGCGTCCGATCTATAATTGGGAGTAAAAAGCGTACAGATGAGCTGAAGTATGCCGTCACACAGTCATTGATAATGCTGATGTCTGGGAGCTTCATCAAACCTGGTACCGGCAGCGCTTGACGCACATGCTCTGATTCGAAACATTGCCAAGGAGGACTAGGTCGGAAAAGACCTTGAAGATTCACTGAATGGCCCAGAATTGACAGTACCAATTTCCGCGCCTGTGGTATGATCGTGGTAGGGTCCGAATCACAGCATCCGTACTTATCGTAAGCCAAACCTCCCTTGCCAGCAAGCGTAAAGAAACCCTGTTGGATGGACGCCAAATCCTTCATTTGACTCTGATCTGCATCGCTTTCTGCTGATGTATTGATTGGTTTGCCAAGGAAGTTGTCCGCAAGTTTATTGCTGAGGAGATTTTCCATGAACGAGATACGCTCTTCCAATCGAACCGCCCTTTGCTGGTTCAAGTCAACTGCATTAATAGGATTCCACCTCTGGGAATGAATAGACAAACCTGGTTCATAGTTCGACTGACAACCTTTCCTTGCCTACGCAACTTTCTCGTGAAAGTACAAGGGGTTCCTTGGTGCGTACACCAATCGCATCTCGGGTATGCCTTGTCGCATCGAATCTGTAGGAAGTTCCTCGGTATATTAGAGAAATTGAACCACGTAAAGCGAGGAAAGTCTTTAGCATTACCTTTCTTTGAGAACAAGCATCGCAAGCGTTGGTATTTATCCTCCCGAGACGTGAATCCGGGTGCTCACTTGCCATTCTTTTTGGCGAAAAAATCATCCGAGCAAGTAGGTATGGCAAAAAGCCGCCAAAAAGCCGCCAAAACACCCGAGATGAACTGCAAAGAGGGGAATTATGCACTGAGTCAGCGCGGGAGGCATCTTGCCGTTCCGACACATTTTATATTCTCCAGAGACGCCACTCTGCCTGCACCGGAAGACATGTTTTCCGGTCTGCCGCGAACCTAAATCCAGTCAACATTAGTGGCTAAATTCAGTGGACGCTCATGACTTGGTTATGGCCTTCGGAACGGTTATTAACCAGCTACTTGATGCGCTTACTCAGCGGAAGCATCGTGGACATTCTACTGGACCAATCTGATTTCGCTCGGACCGGAGCAATTAGTTCAATTAGTTTAGGCGCATTTAAGGGCTTACAGCGGTAGCTCAATTGGGATGTCATCGTATCCGGACAAGGACTTGGTCGCTGCTGTAAGTTTTCTATTTAGGGAGGCCTGGGCTCCCCTTCTCTAACCCTCACTGCCGTTTTTAATACCGCTATCTGTAACCTGCCAAGACGACTCTTAGTAGCACAAATATAGGACTTTGGCAAATTGCCTATCATGTCGGTCATAGGCACCGACACTCTCGACGATGAGGATCGCACGGCCCAGGTCACGCACAGCCGCTTAACCGGACATCAGGCATCTGAGAGCAACTACAACTCCGAAGTCAGCGGAGGCCACGAAACTTCCATAACCGAGGTAGGTGGAGATGGAGGGACCGACTCAGGCGATGATGTCGAGGAAATAGGGCGAAGGCACAGTCTGGTCCAAGATCTTGCTCGCACTTTCACGTCAGAGTCACAGAAAAACCAAATTGGGAGTGTCTTCCTAGCGCAGACAGAGTCAAACTCCTGCTTGGATCCCAATAGCTCGAGCTTTAATGCCCGCGCCTGGGCCAGGGCACAGGTCGAAAAGGTCGCGTCGAGTGGTGGCTCGTTCCGGACCAGCGGTGTCTGCTTCCAAAATATGACGGTTTCTGGCTACAGCGCTGGCAGCCGCCACCAGAAGAACGTCGGGAATGTGTGGCTGGAGGCCGTTGGGCTTGCCCGCCAAACCTTGGGCCATGCTAAGAGCCGCGCTACAATCTTGCACAAATTCGATGGCGTTGTGCATAGGGGAGAGATGCTTGTGGTCCTAGGGCCGCCAGGATCCGGATGCAGTACCTTCCTCAAAACCATTGCCGGGGAGACGAACGGCCTCTTTGTCGATGACCAGGCGTACTTCAACTATCAGGGAGTTACTGCGGAGGAAATGCACACCCAACATCGGGGTGACGCGATTTATACCGCTGAAGTCGACGTTCACTTTCCTATGCTCTCGGTTGGCGAAACTCTGACCTTCGCTTCACGTGCCCGCACTCCACGTCATTTACCTTCTGGAGTGACTCCCTCCATGTTCTCTGATCATCTCAGGGACGTCGTGATGGCGATGTTTGGCATCAGTCACACCAAGAACACGAGGGTTGGCAACGAGTACGTTCGGGGTATTTCCGGCGGGGAGAGGAAGCGAGTTACGATCTCCGAGGCAGCTCTCTCAGGAGCACCGTTTCAATGCTGGGATAATTCGACGCGAGGATTAGACAGCGCGAACGCGATTGAATTTTGCAAGACGCTGAGACTTCAGACCGAAATCTTCCAGACGACTTGCGCCGTGTCCATTTATCAAGCGCCGCAGAGCGCATACGATCTCTTCGACAAAGCCTTGGTCCTGTACGAAGGCCGGCAGATTTTCTTTGGTCGAGCTGATGAGGCTCGCCAGTACTTTATCAATCTCGGCTTTGAGTGCCCTGAACGTCAGACGACCCCCGACTTTTTAACCTCCATGACTAGTCCCCGGGAGCGTCTGGTCCGTGCCGGATATGAAAACATGGCCCCCAGGACGCCGGATGAATTCGCTGCCGCCTGGCACAACAGTGAGGCTTACCAGCGGTTGCGGGCGGAGATTGACGCCTACAAGATCGAACACCCCATTGACGGACCCGATGCGCAGACCTTCCGCGCCCTGAAAAGAGAGCAGCAAGCTAAGGGCCAGCGGGCGAAGTCCCCCTATACTCTGTCGTATAAGCAGCAGATTGGCCTGTGCTTGTGGCGTGCCTATCGACGCTTCCTTGGCGATCCATCGATTACTGTTGGCCAGCTGATTGCGAATATTGCTATGGGGTTAATTGTCTCCTCCATATATTACAACCTGAACATGACCACGGGAAGCTTCTTTCAACGTTCTGCTCTTTTATTTTTTGCCGTCCTAATGAACGCCTTCAGTTCTGCTTTGGAAATTCTCACTCTGTATGCCCAACGTGGAATTGTCGAGAAACATGATCGATATGCCTTTTATCATCCTTCCGCGGAAGCAGTTGCCTCAGCTTTGATGGATATGCCGTACAAGGTTTTGAACACCCTCGTCTTCAATCTGATTATTTGTAGGTTTCTACGCACCAAATGGGAATGGGCTTTCTGACATCTAAACAGACTTTATGAGCAATCTTCGTCGTGAACCCGGGGCTTTCTTTTTCTACTTATTCACGTCTTTCCTTGCTGTGTTAGCAATGTCTGGCATCTTTCGTACCATTGCGTCTGCTTCCCGCACCCTGTCACAAGCCATGGTACCAGCCGCCGGTCTTATTTTGGCTCTCGTTATGTTCACTGGATTCGTCATTCCTATCGACTATATGCTGGGTTGGTCGCGGTGGATCAATTACATTGATCCCATGGCATACATTTTCGAATCACTTATGATCAACGAGGTCTGTACCCTCCTATTCGTCTTTCTTTCTTTTCTTTTTGCTTCCTGCTTGGAGGCTAATCCAAGAACAGTTTGCTGGTCGCCATTATCTTTGCACATCGTTCATCCCAAGCAACACAGTTTCTGGGTACGAAAATATCAGCAGCGAAAATCGCATATGCTCGGCGGTTGGCTCTGTTTCTGGGAGTCAGTATGTGCAAGGAACAGACTACATTAAAGCTTCTTTCCGATACGACCCTAGCCATAAATGGCGAAACATTGGGATCGTCATAGGGTTTATTATGTATGCCCCTCCTCCCCTCACCAGATGTACCATTTCGATATGCTAAGAGCTTATTAGCTTCTTTCATGCTCTGTATATGATGCTCACTGAGCTTGTCACTGCGAAAAAGTCTGAAGGTGAAGTACTCGTCTTCCGTCGAGGACACAGACCACCGCAGTTTAAGGAGAGTAAAAGCGACGCTGAGATCGGCATTCCACCTACTTCGGGACATATCGCCGTAGCAGAAAAGGCAGCCGAAAGTATGTCTGATGCAGAGTCCGGTGCTATCCGAGAGACAACCAGCGTATTCCACTGGAAGTAGGTTAACTCACCGTTCCATCCTCATGCTCTCCAACCACAGAACCTTTTAAGCATTAGTTAACCATTGTTTCCCACAGCAATGTCTGTTATGACGTCAATATCAAAGGTAAACCTCGCCGGATCTTGGATAATGTGGACGGCTGGGTAAAGCCAGGAACTCTAACGGCACTCATGGGCGTGTCCGGCGCTGGCAAGACAACCCTTCTTGACTGCTTGGCCGATCGAGTATCAATGGGAGTGATCACTGGCCAGATGCTTGTGGATGGGAATCCCCGTAATGCATCATTCCAGCGGAAAACAGGATATGTCCAGCAGCAAGACCTCCACCTAGAGACTACAACTGTTCGAGAAGCCCTCAACTTCAGTGCCCTCCTCCGTCAGCCAGGCCATGTTTCCCGGCAAGAAAAGCTTGCCTATGTGGATGAAGTGATCAAGCTTCTGGATATGGAAGAGTATGCTGATGCCGTTGTTGGGGTTCCTGGTGAAGGTCTCAATGTCGAACAGCGCAAGAGATTAACCATTGGTGTTGAACTTGCAGCTAAGCCACCACTCCTGGTTTTTGTTGACGAACCGACCTCTGGTCTGGACAGCCAGACCTCTTGGGCTATTCTTGATCTCCTCCAAAAGCTCACCAAGAGTGGGCAGGCCATCCTGTGTACCATACACCAGCCGTCATCCATGCTCTTCCAACGCTTCGATCGGCTACTTCTGCTGGCAAGTGGAGGAAAAACCGTTTACTTCGGTGATGTTGGCAGAAATTCCAGGCACATGATAAATTACTTTGAACGAAATGGTGCTCTTCCTTGCCCCCAGGCGCCAACCCCGCAGAATGGATGCTCGAAGCCATTGGCGCTGCTCCAGGCTCAACTAGTAAGGTTGATTGGCACGCGACCTGGCGGCAAAGTCCAGAATTCCAAGCCGTCCAGACTGAACTCCAGCGGTTGCGAACTGACCGTAGAGATGTTACTGGAACTCAAGGCAAGGTCCAGACAGGTTTACAAGAATTCGCTGCTCCGTTTGGCTTGCAGCTTTGGGAGGTTACCCACCGGGTTGTCCAGCAGTACTGGCGTACCCCATCTTACATATACTCCAAGGCCTCTCTCGTCACTTTGGTCTCTGCCTTTATTGGTAAGTTGCTAGTAATTCTTCACGAAAGTCCTGCGCTAACAGTGTTCATCTCTTAGGGTTCTCATTCTTCAAGGCCCCTAATACCGTCCAAGGGCTCCAGAATCAGATGTTTGCTATTTTCAATCTCTTGACTGTCTTCGGCCAATTAGTGCAACAGACGATGCCGTATTTCGTCATCCAAAGATCGCTCTATGAGGTCCGTGAACGCCCTTCGAAAGTTTACTCTTGGAAGGTCTTCATGCTTTCTCAAATCCTCGTGGAAATCCCCTGGAATACGTTGATGGCAGTAGTCATGTTCCTTTGCTTTTACTACCCAATCGGGCTCTACCAAAATGCCGAACCTGCACACCAAGTCACCGAGCGAGGTGCACTGTTTTTCCTCTTCCTGTGGGCATTCATGATGTTCACATGTACCTTCACCGACTTCATCATCGCCGGCGTGGAGACAGCAGAGGCCGGTGGCAATCTCGCCAACTTGCTCTTCATGTTGTGTCTGATCTTCTGTGGTGTCCTAGCCAGCCCCAAAGACTTTCCGCATTTCTGGATCTTCATGTACCGAGTGTCGCCGTTCACTTACATGGTCCAGGGTATGATGACTACCGCCGTCGCAAATACAGATGTAGTTTGCGCTGCAAATGAACTGCTACATTTCGCCCCACCCGCAGGGCAGAACTGCGGCCAGTATTTGCAAGACTATATCAATGCTGCTGGTGGATATTTGCAAGACCCAGATGCGACTGATTTATGCACATATTGCACCATCAAACAGACCAATATCTACTTGGCAGGTGTGAATGCTTTCTATAGCCAGCGATGGAGGAACTTTGGCATCTTCATCGTCTTCATCGTCGTCAATATTTTTGGGGCACTGTTTATGTATTGGTTGGCTCGAGTGCCGAAGAAATCACTTTTTGGGAAAAAGTCGAAATAATATCGTGCCGGATTATCATCTGCAGAAGGTTCTGTGGAGTGCACATTGATATGAGACAGTTTAAATATGCATGATACACGGAAAAGCCCTGCTCCGAGATTGAAGGAAGAGGTTCACACCTGGGTCACTGCTACTGAGGTTCTCTAGAGTTTAACATCTTCTTTGGCATTGGCTGTGTCTGCGTTCTGTTTTCCATCCTCACTTTGACTTTGGGTTGGTCGTGAGGGCACCGCGGCCTACTTTTCTCTCTGTTCCTTTTTTCCCCCTTTTTCTTTTGTATGTATTTGAGGTCAAACCAGACTATAAATTTCTAAAGTAAGTGCCATCTTTACCCGCTCGCTCGTCTTCATTGTGCATGTTGTGATATAAGGCTGGTGCAGATTAGGGACCAAGCCACATCGTCGGAAATAATTCCTACACAATGTATAAGAAGAACCAAGATGATTCCCTGTCAGCTTAGACCTCGCAATGTACATAGTCACTTTTACTCCCTCGGAAGTAATAAATTCAATTGCTCGTTCCTCTAAATTCAACTATGTAGCTTATGTAGGCATACATATTCAAGCCCTTTGTTCCCTATCTCAACAATGTTTCGGAATAAGACAGAGTAATAGGATGTTTCAAGCCGATTCTTGGTTCCTGCTTGGTTAAGCAACCTCGCAGCAAATTGATAACTTCAGCATCGTGAGCTAAAAATACCTAGATGAAAGCGAGGTTAGCCATACTGATCAGCGTGTCTGCATAGTTCTCGCCGAGCTTGTCTTACGGGTCTCTATCGCCCGCACCTCGAGCTTCTCGGCCCCTCATACCGGCCCTGGTTCGTATACGTCGACGCGAGGCTGGCCATACAGGTCAGCGTGGAGGGATGGTCCTCGCACGACCGGGTTGCGCTAGCACAAAATGCAGCGACCACGAGGAGGATACGGAAATCCACCGGCCTCTCTAGTCACTTTTATGGTAGCGCTAGAGGAAATACCCGGTGATTCGTACTGCCCATACCCTGCGCAATTAAGCGGAATGGGACGAGGAAGGAAAAATTGAAAATGCTGGATTCAAACGGTCCTGAATTCGGACTATCAAAGATGTATTTGGGAACTCTGTCGGATTCTATGCTCATAGACCGCACTATCCTTCGCAACTCGTAGTGCCTTGCAAGAACAATAAACTCGATTGGTGTCTATCTTCCAATATTTTCTGTCATATAAACTCCACCGTCGGGATGTCTGTGATTGAAGATTGTCTCAGACCATCTTTGCGTTTGGAATATCATTCTACGCGTACGACCAGCCCAACTGTACGGTATTGACTCCGAGAGTCTCCGACATTTTCCCAGGAGGAAGGACATATTAAAAATGAAATTTGCGGGGTCTCTTGCACAAGAGATCCTTCCAAGCGTAGTTGCATGATAAAATAAATAGTCTATGCTTCTCATGGGACAGTATCCTCCTGCTAAACCGGGATGATATGTTCTGTGGACGACGCTCCATGGTTCTCTTCTGACTCGAAATCCGACGTAATTTCGACCTCTTGCGAACCCAAGCCGGCACTTTTGTTCACTCCTGTAACCCTACCTAATTGATAGTTTGGTTCGGTATATCGCCGGCTGTCGGTGTGGCTTCGTGTAAAAGAAAAATAACCCGGACACATCTTTCGGGCTAATGGCCTTAAATGAGGCGCGCAAGTGCACACGATTCCCATATTTGACTCGATGCACGCCATAATCACAGCGATAACAATGTAGTCTTCTCCCGGCGCTAGTTAGTGTGTGATCCATAACTCAGATGAGGTGCCTGGAGGGACTCACGCAGGTAGTTTACCTCCACGTCATTTGCTAATATTGCTACTATAAGGCGGGCAACACTTGCTGCCAAAGTGCTGAGTTCTGTGATTAGCTTCTTGTAGAGTTTTAGACTTAAAGCACGTGATACTAACAAGATTCCACAACTAAACAGGAGGATGATTACAATCCTCTGCGCTTTGAGTCGGTGGATCGACCAGATAACTGGGATCGGAAGCACGATGATTATGACTTCCTGAACTGCGTTTGATGCAAGCAGACCAATCTGAAAGCCACTGAAGTTTGGCATGCACCCTGCCGCATTCTCTTTCGTCAAATCCCACGCGTTGTGCATAGGACGACATCGAAACAGAGAGATGCCAAGTGCAGCGAGTGAAAGGAGAACATTAAAGCCGATCAAGCCTTGAGCGAACCTTCGACTCCAAGCGATGTTCAATTTCAGGTATGTCACGAGCATGGAAATCCGGCAAAGGCCGAGCGTCGATAAGTTAATGGCGTAAAAAGTATATTGGATCTGACGGATCAATTAATACGAGTAAATAAACGTGCGCTCAAGAGGTGGTCTCAATTTCCATACTTTGCCTATTGAGGTCGGTGAATAGCTCGGAGGGAAGGCGTTGTCCCGGTATCCAAGACCATATCTCGTGGCTAGCAATGAGGCCCTGGGTCAGCATGATACCTCGCAGCTTCGACAATTGGGTGACACAAGGAGGACAGTTACCGAGGGTATTAACAATGCTTTGGAGGAAACTGAGGATCTTTTCCTTGTCAGCCACAATTCTCATTCCGACCCGTAAAGCCGCCATACCGTTGCTATCGTAACAATCCAATCGTCCACCCCCACTGTCTTGAGGAGTACCCTCCGAGTGTATAATCGCATTCCACAAAAGAGTATAGCCAGCGCCGTGAAGATGGACGAAACGATAATAAGTTCCACTGCTCGACTTGATGGTGCAACGGATCTGGCGTAGATCCCCTCTGATAGTTGCGGCATCGCGACTGATTTAGGTAAGCTGTGGAAGAAGACAGGAAGATTCACCAAGCATTGCTTCTTTTTCGCAGGAAAACATGTCCTGGGAGGAGACGAGGGGGTGAGTAGTTTGACGTACCACGCTGAAGAGGATTGTTCCTTGGCTGACAATAAATCGGGGTTGGCTGAATAGCTGTGCTTTCCCGATGATATTCACATTTGTGTGATATCCTCTACTCTCTGTCGAGACCGGTGCGTTGAGAGTGACTTTTGTTCAGCTCTACAGATCGAAATGACAGGATCTTGCAAGACATTCCGCGGAAGCAGGATTAAATCCCCTTTACGAATGGAAAGATCCGGGCGCATGTTTTAACTCGAAGCTTTTCCGTGGCTGGAATTGCTGCTAAAATTGCAACTGCGCCTGTCACTACAGGTAAGTGTGGCGGATCATTGTTTCTTCTCCCATGGTTTCTATCACGGGGCGTGTTCTGTTGCGACCAAACCTTACACACGCTGTCTCTCTTGAGTGATAAAGGTCACCACTAAAGGGCGTACCTTACTCTATAGGGGGGAAAACATAATACCAGTCTTCCACTGAATATCAGTAAGCATCGCCCCTGATCTACAAATCACTATAACCTCGCAAGGTTCACATCGTCCAGCAATATCTTGTCTTTTGTTTCTGTTCCCCCTTTTTGTGGTTCTGCTAAACCTTATTTCACTTATTAGCTGAGACAGGCTCCACCTAGGAACCACACGAGCAGATACTTAGATATTATAGTCGAGTGATGATGTCAGAGGCACCATGTTGACCAGTGAACAACAGCCCTTGCCATGCTTACTCCCTATTTTTCCAGTCTAGACGCGCCGATTATCTATTTAATGTAAGAAACCTCAAAATCTCATCTGTCACCTAGAGAGCGTGCTGATCACGTTTTGGGGAATTCTACTTCATGGTATCTCGGTATGCTTTCGCTACTTCGCACTTGCCACCCAATTTTCCTATGTGTCTCTTGATTTGCATCGGTTGGTACGCTATGGTGACTGGCCTCTATTCACGACTTCATCTGGTGGTTATCCACGCTAATATCGATCCTATCAGCTTGTCGTAACGGACCGTGATGTCCTTACTAACCCCACACTTCGCCCCCAGGGAACCCTTGGCAATAAGTTGACCACACGCAACCTGTACTTCTCGAGCTACATATACCGCGAGAAGACCGAGTTCTCTCTAACTACATATAAAGACTCGTTCGAATTTAGTTTCACCACTTGAATTACTGAGGAATAGTCCAGCTACCTAACAGTACGTTATTAGTAGATGCAACGGCAACGAACTTTGACCTTGTATGCATTGTTTATATCGTGCTCTCTGGACAGCTGTACAACGGTACCCAATTTCCATACGGTAGTCATGAAGGGTGCATCTTATCTGATGAAATGCTTACATAGATGTGGGGGCGAGAATCCATACACGCAGCATAATAACATGATGCGCTATTATAACAAGGCAGACAGATTTTCAGTTTCATCTTCACCGCCTTTCATCGCCAACATTGGTCCGACTGCAAGCATTTGGGAATGCTCTCAAAGAACAACCGTCTCTTTATGGGGCGATTCGCATCATCAAAATCGCCAACTTTCCCCACGATATCCCTGGCACCGCCCAAATTGCTTGTCTACTCGATTCAATACTCGCTAAAGCTCCAAATATTTGCAATCTTGCCATTCCAGTTGACTAACATACCTTCAAATCATTTCAGAATGCCGTATTCCCATGCCTTCGGACCTTTCAAGGCAGAGATTGTTACAACGGCTCAAAAAAATATTAGCTATGCCAATTGCGGCCGTTCATGCTTAGTCCAGCGTTATTGTCTATCTATTTACATGGCCTCTACCAGGACAAGGCTTTCGAGTTACCTAGTAGGCTGAACCTCTGCGCCATCAGCTTTACGGAGAGTCATCTTACCTATGAAGCTATCCACAAACTTTTCGAGAATAGCCCACATCTGCGGTCTTTTGATTACACTGAAGCTGCAATTTATAGGTTTCGAAAAGGAACCCACTTCACTCCAGCCCAGATCACCCAGGCTCTTCACTCTGCTAGGGACAGCCTTGAGAGACTCGTGTTAAGCCTTCCTTGTGATAACGATTATGATTTTTTTGATGATGATACTATTGCTTCTTGGGAGCCTGATGAGTGTATGGACACCAAGGATGTTGACACTGATCAGTACCTTGCTCCACTCACAGGCTTATCCTCTGATCAGTATCTTGGCCCACTGACAAGCTTCTCCTCTTTAAGATATCTGTATGTGGACCAAAATCTTCTATCTAGCGAAGCGTCTTTGCGCGATTGCCTAGAAGAGTTGATTCTTCGTTTGCGAGAGCCTCTCAGGATGGATCTTCTTAGCCACTTGGCTCGCGCCAGTCTCATAAATTACTGTCGCTGAAATCATTTTTTTTTTTTTTTTAGATTTTAAGTGTTGAAGATGATTGTATCGATGAGCGAGATTGTCATTTTATCTATTCATCATGTGATATGGATTTCGAGACCGTTGGGGCTATTACATCTTGGTGCTTCATTGAACTGGTTACCCTGATGTTAAAATAACTTTCCGCTGCGGTGAACGCTGGATTGCCACTCGCCCGTTATCCGCAGGCGTCCTGGCTGGGGAAGTTGAAATCTATACCCATTCGGCATCACCCTGGGTAAAGGGGTCGCTTCAGCGGGATGTGGGGCAGCAGGATAGAAATGATCTTCAAGATCAGCTCTACACAGCATCTGTCGAGGATGAGAAAGCTTTGGCGAGCCAATTGACCGAAAGTAGATGGAACGCGATCGATGCCAGACAAATTGCAGAGGAGACAATCTCCCATTTTCTATACCCAGCGCAGCGCTCTGCTCCATTATTAGCTTTTTTTGTTTGTTGGCGTGTTGGTATACCGCACGAGCTTAGCATCTCTGCGGCTTATAGTTCAAGAAATTATCTTGATTATAGAGATATTGACAGTGTGCTATCTGTCCCCAAATGGGTGGCTTTCAGGCTGGCGGTGCTCCGCACAGGGTACGAACTTTCGTCTCGCTGGGGAGATCCGGTGGGCGTTTGAAATCTCAGCTGGATAAAAGTACGCCCGGCTGCAGCGCATGAGTAACTCGATTTCTATGGAGCTGGTTGCTCGTTAGCTCGGATCCAGGTGCGGGGACATCCACTCGGACGGATGAACTGGATCCCTCGCAGCAGTTTCACAGTTTCACAGTTTCACAGTTGACAGCTAAGTTATATTCAACGAAACAGATTGGATATCGCTCCTTTTTATCGCTAAAATCAACGCCTTTTCTCCTGCTTGTCGCCGAGCAAGCGAATAATCATCCTTCCCCTGTCAGCTTGACAAGTGCGGGGATCCTCTGAAGGCTCGAACCTTCCGCTCTCCATGCCAAGCGCATCAACCAGAGAACACGCTTGAAGGCAACCCGAGAATAAGCCGATACATCAACAAAACTCAAAGGCAATAATATCCCGCATGATAATGTCTCAGCTTGGCAATATCGTGTTATCATGGTTCCAAGATGTTCCAAGACACCAGGCACATCTGGCACGCAGCCACAAAAGAACGCAAAGTTAATTAAGTAGGGGACCAAGCCAGAGATATAGCCTGTTGGCGGAGTTTACTTCGCCATTCACGGACATGTCCTGTCCGTATGCCGCTTCATTCGAACTGGCTGCCAGCCAAGCACGGATTGCGAGGCTGTGCGCTCTTGGAAACTGGAGATCGAGCAGTCCTCGGCCATACAGATTTCAAGAGCTCTTGGTTTTCTTGTCTTTCAACCTTACTCCGGGTTTCTCCTCCTTCTTGGAGACCTATTTCACCTGACATCGTATCGGAATCCTGACTCGTTGTACTTGCTAGATGCTGGGCATGGCAAGACTGGGCCGTACATGCCGTTCATTGGGTCTCCGTTGTCTGGTTTAGCTCTTGAGTTAAAACTCAGATAGGCTGATATAACGGGGCCCACGTTGGCAGGATGCGGGGTGACATGTCCGGGGTAAGCTAGCTTTCCACGCGATATGCTGTGAAACTACCAGATCCACCACAGAGGCGAAATCATATAAAACCACCTGCCAGGTCGGACAAAATGAAGGAACAATTCAAGTTGCAGTCGCACTACATCCTACTGTCAGTCTCCCTCTGCAAACAATCTCGGCGCCATGACTGGACCCAAGATCTCCCCGGAGATTGATGACGAAAAGCCCAGTGTCTTGCACCGTGACGACACCATCGACCAAGAGAAGCAGAAGCAGCTGAAGGATGTCGACTACTCTGGCGCGACCAAAAAGACCGATCCTGCTGAGATTCGTTTGGTCCGCAAGCTCGATCTGTGGATTATGCCTACTTTATGGCTGATGTACTGGCTGAACTACCTCGATCGTAATGCCATCGCTCTGGCACGGTTGAATGACCTTGAGGAAGATCTGAACCTCTCTTCATCCCAGTACCAGACCTGTGTTTCCATTCTCTTTGTCGGTTATATCGCTGGGCAGGTTCCTAGCAGTGAGTCTATCTGTCTCTAAACGCCTGACACTGTCTAACCACTAACTTTATAATAGACATGTTGATCACGCGACTACGGCCTTCATACTACATGGCTGGTGCCATGGCCGCATGGGCAGTTGTTAGTGCGTTGACTGCGTTGGCTAAGGACTTCACCGGCCTTCTGCTAGTTCGCTTCTTCCTCGGTGTCACAGAAACACCATACTACCCTGGTGCCCTCTACATGCTCTCGATCTTCTACACACGCAAGGAGATCGCGACCCGCATTTCCATCCTCTACACCGGCAACATTCTCGCTACAGCTTTCGCTGGCCTGATTGCTGCCGGTATCTTCCACGGCATGGATGACCTCGCTGGCATCGCCGGGTGGCAGTGGCTCTTCATTCTCCAGGGTGCCGTGACCTTCGTCGTAGCCGTCTGCTCCGTCTTCGTGCTACCAGACGACCCTCTCCACACCCACTGGCTCACCGAAGACGAACGGCAACTCGCCCACGAGCGCATCCTCGCTGACACCGTCGGAGCCCGCCACCAAACCAGCACATTCAGCGGTGTCAAAGAAGCCGCAAAGGATCCCCGAGTCTGGCTATTCGCTTTCATGCAGCACATGCATCTCGCAGCCAACGGCTTCAAGAACTTCTTCCCAACAGCTGTCGAAACCCTCGGCTTCAGCACTACAATTACTCTAGTCCTCACATGCCCGCCTTATCTCATCGCCGGTATCATCTCTGTATACTGGTCCTGGAATTCTGGCCGCATGAACGAGCGAACATGGCATATCACCTTTGCGAAGGCGGTTGCGATCTTCGGGTTCGTCCTTGGATGTGCGACTCTGAATACCGGTGCGAGGTATTTTGCCATGTGTGTCTTTGCGATTGGTACTTATGCTGGTATGTTACACTGATGACTACTTTCTTTCTTTGTCTCTGGTTACTGATTTGCCGGGATAGTCAACTCAATCATCCTCGGTTGGGTCTCGAGTACCTGCGGTCAAACGAAGGAGAAGAAAGCTTCAGCTCTGGCTATCGTCAACACCTGTGCTAATATCTCGTTTATCTGGACTCCGGTATGTCTCCCTTTTTCCTTCTCTTTTCATCCTTCGGAAACGAGAGTTGGTCCTAACTGTGAGCAGTACCTCTGGCCATCCTCCGACGAACCACGCTACACAATCGCCATGTCATCCAGCGCCGCATTCTCGATGACCTGCGCGGCTTGTGCCTGGGCTATGAGGTTCTGGCTGAAGCGCGCGAACCGCAAGATCCGCCAGGATAATGATGAGTCAAATCTTTATTATGCTTACTAGGTTGAACCTGTGAGGTAGCTCTACTTGAACAAGTTTATTACATCTCATCATATCACTCATCCTCACCGACAGACGGACGGGCAGACAGACAGACGGATGATGAAGGGTAGCTAGGGGTTGGATAAAGCTTAGGTTGAGGATTGGCTTTGGATGGTAGAAGAAGATATGATTTCATCAGAGGACGGACTAGAATTCCTATCAACATGCGTAACTATCTCCTTTTTCTTAAGTACTAGGCTCTTTCTGAGCGTCATGGTTCATTGAGAAAGTCTTTGTCGGGTGGGCATGAATGTTGCAAAAGTGAGAGGAAGAGAAGAAACTGGACACCTTCAAAGCTATAACTTGTCGAAAGCTGAAAATAACCGCAGCACTCTTTCGATGTCCGCTGGTTTAGGGAAGAATAGCGGTTTTGGTGGAACGAGAAGCAGTTAGGCATGGATAAGGAGTATAGGCAATATTATCATTCACTGACATCCTTTTGCCTGTAGATACCCAGGGCGTGCTCAGTTCTACTCAGTGAGCCAAAAAGCGGCATGGGGTGAGCACTAAAACGGAAAGGGAAAGCCAAGACTTATCAGACATTATCCTGTCTATATGCACCTATATAGACAGGATAATGTCTGCCGGGTGGGGCCTTTCCTATCTGGGCTGCCGCCGCTTTACGAGGGCGCTCAGGCTCAGAATCAGTGAGTAGATGTCAGCAACCAAATTGATGCTGAGGAATCCAACCTACGACTGGGAGCCCGAGATCAAAAATTTACCTAGCCAGCTGGAGAATGTCTCCGTTGAGGCACTCTTACAGGTAAGATTTTTCCGTCTCATCATATTCTTAGCTAATGTGACAGAATGCGATGTTTACCCGAGGGCCATGCGAAGGATAATTGAAATTGCTGGTCAGTGTAGCCAACAAGACTGCTTATCACGGTATCAAATCTTACTATGCTCGTTGCTGAACGAAGAACTCATTGGTGTTGACTTGGCTTTTTGCTTGAAGGCCTACCAAGTCGGGAAAGGTCTCGCGATCCTGTATTTCATCGTTGCTGTTCAGACGCTATATGATTGGTCCGTAATGAAAGCTAGGAGCGGTGGTTTACCAACGTATTTTGAAACGAAACACTTGTAGTGTATTCGCGAAAGCTCCTTGGCCACTCCACAGATGCTCACTTAACTTGTGACCTGTTAAAATCAATCGTAACTTATATGAGCCATCGATCTTAGTCTATTTGTGTTCATTTGTCGCCTATTAGACTTTATGTAACACAAGGATTGCGGAGCTCCTCTTTTTTTTGGACATGATCATATCAGCTGGGCAAAATACTATCATTATCTCGCACGGTGCTTGGCTGGAAAGAGAATACTAAGACCAAATCTAGATAATCATAAAAGATAGATGCAACATTGTAGACTAGGATTATGATGGTATCTACTTGTGTGGGTTTTGTGCTTTGCAAGCGATTTTGATTGAGCTAGACTATCTGAACTCTCTAGTCTATATTGCTTAGAGCTGCAGGACCCTATAGCTCGTCCGGCTATTCATACAAGTCTAGTTACCCTGGCAGCCACACGAACAAGACGTCGAGTGGGAACTTTCAGTAATGGAATCTGCCTCGCCAGTGTTGGCTGGATCGGTGATTGGAATTGGACCGAATATAGGATTTCCGGTGCATACCGGTTCGCTCTCTAGCGGACGATTTTTGCTGTCGCCATTATATTCAACAATGCTTCCAGGCCAAGGGAAGCGGATGTCTACATTCTCTCTGGTAAAGCACTCGTTCACGTTGGCGATGAACATAGGAGGAAAAGCAGGCGATTGTTTGGGCGTGTTGTCGGACGAACTAGACGGTGAGTCATTGGCCACAGTGATGGGTGCGCAATTCATGTACATCTCACGATTGCCGATACGATTAAACCACGTCCAGGCCAAGGTGTATTTCCCGGGCGCAATACCCTTCGGGATCGCGAAGTGGAGTTAGAGGGAATGGTCCGACGTGGCATCACCAGGAAAAATGCCGGGTACACTTGCGGGGCATCCTCCTTCGTAGGAGTTGATGACTTTCCATTCCGATCTCTTTGTCGGCTCGCGATCACAGGTGAGGCTCACCTAGCAAGACCCTCCACCATGGGTGGCGCTGCCCAGAAGCTTGATGGTGTTATTGTGCCCGGTCCAATAAGTCGATTCTTCTGTCGGGGCTTAAAAGGCACCTGGTTGTAGCTTGCAAGGAAAATCACTACCATCTGCAGCCAGTGGCGAGTTTTTAATTGTGTCTCTACTGTAGGGCTGGGGTGAAGTCATTTTCAAGTGCGCATAGACAGGCGAAAACGCAGCTGCCTGCAGCAGCAGGTGCCATTTCACGAATATCATAGCAGGAGTGGTCCTCGGTGGTAAAAGCTGCTTTCGATATGGGGTAGATGAATGCTATAATAGAATAGGCTACTGCTCTATATATCTTCGAAGAGCACATGAATTGAAAGAATGCTTGAACTGCCAGGGCTGCCGCGGATATTTGAGGCCATCACAAAAGCACAGTGTAGTCTAGTTCTGCTGTCTTTTCGGCTCAAGATGTGATGCCATGCTGCCGATTATGAGAGACCTTTCGTTTTTCGAACGCATGTGGCTGTACTCGTTGAACGGGAGAGGTGGTGAGCCTACCATTGTAGTGAAAAGGTTCTCACATTGCCTAAAGCGAAGTCGAGGCCCTCATTCAACTGAGTCGCGACGATTCACCAGTCCTTCTATGATCTGAGACCAGTTCAACAATGCGTTTATGCGCTGGCTTTCTCTAACCATGCCAACGTTACTGTCTTACAACCCTTGTGTTGAGTCCTCTTTTTCACATAAGTGCAGGGCTCGCTATGGACCACCATTTATTTATCAAGTCACTACTACCATCTCGAAAATTGATCGACCGTCTAATTCCTCTTTGGTCTGATCTTTCCACCGCCTATTCGCTGTTAGTACTAGCCACAGACCTCAATATGGTCGTTCAGCAAGAGGAAGAGTCAGCAGCACTAGCTGAAAGCCTTGGAGAAGGGAAAGGCATAATATTACGGAATTATGGTCTTCTGACTGTTGGCGGAACAGTGGATGAAGCCGCTTATCTCTTTTTGCTTATAGAGAAAAGTTGCAAGATTCAACTAGCTGCTGATGCTGCTTCTTCGACTAGTCGCGAAAAGATGTATATTGACGACGAAGCTGCGCGATTTATCTATGAGAACACTAGTGACCCGGTAAGCAAGCCGTTCTCACAGCTCAATAAATGGCTAATAACATTCGAGCAGGAGAGCCTATTTGCCGAATTCCAGGGTTATCTGCAGTGGGAGTCAGCTATATCCCATGACGGATACAAGGCTCTGTGATGTCAAAATGTCAATCAAACAGCAGAATATTATTGGTTGAGATTGGATGACCCTCGCGCCTTGTTTAATACAACCAGAGAGAAAGGAAAGGAGAGAGAAAAGCACAGAAGATGTCTGAGGAAAGATATCTGTCACTTAAGATCGTCTGATCCCCTAAACACCACGCAAAGGCTATATCCATACTACACTCCTAGGTAAAGAGAGCGGAGGAGATGGGGGGAGGAGTAGAAAAGCATAACATAAGAATATCCATAGGGAACCTTGATCTGATCGTAATAGAATCTTCTGGGCTCTCAATGGGGCAAAGGAAAAGAACAGAAAAAGGAAAAAAAAAAAACTATGCTCCCCGTCCAATTGCAGTTGACCTGTATTTAGAGCGCTGCCTGGCCCACAAATGGCTTTGAAACTATTAATCTAGTGATTATTTATTCTAATTTCTTTTATGCAGATACTACGTATGTGAGCCAACCCTTACAGCCAGGCTTATGAAGATGTAGTCGCCTACCGACAACGCAAGGGGGTTACTTTAAAGATTTTATTTTTATTTAACAGCGACACTTGACTTCGTGAAGATATCCTCCCTCTTTCTCTGTTTACTCATTTGACGACTTCAGGCTCCGACGGCATGTTGAATTTACTTTTACTAAGCCTAAGCGTGTGCCTCTTGTATGTCTTCATAACTGCATTTTGGAATTTGTACATACATCCCTTGCATCATATTCCCGGGCCGAGACAATGGATTGCCTTCCCCATCCTACGACACCTCTCGGCCATTCGAGGCACGCTGGATAGTGATCTGCGTCGATGGCATTTCAGATACGGCAGCGCCGTGCGCTTTGGACCTGATGAGGCCTCATTCATCACAGCTGAGGCTTGGAAGGATATATATGGATCCACCCGCCCACAATTGCCAAGGGTTATATCTTCCGGCAGCAATACATCCGACATCATCAATGCCAACGACGCAAACCATGCGAGATATCGTAAAGCTTTGGCCCATGCATTTTCCACCAATGGAGTGCGAGACCAAGAGCCTCTTGTCATCGATTATATTGTTAAGCTCGTTGGGCGCCTCAAAGAAGTCGCTGAATCAAAATTGCCAACGGACATGGTCAAGTGGTATAAATTGACAACATTCGACATGATTGGTGATCTTGCGTTTGGAGAACACTTTGGTGGTCTTGAGAAGTCCGAGTACCATCACTGGGTAGCCACAGTCGGTAGATTTACCAGAATTATTCCTTTTTTGAAGATTATGGATGCATATCCAGTCTTGTTCAAAGTTTTCCTTGCTGTGATGCCACAATCATTCTGGAAAGCACAAGCCGAGCAAGCTGAATACACCAAATTGACAGTCCAAAAGCGCCTCAACTCCTCAATCGCCCAGGATCGGCCTGATTTCATGGACTCGATGCTACGACATCGCAACGAGAAGGATAAACTGTCTGAGCATGAATTGGAGTCTAATGCCAGTGTCCTTGTCCTTGCTGGTAGTGAGACCCCAGCAGACCTATTATCTGGCGTAACATACTGGTTGTTGAAGACCCCCGAGGCGTTAGAAAAGGCGACCGGGGAGGTCCGATCACTCATGAAAGCCGAATCTGAGATCACCTTCAGTAGTGTCGAGGCACGCCTTCCCTACTTGCTGGCTTGTGTAAATGAGGGATTGCGGCTGTATCCATCTCTGCCTGGGGAATTACAACGCATGAGTCCCGATACGCCAATGAAAATCTCAGGCTATGACATTCCGCCCAGAGTCAGCACCCTTCATGGCAATTTTGAGTATGGCACGCTAATGACTTTAGACCCGAGTATCTGTCCACCAGTACGCCGCGTACTCTTCGCCTACGAACTTCCATGATCCAGACCGCTTTATCCCCGAACGCTGGCTACCTGAAGCTAAGACAAACCCGAGTTCGCCATATTTATTCGATAATCGAGAAGTTTTCCAGCCATTTTCTGTGGGACCACGTGGCTGTATTGGTAAAAGTTTGGCATACCCTTTGATGCGCACCATAATTGCACGAGTGTTATGGAACTTTGACTTCGATCTCTGCGAGGAGAGTCGAAGCTGGCACATTCAAAAAACCTTTGGCTTGTGGGAAAAGCCACCCTTGATATGCAAATTGACCCAAAGAAGACAATCGTGAGAGAGATCGAATTTGAGAATGAAATTTTGTGGCATCTTGTTGATCTTATGGAACACCCCGCAGTGCGTTGCTCTGCAAATAGAGAATTCAAGGGGCATGAAAACCCGCTTAACATGGAATCCCAAGTCGCTGATTTTAGCATGACTTCAAAGCCTTTGGGATCGATTTATTGCAATGCGGTATCATCAGCCTCATGACACCACTGCACAGAAATGGAGAATATCATGGCGAGATTTATTGAGACTGTCTTAGCCCAATTTTATAGAGACCTGTCTGGCAGCAACTTCTGTTAATTGAAAATGGGCCAATCTAGGTCCTGCCATTCTGTTCCCAAACCACCTTCACAAGTCCCTATATCAAGGCATATTTGAGAGTCCAAAAAAATCATTTTTCCTGTACGGCAATGTTGGCTGTTTTATGATAGTGATATTTGCTCAAAAATTGACATGGGTGATAAACGCACCGAGAGAACACAGAAACACAGCACATGAAAACAGTAAAAAGCTATCTCACTATAACCAGTGTTGAGCATCTTTTATTAAGCACAGAAGGGATACTGATGCTTTGGTGGGGAAACAGCGACCATGCAAAGGATGGGTTTATAGAGACATATCGAGTGTCACCACGGTGTTCAAGATCGCAGGCATCAACACTGCACAAAAAGAACTCTGACCAACAAATTTGCGCTCAGTTTGATCTGCTGGGGTACATCTTTGTTTCCCATAAGCTGGGTAGACTTTACGTAAAATCCCAGTTGTAAAGTATAAGGAACGACATAAAGTTTTCTCTTCGACCATCAGATGTTCATACTGGCCGACGATCCTCTTAGCTATCTTCTTGTTAAGATTATAGGGTCATCTCATTGTGTTTATATTCAAACTTTCTCATTGCTCGTGCAAAGCTACAATGGGAGATTATTTCAGCTCCAAGAAGGCCAAAATACCTTGGATTCCCGCTGTTTGGCTTGGATCACCCATTTCCATAAGCAAAGACCTTGCCTGGGTCGTCAATTGCGCTATTCTTTGCCGACAGAATTCAAAACTGCCAGTAGATTCAAGCAGCTTTATCGCGTAAAGCTTCACAGTGGTATCCTCGGACTTCTGTTTCAGGATGTTGATCAATTGAAAGCTATCAGAATTGCTGCGGATGCTGTGGATAATGGGAAAAGAGAACTTCCCTTCCGTTAAGTCCTCACCGAATCCTTTGTTTTCGATATATTTTTCACTTTGCAGGTTTTGGTAGTCATCCCGGATTTGAAAGATTATTCCAAGGTATTCGACGAGTGGTACACAATCTCTGCAAGCCCAATTAGTCAACAGCAACAGCATATCTTGACTTGAAACAGCTTACTTCTCACTTGCACTGCAAAGTTGCATCAGCTTGATTGCCAGCCGAAAAAGCCCCCGGTTTTGTTTGACACCATCTCAAGGTATTCCTCCTCGGTCGGACAGGTGAGCGAATCTCGCCAGTAGAGATCCATGCCCTGACCCTTGTGCAGCCGCAGAAGCTCTTCGGTGAAGATCTCCACTGCGCGTGGGTCTCCAATCTTGTGTAGCTCGCTTTGTGCCTTGAAATAGGCGTAGTTAGCCGAATTGATTGTCTGTGCAACTCCGAAAATGTTGTGGGCCACTGGGAGCCCCCGCCGAAGTTGAGAGGAGTCTTGAATATCATCAATCCTAAAGAGAGTGAGCCCATTAATCCTGTAATATTGCGAGTGATGAGAGCGAGCGACGCACAGCAAGGAAGCGGTATGTAGGAGCTCGACCACGCGCTTGATCAAAGACAATTTCTCCTCTGGGATTTGGAGCCACTCGTTGAAGGAGGAGATCAACTGTCCTCGAATATCCTTCCCTGGAAAGCTTAGGAGATAATCCAAAGGTGCGGAAATGACCTGGCGGGCTTCAAGTCAGCATGTTACCTCCTCTTCCCAGATTCAAATGCTGTCTCATTACCTTATTCTGATCAAGGGTCTGTTTTTGCTGGACATTCGCCATATCATGAATGCCACATATTGAGTGAAAAACTGGACGTGACTCAGGGCCACTGGGAGAGATGAAATTCATCAGTTCAGCTGCAGGAAGTTGATCCATGGTTACGAAAGAGATATGTTTCAAGACTCAGAGATTCAATGGTTTTATTGAGTAGAATTCTCAAGCTCACTTTATTGCACGGGAAAATCGCTGCTTCTTGAATCTGATACACCGCACAGAACTTGCTGGCTCATTATTTCAGCCCGACGAAGTCCACCGTATGCATGGTTCGGACTGATCTCCTTGCAGTGCGCAGATAACCATATCCCTTGCATGAAGCAAATCAGTCAGCCATATAGCGATCTTCAGGGAGCCGAAAGCACAAGTTGATTTGCCATATCTTTTCTCGGTCCTTCACCTTAGAAAGTCTACCGTGTGTGTCTCTTCCAAACTGCGATCCGCATCATGGAGTCTCTGGATTTTACAAAAGCGCCCCCCGAGTTCCAGGAGGTCAAATACCTTAGTGACATTCTCCTCGTCACCTTAGCATCGGGATGGCTTGTGTGCTACTTTGCTACAATCCGCACGGCGTTTTGTAGTAGAGCCTGTTGGATGCCTCTGTTACCTCTCTCGTGTAATGTAGCCTGGGAGCTGGTGTTTATCACTCTTTATCCACCACCTGGCTCACCCATTCTTGGGTTCTGGTTATTGGTAAACCTCGGCGTTATCTATTCTGCACTGCGATTTGCACCGAGCAAAGCAAGTCATCTCGCCGTGGAAAAGCATTATCTGCCCGTCTTGTTCGTCCTTGCTGTCGGGTTCTGGGCTTGGGGGCACCTCGCGCTTATTGAACAATTGAACCCTCTTCCAGCTTTCTACTATGGCGGCATGGCTTGTCAGCTCATGACTAGTGCGGCCGCGCTCAGTGGGCTGGTAGACCAAGGTTCCACGCAGGGTGCGTCCTACACAATATGGTAAATACCTCTTCCCCTCTCCACATTTGGTGCGAATTGTGAGTAACCCCGTTCAACTCAGGCTCTCGCGCGTGATCGGCACATCAAGTGCCTTGGCCGGGCTCTTTTTCAGAGCACACTATTGGCCTTCCCTGTGGGCATGGGCAGACAATGAACTCATGAGATGGCTCGCTGCCGCCTTTGTCATTCTTGATGGGGTGTACGGTGTCCAATTTTGGCGTCTTCGCAGGTCCGAAAATCAGCTCACTATCGATCATGCCCACCGTAAGACGGAATGATAATTTTGCAATCTACTTTAAATCGAACTCATCTAGGGGTAGTTCAGATGTGTTTTAGAGGTTGTGGTCAATTCCTCAGCTTTTAGAAATTTTCATAGCCCGCCGGATTAGATTGGAGATGGTTACAGGGCCTGAACACACAAAGAAAGCAGAAGGTAGTGTTCATGAGCTTAGGAGGCCACCTGGTGTAGCTAGTGGGAGATTTTAGACATAACCACCTACCACTCTTCCCAATAGTAAGAGTGTTCGAAAGGATACCATGTTTGCCCACCATGTGGGCAGTTTCTACTTTTGCAATGTAACATCAAAGTATTGAAAGTCCTCTATATCACCATGTCACCGGTATTTCTGGATTTGGAATTGTTGTTATTGAGTTGTAATCTCAGCTAGGAAGCAAGGGGAAAGAGTAAAATGCTTCAAGCACAAGTAGACGAGCTACCCAACCATCCACAGAGTACATAATTAGTAGCACATAAACTACGTAGTTACCAGTTGTTGACCTCCCAAGCACCCATCACATTAAATGTACGATTTTTCTATTTTTGTTTTGGTCATGAGACTTTGATTTTGCAATATGCAATAATATAAGTACACCACAACCCGGCTTTTACACCGCAACTTAGTTTCGGGAGTCTATAAGATATATGTAAGAGGACATTCCCACATTATCTAGCATATATGCATGCGAGCCCCGGATAATCTCACAAACGATAGTGTGAACCCACTATGCAAGGGATATGCATTCCCATGCACTCACCAAGTCTGGAATGGGCCTTAAATCTACCAATCATTATCATCTTAGTTTTCCGGTTTTCTCATCTATGGGGGCTGCGTAAATACGTAATTTGCAGCATTCGAGATTAGAACCGCTCGAATCAACGTCCAGATACCTCTCTACGTATTTCATCGAAAGGAAGGTCATCTAGCTAGACATGGAGCCCAAGGACTTCAAAGTGATTATTATCGGCGGATCTGTCGCTGGTCTCACTCTAGCTCTCAGCCTCAACAAAATCGGAATTGACTATGTTGTCCTGGAAAAGCGAGCACATATCGCTCCCCAAGAGGGTGCATCCATTGGCATCCTCCCTCATGGAGGTCGTATACTAGAGCAGCTAGGCCTCTTCGAGGCCGTTGAACGGTCCATTGAACCATTGCACACTGCTCATATCCGCTTTCCCGATGGATTTGAGTACACCACCGCCTCTCCGAGTGTACTCAATGATAGGTATGCATCTCTTTGCTCCACAATCTTACAGCAAAGCTAATGGTGTCAGATTTGGACTCCCTCTTGCCTTTTTGGAACGACAGAAGATGTTACAGATTCTCTTTGATGCTCAAACGGAAAAATCGAAGATATTGTGTGGGAAGAAGGTCACCAAAATTGAGGATTTTGAGGAAAGTATGACTGTTTATACAGAGGATGGATCTACCTATACAGGTGATCTAGTGGTTGGAGCAGATGGTGTCCACAGTCAAGTGCGAACAGAAATGTGGCGACTTGCGGAGAAAATGCAACCAGGCATAGTCTCCAACACGGAGAAAAGCAGTCAGTTTAATCCTTCGTTTCTTGATTATTTCCTTAGTAATATCATGACTAAAATCGGTGTGCAACTTTGCAAGCTCCTTAGGCATGACAGTGCAATACACCTGTGTTTTCGGCATTTCTGCTGCTGTGCCTGGCCTCGTGCCAGGAGAACAAGTGGCCAGTTTCAACGATAAAAGATCATTCTTGACTTTTCCGGGGAAGAATGGCCGCGTTTTTTGGTTTTTGATAAATCGGCTGGATCAGGAACACTCATACAGCAGTGCTCCGCGATTTTCAATGAAGGATACCGAAACAATATGTCACCAGTTTTTGGAAGATATCATCTATGGGGACGTGCGGTTTAACGACCTGTGGTCTCGTAAAGAGGTCTGCTCGGTTACAGCCTTGGAAGAAGGCGCCTTTCGAACATGGAGCTATCGTCGTATAGTTTGCATTGGAGACAGTATGCACAAGGTATGTTACTCATCTCTACAATGACCGCCTGTCTTACATCTACTTTCAGATGGCACCAAATACAGGGCAAGGGGCGAACTGTGCAATTGAGGATGTTGCAGCGTTGGCAAACATGCTCCATGCATGCGTGGTTACAACTGAGAGACACTGTAAGCCCACAACGAAAGAACTGAGCACTCTGCTTGAGGGCTATACCAAAAGACGGTTTCATCGGATAAAAAAGATATACCAAGCCTCACGTCTCGTAGTCCGCCTTCAGGCTCGGGAAACCTTGCTCCTGCGCATGATGGGGCGATATTACATACCTCGTTCCGGTGACGTGCCGGCAGATGTGGCTTCCAAGATGATTGCAGGCGCCGTGGCTTTGGACTTTCTCCCAATACCCTCTCGGTCAGGGCCAGGTTGGATCTCTTTTAAGACAATGGAAAGCAGACTGAGATATTGGATCGTGGGTGGTGCCATTCCGGTCTTACTGATAATGTCAATGTGGCTGTGGCAGGTTGTGTTGTAGGTATAGATGTCTCAAAGAATGGAGAAAGCGTCGGTGGCCTCGGGCTCTGTCTGCGTGCAAGACCTTGCATCCAAATGCTAGAAAAATGCCAGTTGTAATTGGACTCAATTGATTCATCCACTTATCAGTCCCCATCCTGGATCGGCCGTTATGCGCTTCTAAAGAATCCTCGTCGCCGATCGGTATGTGCGTGTATACTGGTTGAATTTTCCGGCAGTACGGCTTTTGCCAATCATTGAACAGGGTCGAGTAGGTGTAAGTCAGGCGAAAACTAAGTAGGAAAGGTACTCGGTGTTGTAGTTGTTGATGTGCTCTAGCTTTTGGACGTACGTGAGCGGAAGGTTGGTTGTAAACAGTTCGACGTAGCCTTGGAGGTAAGGTTGTTCCGCGAAATCATCGAAAGGTTCCAAGGTTTGATGATGGTGCGCTTGATAGCACGAAATTGCCTGAAGGCATGCTGATGGCCCGGTGGTGCGATGGCACGGAATTGTGATAGAGAGATCCCCCCTACCCAAGGAGGGCAGCGGGCAGCGAGGACCCGAAGGCGTGCTTCTCTCACGTCTTTTGGGAATAATCAAAGTGCTTAGAGGTAGGATGAGTGAGGGTCATAACCTGACGACGTAGCAAAACGGGGAATCAAAAATGGATTCGACTAAAGCTGATGATGGACAGATATAGGGAGGGAGAGGAAGCCCTGAAGACAGACAAAGATACATCTACAGAAAGAAAGGACCTGCACACAGGCACAGTCTCAGGCCTCCAACACTTAGCAATACGTACCTAGGTATGAATGCGCCGCTCAACATATTTACGAGAAAAAAAGGAAACAGCAGATAAAATCGATGGTCTACAGAGAGGCCGGAAGCGAAGACAATATGTTGCGTAGCAATATTAGTGAGAGGGATGGGGAGAGAGAGAAGGAAGAAGAAGAAGAAGAAGAAGAAGATTTTACTCTCTCCACTATATATCTAGGGGATTGATACAGACACCACCCTTTGGATGCTAACACCACCCCCTGCCTGGAAAGTCAGGCATCAACTTTTTTCTGCCGGCAGTATTTCCTGCCAGCACCATCAATTCGAGGTACTTCCATTTACTATGTAGCCCCTAGCAAATTTCAAGTCACCTTCGTACTCTACTACCATCGACCATGCTAACTGCATGGCGCTAGTCCCGAATAGGAAATAGATGCTGTTTTCAAAAACTCTGCAGAAATGAAGGAATCTAGCTATTCTGGGTCAAATTTCTTGATAAATTGTATGAGAATTGTGAAGAAATTGAGTAATTTGCAATAGATTAGCCATTTATGGAGCTCCCTAACGCTTCCTGAGGCGGTCGGGCTAGGAATCCTCGCGCCGGGCCGTACATGAAGCTATTCCTATGCTCGGCGAAGTAGGATTGCTCGCTGGCGATGCCGTACGAGCTTCCTGGGCCGTAGATGAAGCTATTCCTACCTCGTTGTCTCCCTACGATGCCTGTTGTCTCCCTCTACGTCCTCTGCCACGTCCTCGGCCGCGTCTACGGCCCCGTCTACCTTCCTAAGAAGCTTGTTGAGCTTCCTGGGCCGTAGATAAAGCTATTCCTACCCCGTTGTCTCCCTGCGATGCCTATTGTCTCCCTCTACGTCCTCTGCCACGTCCTCTGCCACGTCTACCTTCCTGAGATAGTATGAGCTCGAAGCCGGAGGGGTCTCGCTAGGTAGAGGTGTCTTAGGTGCTTGCTTAGGTGCTTTCGCCGCCGCTGATAAAGTTCCTAGCGCCTCGGGGGCGCCCTCGCCGGCGCACTTGGAGAGGATCCTGGAGTAGGAGTAGCGGGTTAATAGGAGGTGCAAATACACTATACAAATGCTAGTGTTAATAAAATAACTTAGGCTTAAAGCTCTTCTCCTCTTCTTCGTACTATATAATAAGATGAATGTATAGGAACCCTGCCGTATTCTTCGAATTATAGCGGCAAAGTGAAGGAATCGGCGGCTTCTTATCGCTTACTGGTCGATAGCGGTTGTAGACGTCTATTGTATTGTAAAGAAGTAGGGTTCTAGTGTTTACAGGATAGAGCCTGTCAACTAGGTAAGATGAAGATGCCTGGAAGCGAACAATATATTGGAGGAATACAGAGACTGATTCTTGGAGAACCGCTGGGTTCTCCGGGGCAGACTATTTAACATGGGGGATCAGCGTTACGGTGAGCCAACGCTGACGTGTCGACACCTATATGGTGTCGATCCTCTGGGAGTGCGAGAGATCTGTGCATGGCTTCTGAGGATTCCGTTACAATTATCCCCCCGTCCAGTACGGGTGTCCACACCCGTGGTGAAGCCTGTAGAACGTAGCCCATTAAAAACCCAGTGGGAAAAGGTAGCTAGTTCTGGCAGGGACCATGGTGATTGCGTATAGGCAGTGAGGCGATGGGAAAACGATGGCGTAGTATAGGATGGTTGCAGGCAAGAAGATTGGGGCCTGAGGCAGAAATGGGATAGGGCTGGAAAGCCTCAAGAATTCCCAATTAGGATGTCGGAGGTCTGTTTGTATGCGTGGTGTACTTGTTGTGATAAACAAAGTGATCACAGTCAAATTGCGTGTTTGTTCTTGCGTTTGTTTATTCAGGTTGCAGGGTTTTTTCTTTGTTGTGATTCTACACCCATGGGTATAAATCCCCTGTTGGTTACCTTCCCACTTCTCTTTCCTCACCATTTTCCACAACAGCGACACGTCCTCACGTCGCTGTCGTTTCTCTGGAGTTTCTCCAGATTCTCGCTGTCACCTCTCCAGGTAGGTATGGCTAGTCATTCCTATCACCAAGTCTGACGACACGTCGCTGACCCACTGTTGTTTCGTCGTTGTTGCAGTAGCGTTCCATCGTCCACGCGCTGATCATTATGCCTCCCCGCGCAAAGGGTCGAGGCCGTGGCAAGGGTCGGGCTCAGGCTTCCCCTGCACCGTCTCCTCCCCGTCGTTCGCCAACCCCGTCTGAAACCGAGAGTGTGATATCCATTTCCGACGACGATGATGAGGATGAGCCTTCCTTTTCGCCAGCAGGACGCTCGGATATCGCTGGTACTGAGACACCTACTCCCAGTAGTCCCACTTCTCGTGGAATTACGACCATCTCCGGTCTCCGCCGTGCCCTTACGGGTGGAACCCAGAGGAAGAACCGTCCCCTTCGCCCTGTTGCCTATCTTCGGCATATGGCATGGTGCATGCACTGTTTCCGGACCTTCTTGGATAACTGGGATACCAGTGGGCCACCAGTGATCCCCTGTTGGGACGATGGCTTGTCGTCAAAGAGATGCCGTCAGTGCGCCAGCCGCAACAAGAATTGCGAGCCCGTGAGTGATTCCTTCTAGACAGAGCGTTATGGTGGCGGCTAACCGGCGTTTCCCTGTAGGTGAATGAGGGTATCCTTGGTGATGCGATACGTTTGCAGTGCATCCTTGACTGGGTCAAGCCCTTCTGGGACAAGGATGAAGAAAAGGAGATCTTCCATTTGGAAGATGCTGCTTTTGGCGAACTAGTACAGGCTGTCCAGGCTTTGCTTGCCGGTTTCAATGTCCTTTTGGATGGTCACCGTAAACAGTTTGGTATTGCTTCGGACAAGAAGCCAGCGAAGGTATAGTGTTCTGTTGTCGTTTCCTTGGCGTTTCACTGACTGTTTGATAGGATGTCGCCAAGGCTTATGAAGCGGTTGTCCATAACCGTCGTGGATTGCTTCATCCCATTCCTATCACTCCTGGCATGTCGTCGCTTCGCCGTCTAGTCGCTGAAGCTTCCACTTATCCTGGTGCCCGTCTTTCTGATGATGGTTACCATGCTTGGGCTTTTGCTGTGCAGACTTTCCGTTCCCGTGTTTATGACATTGTTGTTGACCAGGAACAGTATGACAATCTCACTAACCCCGATATGGAGCAGCTTGAGGCAGATGCGGCCAAGGATTTCCCCGTTGAGGACTATCTCGTCTAGTCGTCGGGTTGCCGGTGTTTCGTTGGTTTACAGAAGGTTTTTGTGCCGTTGATATTTCAAAGATAATTTTGCGTTTCTCAGTTTTTGTGAAGATGGCGGGTTGCTAGGGTGAGCTAGTCATTTCGCTGTATTTTCGCTAGTGTTTTGTGGTCGGATCGATGTTTTTCCAGGGTAATCTCAATCAATTCGACCTTTTCTTTTGCTTCTGGAATTTTGCGATGATACCTCTAGCATTTCCCATATCTGAGAGTGGCACCCATTGGTTGTACTCGGAAGGCCATCCTTTCCATTTAACCAAGTAGTGTAGCTCATTCTGGAACTTCTTTTCGCCTCGGACCTCTTCAACCTCCCACTCGTCATCGTCTTCTAGCTCTGGCATAGGTAGAGTTTCACTGTCGTTTCGCTCATGCCATTCTTGGAGTAGGGAGATTGGAAACACGTTGTGAAGGCGGGAATATTGTTCTGGTAGGGCTAGCCGGTACGCTTGTTTCCCAACTTTGTCGAGAATTCGGAATGGTCCAATAAAATTAGGAGCAAGCTTTCTTGATGGGCTTTTCAATCGAAGGTTACGGGTTGATAAGGCGACTAATTGTCCCCTTCGGAACTGTATCGGTTCGTGGCGTTTATTATAGTGTTTCGCCTGTGATTCGCTTGCTTTTCGCCATGCTTTTTGGAGTTTCGCGCGTAGTTCTTGCAACTTTTCTAGTCGTGCAATAGTTGCTGGGACCTCCTCCCTAGAAGTGCCGTCCTCGGCACGTAGTTGAAAGTTTGGATCATAGCCGTATAGTGCCTTAAAGGGTGTGAAACCCGTTGTTGAGTTTATGGCATTATTGGTGGCAAATTGGGCTGTCGGGAGAAGGTTTGGCCAATTGATTTGTTCCGTATTGAGGAAGCATCGAAGGTAGCTCTCGAGTACTTGGTTCATCCGTTCCGTTTGGCCGTCGGTTTGCGGGTGAAACGCTGTCGAAAACCTCAATTTGACATGGCTTTGATAGCAGAGTTTAGACCAGAATTTGCTAGTGAAGACTGATCCTCGATCTG